GTGTGTGTGTGTGTGTGTGTATGTGTGTGTGTGTGTGTGCGTGTGTGTGTGTGTGTGTGTGTGTGTGTGTGTGTGTGTGTGTGTGTGAACCGCGACCCCGCATTCACACTGTTTTTTTCTTCTTTTTTGTTCTTTTTTTTTTTCGCTGTAGGACACACTTGCCACGAGATTATGGCGCTGCGCCACGGCAAGTTTGCCCGCATTCCGGACGCGGTCGTGTGGCCCGCGTCGAACGAGCAGGTGGAGGCGATCGTCCGTGCGGCGAACGACTTTGACGTGTGCATTATTCCTTTTGGCGGCGGTACGTCCGTGTCGCACGCGCTGCTGTGCCCAGAGGACGAGATGCGCATGATTGTCTCCCTGGACATGACCGAAATGGACCGCATTCTGTGGATTGACCGCGAGTCCATGACGGCCCGCATTGAGGCCGGCATTATTGGCCAGGACTTGGAGCGCCGCTTGGCGGTGGAAGGTCTGTGCACTGGGCACGAGCCGGACTCGATGGAGTTTAGCTCGCTTGGCGGCTGGGTTGCAACCCGCGCCTCCGGCATGAAGAAGAACATTTACGGCAACATTGAAGACATCATCGTGCACATGCGCGTGGTGACGCCGACGGGCACTTTGGAAAAGTCGTGCCAGGTGCCGCGCATCTCGGCCGGGCCCGACGTCCACCAGTTTGTGCTCGGCTCGGAAGGCACCCTTGGTGTTATTACAGAGGTGACCTTGCGGCTGCGCCCCTTGCCCGAGTGCAAGCTCTTTGGCTCGCTCGTCTTCCCGTCGTTCGAGATGGGCGTGGCGTGCATGCGCGAGGTCGCTCTGCAGCGCTGTGCGCCCGCCTCCATTCGCTGCATCGACAACGACCAGTTCCAGTTCAGCCAGGCGCTCAAGCCGCACGCGGCTTCCGCCTTCCAGGCGTTCATTGACAAGGCCAAAAAGTTCTACGTGACCACCCTCAAGGGTTTCCAGGTGGACAAGATGGTTGCTGCAACCCTGCTGTTCGAAGGCACCAAGGCCGAGGTGGAGGAGCAGTCGCGACGCATCTACGCCATTGCCGCTCGCTTTGGCGGCATTGCTGGTGGCGAAGAAAACGGCCTGCGCGGCTACTTTTTGACCTTTGTCATTGCCTACCTGCGCGACATTGGCTTCAACTACTACTTTATTGCCGAGTCGTTCGAGACCTCGGTGCCGTGGCGAAACGTGCTGCCGCTCTGCCGCAACGTCAAGGACCGCATCCGTCGCTCGTGCGCCTCGCGCGGTGTGAAGGCGCCGTTCGTCTCGTGCCGCGTGACCCAGACCTACGACAGCGGCGTCTGCGTGTACTTTTACTTTGGCTTCTGCTACAAGGGCCTGCCCGACCCCGTGCACACGTACCACGAGATTGAGGTCGAGGCGCGCGAGGAGGTGCTCGCCAACGGAGGCTCCATCAGCCATCACCACGGCATTGGCAAGCTGCGCAAGCACTGGCTTCCCGAGACGGTCTCGGAGACTGGCATGGAGATGCTGCGAGCTGTCAAGTCCCAGATTGATCCCAAGAACATCTTTGGCAGCAAAAATCTCTACTAGTTGTTTGGTGTCAAATTGTTTTGTTCTTTTTTTTTGCTTTGTGTTTGTGATGAGCATTTGCCTGCAGAGACTCGCCTTGTTTGCGAAATACATTCATTTTGCTTCAAGTTTCATTCAAGTGCTCAGTCTCAGAAATTTCGTTTTCATTACAACGCGCACACAAATGACTGACAAGGCGAAGGTGACTCACTCTGCGCTCTGTCTCGCTCTCTGTCGCTCCACTTCTCCCGCTCGGAGTGCAGCCGTAATAACGCAATGCAAACCTGTGTTCATTCCCAGCGCATCCGTCATTTGCTTTCCTCGCTGGCAGTGCCCCCAGCGATGGTCATCCAAGACACAAAACCAACCTTCCAGCAGCTTCCGTGCTGAGCGCAGCCAAATTTGCACTCTGTCCTTTTCGGCTGTCTCCCTTCTTTCTTCGCTCTCTATTCCATCTCAATCTCTCGGCGTTCTTGCCTCATTGGATCGGGGGCAGCCCTCGCGCCATTGAGAAGGGTCCAAACATCGATGCGTAATGCAAACCCCATACAAAAACGCATGTGCTTTTTTTTTTTTTTTTTTTTTTTTTTTTTTTTTTTTTTTTTTTTTTTTTTTTTTGGGTGGTCCAAAATCATTTCTCTTTTGTTTTGTTCTTTTGAAGATGAAAGGTCTTTCGTTTCACTCACTCAACACTGCTTTGTTGGTTTTCAGGCTGACCAATTCAAGGCAGAGGGCAACACTGCATTCACTGCGGGCAACTTTGAGAAGGCCGTCGAGCTGTTCTCGAGCGCCATTGCGTGCGATGGCACCAACCACGTCCTGTTCAGCAACCGCTCGGGTGCGTATGCGGGCATGAAGGACTACAAGAAGGCCCTCGAGGATGCCGACAAGTGCATCGCCATCAAGCCCGACTGGGCCAAGGGCTACTCGCGTCGCGGCGCGGCCCACTTCTTCCTCGGCAATCTCGAGGAGGCCGAGCAGGCGTACAAGGCCGGCCTCGAGATCGAGCCCGCCAATGCAAGCCTCAAGCAGGGTCTGCAAGATGTTGCTGCTGCTATTGCCTCTGCCGGCAGCATGCCCTTGAGCGGTGAGTTTGAGTGGGGTTTGTGGTAGCTTTTTTTTTTTTTTTTCGCAAACGTTTTCGTCAATGTTTTCGCTCCGTGTTCTTTAAGAGGGGGGGGGAGGATTGTTTGTCTTCCTGCGAATGCGCAGCCCAAATAGCTTCTTTGCTCAGGTGCTCACTGCTGCTCGTGTCACTGTTGCTCTTCTTGCAGACGCCTTCAAGCAAATCTTTGCGCCCCAAAACCTCCAACAGCTGCTTGTGCACCCCACCACGCGCAAGTACATGCAGGAGCCCGACTTCCAACTCATCATGGCTGACGTTGTCAAGAACCCCTCCTCCATGTCCAAGTACCTGCAAGACCCTCGCTTCTCGGCCGTGCTGAACGTTCTTTTGAGCTCTGCCGGCGCTGCTGAGGAAGAGGAGGCCAACGCCGGCCATGGCCACGCGCACGACGGCAGCGAGGGCCACGGTCATTCCCACGATGGCAGCGAAGGCCACGGCCATTCCCACGGCCCTGCCAAGCCTAGCACCAGCGCCAGCGCCAGCAAACCAGCAGCAGCTGCTGCGCCCGCACCCGCCGCAAGTGAGCCCGTCACTGAAGAGCAAAAGGTGAACGCGCAAGCCGAGAAGGAAAAGGAGCTGGGCACTGCAGCGTACAAGAAGCGCGATTTTGCGACTGCCGCAAAGCACTACACTGCTGCGTACGAGCTGGTGCCCACCAACATTGTCTACCTCAACAACCGTGCTGCTGTGCACTTTGAGAGCGGCGCCTACGACCTCTGCCTCGAGGACTGCGCAAAGGCGGTTGAAGTCGGCCGCGAAAACCGCGCTGACTTTAAGCTGATTGCAAAGGCGCTCTCGCGCGCCGGCTCTGCTGCCCAGAAGCAGGGCAAGCTGACGGAGGCGCTCAACTTTTTCAACAAGTCGCTTTCCGAGCACCGCAACCCCGAAGTCAACGAGAAGAAGCAGTTGCTCGAGAAGGAGATTGAGCTCAAGAAGAAGACCGACTACATTGATGTCGCCAAGTCTGCCGAGGCTCGTGAGCGCGGCAATGCGCTGTTCAAGAGCTCGGACTTTATCAACGCCATCGGCGAGTACTCTGAAGCCATCAAGCGCAACCCCTCCGATGCCAAGCTGTACTCCAACCGCGCTGCTTGCTACACCAAGATTCTCGAGCTGCCGCTGGCCGCCAAGGACGCTGACGAGTGCATCCGTCTTGATCCCACCTTCATCAAGGGCTATCAGCGCAAGGCGACCGTGCAGATTGCCCGCAAGGACTTTGCTGCCGCCATGGAGACGTACGACAAGATTAGCAAGCTCGAGGATCCCACTGCCAAGCAGATCGCCGAGGAGGGCATGGCTCAATGCCGCCAGGCCATCATGCGCAACCACAACAGCAACGAGAACGCCTCCGAAGAGGAGATTGCACAGCGCGCCATGGCCGACCCAGAGCTGCGCGAAATCATGGCCGACCCCGTCATGCGCCAAATTCTCGAGCAAATGACTGGCGACCCCGTTGCCGCTGCTGCCCACATGAAGAATCCCGAAGTCGCTCGCAAGATTCAAAAGCTCATCTCGGCCGGCATCATCAAGGTTCGCTGAAAAAAAAAACCCCCTGCAACGACGTTTGTGACAAGGGGGGAAACGGCTTTCTTGCCTTGGTCGTGCTAGGTCTTTGTTTTCATTCCAATCCAAATGTATGAATCGTTCTTCGTTCTTGCCGATCGTAATGCTTTGTCGTTTGTGTGTTTGTGTGTTTCATCAATACAAAAATAGCTTTCTTACCAACAACAAAGGCACGGCAACTTACTCGCGTAGTCAGCGTCGTTCCCACTTCGATGTTTGTATCTTGCCATCGATGTGAGTAAAGGTTGCCCTTCAAAAGGTTCGGTCCAATCTGCTCATACTCTATCGGACGTGTGTTTGGTAGTACAATACTTGACGGAATGTATCAATAACAACAGAACACTGAACAACTGTCATCCAAGACAAAGAAGAAAGAAAAAAACAGCAAGAAAATTACCAACGACCACCTCGAGAGCTGTCTTTATTGCGACGGCCATCATTGCGACGATCGTCGTTGCGGCGAGGGTTGTCCCGACGAGTGTCTTCCTTGCGCGCATCATCCCAGCGCTGGTGGTCAATGTCGGGCCGACCGCCAGGATTGTTTCCAGCGGCATTGTTTCGGAAGCGCTGGCTGCCCGGAGGGATGACGGCAATGTCCATGTAGTCGCCAATGTGGAAGTCGGTCGACCAGAGCGTGGAGGCATCGTCGTTTCCCTTGCGGCCAGGGGTAACGACGCCCAAATCGCGGTAGCTGGAGCGGCCGTGCTCAAAGTAAACACGGCGCAACGAGAAACGGGTATCGCGATCCGTGGCCGCCGGGTAAACGGAGCGAATGATGGTGGCAATCTCAAGAAGCGTAGCGTCTTGCCTGTTATACAAAATCACAATCACCGCGAGCGCCGGTGGTGGTTAGGAGGCGGTCGAGAGAGCGACGAGCAGATCGACAACGCAACGACCCACTTGCCCACCTCCACCCCACTTGGTCAATGAGCGCCTTACCATGTGTAGACTTGCAACTCGTCACGTGTTGGGAGTGCACCTGCGTCAAACTCGGCTGGCCTGATGGTACCACATCCACAACGCAAAACGAGCCGAGTTGTGTGTGAGCATTCGGCGCCAAGTCGTCCTGCACTTTGCACATCTGGAGTGGACAGTAACTAACTCACCTGTGGTGGTTGTGTGGCTGAACAAAGACGCGCAAGAGGAACGGGCAGAGCTGCCGTCGGTGGTCGAACACCAGAAACCGAAAGGTGAGCAGCAGCAGAAGACGCGAGAGATCTCAGCAATCACAACGCTAGCCAAGTCAATGGTCGAGATGACCATGCTCAGTACCTTCTCGCGGTCAATCACAGGGACCTCGTCCAGATTACGCGGCGGCTGCACCTGCCCTGCAAAGACGGACGTTTCGCCTCGGCGCGACATTTTACTAACAGAGTAAAAGCGGATGGGAAGAAGAAATCTGAGAGGACTGGACCTTGCGCTGAGACCGTGGGTAGCAGACAACAACAACACACAACAACAACAACAACAACACCAAAGACAAACATGACACAAACAAAGACCCCGGAAGCAGGAATTTCGTGAGGTCGGTGAACAACTAGCTGGAGCGAGAACGAAAGCTCAGATTTCTACTCATAATAACTGAAGAATCAGACAGCCCCAATGATCGACGTTCCGCTGCGTAACTGTCAAATACCCTGTCTTTTTTGCAGAGTAAACTGTGCATTGCATGTCCGATGAACGGGAGGCTCGCTTGGATGATGCTTCGAGGATTTCACTCTTCTAAAAAACCAACAAAACCAAAAAACTCTCGTTTGCTGTCATCAGTACATCACACAACGATGAGCCAGCGAACAGCACGGCTCAGTGAGGAGGACATGGACACGGCGGCAACCGCGACAACAGTGAGCAACGACCAGGAGCACCAGCATGAGCATGAGCATCAGCATGAGCTTGAGGAGTTGGCCTCGCCGCCAGCTGCTGGGCGACATGTGCGCCCCCGCTCCATGAGCAGCACACGGGACGAGGCGCAGCAGGAGAAGGAGGACGGACGGCCAACAACAGATCACAAGCGCACTCGCATCCGCCGCCCGTCGTCGTCGTCGTCGGACGATGAAGACGTGGAGCAGGAGCAACGGCAGCAGCTGGGGGAGGAGCAACAGCCAAACCAAGGCGAGACCACCATGACTCAGCTGCCGGTGGAGCAACCCGACACGCCCGAGACGCGCATGACAAACTTTCTCAGCTGGGCTCGCGACATGGCCGGTGGCGTGTTTGACAAGATTGAGCTGCGCACAACGGGACCGGAAGGTGACCGCGGGTTCTTTGCGACGTGCGACCTCGCGCCTGGGGACGAGCTGGCGTCCATGCCCATTGCCACGATTATCAGCGAGCAACTCGCATCGAGGTCGCCGGTCGGGATGGCAATGCTGAGCAGTCCCATGCTCAAGCGCCGCGGCGTGACTCCGATTCCCGGCCGAACGCTGATTTGCGCCTACCTCATTGCCAACCGGGGCAAGCTGGACTCGCCATTCTACCACTACATAAACATTCTACCACAGACTTACTCAGACCCGCTGTGGTGGAACGATGCCGAGCTCGATCACCTCGACGGCACAAACATTGGCGGTTACATCCAGGAGCGCCGGAACCAAGTCCGAAACCAGTTCCTGAATGTCTTTCCCGTCCTGTCTCGCGAGCAGCCAGCTCTGTTCCCAAAGGACGTGTTCACGTATGAAGCGTATCTGTGGGCGTTTTCGACCTGCTCCTCGCGCGCGTTTCCCCTGCGCGTCACAGTCAACCCAACCACGGGTGTCGAGTCGCACGCAATCGGCAACCCCATGAAGGAACCGTGCGTCGAGTGCCTGCTGCCGCTGTTGGACATGATGAACCACCAGTTTGGCGCATCCATCACTTGGTTTACCGACGAGACCTCCGTCCGCTTCTTTACTGGCGCAAAGGTGCGCAAGGGCGAGCAGGTGTACAACAACTATGGCCCAAAGAGCAACGAAGAGCTGTTGATGGGCTACGGGTTTTGTCTGCCAAACAACGAAGCTGATCACGTCAAAATTCAGCTTACCGTGGGCAATGATCCGGATGGCGAGGCCAAGCTGGCCATCCTGCGTTGGCACGGACTGTCGCTGACTCACTTTCTGCACAATCGCTCCGTCCCTGTGGAGCTGTTTAGCGCCCTGCGTGTCCTCGTGATGACACCTGCGGAGATTTGCATGTACTCGACCCCGCAGCAAGCAGACCTGACTGATCGCGTGTCCCTTGCCAACGAAACTCGCATGCTCCGCACGCTGAGCACATTGCTCCTCACACGTCTTGTGCAGCTGGGCGGGGAGTCCAGGGATGGCTTTGATCGTGGCTTGCTGCTGCAGCCCAGCCTGGACTATCACGTCCGATTGGCGCTCACGTACCGAGTCGGACAACGAAGCATTTTGCTCGCATGCTCCAATCTCATTGCGTGGCGAACGGCTCGCAACATTGAGTCTGTCAGCAAGGCGGCCGAAACTGATGGTTACTTGGTGCGCCAGGACCCGCTTCGGACGGAAGTGGATGCCGTTGCAGCCATGGCTGTGGTACAGTTGCGCGAGCGCACGCAGCCGCCCTTCCACTACACACTTGCGATTCCTCAGAACGGCATCGGAGCGATTGCCCAACATGGGTTTTCGCAATTGCTTCTGGCTTCTTCAGCGTGCATTACAAGAGCCAGCATTCGCGCTTCACGCTTGCTCCCTGGCCTGGACCATGTGGACGGCCTTGAGCCCGATGTGGAAATTGCGCTCTACCTTCTTGCTGAGCGCATGCGCAACTCGGAGTCGCCGTTCAGTCGCTTTATTCTTGCCGTTGAATTTCACTCCAGTGAGCTCACTCCGTTCTTGTCATGGTAAGAGCGGTGCTTTCTCGTTGCTGTGCTTGGTCGTAGGGGGGGGGTTTGGAGTCTTGATTTTTTTTTGCGTTTTGTTTTGACTGCTGCCAGTGCTGACTTTTCCATACATTTTCCTCCTCAACATAGCAAACCAGATTCTGCCATTCTCGCTCGTGCCTCCAGTGGTGCACGACGCATTTTCGACCCAGTGCTGCGGCCGTCCAGAGATTACGACGAGCTGTACGATGAATTGTTCCCTGCTCTCTTTCAAATTGACGGCATGTCCGACCTAGAGTCTGGCTTCACCCGTGAGCTCTTCCGTTGGGCCATGATGGTGGTGGGCTCGCTTGCAATCGATCTACCGCTGCACCCAGGCAGTCCTGCCGAGACCATTCTGCCGCCGCTTCTGCTCAAGCCGCGTCACTCGCACTTGGCGTGCACTGCGTTCGAGTCGCGATCCTTTTGTGTGGCGTTGAATGGACCCGCGGCCACGTCTTCGCACGAGCTCTACCTGAACTACAACGACAACGATCACTTGGCCCTGCTGGCGCGGCACGGACTTGTGCTCTCCTCAACGATTGCCAACCCAACGGACACTGTTGCGGTTCCGATCAGCTATCTATTCGATGCGGCTGCGAGTGAAATCGCGGCCGCGCGCCAGCGTGTTGCCAGTGGCAAGACCGCGTATCCGCCCACTTTGTTTTGTGACGACTGGCAAGACGCACCCGACAGTGGTTGGGACGCCACCACTGAGGATGATGAGGACGCAGAGGAGAACAGCGCTGCTGCAGAAGCTGACGAAGCCACGCCAGCTGGCGGGGCAGAGAATCTCCATTCTGTTCTGCGTCGCTTGCCAAAGTACATTTCCGACACTCTCGCGGCCTTTGGCTTTGATCCGGCACAGACGAGCCTTGTCCTTGGACGAGAATATGGTGCGTCGGGAGCACGATTTGCCACCAGCCCTGTCGCCATTCCGCTCAAGCTCAAGCAACTCGCCGTCCTCTTGTGTCTGAGTCGCATCCAGTGCTCCTATCTTCGGGAGCAGTTTGCTGAGGCATCGACCACGTACCGTCAGCAACGAAGCTCGGATGCCGTGTGCTTTGAACTTGGCTCGTCTGCCAACCCGCTGATGCTAAACGGCGTACCTGTGGGTTTCCGGGATCACTCTCCCTCCGATCCTGGGTACGGGCAGGCTGCCTCGCTCCAGACGACCGCCTGCAAGAACGAGGTGGCGCAGCCGGAGAGTAGCACTTTGGCCATGTCCATGCAAATGGATGAGGACAGTTTCGTGCTTGCGCCTGGTGCGTCTGCCCTTTCGCCCTCTGACCTGAACGGCGGAGCTGCTGCTTCTGCCGAAGCCCTGCCGACCACGACCATCTCGTTTACGTCAGTGTCGTCGCGAGACGAAGAAAACCCTCCGCATCTGTGCCCGCATGCTTTTCTTGCCGCCGTGCCGATTCCTGGTTACTTGAAGCGATTGGGCGCGCGTGCTCTGCAAGTGGCCCTCGCACGCATCCACACAGATCTCGCCGGATCATTGCAGCTCCTGGATGAACTTGCAATCGAACAAGGGTGGAGCACGGTGTGCAAAACGACCATCCAGACAATTTTGCGTGGCCGGCTTGAGATTGTGCGAGACGCGGAAGCTCAGCTTTCGGCTTAAAGTGTGGCGCTTAGTAGTGTTAGGAAGGGCTTGTGTTTGATGGAACGTGTGCTTTTGCCAGCCAAGAATCGAATATATTGAGGCTTTCGAGAACATTGGAGTGTCACAACAGCGACATGAAAGTCAGTGGAGGTCCGTTCGTTCTTGTGTAAGTGTGACGGGAGCATACATAGCAAGCAAAAACATGAGGAGAGCGAGTGAGGCGTGCGGGAGCGGGCCGGGGGGGGGGGAAACAACAAAAAAACGAGATAGGGCGGTCGAAATGAAACAATCAATGTTAAAGATCATCGGTATGGCTAGAGCTCGAAGCGACTGCGGCTCGGTGTGTAGCAATGGTTGCTGGGGCACCGTTGACGCGAATGTCATACCTGAATTGGAAGGGAAAGCAACGCGGAGAAGTGAGTGCGACTTATCATTCATCATCGCGATCGTGCTCCAACAGTCCAATCCCACTTACTCGAGAACAAAAGACGGAATATCAAGTTGATCGGGGCTGATAAAGTTGTAGAGATACGTCACATTTTCAATGTTGATGACCTTCTCCTTAATGTTGGAAGCGGTGAACGTGGTGAAGAACCAAGTCACGCACTTGGTCAGGAATGTGGGGTGCACAATGTAGATTGCTCGTGCGTTGCGCTTGTAGCTGCGAGGTGAGGGAAGTGAGAATGCGGGGGTGAGTGACAGAAAAAAAACCCAAAGACCTTTTACCAACGCGATGAGCAACACGTACCGGTGATCAACAATCTGATAAATTTGCTTCAGCCAAGAAAAATCGGGGTGGTTTTCAGAAGCCGTCTCGGTGTGAAAGTACACAAACACAAACTCGCGATTGGCAATCGAGTCCATCACGGTGATAAAGTAGGAAATCGCGCGCTCGAGGTCGACGCGGTTGGCCGGGAAGTACTTGCCGATGAAAAGCACCACAGGCCGGCCCAGCGAGTCGACACCAGACTGGTAAATCATGCGATACTTGGCGAGGTCTGTCAAGTCTTGCGACTTTGCGTGTTGCAGCCAGCGCTGGTACCGACGCGCGTTTTCGAGCTGGAGGAAATGAAAGAAATGGAAGAAATGTGAGTTCAAGAGGGAACAAAACAGGAAGGTCCAAATATCAAAGTACTGTTTTGGTGCACACACCTCTTCGGCTTCTGCTTGAGGACGCAGCTTCAATTGTTCGCGTCGGACTGCGTCGTGGTCGCCAGACATGGAGGTGAACGCCTTCGCGGATGCAACCTCTTGTAATACCTCGGGCAATTCAGCCGTATCGTGGGCCGAACCAAGAACTGTGTGCAAAGATGAGAATGCACATGAGTCGGGGAGATCAAGAACGACAGAGACCCAACGCGCAGCATCATTCGCTCACCGAGAGGAGTATCTACGATGCGGATTTTGCGTTCTTCAATCACAGGTTCACCAAACTCGTTGCCTGAAAGAGGGATCAAAAGGAAGAAGCAACAGCCATCGCACCAAAGTTGAGTTACACACGGAAAAGAAGACTCCGCCCCAAACTCCAGAGGGAAACAACCGACGATTCACGCACCAGTGTCCGCGGGAAGCTGGCTAATGGCAGCTTGCTCTTCCTCGATGGATCGCGGAAAGTACAGCGGCATGAGCGGGTCATAGTACTCGCGATCCCCAGGCTCGACGGCAAACACAACAAGATGAATCGCGTCGCCAAACTTTTCCAGATATCTCCGCACGGTGCCTGTCAAAAAAAAAAAAAAAAAAAACAAGCATGGCCCACGAATACCAGGTCACAATGAGAACATGTTAAAAGGACACACAACAACACCGGCTACAGGCCCCAACGTGTTCAACGCTCGGGGCGGGGGGGGCAGGGAAGGGACGTACGAAGAGCAATGTGAGCGCCAACTTCTGGCGGGAAACCGCGACGAACCGAGTTGATCACGCAGAGAGCAACGGTGTGAAGCTTGCTCTCCGCCATAAGCTGGAGGATGTTGCGATAGCAGTTGTAGAGCGCCGACTCGGCGGCAGTGCGGTACTTGACATTGTAGCGCGGACCGACCGTGTGGATGATGTGCTTGGCCGGCAGATCGCAGCCCTTGGAAAGCTTGGCCTCCCCGGTGCGGCAGCCCTCGAGGCGGTCGCACTCTGCCCTGAGCTCGGGGCCAGCGCGGGCAAAGATGTACTCACTGAGGGGATTCTTGTCGCGGAGTGCCTCGTTGGTCGAGTTGACAATGGCATCGACGCTCAGGGACGTAATGTCGCCCTCCCTGATCAGACACGAGCAAATGAGATGGCAAAGGCAATGGTAGTGAGTGGATGTGTGTGTCCTAGGCCAGAGCGAGTAGAGAGTGGCGTGGAGTGCAGCAGCACGAGGACCGAAAAGAAAAAGAAAAAACGGAGTGTCCGAGGCGTTGGACGAGGGAACCGCGACCCCCATCATCAGACGCGTCCAAACGCAAGAGTAAGCATTGTGTGCAGCCGCCTGGTGACGTCGAGAATGGGGCCGCCGCATCAGAGGGGGGAAAGCGAAAGGGAAAGGGACAAAGGGGGACGGTAGAATTGGAGTCAATGGAACCGCAAAGCCAGACGGCGAACAGTTCAATGGGGCTGCCTGTGTGTGTTGAGCATCGCACACCACCACCACCACCAGAATGGAACTTGCACTCCGATGGAAATCGCGATCTCTGCGCGCACAGAGTGCGACTTTTGAGCTCCGACTCTGAGCTTTTGGCCTTTTTTTTTTCCCTGTTTTTTTCGTTTTTTTTTTTTCCTTCATCTTGCACTTACCAGAGAACGACTTTGCGATTGATCTGCTCGTCAAAGACAAACTTGCTGGCCTTGCGCGAGGAGGTCGATGCTGCTGTGCTGGGTGTCGTCAGGGAATCCTGCCACACTGGCAGCGATCTCACTGGCACTTCAGGCTTGTAGACGTTCAACGGATCCATGCAAAGAAAAAAAAAAATGGACTGAAATGCATTAAGGCGAGCCATTGCGATTTTCAGACGATTGGATGAAGATCAAGCAAGCCTTGGTAAAGCACAAAAATTGATGAAATGGAATATGTGCATAGTGTTGCCCAAGCAAATCCGGTGCAAAGTCGAAACCGCGCACGAAACCGCGCACCGTCTGTTGATTGGAGCAGGAATTGGATAGCTCGACACCTTTTTCAAAGACGACACTTTGGCACAAGTGCAATTGCAACCAACATCGAGAACCATGGACCCTACACACAAACAAACATCATGGATTCTTAATACATCCAACGAAAAAATATTTTATAAAGAGAAACGAGCATTGGCTCATCGCATTCACGCAATATCGTTCACCAAACTCGACAACATCCGAAACGCCCGACCCACACGAGGCCCCTGGCACATTCTTCACGCGAACGATCATGAAATTAGGACAAAACTATATTTTACAGAAGAATACAACAGACGGAAGGCTTAAAACATGGGGATGATGTGCACACCATGCACCCAAAGACACCCAACTGACAATCCAATCATTTCCAAAGAACCACGCGCGCAGGGGCACCATCGGCACCAACCAAGTTCAGACACAAAGCGGCACACTCCCACCACCCCTCAGTGACTGCACCAAGGGACAGGCTCTCGATGACAACCACTCCCGAGCTGAGAAGAATTTTGTGTGCTGGCAAGGCCTCCAATTCCGGAGGATCCACCGACAGTCCATCCACACCCAACAAGACGACACCAGCCGAGGCAATCCATTGCGCCGCACCAGAGGACAACGCAACAAACGTCGCTGGTGGCGGCGGCGGCGGGGCAGTTGCGTCTGTTTGCAACAAGCCAGAAGATTTCAGTTTCTGTGCCATGTCCGTCCACGTCTCAGAGTTACGCGTCTTGATAAACAGGCGGCTGCCCTTGAGATCTGAGCACCCCAGACGAGCAACGGCAGCTCTCAGTTCGTCAGCCGAGATCTCGCTGGACTGGGTCGGGCTCTCGAGCGAAACGACAAGCACTGGCCCAACCAGCACGGAGGGGGCAATGTCGTGCACGGCCGTTTTGCCATCGAACAAGTGAAGCGGCGGATCAATATGAGTTCCGCAATGCGTGCTCATGCTCAACTTGCTCAAATTGTAAGTATGGCCGTCGCGAATGGCAACCTGCTGCGAAATTTCAACGACGGGATCTCCTGGCCACACTGGTGTGACACCTGGAGCAATTGGCAAGCTCACATCCAAGACGATACGGGATGCATCTGTAACGGAGAATAGACAGACAAGAGCAAAAGGTCACAGAGTACAATTGAAAGTTGTATTAGTATAAAAAACCACTTCGGAGCAGAGCATTCACATTGGGAGAAGAAAAAAAAAGCACAGGTTCACAACAGAAAGAGAGAAAGAGAAAGGGAGAAAGAGAGAGACGGGCACAGAGGGAAAAAGACAAAGGAAAGGGATAAAAAAAAAAGACAAGAGAGATAAGAACACAAAGAAAAAAAAAAACAAGACTGAATCAAAAGTTTTCACTTGCCGGCACGTGAGCGACCGCTCTTTTGCTTGCCGTTCTTGGTGGTGGCTTCTGTGGACTCGGAATGACCAGTGGCATCCACCTCGTCATCGGCAGCACTGCTGGGAATCGACGAGACAACAGCAGCGCTCGAGTGGGGCCGTGCGCCGCCGCCCTCGAGGAGAACAGAGTCCTCGCCGAGCAGCTGGCAAAGCTCACGCAGCCGACTCTGGGCCTTGGGAATGCCAGACAGCTGGGCCTCCAGCTGGCTCTTCTCTTCCTTGAGCGAGAAGCGAGCCGTGGCGTCGAGCTCGGAGAACTTGTAGCCGCCCTCGCCGTCAAACTGCAAGAGATGTGTGTGGAACTTCCAGAGCGAGGGGCGATGCGTGACGGTGAGCAGCGTGATGCCAATGTCCTTGGCGTGCTGGTACATCTGGCCTTCGACGTCAATGCTCACAGCGCTGGTGCACTCGTCCAGAAGCGCATAGCTGGGCTTGTGGTAGAAGAGGCGTGCCATGCCGATGCGTTGCTTTTCGCCGCCAGACAGCACATCGTGCCAATCGTTGATGGCATCCCAGCCGCCTTCGCGCTTGACAACGTAGCCGAGGTTGACCACATTGAGCACACCTTCGAGGAACTCGTCAGTACGGCCCTTGGCGCGCATGTCCTCGACGGTATCGGGGTAGATGACCTGCTCGCGCAAATTTCCGAGCGACAGGTAGGGCCGTTGAGGAATGTAGAACATGTTCGACCGCTTGGGGCGCGTCAGGGTGCCGCCATAGATGGGCCACAGGCCACCGAGCAGACGGAAGGTGCTCGACTTGCCGCAGCCGTTGGGTCCAGTGATCAACAAGTGCATGTGGGGGCGAATTTCAAACGAGAGCGAGCGCACGAGCACGTCGCCGTTCGGGGTCACGACAGGGATGTTGTCCAGCTTGACGAGGTCGTCGTGGCTCTCAATCACCGTGCCGGTGCCCTGAAGAATGGGGTCGGCGTGCTCGACATCGAGAGACTTGCGCTCAAAGTGGCCGCTTTCGACGTCCTTGAAGACGGAAACCATCTCGTGCACGCGCGCCGTGTAGCCCGCAAGCTCAGTCACCTCCTTGTACGACGACATGATGCGCTCAACGGCGTCGGCAGCCGTGCTGAGAAGCGAGCGAGCGGTCATGAACTTTTCAGTGCGCTCGCCGGCAGTCTCGCCAAAGCCTTGAACACTGGATGGCTTTGATGCGGCGGCGGCTGCGGCACCACCAGCACCAGCAGCAGCAGCAGCAGCAGCCTGTTGCTCGAGCATGGCCTTGCTGGCAAGGGCGGGAATGGCAATCATGCACATGCCGGAGGCACTCCAGACGTACTTCATGAGGAACTGCTCGAGCATGACATAGAGGATGCGCTCGCGATAGATGAGGTTGATTTGGCTGACCAAGGCCTGGTAGGCCTTGGCGAGGTAGCCCATCTCAATCTTGTCGCCGCCGTAGAAGGCAATCTCCTCGGCATGGGTGATGAGGCGGGAGTGGACATAGCGGAGGTGGCCGTCGCGGCTGGCCTGATCGGCGACGAGCTTGCCGAACGGAGGCGATGTGAGCTGCAGGATTTGGGCGGTGCAGCCGACAGCGATCGCAGCAATGCCAATGGGGCCGAACGTCGACTTTGCGCCAGCGGTCTGGACACCCAGACGAAGCAGCTGACCAGTCATCAGCAGCACGTCCAGGAAGGGCTTGGAGAGGTGCGAGTAGAGGTGAGCGAGGTGGTTGCAAAAGCGCGACACGTCCTCCGTCATACACTGATCGGCGTTAGCAATGCGGCCGTCGAGGTTGCCAATGCGATAGTACGTCTCGTTGTTCATGTACACGCGGTAGACGTGCTCCACGAGGCGCGAGCGGAAGGCGAGGGCCAGTTTGCTCTCGAGGAAGCGAATCATCGAGTTGATGTAGGTGGCGGGGATGGCAATGCCAATCCACTTGGTCAGTTCCCACAGGAATTGCCGACCCTCGCGCTCCACAATGCTCTTGACGATCGCGCCGTCGAGGGAGGCGACGTAGAGACTCAGGAAGGTGCGGACAACCAGGAAGGACGAGTGGAGCAGCAAGAGCATGGCCTCCTTGGAGCGCCACCCTGGCAGCACAATGCGCAGCAGGTACTGGAGTCTGCGGAAGAACTCGCTGTTGACCGCGACCCGGTTTTTCCGTCGCAGACTGAGCGCCTTCTTTTCGTCTTCCGAGAGCGACGCCATCAGAGCGCGGTGCGCCTTGGCGCGCTCACGGCGCTTCTTGACGACGGCAGCGACCACCGCGGCCACAACGCCGGCAGTGGCAATCTTGCCCTGCGTGCTGCCGACGAGTGCGAGGAGGCGCTTGGCGAGCAGTGCAGCTCCGGCCGAGCGGTTGCCCGGACGCACAGTGTCGGTCGTCATAACTTGGAAGAAGGTTAAGTTGGAATAAAAGGACTGTGATGATTTTTTTTTTTTTTTGCAAAGAACGAGGGGGAAGTACGGTGAGTGCAAAAAACCGACACGTTTGGTTCCGATGGAAAGAGAGAGAATGAGAGGATGAGAGAGAGGATGAGTGAATGAGCGTGTTTGAAGTGCTGGCAAAAACAACGTGACAATTGAAGGAGGACCGATCAAACTTTTGACCACCACCACCACAGAGCAGCCGAGCGAGCGTGTGTGGTGTCACTGGGTATGGATATGAAGAGGGACAAACATTCCGAAAACAGGTGTCACTGGGTATGGATATGAAGAGGGACAAACATTCCGAAAACACCTTCACTCACTGTGGAACAAAACAACCAAACAAAAAAAAAGATGCGACCAGCCGCGCGACTGCGTGATTTGTGAAGGACTGATTGGAAATGAGCCGCCGGAAGAAAAAAAACAAAAGGCTTTTTTTTTTTTTTTTTTTTTGGGTTTTGAGACTCAATCATGGTGAAGGAAGGGCAGCAAAGAGTTGCAGTGGAGCGAACGAGGTGGATCGCGATGTGACATCTACCGATAAGGATCGAGGCGAGGGAGAGGGGAGAGGGGAGAGGGGAGAAAGAGGGGAGAAAGAGGGATGGAGGGAGCAGGAGCTGGCAATGACAAGTGAGCGACTGTTACATGTGCAAAGTGTGGTGAACGCGTGCGGGTTTTTGCTTTGTTTGACCACGATCCGCAGCAAGGAGGAAGGAGCAAGACCAAGGAAGTAACAGGGAACAGAAGAGAACGAAGAAATTCGAGACGAAGGATGGAAAAGAAATAAAGAAAGAAAAAAAAAAAAAAGAAAAAAAGAAAAAAAAAAAGGAGAACTGGGAAAGGCCGAAAAAAAGAGCCGACGGCCGCTTTTGGTTGGAGCTCAACAAAAAGAAGATCAGATCCGAAAAGCAACGCTCATCACAGAGCTATTCTCTCAACAAAGGAAGCGATCAGCCAAAAATCAAGAACGCGGGTGGAATGGGACAAAACTGCGTTTCTTCAGCTCAACGCAAACGAAAGACGCTTCCGTTCGTGGCACGCTCAACGAGCATGAACTGTTCATCTTGAGCACATCCTCACCACCACTTTACAAAAAAGCAATGCTGCAGCGTTTTGATGACACGAGATCTACAAAAGTGGTAATCAGCCGTCCATTGTGAGGTCGGATCAGTCATCATTGCTCTTGCCATGCTACCAAACACTCGCGTAACCCCTCACCATCACTCTGTTGCCCCCCCCCCTTTCCAGAAAACAAAGAAAAAGCAACAGCCTACCTACCGACCTACCTACAAACTCATCACTGTTTCACATCTTTGGCTCCGCACAGGTCTCGTTCAACTTTGAAGTCCGCGATGCCCAGACGGGCGAAATCCTCGACACGACCTTCCGCGCAGAGGACGGCTCCAGCTCGACTGCGCAGCGCCCAAAGCACACGCTGCCGCCATTCACACTCCAGACTGGACGCGGATTCGCACTGCCGGAATGGGAGGACACGGTCTCTGCCATGGCTGTCGGCGAGCGCCGCGTGTGCAAGTTTGATGGAAAGGTCAGTCTGCACTGCAGTCCAGAAGAGAGACCCTCGGTCATTGTAAACGAAACAAATCCCACACGATGATGTTGCATCGAGTTGAAATCTCACTGTATTGAGATGAGGCGGGTTTTTTTCGTTTGTTTGTTTGTTTGTTTGTTTGTTTGTTTGCCAACACTGTTAGAATGTCACTACCGTATATGCTCAAATCTCGTCCCTGCTTCACGACCAGCGCAAGCACGCACGCAATCCACACGCGCAGCGACGCCGTGGAGTCGACGAGGATGACGGCGAAGATGAGGAGTTTGACACGGACGAGGAAAGCTTGGATGGAGAAGCAGAAGCAGCGCCGGTCGCCACTCAGAGCTACGTGCCGCACACATGCTGCGGTGCGGGCTGGGAGCGGCTGGCGGAACAAGCGGAAGACATGAGTCGGTTCAAAGGCCGCGATCTCGAGTTTCAGTTTGAGGTGCTTTCTGTTCAGCAGCCGGGCGAGTACGAGCCTGCCGACTGGGAATTGTCCCTGGACGAGCGGGCGGCACTCATTCCACGCCTCAAAGATGCCGGCAACGCTGCAATGGCACATCCCGAGACGTGCGCCGTCGCGCTGGCCAAGTACGCGCGGGCACTGGAGCTCGTGTCGGATTTGAAGCTTTCGTATGTGCAGCGCGAGCGGTTGGAGCACCATCACGCGCACCAGCCTTCTAGCGCTTCTAGTGCTTCTAGTGCTTCTAGTGCTGCCGTCTCCGATCCGGCTCAGGCAACCACTCCTGCGGCCTCTCTGCCAGGTGCGAGTCTTGTCATTGCACTCGCAAGCAAGCACCGCCCGGTTCAATCGCCGCTACTGGAGCTTCCCGCCAGCCTGCTGCGGCTTGACGGCGAAGCCTTCGCAACAGAGCTCCCCTGTCTACTAAATTCGGCCTTAGCGTGTCTCAAACTCAAGCAATATGAAGAGGCCGAGCGACACGCCGACAAGGCGCTCACGATCGACCCATCCAACGTCAAGGGGCTCTATCGCCGCGGCCAAGCGCGTCTCCTCCGTGGTCGGGATCCAGAGCTCGCTCTGCAAGACTTTGAGAAGGTGCTTCTTCTGGACTCCAGCAACGCCGACGCCCGCAAAGGCAAGGAGACGGCTCTCCAAATTCTATCCAAATCTGCCAAGCGGGAGCAGGCCATGTATTCTAAAATGTTCAAATAGACTGAGAATGAGGTGTTCATGTGCAGTACTGTTTTTGGGGAATTGGGGGTGGGGCAGGGAGGGTTTAGTTCAGTCAAGCTTTTTTTTTTTCGGTGGAACTATGGACAGTATCACTCCCAACGCAGCTCTGTCCGAGGACGAGAGCAAGGTTGTTTTCGAGCTGCATGCCATTCTGAAAACCGTCCATCGATTGTACGTGAGCAGCCGCAGCCGCAGCCGCAGCAGCAGCACTGAGCTCGAAGGAGGAATCAAAGAATTGGGTTTTGGCGGGAAAGTCCAGAACGTCCAACCGCTCACTTTTTGGTGTTTCGGGGCTTACTGCTCGACTCTTCCTGTCTCTGGCTTGGTAGGAATGACCAGCTACGCCGCATCGAGAAACTTACACACCCTGGCAGCGGCGCACTCGCAGCCGAGCAGAAGGCAGCGATCGACTCCATCTCGACTTCATGGAGGCCCCTGTTTGACGTTGCCCGAGATGTTCTGTCCCAGCCTGTTGCGCCCGAGTCGGCCGCAAGCACGTTGGCGCCTACCGCCATGATGTCATAGGCAGCAGGCAGCTGCCAGTTGCGGGCCCATCCGGTTGCAGTTCGATGAATGCATTTATTTAACGCTTTTTCTATGCAGGCGACAACTTGTTCAAGCACTACGCATCTCGAAGCTGCTGGGTGGCGAGACGATCGCAGCTGCATCAGTACAAGTTGAATGACACGAGACACTTGATCACACTGATGCATGGTGCACGATGGAGGATTCGGAAACCGAATGCACGACGTTTCAGCTCGACTTCCCCGCTCCATCTCCATGGCATTTTGTTCTGTCAATCTCGGGGCGCCCCTTGTTTGTGTGTACTTGCTTTCTGAGCCGAATACAATCCAGTTCAGGTTCGTTCAGTCCTGGTTCGCTTTTTTTCGCTTCTCTTGTTGATCCATGCAATCCATCACTGGCCTTTCCCGGCTCTCGTCGCGCGTCGCCTCTGCAGTGCGTATGGGCGCTGCTCGCCAGCAAAGCCGATCCTTCCACGCCAGCCGCGCCGCCCATGCAGCTGGCTTCAACTTTTACCCCGACGTGGCCCCTGCTGAGCTCGGTGAGAGGATTTGACGCCAAACAAACGTTCAATGAGCCGATCGTTTTCCTTGCCCCCCCCCACTCTCGCTGCTCCCTTCAACCCATTAAAGCAACAACCACAGCAAACGATGCTCTTGCTCACACACCGCCCAAGCCAACCGAGTGAACAAAACGAGTCAAACGCAGCAAAAGCACAAAAAAAAAAAAAAAAAAAAAAAAAAGGATCTCAACCGTGATCATTGATTGTCCCCCTCAGTTCAACGGATGGTTGTTGGAGCTCACACTGCCTGTGGTCCATCCGCAGTCCACTGCCATCCAAAACGTGTGCATGTCGGCCCTATTCACTACGAGCGGCCTTCCCTCCCCCACACTGTTGCGCTGGAGTGCAGAGTGCTGAAGCATTTGGGGGTTGGCTGGTCACGCTTTGACTCCCCCTTTCCCTTCTTGCTCTTTGACCATCACTCCTACCTCACTCTCATCACGATCACGATTCACAAGGAACACCAACGATCTGATCTGTGAGCGTCATTGACTGGGCACAAGGCACATCAACGACCCATGGGGCCTTTCGTGACAATCTGCATGCGGTGAATCCATACTCATCTTGCTTTGGTCGTCTCGTGGCTTTTGGCAGGCGAAACCAAAAAGATGAACTTGTACCAGGCCGTCAACGATGCCATGAACATTACTCTTGCCACAGACCCGACATCCGGTGAGATCAAGTGGCTTCGTTTCGTTTTGTGTTTGGCTCGAGCTGCTGGCACGGTTGCTCACCACCCGTCTTGCTTGATTCGTTTTTCTGCTCAACCACAGTTGTCTTTGGTGAAGACGTTGCTTTTGGCGGTGTCTTCCGTTGCACGCTGGATCTGGCCAAGCGACATGGTATGACTGCGGCAGTAGTCTGTCTCCCTTGAGCCCTCTGACCTCATCTCACTCTTCATTGCTTTGCCATCCCAACAATCCAACAATGTTCAGGCGCGGACCGTGTCTTCAACTCGCCCCTTTGCGAGCAAGGCATTGTCGGCTTCGGCATCGGCATGGCCGCAGCAGGCGCGACCGCGATCGCTGAGATTCAGTTTGCGGATTACATCTTCCCGGCCTTTGATCAGCTTGTGAACGAGGCTGCAAAGTACCGTTACCGCTCTGGTGATCTCTTCAACGTCGGCAAGCTCACAGTTCGCGCACCCTGCGGCGCTGTCGGTCATGGTGGCCACTATCACTCCCAGAGCCCCGAGGCCTATTTTGCACACACTCCTGGTCTCAAGGTGAGTCGTCCGCCCTGTTTGCTGCCCTTGCAATCCTTACTGCCCGCGAATTCTCACCCATGCTTGTCTCGCGACTACGATGCATTTTTGTATTTTTTGTGGTGGTAGGTGGTCGTGCCGCGCAGCCCTATTCAAGCCAAGGGCTTGCTGCTTGCGGCCATCCGTGACCAGAACCCCGTTGTGTTCTTTGAGCCCAAGATCATGTACCGAACGGCCGGTAAAGCCCCCACACTCTCAGATGTGTCGCTGAATGTCGCCATTGTTCATCCTGCGGTGCACTGATGAACCATTTTTTTTTGGTTGGGGTTGTTGTTGTTGTCGTCCATCAACTCGAAACCAAACGCAGTCGAGCAAGTCCCCATCGGTGATTACACTCTTCCTCTATCGCAGGCAGAGATTGTCCAGGAGGGCTCAGACGTCACACTTGTCGGTTGGGGCACTCAGCTGCATGTCCTTCGCGAGACGGCCAAGCTCGCCGAGGAGAAGCTCGGTGTCAAGTGCGAGGTCATTGATTTGCGAACAATTATGCCGTGGGACGTTGACACGATCGAGAAGGTACCCCCCCTCCTTATCAAGCTTGCAAAACTCGTTGTCTTTTGTATGCTTCATTGTTCGTGCTCGTACTGATTCTCTGCCACCACCATTTTCTGCTTGCAGTCGGTCAACAAGACTGGCCGTCTTTTGATTGCCCACGAGGCTCCCTTGTCAGGTGGCTTTGCAGGCGAGATTGCCAGCACCATTCAAGACCGCTGCTTCTTGCGGCTCGAGGCGCCTATTCAACGCGTGTGCGGCTGGGACACTCCTTTCCCGCTCATCTTTGAAAAGTTCTACATGCCCGATACTCTCCGTTGCTTCGAGGCAATCAAGAAGATGATTAACTACTAAGGAGGCCTTCTCCGATGCATTGCTCTCCGAGAATGTTTGGTTGTTGTTGTTGTGGTATTAAAAACTCTGAAAACAAACCCAGTTTTTCGATCCAGCGTTTGCACTTTGACCATTCCAGAACAAACTCACTCCAAAACTTTTATTTTTTTGCGTTTCGTGTTTCGTGTTTGCGATGTGTGGGCGCGCAGCGTGTGCATTGGTACGATCGATCCGCTTGCTCGCCCGGCCTATTCTGTTCTATTCGATGCTCGCGCTCACCACCATTCTCCTCTTTGTTGCACCACTTGCCTCTTCCAGGCTCCTCATCGGTTGCAGCAGGCGACTGGCGTGGCGAGCTCCGACAACTGGGCGCAGAGCGACAAGTATCGACCATCGTACAATGTCGGACCTGGTGAGTTTGTCTGTTGTCGTGCGTTGGGGGGGGGGGGTTCCATCTCTCATTCATTTCTTTTGGAGCCCAAGCGCATGTCGGGTGGTGTGTGCCTGTGTGCCTGTGTGCATGGTCGCCGCGGTGTTGCAGTGTCGCGTGTTTGTTTTTTGACGCAATGATGGAAAACTTGCAAGCTTTTTTTGTTTTTTTGGGTTTTTCCGTTCTTCTGCCTTGCAACCTTCTTGATGCAAATGACTCTCATGATTGCAATGACACGGTTTTTTGTGCCATTCACACTCAATGAAATTGTCACTGATTGTTGGTGGTGGTTGTTATGATTCTTATTTTATTATTTTTGTGCGTGCAGGTCGCTTCCAACCAGTCATGCTCGCCTCAAAGCACAACCCAGGCACGCGCGAATTGCGCTGCATGACATGGGGCCTCATCCCGTCGTACACCAAGCAGCGCGGCGATTTCTCGACTCTGCTCAAGACGATCAACGCCCGGGCAGATCGCCTCCAAGAGAGCGGTGTCTATCGCCGCCTCGTCAACAAGAAGCGATGCGTCCTCCCGGTGACTGGGTTTTTCGAATGGCTCAAGAAGGGCAAGGACCGCATTCCGTACTTTATGTTCCGCAAGTCTTGCGCGACTGTGGCCAATCCGGAAGAGTTTCAGCCGCTGTTTTTCGCCGGCCTGTACGACGTGTGGTATCCCGACACTCCCCGCAACCCGCAAGGTGAGTGAGATTTGCCAATGTTTTGGTTTCTTCTTGTGATAATGTATGCTAAACTTTGCCACGGCTACCCTGGCTTGACAGAGAATGCTCCTCCGCCGACCCAGACCGAGATCGAAGAGACCGATCTGCACCTCGGACAAGTCGACGACGACGACGACGACGGCGACCACGAGGCAAACGCAGCCGATGCGGAACACGAGCCGGAAGCCGAAACACAGCACGAACCGGAAAGCGATCAGAAACCAGACATCCAGAAACCAACGCCGGAATTCAGCTACACAATCATCACCGTGGACAGCGATCCCGATCTGCGCTGGCTGCACGATCGCATGCCCGTGATTTTGCAATCGCAAGAGGAAATCGATCAGTGGCTCAACCCAGACCTCGACTTTCGCGCAGTCCAGCACCTCTTGCGGCCGGCACACAACTTTCTGCAATGGTATCAGGTTCCTCACGATGTCAACAAGGTCGGCAACGATCTCCCCACCAACGTGCGCCCAATCAAGGAAGCCAGCAAAATCACCAGCTTTTTCAAGGTCCTGCCATCGCCCAAGAAACAACAGGCATGTGCATCCGAGTCCGAGTCGTTCGCAGCGTCCCCAAGCAAGCTGCAGGCCAAGCTTCCCGCGGACGCGGCCGAGTCGAGCGGAGCTGCTTCCTCGACAGAAGAAGCGCCCGCATCACCAGAAATTGTCTATTCCCGGCCTCCTCGACCCGAGAATGCAGCGTTCAAGCGATCATTGTCCACCTCGGCCGACAGCGACAGCGAGCACGAAACCGCCAACACGCAGCTCATTCCGCCTCCCAAACGCGTTCATCTCGACGCTTCTCCAGATCGATCTCCAAAGCGCGCCTCGCCAGGCAAGTCTCGCAGCCCGCGGAGCGCACGGCGGTCGCTTGTTGGGGAGGACCCGTATGCGGACAACGACAACGACGACGATTATTCTGATCAGCATTCCGCATCCGCCGAAGAAGTTTGCGTTGTCGACGAGGCTGCGATGAGCGAGCTGCAAGCGATGGGATTTCCCGAAGAGGTAGCGCGCCACACACTGCTCGCCTTTAACAACGACCTTCCTCGCGCAATCAATTCGCTGCTGTCCGATTGATGTTTGCATGAGTTTGCTCTCAAAATTTCTTGGTATTTGCTCTGAATGCACATGTACATACACACTTGAAACGAAACAAAAAAAAAAACCCAAACAAACAAACAAAAAACCGAAACCAAACAAAAGCAACAAGAACACAACAAACAACGAGAACACAACAACAAACAAACAATCAACCCCTTTCCAAAAACAAACAAACAATCAACCCCTTTCCAAAAACAAAGAAACAAAAACCGACATCAAAAACAAGATTGGGCGCCCAAAAAGGATGTTCTCTAGACAGTACTCGCTCGTACCTGCAACGCAACCGCAGCAAATCACTTTTTGCCGCGCGATTTCGCTGTGGTGACAGGTGGAGGAGGGAGTGGAGGGGTTGGCATGGTTGCAGACGCCCCTGGCGCGGGTCCACCTTGAGCAAACTGCGGTGTGTAGAATGGCGGCGCGCCTAGGTTGATGTGCGGGGGCAGGGTGGACCCGGCCTGTGCATTTGCCAGTTCAGCAGATCCGAGATTGTACGAGGGGAAATAGCCTGCGCTTCCCAGCGCGCTGCCAAACGGCATGGACGACGCGGAGAGCGGGGCTGGTGCAAAGACAAGGTTGGGTTGCCCGTTTAAGGTTTCAGGGTGCGGGACGTAAGCCGGTGGAATCAGAGAAAAAGGCTGTTGCTGCTGCTGCTGCTGCTGCTGTTGAAAGTTGTGGAGTTGTTGGAGGGCGTCGTTCGAGGTGGCTTGTAGTTGTTGGATGCGGTTGGCGGAGATGGTGCTATGATGCTGCTGCTGCTGGGATTGCAGCGTAAAGTCTTGTCGAATCTGGTCCGTGGCTGCGCGTTTCTGGTCGAGGGATTGTATTCCGTCCTGCGCACACAAAAACCAAAAAAAAAAACAAAAAACGCCAAGTTAGTGACACGCACCAACAGTACGTCGCAAAAAAAAAAATTGCACACACAAAAGTCGCCGCAAAAAAAAAAACGCTCCCACCACATGCACGTCACATGCTCTAATCAGCCTGCTCAGTGCAGATTTGTTCTCCGTTTCTCCCCACTTCAATGCACGAGGGCTGTGCGCGTGAGAAAATTTGACACGCCGAAATGTCTAAAAATCGACCTCGATTTTTTTTTTTTTTTTTTGTTGTTTGTTTGTCTTTTCCAATCAAAAAAAGCCCACAAACCTCGCCATCGGTGTCCGAGTCGGAATCGTCGCGTAGGGAAGAGTCGCCGCGTGCCCGGGCTTCCTTCTTGGCAATTTGCTGCAAACACAGACAAAACCGACCCCGCAAAAACAGCCATCGAGGAACAAGGTACCAAAAAAGTGAGCCAAAAGCACTCCAAACAACAGCCACTGCCTTTTTTTTTTTTTTTTTTTTTGGTTTGGGTTCGTACCGCAGCGAGATCCTCGTTGGTCCTGCTCTCGTGTGGCTCACTGTACTCGGTGTACTTGAGCAGGATGTTGTCCATGTCCTGGCTGGCGTACTGGAAGAGGCGGTTTTGGTTGCTGAAAATGATGAGGGCGATTTCGCATTCGCAGAGGACGCTCAGCTCGTAGGCCTTCTTCATCAGACCCAGCTTGCGCTTGGTGAAAGTGACCTGGATTGCGCGATGGTGGGGGGGGGGAGGCGAAGTGCAAGGGCGCGAGGTGGTGGAGTCCAACATTGATCCAGCAGCAAGGTTGGTCAGTCAGCAACCAAATGAGACGACGCATTTTTCACTGTGGCTTGGGTGTGTGGTGCTTTGGTCCATCAGCACACACACGCACCGACACACAAATGCACACGCTTCGTAGCACGATGCGAATGGGAGAGGGAATGGCGTCGGTGCGACACAAAGCCCCCGCTTCTTTGTCTGGTTGCTCTCGTTATTCGGTCGCATTACCTGTTTGCTTCGGTCGTCGAAGATTGGTTTGATTTGAATACGCTTTCGACCCATATCAACAAAGGAAAAAATGAAGAGTGAATTTTCAACAAAAAGAAGGAGTGGGACGTTGGTTGTCATGTTGTTACTTGAGTTGGTCACACAGAATCCAACAACAACAACCAAAACCGAATTGGATGGAGCAAATGTTCGGAAAATGACGAAGCTCAGATTGACATGCAGCAAACGAACAGAGTCGAGCAGGTACAAGTCAATCACACACACAAAGTAGCAACAGTGACACACATCTCACAAGAAAACAAACAACACAAAAAGAAAGGAGAAATGGCAAACAAACGAACACCAGCCGTTTCCCTTCATTGGACCTTTTTCGCATTTTGCTTGGAGCCACGCTTGACAGCGGATTTGGTGGAATCAGCATGAGCATGCGCAGGTGCAGGAGCGGACTTCCAGAATTGAATGTTGGCGTCCTGCAGGGACTGCTTGAAGTTGCGGCCAATTTCGGGAATCCACACCCGCTTGAGCCAAGCGTCGTCCGACTCTGGTGCAAAAGTGTCCAGGCGGAGGCCAATGGCAACGGCGCTCATGAGGACAAACACGAGGGGCAGGACAAAGACCATCTCCGCGGGCACTGAAGGCGGCAAGTGCACCAATCGGCTGTTCAGCGTTTCGGCCAGCGTGTGCCAAAAGTCCAAGCCAGACCACAGCTGAGCCACGTTGGAAATCAACCCAGCATCGTACAGCAGAAACACAAGGGTCACCGGCACCGCGACGAGCAAACGGAAAATTTCGAGCAATGCGGCTTGGCGGGTGCGATCAAACAGTCGGCCCGCAAGCGTCACGCCGAGAACCACGAGAGCAGCCAGACCGACCACAGAGTAGTACGAAGGGAATCGCCGATGCGCGACCAGAATGACAACGCCGACCGCAAGGCTGACGAGGTATTGCACGCCGCAGTACGCTGTTTCAAAGGTGGGGAGGCGCGAGTCGTACTTGACAGCATTGTAGGGGGTGGTGTCTGGCAGAGGATACTCGCCGCCAGTCTTGGGGTCCCAGCCAGGGGGCCCGAGGAAGCACCAAATCTTGTCGGTGACGGACGAGCAGGTTGAGGCCTTCTCAGCGAGCTTGCGCCAGATGGCAAACTGCGACTCGAAGGGATTCCACGAGGCCATCGGCGTGACGTGTCCAAAGATTGGGCGGACATCCTCATCCTGCCATGTGCCGAAAATGCGGTCCCAAATGGTAAACACTTCGCCGTAGTTCTTGTCAATGTACCAGGAAGGAGCGCCCGCATGGTGCACGCGATGGGCGGGCGGCAGCACAAAGATTGTCTGGAGCAGGTACGGCTTGCCAACGAGGCGCGTATGCGTAAAAAAGCCGTAGATTTTGGACATTGGGTAGACAATGGCGAAAATTTGCGGGTTGAAGAACAGGGCGAGAGGAGCAAAGAAGGGAGCAGACGCCACGGTTTGCAGCGCACCTTGCGCCAGGTTGACGCCATAGTTGAACTCGGACGGCGCGTGATGAACACCATGGATGGCCCACAGGGCTGCGCAGCGATGCGACGCGTAGTGGAAGACATAGTAGGCAAAGTCGCGCGCCAGAATCGTGCCAATCCACCCAGCAGGTCCATCAATGTCGGCAATACGATAGTGATCGAAGATGTAGGCATAGGGGACCATCGCGACCAGGGTCAAGCCGGCAAAGTTGGCCGCGACGGAGATGAACATTTCGAGCAATTGCTGCATCATTCCGGTGCTCATATCAAACACGAGCTCGGACAGACGGAAGGTGCCTGGGCGCACGAGGATGGAAACGACAAACTCGCACGCGATGGCCGTGAAGAAGATCGGAATACCCGCATGAACAATGGACGTGTTGGCAGCTGGGGCACGATTCCTCCGCCTTCGGCCAGAGTAGCATTGGCCTTTGCATCCTGCCACGCATTGTAGCCGTCCATCACGTGTCGCAGCCACAGCCACTCCACGCCGAGGTACGCGATGCAGATCAGCGTGGCGAGCACGCCCGGCTCGGCCTCAGTGTAATCGGCGGCGGCTTCTTTCGGCGTCATTGCGTAGAGTTTGCGGGTCTCCTCCACCGTCGTGGTGCCCTTCCGCGCGCGCGCATTGAGACTGGCGCCACGAACCACTCCTGCTGCTGTTGCTGCTGCTGCTGCGGCACTCGCCTTCTTGTCGCCTGTGCGGACGCCGGTGGCTTGCGCACCCGTCGATTTCGACATTTGTTGGCGGAATTAATAAAACAAGAAATGATCCGCCCCGAAAAAAAAAAAAAAAAAAAATCAAAACAATGCGAAAATGTTTGATCTAAAAACAAACAATTTTGATCTATTTGTTTTGTTTTCTTCAACTTCACAGCAGAAAAAAAAGCTTCAACTCGACGTCTCTGTTCAGTCATGCAAAAAAAAAAGAGTACAAGGAGCACAGGGGCAAAACAGGCACAAGCAAGAACACAGGGAGAAGGCGGGGGGGGGGGCATCAACATCAATCAACAACGACAACAATCGACGACAACAACAAGAAATCACAACATGTGGGAATGCTCCCGAAAAATCTTGGAGGGAAGCCTGAAACTTTACATGGCCGATTGCACCTCGCGATGAATCCGAGCACCGACACTCTTGACTTGCGCGAGTCGCTCTTGAATGCGAGTTTTGTGCGCAGTCACGAGCTCCAAGGTCTTGACAATAACAGCATTGCACTCGTTCTTCTCCTGATCACACTGGGCGAGGGCCGCATCAAGCCTGTTCACAAACAGCGCAGTTTAGTTCCCAGCGTAGACTTTGGAGCCCTACACAAGCCAAACACAACGCCACACGATGAACGTACTCGCTCTTGGCCTTCTTGACTTGCCGCTCGCTTTCCATCAAGCCTGCATTGGCGCCCATGCGCAACTGCTTTAGCTGCTGCTCGAGTTCCAAGATGACATCCGACTGCTCCTTGTACTCATGCAGCAGAGCCTGTCATGGATGTTTTTTTTTTTGGGGGGGGGGACGATGAGCACACTTTGAGATGATTCCAATCAAACGGCACGTCCCGCAGTAATCACCCCAGACCAAACGCGACTCACCTCCTTTTCGGCGCGCTGCTCTTGCTCAATCTTGGCGGCTTTGCTCTCCAGCACATTCACCTCGGTCTCACGCTCCGTCACCATCTCGGCTTCCTGCTCGAGGCGCTCCTGGCAGCTTGCCAGTTGCTCGGTGGCAAGCTGATGTTGCACGGTGAACTTTTCGCGCAGCCGGGTCAGCGCCGGGCGGGCATGCTCGTTAACGTCCACATTGAGCACGCTGTGTGGGTTTGAGCCGTTCATGTTCAGTTGGATTTCAAAGTCCACGCCGTCGGCGTTGACAGCGTCAGTGGGAATGATCATCAATGTTTCTGCCAGCTTGTTGTAGGCCGAGATCATTTGCTCCATCTGAGTTTGTAGCAGTTTGGTTGTTGTTTTGTTTTTGGAGAGAGATGTGGTCAGTGAGAAATCATCAACGCGAAGGCTACCAAAATGAATAAACCAGATTTTGCTGTTTTGGTTCGCTTTGCCTACCTCTGCAATCTTGCGAGTCACTTGCATTTCGCGCTCCCAGGCAATGCGCTCCATCTCCTCGCGCGCAACTACCGCAGCGCGGAGAGCTTCGTCCACCTGTTGCCGTTCCTTGGTGATGCGCTCAACATCCGCCGGGCTCATATCTTGTGCGTCAATTTGCGCCTGCAGCTGCGCGCGATCTTGATGCAACTGGTCGAGTTCGCGCTTGGCGGCAGTCACTTCTTGAGCGTGGTCGTCCAACTTGCGCTCGTTGGCCACCTTGTGTTGTTCCAAGTTTTGCACATACTTGAGGAACTTGTCCTTGTCCGACACCATCAGCTTGCGGCGCGCCTCGATCGCTTCCAGAGGCGACTGCAATCATGATCGGAAGCAAAACATACGCGGTCGGAATAGATGTTAGCATAAGACAACAACAATGAGCAAGAGAGGACAGTCTAGTGTCTAAACTTTGAGAGGAGTCTTACAGGTTTGCGGCTTTCCTCAATCTCGGCAAGGTATGCATCCTTTTCTTGGGTGAGACGCTCCACATCCCGGTCAATCATCACGTTTCGTGCATCAAAAGTGTTGGCCAATTCGGCGCGCAAATCGTCATAGTTGTCGCTCCCTTCGAGGAAGGACACGTAGGCGCGCGACAGGTATTCGAAAAAGATTTGGTTGTCGCTTCGGAGTTCTTGATCAAACCCGTCGCCCACCGATGGGAACAGGCATGCCATGGGATCGACAGACATTGAGTACTGTCAGAAAAACCGCGTGAGTCGCTTTTCGCTCGAAGAACAACAATAACAAGACGGAAGAAACAAAAAAAAATTCATTTGTCTTTCACGTACTGTCACAAGCTCGACAAGCCAGCTCAGGGCACCTAACAAAGTGGGCCATGTATGAGGAGATCCGACTGCGAAAAGGCTGCTCTTGCTGATGGTGAATGGATACCTACAAAAAACAAATCAAAAAACAAAAAAACAGAACCAAAAACAACAAAACCCACAAAAACAAGAAAGGTCAGCTGCTCGTGAATCCTTGCTGTCGAGCCATCACCACCAAACGATACGTATTGCATAATACACACTTCATGCGCTTGAACAACACTGGAATTTCATCTTCAAGCTTGCCAGCAAACGGGTAGCTAGCGTCAAGATGGGCATAGAGGAACTTGAACATGCGCTGAAAGTCGGTCACACTGGGAGACGAGAGCATCTTAACGTTAACGGCGGTGCTGTAGCCGTGCTGCGTCAAAAAGCTCATCAAGTTGCGAATGCTGTCAGCCATGTAGGTTTTGTCGCTGAGCGGGCGCGGGTCCTTGACGATCGACGATGCTGGCTTGTCAAAGATGCTCGAGCGACTGTGATGGTTTCATAAGTTTGCATTGAATGAGTGCGTGTGTGATGATTGGTTTTGATAAAATGAAAAAAAAAAACCAAGAAAAAAACAACCCAAGAAAAAAAAAACGCAAAATAAAAAACGCAAAATAAAAAAAGCGGAATCGAGGTTTTTGACAGCGCGAAACAAATTTCAAACTGTCAAACGTTGAACAGCCTGATTGAGATATGCCAGAAAGCCAGTTTCCGCCAACAGGCCGAAACAAACAGAGTCGAGCATGGCAACAGAACAGAGGCAGAAGGCAAAACAGGAGAGGGAGGCAGGAGGAAGGATGAAAGAAGGGACAGAGCGAGCGGGAAACCGCCAACCAAAAACAAAAAATCGTTTCAAACCGTTTCAAACGGTTTGTTTGAAAATCGAACAAGAAAGCAAGAAAAACACCTACCGCGACAGGGATGTGCGTGGTTGGGTTGCGCGCTCTGCACCAGTGCCGAGTCCGAGAAACGCGTTGGCATTGCCAATGGAAGTGCGGCCAGTGATGCTCTTGCGCGAGGACTTTTTGGCAGAGTTGCTGAAGGTCGGTGCCAGAAAGTTGCCGCCGCCGCCGCTCTTTGTCGGCGTCTTGGCCATGAACGCCGAGGCTGCGGGCGCTGTAAACACCATGCCGCCAATCATGGATGTATTGCTAGTGTAGGCGCTGGTGGAGGTGTATGCAGCGGCATTCGCAGCGGCTGGCGGGGGCGGCTTGACCATCGAGACGCGTGAAGCACCCAGCGACGCGCGGCCTCGCATAATGTTCGTGTCGTTGGTGGACACGGCTCCGAGCGTCTGGCGGCGGCTCGAGCTGCTCATTGAGGAAGAGGTTGACGAGGTCGACGAGAAGGCGCTCATAGTTTGTTGTTCAGCCTGAAGTTGGTTTGAAACCGAAACCGTTTGGCGAAACGCAAGTCAAAAAAAAAAAAAAAAGAGAAACACAGAAAAAGTTGGAATGATCCGGCGTCAAAAGGAGAGCTGATTTTTGTTTGGCAGATTTGTTTTTCTTTGTTGCACGCTGAGACTTCAATCGAAATGGGGGTCGAGATGGACGAACAGGGAGCTTTGTTTGAGGCAAGTGTTTTTTGCCGTTTTTGTTTTGAGGTGTTTTTGCAATCCAGTGCCAAGCCCCAATCTCCCCGCTACGGAATTTCCAATCCCCACCATGCGTTGTTTGCAGTGGTTCACTTGCCTCGACTGCGACCGCCGGGAACGAGCTGCCTGAATGCAAATTTTGCCAAATCACCAGTCGGACGAACATCTTGCATCTTGCTCCGCCTTTTTGCAGATCCAAGTCCTCGCAAGTTCTTTTTTGTGTGCTCCTTTATTCATTGCGTGTGTGATCTACAGTTCGAGGTGAATCCAATCCATGACATGGACATTTTGTATTTTGGAATGAATCAAATAAATTGTAGTCCTTTTTTCATTTTTTTTTCATTTTTTCATTTTTTTTTCCGTTTTTTTTTTCTGGTACATATTTTTATTTTTTGTTATTATTATTTTTGAAAACAGTGGTTTGAAAACAATCGAACCTTTGCGAAGGTGTGGAGGACGATCGACGATCCACTGTTCGGTCCTGTGGAAGCAGCAGGGGTGCATTGGAAGTGTGGATCGTGGGGGTAGAGGGCAGGACTGGTCCCTTTCTTTCGGCTGCGTGCCCAGAGCAAGAGGAAGTGGTAGAATGCAGGGGAGCTGCAATCGTCAGCCCGCTTGTGTGCTTGCAGCCGGGCGCCCGTTTGGGGCTGCACGTGTCCAGCCATCTGTCAACTCGAGAGATGACCAACGTGATGCTGCAGGGTGCTTGTGCAGGTGAAGGTGGACGGCGGAAGGGCGGGGCAGCCCTCGAAGGTCGATCTCACCTCTTTTTTTTTTTTTTTTTTTTTTTTTGCGGTTCCAGTTCCATTCTTTTGTCACTCTGAATCTTGTCCGAGGCAGTCGGAAGCCCCGCATCGTCGATTTGATCGTGCACGTGCTTGCCCTTGGGTTGCTGTGACATGCCATCCATCGCTTCTCCGCGCTCGTGGTTTGCAGCGTTGGAACGACCATTTGCAGCGCAATGCGACGAGCCAACCGCTTTTTTGTTTTTTCGAGTTAGTTCGATGCGAGTGTCCCCTGCGTTCTTTCCGCTGCTGGATACATGCAGGGATTGCACCACTGAAGTGGAGCCGCGTCATTGGCGCCTTGGGTCATGACTGCGAGTCTAGACTGTCTGTATTGGCTGCGAATCTCGACCTTTGACCCGAATCGCTTTTTGAAAAAAAAAAAGAAAAAGAAAAAAAAAAGCAGCAACGAATTTTCAAACAGCACACACAGCTCGGCTGGCTGCTCGGTCGCATCGTGCAGGCGCACACGGCTGAGTGCGATTGCACTGGTCTGGTCTTTGGTTGCTCATCAAGCGTCGTTGCATGCAACATGACGGACAGGGGCCATCGACTCGCACAACAAGCAGCAACGTTCTTTTGTTTGATTTGTTTTTTATTTTTCGTCTTTTATTTTTTATTTTTTATTTACTTTTATCGATTTTCAAAAGTTTTTTTTTATTTATTTTAAAATTTGGGTGCGAAAAAAAGCAACAACGAACGAGGTCGGTCGTTTGGCTCGCTGCGAGCGCGACATTCAATGAGAGTGCGAACGAAACCACCGTGCTTGGTTGGTGCCGCATGTGGCAATGCGACCGCGGGTGTCTGTCTGCGCTCGCTGGCACTCGACTCGACCTGCTCTCTGCTTCGCAACAGCGTCTAAGCGTCAATTTCTGGCTTCTTTTCCCATCGTCTGCAACACACACACTCTTTCTCGGCACCCAAACATGCACTCACTTGCTTTTCACCTCCTTTGCTTGGCTTGCAAGCTTGTTAGGTTGGTTCGTTCTTGTTCTTGCCAGCCTCTTTTTTTTTTTTTTTTTTTCCTTTATTCGACTCGTCTCTGTCGACTTGGCTCTGTTCAAACGATCGTATCAGCCATGAGTCGCCACGGTAGCGTAACCAATATGACTGGCACGTCGTCTGCCTCGTCGCCAGGGGCAGGAGGAAGCCGCGAATGGAATGTTCCGCCAGAGCAGTGCGTTGTCTGCGGCAATGCCGTTTACATGATGGAGCGCCTGGTAATGTACAACGAGACGTACCACCAGTCGTGCTTTCGTTGCTGCGTGTGCTCGAAGGTCATGTCACAAGTCAGCTACGGCAAGCGCGACGGCAACAGCCTGTATTGCGACAGCCACCGGAATAGCATGGCCGCGCGTGCCTCGCCGGTTCCCACACGAAGGCGCAACACCATTCACACTGGCACCCAGCCCGACCTTGACGCCATTGATGCGGCGAGTCCCTCTGACGGAGGATCACGCCCGGCCCAACTCACCGCTCACGTGTCCCGCAGCCCCTCGACAGTCCGCGCGGCAACGGCAGATTACGCCGCGCGCCGCGGTATTGCGCCGTCCACGCTGATGCACCACTCTGCATCGCGGAGCAGCACAGGTATGGCCTCGGCCACGGCAATGCGGGGCAGCACTGGCAATCTTGCCGCTCGCTCCGTCCCCTTTCTTCCCAGCTCAAAGTCCAACTCGCAATCCAGCGGCTCTCTTGCCGACCCTGCTGCCGCTAGTGCCCGTTCATCATCCACCGGGAACGTCCACATCTCGGACTCGAGGCCTTCATCTACAGATTCGGTCGACTCGGTCGACTCCCCGGCTGCGACGGAGGGTCGAGCTGATGCCTCGAGCCATGAGATTGCGCGCAAGCATGGATTGCAGCCGGCGACTGGTTCTCCGGAGGATGTGGTCGGCCACCCGGCAGCAGCAGCAGTCAGCACGGCCGAAGACAACTCCGAGGCCCCGACGGCCGCGCTCGACGGTGACTCCCGCTCTCAAGCAACATCCGGCTCGCTACCGACAGTCTCGTTTGAGACTGGCAGTGAGGAGGACCTGACGTTCCGCGCGACTGGCAGCATGCCAGATCTTGACGCCATCGACGATGAGGACGACGATATTCTCGACAGTCGTGGGTTTACAGGCTCAACCTTGAACGACGACGACCTTGTCGTCGCGAAACCGCGCGCAGAACCCATCATCGCTGCTCCCGTGCCACAGCCAGAGCCAGAGCCAGAGCCAATGACAGATTTCAGCGCCGAAATTGGGTTTGATATCGAGACTGGGTTGGGAGTCGAAACATCGCTTGACGAGCCCGCTCCGTCGACCGTCGAAACGTCCATTGATGACGTGGAAGAGCCGCACCATCATCACCATCATCATCATCATCACGACGCGCATGTCAACACTTCGCATCTGGCGGTGGAAGTCCCCGTCGTGAACGTTGACGGAAGCGGCGATGCCGACACGACTCCCCACGCCTCGCCTTCAAAGAAGCCCCAGGACGTGTCCGATGCCGCTGTCGAGCCAACACCGCTGGTGCTCGCTTCGCACGAGTCGAGTGACAACGCACAGGACGATTCATCCCCGACCACGCCAACCACACCCACTCCGTCGGGCGCTCCTCGGCTGACGGTGACACAGAGTTCCGTCGATACGCCCGATGCGGTGGCCGCACCGAGCAATCGCGACGAGCTCGATGAGCTCGAAGACGACGACTCGTTCGACGTGGATTCGCTCGCGTCGACAGGCATGACCTCGTCGCTGCATGCGCCAAACCGTCCCATGTCGATGATGTCCACGGCTTCTGCTCCAGCGTTCGACTCTGAGTCCATTGGCTCGAGCAGTGGTGTTGTCACAAACTCTGAAAGACTCGTGTCTGTTGCTGAGGGCCAGCAGTACTACCGCTCTCTCGCCGCGGCTCGTCACAAGCCCTCCATTTCCGACACGGATAACATTTTCGTGAAGGGCGAGGTCCTCTATCGCTCGTGCCACCAAAGTGGACGACAGATCATCAAGGATCGCCGCTATCGCTTGCGCACCTACCCGCGCTGCTTTTTCGGCTCGGAGTTTATCGACTACCTCATCACCATCAAGGAGGTTTGGACGCGCGACGAGGGTGTCACCTTGGCTCAGCAGCTGCTCGAAAACAAGATTATCGCACACGTTGTGGACGAGCACGCGTTCAAGGACGAGCTTCTGTTGTACCAATTCACCGCCGACCGCTTCCACCTCGAAATGGAAAAGACAGAGAAGCAAGCCGAAAAGGCTGCCAAGAAGGCCGCAACAAGCAAGTCAAGCAGCGCATCGCGTCGAGCCACCGCGCGCATGCCATCCCGCGATGGCTCTGCAGGCAGCCCTGTCGACGGTCGCAAGCTCAGCATTTCCAGCAGCGGCAGCGGCGCTGACGGCTCGCATGGTTCTGCTGGGGCTCCCGATGTCCCTGACGGCATTCTCATGCGCGTGGCCAGCAACATTACGTCTCACCCGATGGATGCAGCGCGGATTAAAGCTCACGGTGCTCAGCTGCACGAGCGCGTATCTGCCGACGGTTTGCTGAAGGACCGTCGTGCCCGCCTGAAGGTCCATCGCACCTGTTTGATGGGCAGCAAGCTGGTCGATTGGCTCGTGGCCAACGAGGAAGCCCCCTCGCGTCGTGATGCTGTTGCCCTCGGGCAGCAGTTTATTGATTTTGGCGTTCTCTCCCATGTATCTCTCGAGCACGATTTCGAGGACGGCGAGCAAATGTTCCATTTTATCGCCGATTCCAAGGAGCACGCTGCATTGCTCGCCGCATCGCTCTCGGCTGTGACTGCTTCATCGCACAGTACCCTTCCCGGCGCTGGTCAGTCGGAAGCGGCGTCCATGGCCGACGAGGATTCTGCCGGCGATGCCACCTCCATGCACAGCCAGCATTCTCGGCTCAGTCAGCAGCCGTCCGGCACATCCGTCCCAGCCGTTCCGCTCGGCGGAGGTCTGCTTTCGGACATGTCTGCGTTGCTGAAGCTCCCGCTGCAGTCTTCTTCCTCCACTTCGCACACTTCGCAACATTCGGCTGTTGCAGCCGAGTCGGCACCTCCGCTCAGTCCCTCTTCTGCCTCTGTTGCTGTTGTCGCAGTTCCAGAGCCCGCGCCAGCGAAGGCGAGTGTCGGTGCGGACTCTCCCGTTTTGCGCACCAAAGCCTCCTCTGCATCCATCCCGAGCGTCACTTCGCAGCAGCAGCGGCTTGGCGACCGTCTCTTTGGCAAGCTGGTTGATACGAACGCCCTCGAGTCCCTGGTCAAAGATCGACGCCTCCGCTTGCGCAACTATCCGCAAACTCTTGTTGGCTCCGAGTTTGTTGACTGGATGATTGCTGCGGGCGAGGCCAGTTCGCGCACTGCCGCTGTTGCCCTCGGTGTCGAACTGACGACTGCTGGAGACTTGCTGTATGCCATGGACGGCCCAGCCCAAGACTTCAAGGACGATAACACGTTCTATCGATTCGCGACCGAAGTCAAGCGCCTGTCGCGGCGACAATCGGACAATGCTCAGCAGACCTCGGAGACTCCCGACCCCTTGCCATCCCCAGTCTCCCAAAATGCTCCGTCCGTGCCTCTCTCGCCGGTTGAAGTCTCACCGCCCGCTCAGGAAACCAGCCCTGTCGCGCAGTCGGAAGAGTCTGCGAGCGTTGCGAGCGTTGCGGGTGTTGCTGCTGCGACCAGCGTAGTTGTTGCCGAGTCCGCTCCGGAAGCTCCCATTCGCGAGTACGACCCGCACAGGCCGCTGGTGACCGCGATTGATGGATGGGTTGAGGAAGCACGCCACGTCATTCGCAAGGAGGAAGTTGGCAAGCTCGCCTTCGACATTGAGCTCGAGCATGTGGACGACGGCGCCCACTACTACCGCACACACTTTTACGGCCGCGGGCACTGGAATTACTATGCAGAAGATGAAACGCTGGGCCCAGCTCTTCTTTCGCTTCGTCGTGAGAAGGACAAGGAGCGCAACGAGGACATTTATCGTGTTATTCTGCGTACCCTTGACCTTGACATTCGGCGAGCCGTCACGGCCGAGGAGCTGACCAGCGGCTCTGGCAAGAGTGGCAAAATCTCTCCTTCGTCCATTGTCCGACAGGTGGCACCCGACTTTAAGGGCTACAAAAAGTTCCATCCTGTTCTCTACCCGGACGCCATGGACGTCATTCTGCGCTTTGACGAGCACAAGATTGTTCGTCACTTCAAGTTTGGCATTGTTTACGTGAAGGACGGGCAGACCAAGGAGGAAGAAATGTTTGGCAACGAGCACGGCTCCCCAGTCTTTGACGATTTCCTCACCATGATTGGCGACAAGGTTCGGCTAAAGGGCTGGACCAAGTACAAGGCGGGCCTCGATGTCAAGCAAGATCAGTGCGGCACCCATTCGGTCTACACCACCTGGAACCACCGTGAAATCATGTTCCACGTTTCTACGCTTTTGCCGTACTTTTCCAACGACCCTCAGCAAGTGCAGCGCAAGCGACACATTGGCAATGACATTGTGAGCATCATTTTTGTCGAGGGAGAGACTCCTTTCGTTCCGGATTGCATCCGATCGCACTTTTTGCACGTTTTCATTGTCATTCAAGTGGAAAATGCAAACACCCATGCGATGCGCTATCGCGTCACGGTCATCTCCCGCAAGGACGTTCCCGGGTTTGGCCCCCGGCTGATTGAGGCGTATGTCTTCCAGAAGGGCCCCGAGTTGCGAGAATTCCTGTTGGCCAAGTTGATCAACGCCGAGAATGCCGCCTTGTCTTCGCCCGGCTTTCAAAATCTGGCGCGCCGCACGCGACACGGCTTGCTCAAGGACACGATTGACACGTTTGGCAAATTCAACGACGCATCCCCATCGGTGTCGGCGTCCGTTGCCAAGAAGATGAAATCGATGGGCGTGCTTTTCGAGGAGATGCAAGGCGTTTTTGCCGAGCGCAAGAGCAACCGCGCCGCTGGCCGTTCGGTTCTTGAAACTGGCCGCGCTGCCGCCCATGTTCCAACTGGCAACGACAGCGCCGAGATGGCGCGCTCCGCCGAGAACCTGTCCACCAGCCCGGAGACTGCGCGTCGCACCGGCTCTGCTACATCGAGTACGACGACGTCCAATTCTGATCTCGCCGTGCCATCGGATTCGAAGAGCCCTTCGCTCTCGCCAAAGCCGCGCCGCCGGTCGCTTACCGGCACCGCTGCATCCATGGCTTCGATGCCCAGCGCTGGCTCGGGAGGATTGTCTCCAGTGTCCGCGTCAATGTCGTCGATGCCTGCTGTTAGCGGCGACTTTTCGTTCCCGGCCAAGGACGACGACAAGAAAAAGAAGGGCATGTTGCGGAATATCAAGTCTGTCGCTTCAGTTCTCCGCACGGCAAGTCGAGGCAAGGCGGACGACGTTAGCCAGGCCGCCGCCCGAGCGCGCAGCAGTCGCTCGCAAACACCGGTTGGTGAAGCCGCGTCGCCCAAGTCCCCGACGTCGCCAGCCCCCGTCCCGTCCCAACCCAACAAGCAGGGTCTGCCATCTGCCTCCTCGGAAGAGAAGGTCGACTTGTTGCTGCCTCGCGAGGTCTCGTTCAGCCGCTTGAGCCTTGAGCAGCAAATGCACTTGCTCGAAGATGCCCCCGAAACGAGCCTCAATGATGATCCGGAACCACTCGACGATGCATCAGCGCCAACAACAACAGACGAAGCAACAGCAGCAGCAGCAGCAGATGTAGCCGCAACAACAACAACAACAACAGCCACATCGACGACTTCCTCAAGCCTCGCACCCGCACAGGTCAAGTCTGGGCGTCGGCTCTCCGGAACGCGACTTGACGAGAACGGCGTGGTCCAGCCACTCACCATCAACACGGCGCCTCCACCCTCCCAGGCAGAACGCGGCGCCAACCGACGCCTTCAGTCCACCAATTCGTACGCGGAGGCGCTTTCCGAAACTCCCGCACCGCTCGCACACGAGTCTACCATCGCCGAAAGCGAAGAAGATTCCAGCGAACCCAATTCGACTCGTTCGTCGCTCACGGCGACCAAGTCTCCCGGTTACGACGGTGAAGGTTCGAGCTCTGCACCTGGCTCTGCTCGCCTGCACTCGCCCATGAAGCCAATGCAGGCGCGTAGCGCACGCGAGGAGGCCTCAACCGATCTGTTCGACATGCTGCGCGAACTGGACGCAATGAGCACTGGCCCTCATCCAGGTCGCGGCAGCCCCTCCCGCCCATCAGCGTCGCGCTCTCGATCGGATTCGGCGTCCTCGACTTCCGAGAAAATGTCAGCGGTGCTGCAGCGCACCTTGAGCAAAACCAAGGAGCGGGTCATCAATTCGACCAAGATGCGCCGTGGCGCATCGATGGATGCGGGTCCGACAGGCAGCGAGAGCGGCAGCCCCAATTCCAGCCACACCTCTCTCCCCAGCGCATCAGGCCCATCCTCGCCCTCCATTCATCCCGAGGGCGGCACCTCCTCAGACGCTTAAACGTGCACTGTTGCTGCCCGCTGCTTCACGCTTTCTTCGTCGCCTACTTTTGCTTTTCACTGTCACTGGATTTCCTCTCACGACGCAAAATCCCGTCGCAGCCATTGGTCGTTTGTTTCTTCTTCTTCTTCTTCTTCGCAACGCTGGGCTCGCTGCGACCACACAACAACTTCAACAACACTAACACGCTATTTACTCGGCAAGCGCTCCGTGGAGGCGGCGCCCTCCGCATTGCCCTTTCATGAAATATATCTGCATGTGTCTTTGTGATCTGTTTCTCTCTTTTTTGTTTCTGGTCTTGTATGTTTCTGAGTGAGGGTTTTTCGTTCTTTGTGTGTTGATTCATCCTGTGTACTTTTCCTGTGCTAGTCACCCCCCCCCCCCATCTCTCCCTCTCTCCCTCTTGCTTTCTGCTTTTTCTGTTGCTCGTCGTCGTATTGTGTTTTGACTGTCACATTCTTCCCTTTGTAGTATGTTCCTACAGTAGAGAAATCTCTAACGAAAATCTGTTGTCCACGATTTCAACAATCTTCCTTTCAACGTACAGCTCTATGATTGCTTTCCTTGTTTGACCATTGACCTCGTCAAGATCACTGTCATGCATTGTTTGATGATGATGATGATGAGGGTCTTGTATAGTCAGTTCAGTCTTCCATTCATTGCTCACACAATGGTCGTCCAAGCGAGCTGCAAGTACACTGGCTACAAGCTGAGCTGCCTGACCATCCACCCTCACGAGAGCTACCACTCCGAGCCATTGATCTTTGGCACCGGCTCTGCAGACGAGAACGTCGGCACACAGGATGAAAGTTTGGGCTTTGGGGACGCCCGCATGCTCTCTCTCTCTCTCTCTCTCTCTCTATCTCGCTCTCTCTCGCGCTCGAGGCTGAGCTGTGGATCCGTGTTGATAAACAACTCGCGTTGCTCAATCTTGATGCAATTCTTCTACTTTGCTTTTTTGCTTGCAGACGAGTAATCGCATCACGCTTTGGTCGCTGGATACAAACAAGCTTGGCGCGTTCGACGCTCTGCAATCGCTTTGTGTCGCCCCACATGAGTCGGGCGATGTCCTCGACATTCAGTTCCTGGCATCGTCCTCTGCAGTGCTGGCCGCATCCAGCAGCGGCATCGTCTCGGTCTACCAGTACAACTATTTGGGCGAAAACATGGTAAATACTTCTCCGCGATCTTTCTCAGATTTCCCTTTCCCTCCCTCCCTCTCTCAGACCCTAGCAAGGGTGTCATATTCGTGGTTGTTACACGAAGCAGCGTGCAACTTTCTGGTTTTGCTTGATCGTCCGTACGAGGTGTTTGACAGTCTGGATTTCGCTTTTCTGCGGGTGTCCAATTGTTGGCAGATCAACCTGACTCGGCAAGCACAATCCAGCGTTCTCTTCTCTGTGAATGGTCGACCGGCGCCTGTCACTGGAGTGTCGCTGCAAGACGACAATGTCGCCGCAGTCGGCGACACTGGCGATGTGGCCGTGTTCCCGTTCACCCGTGTTCACGAAAAGCTCGTTCCAACACGCGTCTTGTGTAAGCCACGCCCGCACCCCGCACACACTTTTTTTTTAAACGAAAATCCTTCCGAGGACCAATCGACAAACATTACACTGACTTTTGGGAGGATCTTGTTTGCACGTCGCAGCGGATCCCGACGGATGCGCTTTGAACGGTGTGTCGTTCTCGACGCCTTCGCAAATCGTTACAGTCAATCACGCCGGGCGAATGCGGGTATGGGACTTGCGGCAGCCTGGGAATCAATCTGTTCGTGCAGTGAAAAGGTACAAGCTTCTCTTTGCTTTGTTCTGGCACGATTTTTTTTTTTGGGACGTGCAGAATGACGCTACATTCAATCTCTGTCGCCATGAAACAGCTCCAGTACTGGGAACAACCCCCTCCTATCTGTCAAAACACACCCCAGCCAGCCAAACATTCTTGCCACGAGCTCGTATGCCGGCGTGGTGGACGTGTGGGATGTGCGATTCGAGGACGCGCCGCTTCGCTCTGTCGTCATTTCCGAATCACCAGGTGCGTTTTGCTTCTTCCTTTGCATTTTGTGTCGAATCGACTCAATTCTTTTGGACTAATTGAGGGGGCGGTGATTGTGCCCTTTTCCCTTTTCGTTCTGTTGCTTGCTGGTGCAGTCTGGGATGTCCGATTCCACCCCACTCGCAACAGCCAAATGGTCTGCTGCAGCGAAGACGGGTCTGCATCACTGCTTGACTTTGATCCCTACCAAAAGTACCCGCAGGGAGGATTTGTACCAGAGCAGACCCGCGTCGATGGCGACGAGATGGTGCTCGGCTGCGACACACTGCTCGAGTCGGGCGGTATCGGCCTCTCTGCTATTGACACCCGCCGAGGTGTGGCCATCGCGATTGCTGACAATCATGCCGTCTATGTTGTTGGTGGTCTTGAGTGAAATGCTGCCTTTGAAAAAAAAACCCTGACGACCCGACCTTCACACATCCTGTCCGATTCTGTTCAAATTTCATCTTATTTTCACTTGTACATTGCCACTACAACAACTACTACTGCTGCGTTGCTCGTGGTATCCGCAACGGACCGACCGGTGCTCCAACAATGTTCGCTCGCTGGGATTGCGCCGAGCGTTGTGCTTCAGCGCCCGACTGCACCTGGGCAGCCCCGTGCGCGAGCATGGCCTTCCATGCAGCAATGGCCTTTGTATTGCTCTGGATCTTGTCGACAAGGTCGCGCACCTGTCCCGTTTGAGTGGTCACAAAGTGGTGAATCTGGAAGATGGCGGTTGCAGTCTGTCGAGCGCAGCCCCAGCACACGACGAGTGGATGCCAACAGTGAGTCCCGATGAGATCATAGATGAGGTTGGGGGGGGGCATATGCATGATGGTTGATGGTGAGTCGTGAATGCACTGTGCGTTTCAAAGTGGAAGTGGATTTGGTTTTTTTTCCCGCCAAAAAAAATGCTCAATCTGGCGCCAACCACCAGCTCGTCTCTCTGTCTCTCTCTGCCTCGTTTTGCTCAATCTCGCCCTCCTGGCTCGAACCAAGCGCCGACGTGCATTGACGACGGCTATTCACGGCCATGTTCGTAGTGGGCGGGTTTTGATGGAGTGGAATACTGTACCTCTTCAATGAAGAGATTGAGCTCTGCGACGCGCTCCTCGTCCACTTGTTCCATCGTGCAAATGTCTATGATGAAGAAGCAAAGAGATAGAGATAGAGAGAGTGAAGGTCGACAATTCAATACGAAATAGAGAAACATAAGAAAAAGCCAGTTTGAAACAAAATCAGCTTGGCTGAGAAATTCTGAGCTTCCGTCTTTGTTTGGGCTTTTTTTGTTGATGTTGCTCTGAGATTTGAGTGATTTTGTGACATTCCCAAAAAAACAACGTACTGTACATCAATCCATAGCATAGTCTTTGATTTTTGGATTTGCTGCCTGCTGAGCGAAGGTTGTTTCACAACAGCAATGACAACCAACGTCAGCGGCTCAGAGCAGCAGCAGCAGCAGCAGCAAAGGCTCATCCGCGAGCACCTGGACGCCAACGTCACCACCCTCGGCAGCCTCACTCGTCTCTCTGCCTTGCTACAAGCCAGTTGCCAGGAGCGGGTTGAGCTCCAGCGCGAGCTCGCCGCGAACAGCAGCAGCGGCAACGCACAGTCGCAAGCACAGTCGCTCCAGTCGCACCAGCTCAGGCAGCCGACGGCGCGCAGCCAGGCACAGGACGCTCTCGACGAGGCCCACCAGCTGCTCGAGCTCCAGACGGATCCGCTGACAGTCCGCACGGCCGCGGCTGCTGTCGGGGCGCAGCGCTGCCTCGACTCTGCGCGGGCGTTTCAGTCGCGCCTCGCTGCCTTGGTCGAGGCCGAGCAAGCACACGACCGTGCTCAGCGCTACCTGGTGGTCGTGGCATGCGTCGAGCAGATGAACGCGCACGCTCGGGAGTTGTATGGCGACGCAGACCCGCCAGGCTCATCCGTGTCCAAGTCGTCGTCGTCCAAGACGTCGTCATCAACGAGCAAGAAGGACAGCGCGACTCCGAGTCAGAAGCGATGGCAACAGACTCTGCGCTCTGCATTGCTGGCTGTGGATGTCGTCACGCCAACGGGTGGTGTCGCGAGGCAGCAGCCAGCGGAGTCTCGCCCGGATGCAGCTGGAAGTGGCAACTCCTCGACATCCGAAGTGACAAGTGCCGTTGATGCGTTGCGCCGGTCGGTCGCAGGTGCGCAAGAGTCAGTGGGCGCAACGCCTCCGTCGAGCATGCAGTTGGCCATTCTGACACCGCTCCGGCAGCTGTGCGAGCTCAAGCATGCATTGCGCACGTCCGCGTGCCGAAATTTGAAAGCACACATTGACGCATCCATCAACAACTGGTCCAACGTGCTCCGCCAACGTCTAGTCACCGAGCTCTCCTTGGCATTGAAGCAGCTGGGCTGGCCTCTGAGCATTGACCTCTCTGCTCGAATGCCTCCAACCGCGTCTGGCACATATTCCCCACCGCTTTCCCCCTCCGCCTCCGCCGCCTCCTCCTCCTCCTCCTCCTCCTCCTCCTCCTCCTCGGCCGCCGGCGCCTCGCCCTCGTCACTTGATTTGCCAGACCTTGCACTGGTTTGCATGCAACGCATCATTCGGTTGCTCCTGCAGGTCCAGCTTTTGCTTCTCTTCCCGCACATTGCCGCGGCAGAAGCCATCGTCGAGCAAAGCATTACTGAGCAGCGCGTCGAGGAAGGATCCGACCGCACGAGACGAGCTGCTTCGCATCAAAACCTGCAAACACTGCTCGAGTCGCTGCATCTCCCTTCGTTGTGGGTTGTGGAGGCATTGATCGTCCCGGTTGCCCAGCGTTTCCAGTTCCACTTTTCTGGCGAACGACCAACCAACAGGCTCGATAAACCAGAGTGGATGTTTATGCATGCCCTGGAGGCAATCAAGTCCAATGCCACGTTCCTCGTTCAGACCATCCAGCCCCTGGTGGACGACAGCGGCCTGGCCGTGTACGACGTTCGGGTTGAGTTTACAAGGAGCATTGTCAACCTGGTTCGTGCCAAGTTGCTTCGGCAGGTCCCGCGCATGCTTTCCCACGACGGCGATCCAGAGGCCGCTGCCGCCGCTGCAGGCAACACCGAGCCAGGCGCAACATCCAACCAATCGCTCGCCAAGCCTCATAATTTGACCCATGCGCAGTTCAACCATATTGTGGATGAGGTCGAGCGGCTTGTGAAATTGTATCCATTGCAAGCCAGCGGAGGCAAGGGGGCGTCGGACGATGCCATCCAGCCTCCACCCTACCCCATGCTCAGCCACCTCCTCTCAGAGCTGGCCGTGTTCGAGTACGAACTGCGGGTTGCCCATGAGCTACCTTCCTGGCATCCTGCAGCCGTTGCTGTCTTTTCTGCCAATGCGACCTGGATGTCGCGCTGGATCTTTCTCGAGCGACGTCATGCCATTGGCATTCTGCAGCAAGCCCTCGCATTGCCGACTCGATGGCAGCCAAAGTTTCGAGATGCCGCGACAGTTGACGAGTACAAGGCGCCTGAAGCGGCTGAGACGCTGGTGAATCTGCTTTGGACAATTTGCGGTAAGCAGGAGGAGTTGCGTTTCGCGTGCAGGGGGAAAAGGACTTGAAAGTTCACCTTTTTTTTTCATGTTTTGTTTTGCTGGTTTTGCTTGTTGCACACGTGTCAGAACGATTTCAACTTGTATCGAGCTCGGCTCTCCGGCTAACGGTCGTGGCAATGATTCACATTCCGCTGATTGAGCTGTTCATGCAGAACTTGGAAAAGTACTTGGCTCGTGAGTTTGAATCCATCACCAGTGCACCCCAACTGGAGCAGTTTTGCTTGCTTCTGAACGGAGTACACTATGTTCGCTGCATGATCAAGGAATATTCAGAGCATGTGGTATGTTCATTGATGTAGCTAGCTTTGAGAGTCCAGTTCTTGCTGAGTCGTGCTGACATTTGACTCCATTTGCAACTTGGTGGCGGCTCTGACAGTTCTTCCTCGAAGCACATGCATACACTCGTGATGCACGGCAAAATCTCTCCCCAGAAGCACAAGCAGAGCTGGCCGCCGCCACGGGAGGGGATAACTTTTGCTTTGAGCAGACGTGGTCTGCGTGTCTTCGCATTGAAGAGGAGATGATTGCGACAATCACCTCCATGGCCCGTGATGCATTCACTCACCACAGCAAGGCGTATTGCAAACAAAAGTGAGGACAGGAAGCAGTTTCGTGACAGCATCCTATCAGGGTCATGGTGACTCGTTTTTTTTTTGGTTTTTTTTTTCGTACTGACGCGTGCTTGCACTCAGGTGGCTGCTGCAGATGCCAGTGTCGTTGGACCAAGTCGAGCGAGAGTCTATCGCGGCGGCAGAGGCTGGCAACGTGCCGTTTTTGCAGCCTGGTGCGGCAGTGTCGGCCGTCGTCGTGCTGGATATTTCTCAATCGTTCTGTGAGCCCCTAGCTCTGCTGCGAGAACAATTGGCCTTGTTGCACAGAAACCTGGCCACCTCGCTCTTTGGCACGGTCTGGCACCAGATTGCACGAGACGTGAATGACTGTCTCTGGACAGACCTCGTCCGCCGAAGTTACTTTAATCGCGCAGGAGCCGTGCAGCTTGCTTTTGACATGCATCGTCTGTTTCTCCTCTTCCGAGATTTCACCTCCAAGCCCGAAAACTTTTTGAAGCAGTACGTATGATGATGCAATGTTACGTATGATGAGGCGAATGCTGGGGGGGGGGAAGTCTGCCCTTCTCTCACTTTGAGCGAACAGCATCAAGGAAACCTGCGTTCTTCTTAATCTGTCTCCAGACACCCTCAAGGCAATACACAAGCTCGGGCTGGAGGCTGCTCAGGAGGCAGCCAATCCTGCACCAAATCCTCGCGTGCGCAGCACAACGCCCAAGGCTTCGATCCAAGCTCTGATGCAGTCCAAGTCGCTGTTTCGTTTTTCCCAGGAAGAAGTGTTGGAGCTTGTCTCCCATCATGCTGATGCAATGACGCGATCGGAGCGTTGAGAAATAAACGGTATCATTTGGAATGTTGCGCAAGCTTGACACACATCAACTTGTCGTTCAATCAACACACATACACACACACAGCAGGTGCGAGGAGCACACAACTGATAAAAAGGCACGCGAGCGTTAAAGGTGTTGCGTGAACGCGGGGTACTTGGCGGCAATGGTCTCAATGATGCCATTCACTTGAACGCAGGTATCCTCGATTTGAGAGTTGAAGTTTTGGATGGCTTGATTGTCTAGACAATGCCAGGAAATAAATCAAGGCGGTGTTTCAGCCGGAGCAAGTGAGCCACACATGGGCTGAGCGAGCGACAGACGAAATCACAAATAAAACCACATCGAAAACGCAAAGTCACGTACCTGCTTGGAAGTGGATCAACTGATCAATCTGATCAATGGCACCCTTCATGCGTCCTTCGGCAATCATTTGAGCAGCGACCTTCTCCGCCTGGAGGTTGATAATGATGAACAAGTGTTGGTGAAGAGGAACAAGACGGGCAAAAAAAAGTCCACCAGATTTCGCAGAGTTCAGAGAATGAAAACGGAAGCCAAACAGTATCAAAATGGAACAATCGCCATACCCGTGCTGGTGGGATCTCAAGCAGAGAGCCGAGCTCTGAAAAGGTAATGTTGTCGTAAAGTTTGCTGGCCGCAAGCAGATTGTGCTCGATGACGGCGCGGTCGAGGATTGAGGTTCCTGCGAGTAGAAAACGGACAAGAGACAGGACAGACATGACGACAAATGATGGAGCGATGAGGTTGGGTGGGGGCAACATGAAGAGCGACACGAAAGAATCGACCAACCGTCAGCAAGTTTGGCCAAGTGATGGGGCTGGAGTGTCTCTGCGAAAGCCTGAACTTGATGCCGTTTGATAATCCAGTCCATGTACCTAAAGAATCGTCAGCAGCAGTAGCACAATGAGACAATGGCCATAAAGCCAGACGGCTCAGAAAAACACCAACAAGGAAAAAACCAAAAAAGCGACTCTTACATTTTTTGAAGAATATCATAGACGGGCAATTTTTGGCAGCGCTCATCTTTGTAGAGGGTGGCAAGCATGCGGGAGCGCAGTTGGCCAGCAGAGGCGAGGACGACGCAGTTGACAGCGCAGGTCAGGGAGAAGAGGCGCTCGGCGTCGTTGACAAAGTACGAGAGCTCGTAGTAGCGCTGTGCGGCTTCGATAAACTTGCGTTTGCTGTCAAGGATACGAGCATAGCAGACCTTGTACTTGAGCTGCAGCAGTTGATCGCGGGTCGACAGATGGTTTGCAGCGCGGTTGACAAACGCTTCGGCCTGAACCGGGTTGTCATCTTCCAGGTACAGCTGCGCGATGCGGAGGTAGATGCCGAGCTTGAACTCGGGCGAGACGACTCTGATGAGGATGTGGATCCAATGTCAGCCCCATATGAAAGACCACCCAATAATAAAAAAAGTTGTTGTTGTTGTTGTTGTTGTTGTTGTTGTTTACCGTTGGCTCGATTCGATGGGAATGCCAATCAGCATCGAAGCCGCCTCGCCCCAGGACTCTTGTTGCTCGTAGAGGCTGGCCAAGTGTTGGCGAAGGTTGGTGACCTAATTGTTCCGCCAGACGTTCCAAACCACGAAGAAATCAGTAAACAACAACAAGTAGGTCTGGATGTTGGTTTTTCAACTGGCTTGGTTCTCAAAGGAGACCAAGCGAGGCTGGAGACGGTCGAGCAAGTGGAGCGACAGCCGCAACGATGCAGCTGCACCGCCCGCCTCCGCTGGGCCGTCAGCCAGGGCGACGAGGCCGCTGATAATGTCGGTGACGAGTTGGCGGGAAAGCGCGTTCGGCACTGCATCGTCGGTGACTGGAAAAGAGAAGGGAGAGGTGAGCACACAGAACAACAACAAGATGCACAAAAACGCAAAACACAACTCTGAGTCGCAATCTATGGGATGGTGAATAGATGGATGGATGGATGGTGAATGGACGGATGGAGCTCGCTTGTCTCAGTCGCCTGTCTTCGCGCTCTCACAGCGACAGCGACGGCTGTTCGCGCGCGTGTTTGACTGTGCCGCTCTTTTGCTCTTGTTCGATTGGGTGTTTGCGTGATGATGGCTTTTTGTTTGGTTTGCTTTCGCGTACTCGTCTCGATCAGGAGGGACAGGTCGGCGTGAAGCTGGGCGCCGTCCGCTTGCTGGAACGCTTGGTCAACCAACCCCTTGTACTGCGCCGCCTTGTCCTTGCCCAGGCTGGCTGCAGCAGCGCCGCCTTGCGTGATTGTTGCCAGTGCGGTTCGAAGCGAGCTCGACATGGTTGGGTTTTTGTGCTTGAGTGAGTGTTTGAGTGAGTGAGTGAGTGAGCGACGGCAAAATCAAGAGAAAGGGGACTGGTGGCCTTCTCGTCCTTTCCGCTTAAACGCTTCAACTTCAAGACATACACGTTACCTGTCATCATCTTCAATCATGATGTTCAACTGTTGTTGCTGTTCACTCGTCAAATTTATCTCATTTCCGAGCTCGACCAAAATGACTCGCGTCAGCCTTTTGCCATTGCAATTTTTGACAGTTCTCTGAGGATTTTCCATCTTTGTTGTGCTCACTTTGGATGACCCGTCCGCTCTCCAGGCCTCAACCAAGCGTACTGCTGCCACTGCATCTGCGTCTGACGCTGCCGTCGATCCAGCTGCCGCCGCCACCACCGCTGCTGTTGCTGCACCTGTGCGTTGGCGGTGATTGTTTGTTCGCTTTGTTTCTCATGCATGATCCGCTCACTCACTCACTCGCTCACTCCAACAAACTCTCGCAATCGGTCCTGTTTTGCATTTCGCAGATCACCAAGAAGACCCGCGTGAGCAAGGCCAGCGCAAGTGCCGCTGGTGGCGAGGATGAGCAGGAAGCACCGACTGCTGTACGTGTTGCATTTTCATGCAATCTTGCGCACCTTGTCAAAGCCAAGCTGAAATGGACTTTGACTTGCTCTTGTTTTATATTATTGGTTTGCATGTCAAATGCATCTCACTTGACTCGCTTCGTTTCGACAGCGCCGATCCAGTCGTGCCAAGACCACCACCACCAATACCGCTACGACGACGACGACTGTTACCACGACTGTCACTGTTGCCTCGGACACTGCCAGTGCCATGGAAGTCGACACGCCCGATGATGCCAGCGTGAAGGGCAAAGGAAAGGTGCGACATGTTGTGAGCTGAGTTGACAGTCTGTTTTTGGTGCTCACGATTTGAAACAATCACAGAAAGCCAAAGCTCCGGCCAAGAAAGCCGAGAAGGACGACGCAGACGACGATGCTGCCGAGGTGCGTGTTGTTCTCATGTTGTGGTGGTGGTGGAGGTGGAGGATGCCGATCCAGAGATTCATTTTTTTTGACCCAACTCTCACAGACCGACGCTGCGACCGAGAAAACGGTCGTTGCGAACGTCAAGTTCTCGGCGGAAGCGCTCAAGACCCTGACATACACCACAAGTCGCGCGGCTCCCAACGGCAAGCCCATCAACTTTAAAATTGCGTGCTGGAATGTCAACGGATTGAAGAACGCCATCAAGGTATCGTTTTGGGCGAGCAGAGCGTTGAGCCGCTCGATGTGACTGGGGTGCAGGAAGGACCGTGACCGAAAAAACCGGAACGACAACAACAGCAATCAGCAAAAACTCGAGCAGAGAATCAAAACTTTACTCACTTTGTGTCGCGCTTCACGCCGTGCTCTTGACGTAGGAGGGCTGCTTGCAGTATCTCGAGTACGAAAAGCCGGATGTACTTTGCATCCAGGAAACAAAATGCGGCGAGGGCGAGATTCCCGCTGTCAGTCAGCCGAACGACCGTTCTCGTTCTCGTCCTGTCCTGTGTTGATTTTGTTGTTGTGGTGGTGGCGCTCACTGGTTACGATCTCGCCGCAGGACTCTGCCGTGCCCGGATACTATGGCTACTGGTATTCGGCCCAAAAGCGAGGATATGCCGGCACTGGCATGTACTCGAAAACCCAACCGATCCGTGTCTCGTTTGGCCTGAGTGAGTTTGTCACGCCAGTCATCTCAGACACTGTTGGCGCTGAGATCAATCAATTCATACACATTCATTGGCGCTTGCTTACGAATGCATTGCTGGCACGACAGATGTACCGGAGCATGACACGGAAGGCCGAGTGATCACCGCAGAGTTTGCTGATTTCTACTTGGTGACTGCTTACGTGCCCAACTCGGGACAGAAGCTCGAAACGTGAGTGAGGTGTTGACTGTGCATGGTTTCTTTTTGTGAAAGTTTGCCCATCTCCCCTTGGCATCTCGTTTCAACAGGTTGCCGTACCGCCAGACGTGGGACGTTGCGTTCCGCACCTATCTGCTGAGCCTGGATGCCAAGAAGCCCGTGGTGCTGTGCGGCGACCTCAATGTTGCCCATAACGAAATTGATCTCAAAAACCCAAAGACCAACAAGCGTTCGGCCGGCTTCACGCCTCAGGAGCGCGAGGGCTTTACGACCATTCTTGGAACCGAGTTTGTTGATTCGTTCCGTGTCCTGTACCCCGAAGAGTCGGCCTACTCGTTCTGGTCTTACCGCCACAATTCTCGTGCCCTGAACGTTGGCTGGTACGGTTTGGCAAAGGACGTTCCCAATTTTGTTTGAACTTGGTTGCTCATTCGCATTTTTGTTGTGACAGGCGTCTGGACTACTTTGTCGTCTCCCAACGCTTTATGCAGAGCGTGGCAGACAGCCAAATCCGCTCTCAAGTGTACGGCAGCGACCATTGCCCGATTGTTCTTCATTTGAGTCTGTGATCGGATTGTGTGCAGTCATCCTCGTGACTGCGGTTGTTTGGGTTGGTGTGTGGTTTGCTGTATGGTTTGTTTTTGAACTGCGGTTCAGTCCATGTGCAAAAATAAACAAACAATTTTGACGTTGTTGATGCTTCATTTCATTACAACGTCTCAGTTTCCCTCGCTCACACTCAAGTAGCGATAGTTGATCATCAAGCCGTAGGACTCGGCCATTCCACGGGGAGATGCGTTTGCCATCCAGTTGATGTCGCCAGCAGTGGCTCCGTTGCCGATATGGAATGCGGCTGCAGTAGTACCGCAGAACTCGAGTGAGCAACAATCAAAATCGTATCGACTGATCAACGGCAGCTTTCCATCCTTCTTACCAACTGGGTCGTAGCTGCTTTTGCCAACTTTCAAATTGACGTAACTACCGACCAAAGAGGGAAAAAAGCAGTTAGTTGGTGCGCTCCAAGCAATTATCAGAAAACAAAAAAACAAGAAAAAAAAAACCAAGAAGGATTACTGTGAAGCCAGGCGGAGCATGGGTGCGCGCAGCGCTTCCGAAATACGATGCGATTTGCTCCAATCGTCGTTGCCAAGGATGGTCTGAGTGTGGCAAAGATAAGAGGCAGGGACGTCAATGGACCAAAGTAAAAATACAAAACGAACAAAAGTCGAGCCAACCCAAACTCGCACCTGAAGAGTTGCGGCAGGAGTGCTGTACTCCTTGGCAGAGAGCGACTCAAGACGACGAACGACGCTCAGTTCAGCTTTCGTTAATGCAAGATCTGAAAGATGACGGCAATTCGCGAGAGTGAGTCGAGCATTCAGGTGGAACAACACACAATCCCGACGAAGGGAGGGCCAAACCATTAAACGGGTGGGCAGGATCCGCGACAGCCGCCGCCAAATTGGCAGTGAGCCACATGCGGAAACGTGGGATGGGGGACAATGTGGCAAAGTTCTTGACGGTTGGATGCCGCTTCTTGATGTAGGCCACCGCCTCCATGATCAGATCGTGTCCCAGGCCAACACCACTCAGACCTATCAAAGAAGAAACAATTAGCATCGAAAAAAATTAGGTGACTAGCGAATGCAGCGCATTACCCTTGTGGCTGGCGGACGACGAGAAGAAAATGGCCCAGGTCGGCGGGATGGGTGACGCCAGTGAATCATGCGGCTCTTCGAAAATCTTGTGGATGTTGTCCGCACGATGGGTCATGAGCGCTGTATGCAGCACAATCAGCGGTTCGCCGGGCAAGAGGGGAACAAAGTAGGAGAAGCAGATTCGATTCCGACCAATTCGACGCTTCAAGTCATTCCAGCCGTTCATCGGATGAACGGCTTCGTATCCCATGACCTGTCAAAGCGAAACGAGCAAGTAAGGGTCTTGAAGCGATCGAACAAAAACACCAAAAACACACCGCACTGCAGGCTGAAACCGAAAAAAAAAAATCAAGCTGCTTGACAAACGTACCTTCTCCAAGATTGCAGCTGAAGTGTTCCAAGACAGTCGCGTGAGGTGGGTATGGCCAACAATGATTGTTTTCAGAATGTTGCGCAAATCAACCCCAAGCTGATCGATCGGCTCAACGCTAGCGGCATCAAGCTGGTTTTGGTGCACGAGCGACTGTCAAGCGAGAAAAGCATTGGCGCCACGAAGAGCAGCACGTCAGATGTTAAATGCAAAAGCCACGGCCGACAAAGAACAAAAAAAAAACAAAAAAACAAAAAAAAAACAAATTCTTACAAGCAAATCTCCTCGCATATCGACAAGAAGTCGCGGTCCTCCTGGAAGCTCAAGGATGGTCTTCAGCAGGGATTTGTACGCGAATTTCTAGTTATTCATTCCAAGCCCAGGAGTTTGAATCATTGAGCCACCGAACGAATGTCACAGCAAATTATCCAACCGATCAACCAACCTGCGTGTCGTTGCCACCTTTTGCACGAATCAAATCCAAGTAGAAGTGCTCGCGATACGACTGTGATACATGGATTGTTCCACAAGTGGCGAAACGAGCGGGGATGAGCGTGTGATTCTGACAGTGATTCTGAAGAATCAACTGATGGTGATCAACTCCAACTTACCTCTGCGAGGGAGCAATACAACTCGCACACTTGGAACGCAAGTCGACGAGCTTCTTGTTTCTACACAAACACACGAGACACGTCAAGGTGAGCGCGCTCCAAATTCACACGCGAAACAAACTCAATCCAATCTGACTTGTCGATTGGCACCACGTACAAGTGCAGGGTCCGACTCTGCGCGGCAGGCAGTCGCAAGAGCGCCATCCAGCAGACTGACGACATGCGACTCGGTGAACACTTCCACAGGCGCAGTGCTGAGCCGGCGACGAGCGCGGAGCTCGGACACGTCAAACTCGAGCGCAATCTCATCGTCGAGACCGCCCAGCGCAGCAGCAGATGCGGCTGCCAGCGAGGTAGCAGCTGCTGATGGTCCGTTCACGCCGCCAATCGCTGAGGCGGATGACGCAGCGGCAGTGAGCGCAGGCGCGAGACTCATCCGCGCACCAGAGCTCAGCGCCCGAGCAACGCAGGCGACGCGAGCTGATGCACCGCCAGACACAGACACAGAGGCAGGCTGCTGCATCAGCAACGATGAGCTGCGTTCGATGGCCATGTCGGATCCAGCGCCCGCACCGCCAGCAGAGCGCGTCATTTGTCGGGTGAGTGGCGGGACGATGCGACCAAAGCTGCGCAACATTATTGTTGGAGGAAACTCAGAAAAAGAAGGAGTGGTGCTGGAGCGGTGCTGCACTATTATGACACATTGCAGGAAATCATCTCATTGGAGTGGAGAAATCAACTTGGATTTGTTGTTTTTTGTTTGAAAACCCATCAAGAGACAACTGTTCTGAAAATGGCACTAACACAACGGTAGTGGTGGAGCGGTTTCAGGAATGTGCCCGAATGTAAAGCTGGCACTTTGGAACGCATCAAGCTCGTCTTGATCGAGCTCAACGGGCGGGCCAGAAGGAACTGCCGCCGCTGGGACAGAAGCCGCGGCGCCGCCGCTGGGCACCGCTGGCGCACCGAATAGAGACTTGGCAACCGGCTGGCTGGCCGCAAAGGGCGCAGCGCCACCTCTGCCAAAGCCGCCATCATCAAGAGAACTGCTGGGTGCGGCTAGCAAGCCAGCGTCGAGTATGCTCACGTCCAATCCAAGCGCCACAACTTCTCGTTGGACGTGCTCAAGCACGGCTGCGGGCTCGAGGCCTGGAGGCAACAACCCAACGTTGGCGGCCTTCCATAGAGCTCTCAAGTACTCGACATGAGTTGACGAGTCTTCGCTGGTAAACTCGACGGGAGGCGAGAAGACTCCGTTTGCGAGGGTTGAGTTTGCAAACAGCTCCTTCACCGCAGCAAATTCCGGGAGAAGCCATGGCTCATCAATCTCGGCGTCAAGGCCCCTTGCTTGCAGCTGATCCAACCGTAAATTGGCCGCTTCGAGTAAGATTTGATGCCGTTGTCGCTGTGTAGCGGGGACAGAACACAAACACAAAGAGAGACCAGGCGAGGCGAGGATGAGTTTTACAAAAAGGTCGGCAAGTTTCAAAGCTCTGCTGGAAAAAACGACAAAAAGCAACCAATTTCTTCTCCCCGCCCATCTTCCGACACACGCCAAACCACCACCCCCGCCCCAAAATACTTCGCCAGCTCTTACATGAATGTCGGCGGCTTGAGCAGAGCCTGTGCCGAGCAACTCGTACAAGTCCCATTGCAATTCTTCAAACGAAATGTCGCCGTGCAGTGTGGAGCGTGTGTTTGGGTCACCAAACGAAGTCAAGGGCCAATGCTGGGGGAATTCGGCGTGAAACGTCTCCAGTTTGATCTCTTCGGCCTGGCGAGCATTGGCTGCACTGGCACCACCAGCAAAGCCGCCGCGCTGGCTGTTGCCGCCGCCTCGCGCAGCATTGAAAGATTGATTGCCATTAAACGAGCTGGTCCCGACCGGGGCTCGACCATTGTTTGCGGCAAACCCACCTCCGCCACGCGAGCCGCCTCGCGAGGTGTTGTTAAAGCCCCCAGCTCCTTGAAAGCCGCCGCCACGGCCTGCGCCTTGGTGAGCAAATCCGCCGCCGCCGCCCATTGATGCAGGTTGTATGTGGCTTGTTTGAGGTTGCGAGAATCCGCCTCGGTTCTGGATAAAGTTGAAAAACAGATCGTGGCACACCAATGATCAGTCACAGCTGAGCACAGTCACAGTGGCGTGCATCCAATGCTGCCAGCACGACGTTCATTCTTTGACATTGTTTGGTTGAACGACGGCAAAACGAAAGGTGCCAACTTACCGACCAACCCGTCTGAGCAGCGCCGCCTCGTGTGTTTCCTCCGCCGCCGCCGCCGCCGCCGCCGCGTCCCATGCCGCCCGTGTTGGACTGGAACCCGAAGCCTGTGTTTGCGGGTGCCCCACGGTAGCCAGTGTTGGGAGCGCCATGAGCTGCGTAGCCACCGCCGCCGCCGCCTCGACCATAGCCGCCTCCACTGCCGCCCGTAGCCATTCCAAAGCCGCCCGCGCCAGTCGCCATGCCAGCATGCCCACCTCGCGGTGCAAAGCCTCCGCCACGGCCAGTGGCCCCGCCGCGCCCAAAGCCGCCGCCGCCGCCGCCGCCGCCGCCACGCGACATGGACGCAGGCGGACCAGCAGCACCCTGCATTGCACGTCAAGTCAGCGGTCCAGTCAGTCGTCAAACGCAGCACGCACGCATTTGTTTGTTTTCGTGAACGTGTTCATCATGCTTACATGGCTGAATGTGCAATTGGCGCCATTTCGGCAGTTGCCTGCTGCAAAGTAACGACACTGCTGCACCATTTGGAAAGCAAGCAAAACAGAGAGACTGACTTGTTCCTCTTCTCTTCTGAGTTAATACTACTTGCAAATCTATTGGTCTTATTCTGTGCAGATGTCGTAAAACGGAAACAAACCCCGCCTCAGTCTCGAATTATTGCATTTTATTGGCGGTTTTTTTTTTCGATTTCATCCATTTTTCAGTTTGAAACCGTTTCAAATTCCGCGTTCATTTCGTTTCGTTTCGACTTTTCAACATAATGCCGCTCTATCAGCCACCTATGCCCGCATCGCCGTATGCAGGCAACACGCCGGCAATGGCATCGCGACAGACGCCACGGGCAGCCGAAGCGGGATGGCAGACGCAGCCACAGGGGCAAAGGCGGCGCGAAGACCCTTTGACGCACACTAACCGCGCGGCTCCGCCGAGATCAGCAAGCAGACCAGGCCAAGCACCAGCCCAGGCCCCTGCAACGCAAAAGGATCGACGTGATGTGCGCAATCCATCGGCCGCTGGGAAAATGAGTCCAGAGATCGGGGCCTCGGGTCTGAGACGGCTTTTGCAGTCGCGGGAAAACGACTTGGTGCAAGCGGGCGATCTGCTGGACACGTACCTTGGCATCATCCTCGGAGATGCGAGATCGATCGCTGGTGCAAATGCACATCACAGACATGCGGGCAAGGTCCAGTTCACTGCACAAGACGACGCACGCGTGCACGATCTGTTGTCAAGTAGCCGGCAGTCGACGAGGTCAGATCCGGTCGCAACACCACACCCCAGCACAGCAAGGGCTGCAAGGACTGCAAGTACAACAAGTACAGCACAATTAGACAATCCTCCCACTCCGGCCCCTGTTTTCGCCAACCAGGCACATGCTTCCGAAACACCACAGGTATGGCATTCTTCGTTCGACGTTTTCTTGCTGTTTTGCTGATTTTTTTTTTTATTTTATTTTTTTGCTGCTTGATATTGAAGCCTCCCAAACCTCGCACTGATTTTCACACGCCAAGAATACCGCTAAATTCTTCCGTGACACGTCCCGGCACACACCCAGATCCCGCGAACGCTCGAGGCGAGGCTGTGCTTTTCACTCCGCATTCGGCGAAACGACAACAGCATCCCGTCGGCCCGACGGACGACTTGCACGAAAGCTTCGGGGCTAGTTTTAACACGTTTGATACTGCTCATCAGCATCCCTTCCTGGACCAGGAGAATCAAGAAAACGAACGTAGTTTCAACCGTGGTCATGCACAGCTTTTGCAGCGCATCCACGCCTTGGAAGACATGCAGGCGGAAGTGATTACCAACGCATCGCACGATCGTCAGCAAGCGGAGCAGCTGTTGCGCGAGCAGGTGAGCCCAAGTTGATGAGACTTTCGTGTTTGTGAGGCTTTGTGCCTTGGCATTGTTCGGCTTCATCAAAGTGCTGTGTCCTCACCGTCTCAACGCTTGGGGCAGCACCATTCCGCGACGCAAGCACACGCGCAACTAGAGCAAGCATACGACGAAATGGAACACCTTCGAAGACAGCTCGCTCAACTCCATCAGGAGCGGGACGATGCACAATCGAAAGTGTTTCAACTCGAAGACCTGCTAGCACGGTAGGTGCCATTTTTGTATTGAAGGGACACTTGTGAGAAAAAAAAAACACCGTAATGGACCTCTCTTCCAACTCACACGCTGGCACTGTGACAAACCCCCCCCCCTCTTGGTAGTGAAAAAGCAGAGCAGCTCGAAAACATTCGCCTGTCAAAGATTGCCCTCGACCTGCAACAACGCAATGCACAGCTCCGGGCAGCACTTGTCGAGCGCTTTGCAGCACCCTTGCCTCCCGGTTTCAATGTGACGTCTCTCATTTCGATCGAAGATCTGGAGCAAATCATTGATCGCAACATTGTGGACGAGATTCACAACCGTCGGCGCACTCGCGATGGCGCAGCCGAATGCATTCGCGATCTCCGCTCCTTGCTCCAAGTCTGCAGCAGCATAACAAAGGGACAAGCTCCAGCTGCCGGTTTATTGTTGGCGTTGAATGGTGCGTTTCACCTCTCATCTCGTTGAGTCAAACGAATGCGCAATCTCACTCACCATTTTTGTTTGTTTTTCTCCGCCTCGAACAGACCCCGAATCGACGAGAATGAGACATGAGCAAGTTCAAGCCGTCCCGTCAGAGGACGAGCCTTTGGACAGATTGCTCAACGCGCTCCAAGTCTCGCGAGTCGAGCTCAACACTATTCGGCGACATGTTGCAGACGAGTATGCTCGATCACTAAGCCAGGACACTGCTCCTTCGTGCACACTACAATAATGGCCGTCGCGGTGTTGGTCCAAAAAAAAAATCGTTCAAAAAAACCGACAAGGATTGAAAATAAAGATTGAAAACATTGTATTTGTCTTCCAACTTGTTGGCTTTTCAACAAAACAACGTCATATCGTGAGGGCGGGAACATATCGACAGCAAAACCCGGAACATGCTGCAGAAGTGGAGTGGGGCGGAGGGCGAAGAAAACAAAAAACCGAGGCAAACACCTGCAAAACCAGAGTGAGAGAAGGGAGGGCTCCCACTCGCGGTTTACAGACGGCGACCACGGCGACCACCCTTGCGACGGGTGCTGTCTGTGGGGATGGGGGTAACATCCTCAATGCGGCCAAGCTTCATGCCAGCGCGGGCAAGAGCGCGGAGGGCCGATTGTGCGCCAGGGCCGGGGGTCTTGGTGCCGTTGCCACCGGTAGCCCGGAGCTTGATGTGAAGGGCAGTGACGCCGAGCTCCTTGCAGCGGGCAGCGACGTCCTGAGCGGCGAGCATAGCAGCGTAGGGGGAGGACTCATCGCGGTCAGCCTTGACCTTCATGCCGCCAGTGACGCGGACGATGGTTTCGCGGCCAGACAGATCGGTAACGTGCACGAAGGTGTCGTTGAACGAGGCATAGATGTGTGCGACGCCGAAAACGAGCTCGCCCTCGCGGACCTGGGGGCCGAGGTTGACGTTCTCCTCCTTCTTGAGGAGCTTGGCCGCAGCCTTGGAAGCCTTAGCAGCACCAGACATTGTGGATCTGTTGATTTCGGCACGCGACGGCGACAGCAAGAGCGAGCGAGAGAGAGAGAAGCGCAAGTGAGTGGAAAAGAAACGGGCATATGGGTTGGACAAAAAAAAAAAAAAAAAAGCAAAGAGCTTTCAACACAGCTGTAAACGGGCGCCTCAGAGTCGCTCCTCTCGTGGCCCCAGCATCCCCTCGCAACATACGCCTAGCGTGCACAGCGCCGCACAATGCCGAGGACCCACGGTTGAAGGGGACGGACGGCCATGAAATCAAACAGAAAATGCAACAAAAAAAGCGCTTTCGTCTGCTCCAGCAATCCGCAGGCCAGGACCAGCCTGTGGCGCCTGTGCACGGGCCCCCAGAGTCGCACCCCAGCCATGCCGAAACCGTGAAAGGGCGACCAGAGAGTCGTGGCGACCGACAGAGCCGCTCCAGCTGCAAAAAAACGGAGCCCACAGCACCAAGCCGAACGACAACCGCTCAACTCTTCCTCCAACTTTGCCGAGGCCGTACGACGTGATGCTCCATTGCTGCCCCACCCTCGCGCCACTCAATCGTGCTCGGCATATGATTGTTCAACAGATTCGCGAAGGGGGACGTGGGTCGGGCGCAGGATGACAAACGCACAAGTAAAAAGAGAGAGCGAACAAAGTTGCGTCGAGAAACCGAATGTGGATTTTTTTATTTTGTATTTTTTTTTTCGATTTTCTTCTTCATTGTACTCTTCGATCGAGGTTTTATCGGCACAATGGATGAAAAGGTCGACTTGGCAAGAGCTCGGTTTTATTGTAAACTATTGCATTGAGTATTCGGCTCAAAATCTGATTTTGCGTGGACGATCAGACGCGACGGAGAGGACGAACAGCAATGGCAATGCAAACAAGCTCAGAGTCGTGATCCTGGGACAGCAGGGCTGACGTCCGTACGTCCCGCTCGCATATTCCTCGGTATACTTCCTACAATGCCCTCCATGAAATATGAATGCACCGCTGGCCTGGTCGTTGCCGGTCTGGATTTGCGATGATTTCGGAATCGACTCCAATCAAATTGGTTGCCTCTCACTCTCTTCCCCCCCCCCTTTTGCTCTTTCCCTCGTTGCTTCGCGCGATTTGACGAGTGCAGGACCTCGATTACCCCCAGCATTGTGTCGTTGCAGTGTATTTTTCGTGCAGGTCACTCCACCTCGAAACACGGTTTCTTTGTTTCATGGTAAGAAATTTCACGTCTGAATCGCTAAAACGCAACCCAAATCTGACAACCGCGTTCGTATGCCCGCTCCATCAGTCTGCCGCAGCTGCCAAGCCTGAGAACGCAAGCAAGTCAGTAGAAGCCGCAAAGCTGCTGGCCGATCTGCCCCGGCTGTCGAAAGAGGTAAACGTTCGTGACTGGGGAGCAACAAGCCAGCTGAAAGCCTTCGCAAACATCAACCCCCTTCTTCCAACCAGACGTATGGCACCGAGCCCTGCCAGCCCCGCCCCCGCGCAGTCGTGTTTGTTGCAGTCTGAGTGGCAAGTGGTGTCGCTTTTGATCACCCGTGTTGGGTGCTGGAAGAGGAACAGGAACAGCAAACTGTCGAACAACAAAACAGCAAAAAAAAAAAAAAAAAAAAAAAGTTGCGCTTCCTCTGGCTGCTGTGCAGCTGGACAATCGCTCTGTCCTTGGTGGGTTGAACGCGTTGTATGTGAACGAGTGCCTGTGCCTGTGTGCGCAAGCGGTGGAGGGCAGGGAGGACAGGGGGACCAACATGCGGCCTGTCGATGAGGCGTCGCCAAGCTTCTGGAATTAGTCCCGACATGCCTCGTCTGTCTTGCGGTGTTGAGCTCATCTCTGCAATCGCCAAGTGTGGAAAACAAGTTGCGCGGTGCTGTGATGAGCAGACGCGGAAGGGGCCCTCATGGGAGAAGTGTGTATGGGGGGGGGGGAATGCGAATCCTGATCACGCTCTCCAACACATTCTGCTCCAGTTATGACGGTTTGTGCGTGGCTCACTGAATCCTCCTTTTGGACATGACCAACAGGTTGTGCAGTCCGTGCTGGGTGGAATGCAGTACGAGCCATCCAAGGCCGACCAGTGGTCTGCCGACATTGTTGAGCGAATGCTCACCAAACTTAACGCGCTTGTGGGCCCTCACCTGCCGTACAAGTTTTCCGGTACGTACGACATTGGACCATGATTCCTTGCTGCTGCTTTGTTGCCATCCAATGGCTGGCGAACGCTTTGATGCTTGTTGTGGCGATCGTGACATGCCAAATCACTCAACATGTATTTGCAACAACCACAGTAACTGCCATTTTGATTCAGAAGCGAAACGCTGGATCGCACATTTCTAGTGGATGCTTGTACGACAAGGAGACGGACGGTAAGCATGTTGGGAGCGCGCGCGACGGTTGATTGTATGATTGAAGCTTTGGCTCGGAATTTTGATTTGTTTTGGGTTTTTTGCGTTCGACTTGCAGAAAACCAAACAATGCGATGGGAGAACGAGTCAATGTGGTGCTTTACCGTGGTCAGCAGCTTGATGTATGGAAGCGCATGATCCACTTGCGCCGCGCAAGCGTGGAAAGAAAACCAAGCGCTCTGATTTTTCTTTTGCTTTCGTTTGTTTTTTTGTTTTTTTTTAAATCGCTGATCGCGAGTAATCTTGTGTCGCTGCTGATTTAGTGTCTTGTCAATTGAATAGAAGCATTCCTCCAGAATCAGACGCCGCAAGACTTGCGAAAAATTTGTGGTTGCTCCGATTGTGCGGATTGAATAGTTCGCTGTGGCTAAAGTCAGGCCCAACCTAGGAGTGCCGAGCGCCCTCTTGGGGTGGAATGCTCGATGAGGCACCTGATGTGGCGGCAGGCGGATGTGTTGGGGCTCGGTGACGCTGAGCCAGCTGTCTTTGCCGGTGTGCGTCCAGGTCTTTCTGCTGTTGATCGAGTTGAAGCGTCTGGCGTTTGAGCTCCGCCTTGGCCGTGTTGAACAAGCACGAAATGTTCTTCTTGAGCGCGGTGTTTTGCTGAGCAAGCTTTTTGTTCTAGGGACGCAAGGGACGGGAGAAGGTGTGCGTGTGAAGTTGGCAAGCTTGCTCAGGCAACAAACAGACAATCAACATGTGTGCATGAACATACCTCGCTCTCGACAACGGTGAATCGCGCGCGCAATTCTTCAAGAGCACGCTGGGCTGCCTCGGCGCGATTGTAGACCTGTGAGGAAGCACGCCCAAGAACAAAATTGGCGGGTGAGTTGGTGGCTGTGAGCCACAGCGCGATCGCTCGAATGAAAGAGCAGATCCCGCATCTGACAACAACCTAAGCTTCATTTCTCATCGGTATCGACATGGCTGAGACGAGGAAACGTGTGCATCAAGGCAAGGTTTACCTCGGCATACGTTTCCATGCCATACTCGAGCTTGCTACTACTACTGGTGGCTGCCGTCGCTTCACCGACCGAGGCCGTCGAGCTGCTTGGCTGAGCAGGTGCCTCGAGATCGCCGTACAAGTCCATCTTGTCTGCCTCTGACGATGCAGCGCTCGCCATGGTGCGCACCAAATTCACAACTTGACACACAAAAACAAAACACAAAAAAACAGACTGGATCATGGACTTTGCTTTATCAGACTCACAATCCCCGTATCCAGAAACATCCGACAATATGTGTTCAGCATAAGAGTGTCTCGTGCTAGAACAGCGAGCATTCGGCAGTCTCCAGTCAGTCATTGTTCTCTTTTGTGAATGCTTTCAATCGGCTCACTGACTGCTGCTGCTGCTCCGAAGGCAGTCGCGGCTCGGGTCGCCTTGGCCTGTGTCGCATCATCAGCATGTACAATTGCTCCTCCTGCACGATGTAAGAGCGTCGCCTTGGCTCCTGAATGTCGAGGCACAGAGCGGGGAGGAGGGCAAGAGAAGGAAAGGAGCCTGTACTTTTTGCACGCGGTCTTGTGCAGCCAGCAGGCCCCCTGCTCGCCTTCCCCCTCCTGCTAACGGAAAGAAAGGGGACGCGGGGAGAGAGGGCTGCTCAACACGCCATTCCTGGCTGTTCAGCACGGGTCGCACTTTTGACATGGAGACTCTTATCTAGAAGGAAAAAGAGGCTGCGATCTCGCCTTTTCTCCCCCTTTCGCTTGTCCGCCTTTTGCTTGTGTCCCCGCTGACTGCTTGTTTGGCTTTTTGTGTACATGTCTGGCTTGGCAGTTGGAGGCACGTATCGCCCGCGCATCAAGCAGCAGCCGCCGAAACCAGGCGTCCTCCGCAAGCTCAAGTCGCCACCCAAGATTGAGAATGCGTACCGTGCAGACATCCCGGAACTCGACCTGTCAGTGTCATCGCGCTTGTCGACGCCAGAGGCCCGGACACGCCTGCGCGACTTTGACCGCTTGAAGGCCAAGCTGGACAAGTTGGAGGCCGAATCCGCCACCAACTCGAACGCGGACGAGCGGGCAGCCACCGCCCGTTATGTTGCCGAGACCCTTTCGGCTGCCGATCGGCAAACCAAGTTCCTGCCCGTCGTTGGCAAGGAGCACGACCGTCTGACGGGCGGCAAGTTCAAGCACCACGTCGCCACGATGGAGTTTGAGGCCAAGCATCCCGTCGACCTCACCAAGGTCAGTCTGCGCCGAGAAGGCTCGACTGCCCTGCTGCCCAACATTGTCAGCTCGCAGTCAGTCGAGGACTTTGTCCGAAGCTCGCCAGCGCTTTCCCAAGCCCTCTCTGTTCACATGGGCACTCAAACCGAAGTCGTGACCCTCCGCAAGCGCGAAGTTGCCGCAGATCTGCAGCGTCATACACATGATACCGGGTCGGCCGAAGTTCAAGGTGAGCTTTGAGCTTTGAGCGGGTTTTGTTATTTGGATTTTTTGAGGGGGGAGGTGAAGTTTTGGTTTTGTTTTTGGTTTTTTTGTTTTTGGATTGGTTTGAATTGGTTTTGGTTTCGGGGTGGGGCCAATCATGCGTTTGCGTGCCTTTGATTTGCTTTGAGAACATTGGGCGTGTTTTCCTGACCTGTGATGAGTTGTGTGCTTTGCTTGAACAGTTGCGATGCTCTCCATTCGGATTCAGCAATTAATTCAACACCTCAACTCGAAGACCATCGGCCGCAGCAAAGACCACCGCGCACGACGAACGTTGATGCTGCTTGCAGCGCGACGACGGCGCATGTTGCTCTATCTGCAACGCCAGGACGTTCAGCGATACTTTGTCACCCTCAAAACCCTCGGCCTCAAGACCATCGTCCCCGCCAACAAGTACGACTCGTTCGAGCGAGCACGGCAAGCGCGCGTGGCACGCTCCAAGAGCAAGAAGTCCTCGCGCGGACACCAAGTCCCGAAGGCACGCCACGACTGGCGCGCTGCCGAGCAAGCAGAATATGTTCAGCTCGTTCAGAAGCGTTGATCCAGAATAAACACCACCACCTTCAACCCGGCATATCAGAACACTGCAAATCAGAATAGCAACTCAAAAAAAGTAAAGAAACGTTGTGAAAAGCACTTGGATAGAGGAGACAGTGAAAACTGTATTGAGCAGATTATTGACAAAGACAATTTCAAAGACTCGTCAAGTTTAGCCACCACGCAGGCGGAGAACGAGGTGGAGCGTCGACTCCTTCTGGATGTTGTAGTCCGAGAGAGTGCGGCCATCCTCAAGCTGCTTGCCGGCAAAGATGAGACGCTGCTGGTCCGGGGGAATGCCCTCCTTGTCCTGGATCTTGGCCTTGACGTTCTCAATGGTGTCCGAAGACTCAACGTCGAGAGTGATAGTCTTGCCGGTCAGGGTCTTGACGAAAATCTGCATGCCACCACGCAGGCGGAGGACGAGGTGGAGCGTCGACTCCTTCTGGATGTTGTAGTCCGAGAGAGTGCGGCCATCCTCGAGCTGCTTGCCAGCGAAAATCAGACGCTGCTGGTCCGGGGGAATGCCCTCCTTGTCCTGGATCTTGGCCTTGACATTCTCAATGGTGTCCGAAGACTCAACGTCGAGAGTAATGGTCTTGCCGGTCAGGGTCTTGACGAAAATCTGCATGCCACCACGCAGGCGGAGAACGAGATGGAGGGTAGACTCCTTTTGGATGTTGTAGTCGGAAAGGGTGCGACCATCCTCAAGCTGCTTGCCAGCGAAAATGAGGCGCTGTTGGTCCGGGGGAATGCCCTCCTTGTCCTGGATCTTGGCCTTGACGTTCTCGATAGTGTCAGACGACTCAACGTCGAGAGTGATAGTCTTGCCGGTCAGGGTCTTGACGAAAATTTGCATCTTGGTGTAGTTTCAACGGAAATTGAAAAAGAAAACTGATCTGATTCAAATTTGGACGTTTGCTTAAATACCCCCAGCAAAAAAAATAATGAATATCGTCATTCTGCGCCGCAACGTCAGCTTGCACGATTTCGTCACTTTCGGCGTGGCAGCAGCAGCGCCACCAGCGGAAGTACACGCAGCATGACCTGTGCTACCCGCGAGAGTCAGGCGCGACCAGCCCAGCGGCACAGCAGGCGGGGAAACCTGGCCAGAAGCCAGCCGAACAGACTAGAAAGTACGAAAAAAAATTGAAAAATAAAAAAGCGCGGGCTTTTGATGACGCGATGTCGGCGTCCTCGTCCTGAGCGACTGCGCGATGTCCGGTCGTCTGCGACGCGCGCACCACCAAGCACAACGTGTCGGAATGCGCATTGTGCCACGGGTCAGCGCGGCAGGGGCGGGGGAGACGCTGGAGCGGAGCAGTAGGACAAGAAGCAGGCACGTCACCGGTTCTTTTTCTTCCCAAAAACAAAAATCATAAAAAACAAAAAAAAAGGCCTTCTTTTGGCGCCCAATTACGTCAGTGAGCGAAGCTCGGAGCGCGTTTTTAGCTGCACAGCGAAAGGAAGGGCGCATCAGCACAGCGAATTTTAGAATCGAGGCACGCTCCTTTCGGGCGAAAAGCCAACTCGAGTCGTTCTCGAGCAAGGAGGGAAGAAGGAATGACATGGAGACAGAGTTCGAGGAGATGAACGATTTGTTTGCGTGAAAGTTGTTGAGGTTTTTTCAATGCTGAGCAGCCATGAGCACAGTGAAAAACAAGTGCACAGTGAAAATTGCCTGCAACCCAGCATGTGAACAGCTTGTCCATCCAGCGAAATAAATACGAATGCTGTCAAGAAGCTGGATGGATGTTGGGATTTCTGATTTGACAGTTTGCCTCGACGCACGCTTTGATTTTGACAGTGTAAATCCAACATGAAAAGCGCTTCGCATCGCAACATACTGTCCCAAACCGTTATTTGCCTTGAGGTGAAATGATGCTGTCTCGAGGCAAGTCAGAAAAGCTTAAAAGTGAACGCCTTCGGCAATCATCTCGCTTTTCGTTCGTTGCTTTCGCTGCTCTCGTTGATTGATTGGAGAAGTGCCGCCCTCCTGATCTCCTGTCGTCGTAACGCTGTACCATGCAGGATGCGACGGTGAGTTGGAATGCAGGCAACGTGGTGAAACTTTTAAGGTGTTGCTCTTGACAACCTGTCAAGTCGATTTCGAGCGGGGCTTGTGTCAGCCGAGACGGCCTACTTTACAGTACGCTTTTGAGGTTGGGGGACCTGTTTTCTGCCGCCATCGGGTGCTGTGCTGTTGTCCATAGAGAGACACACGCACACACGCACCCACTCGCAAACCGATCGCTCTTGTCCGAAGGCCAGTCAAACCGACACGAAATGGGAGCAAGTTTTAATAATTCATGCCCTTTTGAAGGCTGATCTTCGATCTGCCCCTTTTTATTTCAATCCCATTCCTGCATCTCGCCTACGCCATCCCCATCTCTCCCCCCTCAGCGAGAGCTGACTTGTTTTTGTTGTTTTCCAGCTTGTTTTTGTTCCGCTTCAAAACCGCTCGCGGCTGTTGCTGCTTCTTTTAGCCTTTGATTTTGATTGATTGTTTTTTTTTTTTTTTTTTTTTTTTTTCACGCCTTTCCTCATTCCTTTTTTTTTTTTTTTTTTTTTTTTTTTTCGGGGCTTTTGGCTGAGAATCGCTTGTTCCACCAAAATCTCCTCTCTCTACCCTCGTCTGCTTCGTTCTTCCATTCAACAGGACTTGTGCACACACACACACACACTTTCGACGCGCTTTTCGTCCCTGTGCGCGTTTGCTTCCGCTGGTGTGCAGCGCTGGGTTGGCTGCCTCCTGCTGCGTCATTTCCCCTTTCTCTCTCTCTCGCTCTCCCTGTCTCACGCACACTCTCTCACTCTCGAGACGCAAGTGACTCGCGCTGCTGCTTCTGGTTGTTTCATTCCCGCATCAACGAGCTGGCTTCGAACAGCAGCCTACAAACAAACGCTTGCGAGTCGGGCTGGAATACTCGCGATAGAACCGACGAAGCGACTTCACGCGTCCCCCACCCAATCAACCCAGCCAACAACAAGGGCAAGGTCACGTCATAGACAAGCCACTTGGCAGTACGCTCGGATAGCAGCCGCATCACGAGTCCAGAACCAGTTGAGCCGACCGACGGCAAAGAGAACAAAAGATTTCCCTCGCAGCCATGTACGCAACCCCGGCGCCGCCCTACTCTCAGCACCATCAGCAGCAGCAGCAACAACAACAACAACAACAACAGCAGCAGCAACAACAACAACAACAGCATCATCAGCAGCAGTCGCCGTCTCCAGTGGCACAGCAGCAGCAACATGGTAGCTTCCCACCGCAGTTTGCTCAGCTGCCGCAATACCAAGTCGCGATCGAGCGCATCCGAATGAGCCTCGACCCACTCCGTGTCGACTCGCCCATCGTCGGCAGTAGCCAGGGACTGCTGCTCCAACAGGGCCAGGCCGGCGCAGGCAGCAACAGCGGCAGCAGCACCGAGGGCCCAATGACTCCGAACCGCACAACCACAACCGCATCCGCATCCGCATCGCCCGCACCGCAGGGACACGCGCTCGCACCGTCCAATGCTGCTGCTGCTGCTGCTGCTGCTGCTGCTGCTGCTGCTGCCGCAGTTTCTGCTTTGCCATCCATGTCGTTTGCACAGACACAGGCACATCCGCTATCGCTGCCACAGTCCGTGACCCCGCAGCGCGCTGGTGCACCACTTTCTCCACGGTCGTTTACCCCATCCGTAGCCGACCACGCCGCGCCAATGCCACACCAAGGCGGTGTGCATTATTCTTCTGCACTCTATGGCAGCGTTTCGACGTCGTCCCCGCTTTACCAGCATGTCTCCCCAATACATGGCATGAATGTGCCCTTCCCGGCGACGACATCCGTGACCTCGCCCGGGATGCCGTCCGACCTACACGTGTCGCAGATGCAGTACGTGCCAGGATTTGATGCCGCCGGAGCCACGGTCAACACCCCTGACCACCATACTGCTGCTGCGCGTGCAAGCCACAAACAACACCCTGCGCAAAACTTGCTCGGAAGCAGCAGAGCTGGTATCAGCAGCAGTCCGCTCCCCAACACTACCACGCCACACCTTCCAACTAGCATTAACAGTATCGATGCTGCCATAGCCGCTCAACGCGCTGTGGTTGCTGCAAAGAGCAGTGCAAACATTGCATCCGCCGCCGCCTCCTTGTCTGCACAACACCAGCAAGACGAACGTCGGCTCCAGCAGCAACAACAGCAGCAGCAACAACAACGGCAACAGCAACAGTCACAACACCAGCAACAGCAACAGCAACAGCAGCAACCACCACCACCACTGTACAATCCAGAAGCTTGGTCCCAACCCGCCTCCGCCTCACCCCTCGCATCTCCGTCAAGCCGACCGTCCTCCACGACGCCAATGTCTGAAACCAACTTGCCCGTTCTCACGCTGGGTGGCGTTACATCCTCAACCTCCCATCTCGGCGGCGCTGTTGTGGCGGGGTCGCCCGCCGCTGCCTCCCTCTCGTCGCGCCGACTTGACACCATTCGAGCGTCCATCAAAACTTACGAGCGAGATCCTCAGTCGGGTGATGGTGGCGCGGTGCCATCGCCAGCCGCCACCGATGGAGACGGGCATGCGCATGACGTTGGGCCCCTGCACCACGCCCAGCCCCAGCAAGCTCAGCCTGCATCCCCACGCCGCGACACGGTGGTCATTGCATCACTCAACGATCGACTTGCAGATTCGTCATCGCCCCCTCCAGTTCGTGTTTCCAACACCAAGCGTCTGCCCGAGTACCGTGTCGCCATCAACCGCGATCCTCCCCTTCTCAATTCAGTCCGCGCGCGCAGCATCGAGGATGCACCAACAGATGGGTCACCTGCACCGAGTTCCGCCGATTTGCCTCCAATCACTGCTGCGGCTGCTGCTGCTGCGGCGGCGGCCGCGGCGGCAGGAATTGTCGCTTCGACGCAGCCCGTCTCCCCACCTCCGACTGCTGCTGCTGCTGCTGCTGTTGCTGGTCACCACGTCCCAGATGCCGCGACAGTTGCTGCTGAAAATGAAAACGTTCCTGTGCCGGCCCGCATCCTGGAAAAGGCCTCTGTCGTCAAGTTTTACATTGAGCAGCACTTTGAAAACCTGATGAAGGCGTGCTACGAGCGCAACAAACGGCGAGACCAGCTCGAGATTGAGATGGCCAAGATGGACCTGACCGATGTTCAAAAGACCCAGTTGCGTCGCATCCTCCGCATGAAGGAATCAGAGTACATCCGACTCAAACGCGTCAAGCTGGACAAGTCCATGTTCACGACCGTCAAGAAGATCGGAGTCGGCGCTTTCGGAGAGGTTACCCTCGTTCGCAAGGTCGACGATGCCCATGTCTACGCAATGAAGACGCTTCGTAAAGCGGATGTGCTGCGCAAGCACCAGCTGGCCCACGTCAAGGCCGAACGTGACATTCTCGCCGAGGCCGACAATGAGTGGGTCGTCAAGCTCTTCTACTCGTTCCAGGACGAAACAAAGCTCTACCTTGTGATGGAGTATGTTCCTGGGGGTGACATGATGTCGTTGCTCATGAAGCTCAACACCTTCTCGGAAGACATGTCGCGATTTTACATTGCTGAAATGGTCATGGCCATCGATTCTGTGCACAAGATGGGGTTTTCGCACCGCGACATCAAGCCCGACAACATTCTCATCGACCGTCGCGGTCACATCAAGCTGACCGATTTTGGCCTGAGCACCGGCTTCCGTTCAACGCACGACTCGGCCTATTACAAGGAGCCCGATGCAGCCACCGTCAGCGCGTCCGCGGCCATTGCCGCGTCCCTTGCGAACGGCGCCTCTTCACCGCCGTCGGTTTCACCCGCGCCCAGCAGTCCACCAGCAACCCATGGCGGTGCCTTGGCTGCGGCTGCGCAGAATGATGCCAGCGCCCCAGGCACGCCAACAGGGCTCACTGAACGCCAGGAGCAAATGAGGCGACTACGATCGCAGGCGCATTCGCTCGTCGGAACGCCCAACTATATCGCGCCAGAAATTCTGCAGCGCACAGGCTACGGCAAAGAGTGCGACTGGTGGTCGATGGGAATCATCTTGTTCGAAATGCTGATGGGCTACGCCCCGTTTTGCTCGCAAACCTCTGCGGAAACCAAACGCAAGGTTCTCAACTGGCGTGCGACGTTGCAAATCCCCCCGCGGGCAAAGATTTCGCGCGAGTCCAAAGACCTCATCTCCCGGCTCTGCTGTGAATCCTCCGATCGTCTCGGCCGGGAGACGGTCGAGCACATTAAAATGCACCCATTTTTTGCCTCGATCGACTGGTCAGCCGATTTGCACACGTTGCCTGCCCCGTTTGTCCCCGACGTGCGGACCGAGGAGGATACCAGCAACTTTGATGATTTGCCGCAAGCGCTTCATGTTTCTCAGCAAAATCCTGGTGAGGTTCGAGAGCTCATGGCCAATCCGCGCGCGCATCACGCTTTTGTTGAGTTTACCTTCCGTCGCTTCTGGACGCTCAACAACAATAACAACAACAGCAGTAACAACAACAACAACAGCAACAGCAGCAGCAGCAGCACGAATAACAACAGCAGCAACAGTACCGCCAACGCTCCGCAACAACGCGCATCAGCTCAAGGCGACAGTCGCAGTGCCAATGGAACTCGTAGCAGCACTCTTCCAGGCGGTGCGAGACCAAGCCAAAACGCCGCTCCTTCCAGCTCGAGCAGTCGCTCAAGCCGCGGGGGCAAAAGCAGCACCCTCCAACCTGCGCCTGATGCCCGCCGATAGAAAAAAAAAAAAAAAAAGCGCCACCTCCCACCCTCCAGTTGACGCTGGTCAATGCTAATATATTGTTTTTTCAGACAACCTGCCAGCCGTGCACTTGCATTCCCCTCTTGTCTCTCGCTCCTTTCCTTTACTTTCAAAAAACAACAGAGATAGAAAAAAATTGCAACAACAATGTTTATTTGGTGGGGCGCATCGCTCAAGCACAAGCACTCACAATACTCCATTGAAGATAGGGATGGGGGGTCAGGAACAGTGGACTGGCGAGAAACAGAAAACTTAGTTCATGGAGCGGATGAGCTCGTTGATCTTGTCCTCACGGTTGCCAAAGTCACCACCCTCGATGAAGTGCTGGGTGACCTTGCGCATGCCGCCAAGAGCCGACGACAGCTTGAAGGGCCAGAGGAAGTTGGTAACCTCCTTGAAGTGGGGGCCAACGGTGACGATCTCGTGGATGAGGTCCTCAACGCAGATAATGTTGAGCTTGCCGAGGGCGTTCTCGATGATGCGGTTGTCGGTCAGGGCAATGCGTTGGCGGTGGACCTTGCCAAAGCCGCGCTTGTAGACGAGCTCGCGAACAGACTTGAGGTTGGGGTAACCGTAAGCAATGTAGGGCTCAGCAATGCGGAGCATGTTGATGGTGGCCTTGTTCAGCTTGACGAAAACGCCGTTGTGAATCTGGAGCAGGCGGAGGAGCTGCAGCACCTTGCGGACCTTGGGGTGGATGCCGGTGATACTACAATGTGCCAAGGCGGTGGGTGAGTCAACAAGAAGAGGACGGCAACGTCAAAGCTCAAAACCAAAAGGGTGGAGAGAAAGGTGTACTGCGGAGAGTTGGGGAGGGGTTTTGAACAAATGAAAAAGGAGGAAGAAGAAAAGGTCACCGAAAAAAAGAAAACACAAAAAAAGAGTAGGCTCGGAGGTGTTTCATAAATGAACACCCAAAGACGGTTGGATATCATCCCCGGGTGATTAATCCCGGGCTCATCCGAACGAGACATTATCTTGCAGTTCGTCACAGCCAAGAGAAAAGAAAAACCGGGAAAAGGAAGGCAATTCCATCCCAAAACGACCACCCGAAACAAAGCTCCAAACTCGTGGAAAGCGAAAGAGGCGAAAGAGGCGAAAGAGTTCAAAAAAGTCAACATACCCTCGGATGCGGATAACGAAAGCGAGCTTGGCCTCTGCTGGGACGTAGAAGTTGCCAGCAGTCTTGGCGTCGCGACGCAGGCGGACCTCGTCCTTCTGGATCTGACGGTACTCCTTGACGTAGCTCTCAGCGCGCTTGAAGATGACCTTGCGCTGGGCACGGCGAGCCTTCAAAAAGCAAAACAATAGAAGAAAAAAAAAGTCAGACAACAAAAAACAAAAACAAAAAACCAAGACAGAAAAGACTCGACAAAAAGTCGCAATCGGAAAAACCAGAAAAGTAACAAGGATGAAGAAAGTGTGTGCTCAGAACCAAACGAATCATTGAAGAGCAATAGGGAACTGCGTAGGCAAAAGCATCAAAGTAGCCACACGAGGCACCCGTTGGCGCTCCCCTCATACATTAAGCCTTTGTAGAATTTCAATTTCATCAACGCAAACAAGATCAAAAAAGATAATAAAGGGGAAAAATACAAGAAACAAAGAGAACGAAAGAAGTGCACTCCAAGAAGGGAAGGGAAGGTAGGAAGGCAGACAATCTGCAAAAAGCACATGGTGTGTCGAGAAAAACAAAAAGGCCTACCTTGACCTGCTTGGCGGCGCGGACGGCGCGCTCAGCCTTCAGCTTCTCGGCGGTCTTGCGCTTCTTAAGAAGGCTTTCGGGGACCTTGGGCAGGGTGGCAGCGCTGTGAGGGCAACAACAAAAAAAAACCAATACAATGAGTATTTTTGTGTGGATGTCACCAAACTCTTTGCCCAGATTTGCCCATTGTTGAAGAGAGGAATGTTGCTAATCAAGTCACTGAGGGGTTCCAGGAGAGAGACACTCAAGTGTGCAAAGGGCAGGGAGCAAATGAACAAAGCAGATGGAAGAAAAATCCAAAGAATTAACAAAAAAAAGCCATCTCATTGTCCCGTCCCCCCAAGTGTTAGGGCTGGAGATACTCCAATCACAAAACAAAATGCAACCCTAGCTGAACCGAAATGACGGACTGATCGGGCGAGACGAGGAGCAAGGCGCGAGCCAAACCAACTTCTCTCTCTCTCTCTCTCGCTCCAATGGCACTGCACTCACAGTCACACCGTTGATCGACGACGAAACTCTGCCAGTACGCCTATACTGAAACTTGTTGGTTGGTTGCCCTCTCAAATCTTCCAACAAGGATCCAGCAGGACCGACAACTACTCCAGCAAGGATACCCATGGAGCTGAAAAAAAAATCAGCTTCATCCCCACGAACGCCCGCTTCCACCTCGCTTTTCAGCACTTCTCCCATTACAACCCCAGCTTCCTACACCGGACTCCTGTACGTTGTCAGAAACTGCATCGGATTGGGGTGACAGAGGGCGGGTAGGTGGTGCGGATGGGCGTCCAAGGCGAGCCGAAGGGCAAAGTGGTGGAAACGGCCCTTGTTGGCTCTCCAACCAACAACCGCAGCTCGCCCCCTCGCTTCAACAGTGCCTTCGCCCCAGCCTCTCGTGCTCCCAACCGATTCAATTGTTGCTGCCGATGTTGTGGGTAGAGAGCAGGCCTGCGGTTGTGTCGGCGCAACAAGCTGCAGACCGAGAAAAGCTGGAAGAGAACCAAAAAAAAAAAAAAAAAAAATCAAACATACGCAGTCTCCGGCATTGGAACAAAAAAGAGAGCGAACAAACCAAAATGGAAGAAGAGAAAATGATTCACAAGAAAAATAATAATCACAACGAGGATGGTGAGGATGGTGGTACGCTTTATGTTGAACTTAAACAAAGACATTCAATAAGACGTGGAGAGATGAGGTGGAGCTTCAATCATCACGACAAAAACAACAACAAAAAAAAGCCGCCTTGCCACAATGAAGTGGACTTGAGCAGAAGAAGGTCCAAGGAACAAAAGCTCTACGCGTTCAATAGGGCCACGCAATCAAGCGACATGAGCTGAAGCTCGGACTGGCGAACAGGCTCGGCCAACGGCAACGCGGCAGTACGCGTCGCCGTCTCCAGCAGCCACGATGGAGTCGAGTCGGGCGCCTCTCGCTGCCCCGCGGCGTCCAACAGTTTGCCAACGGCAGAGATGTGCGTGGCAATCACAGATCGGCAAATTCTGTACACATCAAGAATGCGAACAGCGTCAGTCGCGATTCCATTTCGAGAGAAGAAAGGGAATGGCAAAAGGAAAAATTCAGAAAAGAAAAAAATTAGACTTGATGAGGAATCCCCCCCCCAAGGCACATCAAACTCGTCAAATTCAGGCACATACCGATCGAGTCGCGATGATGACGGCAGATTGGGAAGATGAGCGACGACTCGCGAAACGCAGTCTCGAAGTTCGCTTGGCTTTACAGCCGCGTCCGCTGGTCGGTCGAGAAGAGCACGGGTACGAATCAAACGAAGCAAGTCGGAATACACCTGTGAAACCAGAACAGAAACAAGCACGAAACAACCCGCGTGGTCAAGAAATTGTGAGAGTCGGCAAAATCCTTTTTTTTCTTTTTGGTTTTTTTTTTTTTTGGGCGACAGCAATGATGACCCCTCACCTGTCCTCCATCGAGCCAGCGTGGAATGTGGTCGCGATGCGGCTCGAGTGCGGAAAGGAAGGTCTGGAGTCGGTCAACTCGCTCTGTACCGAACACAAAAAAAAAATGAGCAAAGTGCTACAAGTAGCAAAAACCAACAATAAACACTGCAGTGAAAGACCCATACCATGCACGATGCAGTAAGCAGCGTAGGACGTGCATAGAACAGAGTGAGCAGCGATAAATCGACCCGCTCGCAGGAGGTGGCCGATCTGGCGATACGCCAACGTGCGGGCAACAATTTCGTTCTTGCCGCTGGCACAGCCCTGGTAACGGCACCACAAGGCCTGGAAAAGGGAGAAAAACAAAAGGCAAAAGGCCCCAACAACAAATCAAACAAAAAAACCAAGAAATTCAACACCACAAATGAGTAAAACGAAGCAAACACAGCAACGTTCCAACCAAACAAACAAGCCCAACGCAGAGAGCATCAACAAACCTTTGCTTCTTCAATCCAAGGAGCTGGGATGCGCAAAGTCTCAAGGAGGAACACTTCGTCACGTTTTGTGAAGGATGGCGCGTGCTGGAACAGGAGATCACGCACAATGGCATCGCAATGCGCCTGGTTGTGTGAGTGCAACGCGACGAAAATCGCCCAGCGCCAGAGACCTAATGCTTGGAGTTGGTTGATGTAGTTGGCTTGCAGCTTGTGGTAGACCACATCCTCCAGCTTGAAATCGCGAAGGGACGCGAGCACATGGAAGAGATGCCAACTCTGCGAATAATCCAAGCGCGACGGGGTCCAGTTCGCAGGCAACAGCAAATTGGCCAGGAAGACAGACTCTGTGGTGTTTGTCTCAAGCTCGCCGTCAAGCGAGAGATACAGCTGGAGCAAGTGGTAGCTGAGATCGAGGGGAAGGCGCCGAGTCGAACTGGAGGTGCCTTCGCGTCCATGTCGCTCAAGCGCCCGCTCGTGGTACACTGGCACAGGGAACGAGGCCTTCTTGTGGTCCAGAGCATGTTGGTAGGCGACCATGGCATCCCGAATGGACGAACGCGGATCGGTGCCAAACCACAACGCGACACCAAAGGCGCGCTTCCAGTCGAGCTCGGCGCAGACCTCGGATACATGGCCGCTGAGCAGCGTGTACAATCGCCAAGCAAGCTTGTCCATGTGGTTGTCTGCCCCGCTGTCGGCCCAGTTTTGCAATTGTTGCTCGACAATGTCCCGGATGTGCTCGTGCTCCAAGACTTGCGACATCAACATGGCCAGCCGAAGATTGCCCGTTTCCTGGGCCACGCGGCAGGCATGCTGCAAACGGCGACCCGTCAGAAGGGTGAAAATAATGTCGAGCGAGTCGCTGCCACTGTCGGTCGGCGCAAGTGCGGATTGGGCAGCCAGCTGGCGGCGACGGGCGACCAGCTTGGCCCCAACCTCAGCATCGACAGTGCGGCGCGTGGCACGCGCCAGCCACCGCGTCACGGTCTGGCGGCGCAACTGGTCCTCGCGTCCTCCGTGAGAACCCAGCACGCCAAGGTCTGCCTCCTGGCTGAATAATGCGTGAGTGAGTGACCATGCACTGTGCACGGCGTCGAGCACAGCCTCCTCACGAGACCAAGCGCCGGGACTTTGGGTGGAGTGTGCTGGGCGCTTTGAACCGCTCGTGGCAAGCTTGAGGGCTCGCGAGGATGCCGGTGAGCTCAGACCCGAGTCCATGCCGCTCGACGTTGCTGTCGTCGAGGGGTTGACGAGCAGCTTACTCGTATTGCACTCTGCCAGTTGCGCGTCCACATCGGCGAGTATCCGTCGCATGAGCTGCGCAATCAGGGCCAACTTGTTCTGAGGAAGCCCAAAGCAAGTGGATGCGAGGTTCGAATCGACGGCCATGCTGCTGCTGCTGCTCCTCGAGGCGTGGGGCACTCGAGGATTAGTGCGCTCTTGCACGATGGAAAAGTCGAGCTGGTGCTGCAGCAGCCGCTCCAGGTGAGCAGGTGTCGTGCCCACGAGGTCAGGCTTGACTTGCTGAATCTGTACTACATGCAGCGCAGACGACTCCGAGCCGGACGACGTGATGGCCACTGAAGCGGGCAATGGCGAGCTCGGCGCGAGCGGGGCGGCGGGGCGCACGGGCTGCCTGGACGGCAAAACCAACGTGTTTCCCGGACCCCACCCGATGCGAAACGAACGCGACATTGAATAGCCAGCATCAACAGTGGACTTGTTGTTCAAAGGGTGGGCGATGGAGCTCGTGGCGGGAATGACGCATGGCTCGCGGAGGGGCTGCGTGAGAAGCGTGCTTGTCTCGGCCTCAAACCGCGCTGCAAGGGCAGTTGCGGCGGTCGAAACGGAGACGGCGGTAGCGCTGGCAGTCGTTGGGGCGATTGAGGGGCGGGAAAGCCGGCCCGCCAGCGCATCAAGACGACTGGCAACCGACAAGGAGGTTGCGGCAAAAGTGGCGCGCCCAGAGGCCGATGCTACGATGGAAGGCGTGGCAGAGGAAAGTGCTGTGGTGGTTGTGGTGGTGGTGGCAGCGGACGGTGCAGGCCCAATTCGCTGACGAATGTGAGGAGAGGCAGATGAAGTGTGGTAGTTGCGATCGCCCAGGCGGGTTCTCGCTGAATCGGATATGGTGGTTGAAAAGGATGCTGGAATGGGTTGGACGGAGCCGTCTGTTGTTGTGTCAGTGCTGCTGCTGCTGCTGCTCGGGTCGTCATTAAAGTACGATGCCTTCATCAGCTGCATGGTCTTGGGATTCAGCCCAAGTTCAGAAGCCAAAAAGCGCCGGGAGGTGGTCAGAGGATGCTGCGCAACGCCCGGCGCTTGGCCGAAAAAAGAATCTGATGTTGGTTGGCTGGTGTTCAAGCGACTCGTTGATAAGCTGCTCGGGGGTGCATCATCGATGCCGAGCATGGCCGACGGGAAGGTTGAAGTATCCCCATCGATGACGTCGTCGCCGAGGTCGGTCTGAAGGATTGAAGGGAAACTTGACGTCTGGTGGGACACGGCCGCTGCCGAGGACGTCGGTGCGGCAGTCCAAGGCGAACGGATGGAGGCACCACGAGCTGCGGGAGCAAAGGACAAGCCGCTGCGACGAGAGCTCTCCGAATGGAGACCTTCTGGATTGCCCTGGGCATCATGAGACAAGGAATAGCGTGAGAAGTGATCCACGCGGAACTTCCAAACGCCGCTGTTCACATCGTAGGACAGGAACACTGCGCCCATCTTGACGGCAGCCGCTCGGAGCTTCTCGGGGTATTGCTTCTCGAGAAGACTGGCGGGGTCGCGGTTGAGCTCCTTGGTAGCTGCATTCATGGGATAGACGTCCAGCAAAGTGATGATGGCCTCCTTGTTGAGCGCTTGGCCAACCGGCGGCTTGGCGTCCTCGTCGGGGTAGATGGAGATGGCGCGGGGTTGGAAATCGAGAATGGCATCCAAGTCCAGATCGCGAACGTCGGTAGCTCCAGGGAACAAAACCTCGCCAACGTCCTCGCGACCCACAACAAAGTCCTTCACGCGAGTCAACTCCAATTCAGACAACTCGTCGAGCTCGGCCACGGACGGTCGGGTGTAGTACCCTTCTTGCGTGCACACAATACCGCTGTTACTGACAGACTCGGACGAAGTGTTGGCGGAGGCGTTGAACGCGGAGGCGGATTCTCTCGAGTCAGACGCAGCTGCTGACGGTGCTTTTTTGCCTTCCTCGCGAGCGCTCGTCAGTTTCAGGTTGCTGCTGCTGCTGCTGCTGCTGCTGCTGTGGCTGTGGCTGTGGCTGCTAGGATCGGAACTACTAGTAACGGCGCTCGAGCTTGATCCTGCGCCCGCTCGGCTCGACGGAAGAATCGCCGAGTCAGAGCGCGTCGCCGAGCCGTTGTCCAAAGATGATGCAGATCCGGTGGCTTCAGAACCGGAGGAGGGCACGAGCGGCTCGCGCCGGGGCGAAGGACGAACGGGCGAAGAAAAGAGACCGCCGCTCGCAGCGCTGGTCAATGAGTGCATTGTTCCATGTGGCGGGGAGCCTCGGCGTGAGCCACTAAATAGAGCAGTATCGTTCGGAGTCGAGATACTGCCGTGAGCCAGAGGTGTGGCTGGCACGCTGCGGAAATCACGAGGATCACGGTTGTCGCCAGGGAAGTGCAATTGCTCGCCCCCGCTGCCGCCGGTCGGCAGAATGACTAACTTTTTGACGCTCGAACGAGGAACGAACTTGTCCGGGCTCAGGACTGTCTCATCCGCCGAGCCGCCATCAAACAGGTGCAGCCCATCACTGCTCGCCGTAGAACCGGCACCAGCCCGATCGCTGCCGGCCGTCAGCCGACCGTACGACCGTGGCTTCACCTTGGATGCCGATCGAGGGGTAACCTTGAAGTGTGCAATATTGGGCCCAGCAGCGGCTGCGCTTGGTCGCAAGGCACCGGAACCACCGGAACTGCTTGCAGCTCCATCTGAGGCGGCAGCTGGTTGAGCGGCACCTGCGGCACCTGCGGCACCAGACGCCGCAGGCAAGACAGCGCCTCCGGCTGGCTTGGGAAGGTTGCCAGAGTGGAGGAAGAGGTTTGAGTTGCCGTACGGAGCGTTGGTCAAAGTTGCTTGTTTGAATTGCGCTTGTTGCTGAGCAAGTGCAGCCTGTTGCTGCGCAGTGAGTTGTGGTTGCTGCGCACCAGCTGCTTGCTGGGCCATCATTGGATTGGTCATCATGGCCATCATTTGGGCAAACATCGGGTTGGACATCATCTGAGCCATCTGGTTCATTTGGTTCATTTGGTTCATTTGGTTCATTTGGTTCATTTGTCCCATCTGGTTCATTTGGTTCATTTGGCCCATCTGACCCATCTGACCCATTTGTCCCATTTGTCCCATTTGTCCCATTTGGCCCATTTGTCCCATTTGTCCCATGCCCTGACCCATTTGGCCCATGCCTTGTCCCATCTGGCCCATCTGGCCCATTTGACCCATTTGGCCCATGCCTTGTCCCATGCCTTGACCCATGCCTTGACCCATCTGGCCCATGCCCTGGCCCATCATGCCTTGGCCCATCATGCCTTGGCCCATCACGCCAGGCCTCATCTGGCCCATGCCTTGACCCATTTGGCCCATGCCTTGGCCCATCTGGCCCATGCCTTGGCCCATTTGACCCATGCCTTGACCCATCTGGCCCATTTGGCCCATGCCTTGACCCATGGTGCCCATGCCGCGGCCCATGCCCATGCCTTGCTGGCCCATGCCCATGCCCATGCCTTGTTGGCCCATGCCCATGCCGCCTGCTGCGCCGATGCCGGTACCACGACCCATGCCGAGTCCTTGTCCCATGCCCATGCCGGGGGTTGCGCCGAGGCCGGTGCCGCGACCCATGCCGATTCCAGCACCCATGCCCATGCCTTGCTGGCCCATGCCCATGCCAGCCTGACCCATGCCAGCCTGACCCATGCCCATGCCACCGGTAGCGCCAAGGCCAGTGCCGCGACCCATGCCGATTCCAGCGCCCATGCCCATGCCGCCTGCTTGACCCATCGCAGGAGCTGCCATGGCCGGAGGCGGCTTGCGGCCGTTCATGTAATCGTTCAAGCGCCACTCTTCAAAGCTGTAGCCGCCATAGTCGGGGGTGGCAGTGACGGAGAACATGTTGCCGACACCCTCGTCAAACACGAACGCGTTTTGTTGCTGCGCAGCAGTTCCCGCCCCTCGGCCAAAGCCGCCAGCAAAGCCTGCACCTGCGCCTGCGCCCGCACCAGCACCAAAGCCGCCGGCGCCGGCACCTCGACCAAAACCGCCAGCAGCGGCTCCTGCGCCAAAGCCGCCCGCGCCACGGCCAAAGCCGACACCGGTTCCAGCACCTGCACCGGCTCCGGCTCCAACACCGTAAGCATTTGTACCTCGGCCTGTGTAGCAACATGTGATTGATTGTCCAATGCGACGTGAGGCCCCTCGCATCAATCAGACTGTCAACCTCAAGTTCATCTTGAACGTACCGTAACCAAAGCCGCCTGTGGCGGGACGAAAGCCACCGCCAGCTCCGCCGGCACCTGCGTAGTATCCTAACAAGCAAAAACACAGTGCTCATCGAGTGAGTAAGCCTGACCGTGGTTTACGACATGTGAACGGAGGGGAAAAAAGCGCGCGCAAAAACGGCAGCGAACGTTCAGGGGAACAGCTCAAGCGACCGCGCTGCGTTTCGCCCGATGCATACACAACCAACTTGCACCTAGTAACACGAATGGTGTTGAGCAAAACGCGATTTCCAAGGTGTGGTGCGATGACGGCGCTCTCTGGGGCTGGTCGCTTCCAAGACGAGCGATCTCTGGCTTTCGTTGGTGGCGCGGTTCGGCTGAGCGTGAGCCCGAAGCGGGGCGACTCTCTGGCGGCGGCGGCGTGTTGGAAAGGGGGCAGGCAACTCTGTATGCCTACGCAAGCTCATGCGAACGCTCCCTTCAACATCCATCCATGCCACCCACTGCCACTGGGAACGCCACTCTCCAACAGCCACAGAGCCAAAAAAAAAAAAAAAAAAAAAAAATCCTACACGAGGACGAGGCGGTTTCGTCCCGACCATTCCCCCCCCCTTGTCCCGCTCACTCCTCAGACCCAAAGAGACACGGCATGTGCAGAAGGAACAAAAGCAGGGACCTCAAGAGCAGCGATCGCGTCGTCGGCGGGTGTTTTGGAGGGGGAGGGGGAAACAAGACGCGGTCGACGCTTCAACGATCTTTGTTGAGGGCCTCTGTCTGTCTCTCTCTCTGACTCTCTCTCTGACTCTCTCTCTCTCTCTCTCTATCGTTCAATGCATTGCGTGTGGATGCATGCAACACTCACCACCGCCGGTGTTGGGGCGAAACATTGTACAGGCCACGTGAAGAGGAAAAAAGGGTCGAAGATAAAAGAAAAAAAAAAAAAGATGAATGGATTTCAATACACAATGCATTGGCGTTGTATTGGGGAAATCCAGCCACTGACAAGGAGGGAGGTATTTGCAGGCTGAAATAAGACACGTAAATGCATCGAGAACCAAGCCGGTGATTCACTAGCCAATGATGAGCAGAATGAATGGGATTGAGCTCAGTTCTTGTTCTTTTGCGTTTTGTTTTGTCCCGTTCTTTTTTTTCTCTTTCATCCTTTTTCATTCTTTCACTCTTTCCTACTTTTTGTTTCTTCCAATGAAGTCGTCTGCACAGCACACGACTGTCTCGGTGCCAGGACCGAGCGCGAGTGGCGCCGCTGCCGCTGGGACGCGACGTGTGTTTGGCGAAAAGTTCATGCTGCTGCTCGCCTTCCTCGCGTTCTGCATCATGTGCTTTGGCGCACTCTTCTTTGTGCCCGATCTGCGTCCTGTGGGCTTCACGCCAGCCCCCGGCGACGCAGCGGAGGTCGACGGTCCCCGCGGCATGGCTGCGCAACGCGACGTTCCAGACGAAAACCTCAACCCGCGACGCAACAACCCAGTCGCCGAGCGCGAGGCCAAGCGGTTTGCTCTGGAGAATGCACGGCTGCGCAAAAAGCAGCTCGAGCAGCAGCTGGACCAGCTCGATCGGCTGGAAAACCAGGGCCGGGAGGACGACTCCCAGCTCGACCTCAACCAGGACAAGTTCGGCAACACTGGCGACCAGGCTGACACCCGCACCGACCAAGAGAAGGAAGCTGCTGTTGATGTCGGGCTTGCTCGTGCAGATCCCCCAGTTCCAGAGAATCCCAAGCAGCAGCCACAAAACAACGACAACAACAACAACAACGATGCCAAGCTCGCTGTCGTGGCAGATTCAGAGTGGCTTGATCCCGAGACGCAGCGCCGCCAAGACTATGTGCGCGAGGTACAGTATTCCCCAAGACAACGTGTCCAATTGTGCTGTGATGCAAGTTTGGTTGTCAGGGGGGCGGGGTTGGAGAGCTGCGAAACCCAATCGAACGAACCTTTTTTTTTTTTTCTTTTTTTTTTTTTCTTTTTTTTTCGTGGCTTTTGCTTTTTGCCCGTCAGTTCGAGATCAGTTTTGCACTCATTGTTTTTTGCTTGAATGTTTTGCCTTTAATTTACTTTTAATGCTACCTGCACGACTTCAGATGATGCAACATGCTTGGAACGGCTACGCCAAGCATTCGTGGGGACACAACGAGCACAGACCAAACGCTCGCGGCCCGCACAACTCGGGCCTGTTCGGCCAGCAGCCCCTCGGCGCCACCATTGTCGACTCGTTGGATACGCTTCTGATCATGGGCTTGGTGGAGGACTTCCAAAAGGCGCGCGATTGGGTGGCAACCAGCCTCGACTTTAAAGTTGTCAATTCGTACACTTCAGTGTTTGAGACCAACATCCGCTGGGTTGGAGGTCTTCTTTCGGCGTACGCCTTGTCCAAAGACGAGATTTTCAAGACCAAGGCCGTTGAAATTGCCGACTTGCTCCTCCCTGCGTTCAACACGCCGACCGGCCTGCCCTTTGCGATGTGCAACCTGAATTCGTGAGTGTTTTTTTTTTTTCTTTGTTCGTTCTGCAACACGTGTGAAAGTGGAGCTTGGAGTCTCTGTTGGGCTTTAGCTTTTGCATCTTTACTTAACCTGTTTTCTGCGTGCCATTTCTCATAGAGGCCATGCTCGCAATCACGACTGGGCGGGTGGCAGCTCGATTCTCGCAGAGGTCGGCACTCTCGACCTGGAGTTCCAGTATCTGTCCGACATTACCGGCAACGAAGTGTATCGCAATAAGGTGCTGCGCATCCGCAAGCACATGAAGGATATTTCCAAGCCTGACGGGCTCTACCCCAACTATATCAGCCCCCACAGTGGATCCTTCGGACAGAGTATGGCACATTGTGAATTGTGGAAATTAATAAGGCGGACAGAAATGCTTGTTGGAGCGAGGTTGCTCACCTTTGGTTGCTTTTTTGTTTGGTTTTTTGTTTGTTTTTTGCTTGTTTTTTCCTTGCCTTGTCATAAGACCACGTCTCGCTCGGTGGTCTCGGCGACAGTTTCTACGAGTATCTGCTCAAGTCTTACCTCATTTCCGGCAAGCAAGACAAGGAAGTTCGTGCCATGTATGACACCGCAATGAAGGTAAGCCTGCCGCAGACGTGAGAGTCGTGTAACTCTTGGACGCCCACCCGGGCTTCACTCTTCTTGTTTCCTCACTCTTCCTTTTTTTAATTTGTGATTGTCAGAACGTCATTCGCGTGATGATTCCTCCTCGCGTCAACCCGACCGATGCCATCTATGTGGCTGAGGCTCGCGGCGGCGGCTCGCTTGATCACAAGATGGATCATTTGGCTTGCTTCGCTGGAGGCATGTTCGCGCTTGGCGCGGAAGGTGACACGCACGACGAGCATTTCGAAATTGGCGCCGGCATCACGCAAACATGCCGCGATTCGTATGACATGACGGCGTCCAAAATTGGTCCGGAATCTTTCCGAATCGATCCCAACACTCGTCGCGTGCAGGCTGGCTGGAGCAACAACGGGTACATTCTGCGCCCCGAGGTTGTTGAGAGCTACTTTGTCATGTGGCGTCTGACGCACGATCCCAAGTACCGCGAGTGGGCTTGGGAGGCTGCGCAAGCCATCAACCAACACTGTCGTGCCGATACTGGTTTCAGCGGCATCAACGATGTCAACTCGGCCCACCCTCCAAAGGATGACGTGCAGCAAAGCTTCTTCCTTGCTGAAACCCTCAAGTACCTCTATCTGACCTTCAGTCACGACTCGCTCATTCCTCTCGAGGATTACGTGTTCAACACGGAGGCCCACCCACTCCCCGTCAAGACACGACGAGCAACCCTGGCACCCCTGATTTAAATGGTGCGATGTGTAATTTGCCAAGCTGCAAGATAGCATGCGTAATTTTGTCTTCCAATTTTTCAAAAACGAATCAGACACAAGAGCCGAAACAATGATCAAACAACAATGACTTGAGCATTCTCTATCGTGTTATTGTCCATCTATGGATTAACCCAGGTTGAAAATTGCTCAGGCAGCCCGTCGAACAGCTGCGAGCACCTCCTCAAGAGTGAGGGAAGAGCGACTCACGCACAACTGCAAACTGGACAAAAAGATGGGCCACCAGCGCTCGAGTTGGGCATGCGGCAACAGATGATGCGAGTAGGCCATGGAAATGTGCATCGTGTCATTCAGAGTGATGACATTCACATTGCCAAGGGAGGAGATCAGGTCGTAAGACTGGGAGAATGTCAACGTCTTCAGTCTGACGTTGTGGCTTTTGGAGCCAGAGCATCCTTTCGTTGAAGCCTTGGAGTTGCCCATGATGGTTTCGGCGCGGCCGAGGTTGGAGATGCTGCACGTGCTGGCCTTTCCGTTTGGCATCACAGTCATGTGCGACTCGATGTAGTCCGTCCAATCGCCTTTCAGGAATCCGAGCAGGCCCAGAGTCTGCTTGGCCGGATGCAGGCCCTTGGTAAGCTCGGCCCTCGCAGACTGCGCTTCGGTCCAAAACGAGGACTGTGGCAAGGTGGTGTGGCGGGTCTCGATTCCGCACACAAAATACCCGACTGCGTTGGCAAAGTCAAACCCCGCAGGCAGCCGAGACACGCTGGAAGAATCGTTGCGAAGCGACGATGCACTGCCGATCTGGGTTGTCAAGGGAGCAGCGGCAGCTGCAGTGTGGCTTTGCTCACGCGAGCCGTAAAACGCAAAGTTGGCTGCGGTCATGACCACGGCGTGGACGGTCGTGTTGTGCTGGCGTGCAGCATTGACGAGTTGCTTGGTGAGCTCCGGCGGGATGGCAGCCAGCGTCAGCTGGTGCTGGGGAGGATTGCGGAGCTGCTCCAACTCGAGCCGCTGCTCGCCAACGTAAAAGTTGGGCGCAAACAGCCACTGTTGAATGACTCGAGGCAGCAGCAGCTTCTGTACGACTGCAGAAACCAGCGTGTACGCTGTTGGTGTAATGTCAACGAGGCTGTCCACGCTTGGGAGCGGTTGCAGTGCAGGCTGCGAAACTGGATCGGCAGTGGTTGCGGGATGTACTCCGCCTTCCAAGTACGCAGCAACGGCATCCATCAGATCTCGCATGACAATAACGCCAGAAAGCCCGTCGGCAATCGTGTGGTGAAACGTGACGATGACGTGGCAGCGAACCACCCGATGACTCTCAGATGCGGAGCTTTCTTCTGCCACGCAGGCAACTTTGGACGACGGCGGAGCGGCATCGTCGTCCACCGTGACAATAACGCGCCACAGCGGCAAGGTCGGGTCGTGCATCTTGAAGCTATTGGCGCCTTCGTTGCGCAGCAGCGTCAGCCACAAGGGCGCATCGTGGTTCAGGGTGGACAGCAGCGGTGGGAATTGTGCCGGTGTGGTTTCCACTGACAATCCTGTGGTCGTCGACGACAACGACGACGAGACTGCTGCTGTAGCTGCAGCTGTAGCAGTAGTAAACCGACCACTAGCATCGGTCTCGGGGTTGCCTGGCGCAGTGGCAACTGTGCTGTTCCTGCCGCTGTGGAGGGACGAGCAATGCACGTCGCATGGAACGAGTTCCGCCGCGTCCGGCAGAGCAACAAATCCCGGCGGCACGCCTGCTGCATCCACCAACGCCATGTTGAGCATCGGGTGTATGTTGCAGATGCTGCGAATTCCTGTGCGAACGGCCTGCTGGATGGCAACAGTGCGAGCGGATGCGGCATCATCGGTGGATGGTTCACGCCGGAGCAATGCGGTTTCGTCCAGCTCGACCTCCCCGCACATTGAGAAGCTCGAGTACACCTTGCTCAGCTGTCGAGCCACTGCCCAGCGCTCGAGGTTGCCGAGATCGCGCAACCGTGGTGTTTGGAGCATGTGGTACAAGTTTCGACGAGATGTTGCGACAGAGTTAAGAAGAAGAGTGGGCGAGTCGGGGTTTCGTTCAGTTTGGGAAACGCTCCGCTCACCATGCAGTCCTCAACCTCTCTCTCTCTCTCTCGAGAAAACGAAAGTTTCAATTTGCCAAATTCAAGGCCAATGCCTGGATTCGAAAAAGAAACGGCTCAAAGTAACCCAGCTACATGTTCGAAAAAAAACAAAAAAACAAAAAGCACAAAAACAAACAAACACAAGAACAAAACAAACACAAGAACAAAACAAACACAAGAACAAGAACAAGAACAAAACACCAGGAGGGGTGTCTTGAGTCGACAGCCTTTAGAAGAAATGCCACCAGCTCTGTCGAGCCAAGTCACTAGCGGCAGCCGTTACGACGGGGGACACAAATGTGTAGACCATTGTTTCAATGTTGAAGGTGACCAGCCCCTTCTTCTCCAGCAGCTCAAGCGATGTAGAGAGCACGAGCGGGTGACGGATGTTCAGCTGTTTCTTCAGAATCGCACGGAGAACGGGGTAAAACGTTGTATCGCCCACGCGATGCGAGTGCACCATTGTGCGGACAAGCTGTTTCTTGGCGTCGCGCTGCAGCTCGACAACTAGCTGGGGCCCACTGATGGTTGCCAAGCGAGCAACGGCGGCGCAGAGGTGGGCTGGCAGCACGCCGACATGTTCCACCAGAAATGCGGGTGTGACGGTGTTGGGGGCGTTTTGGATGCTCATAAGTGCTTTCGTGTAAGCCACGGCCTCGTCCCTGTTCAGGGCGTCAATGTCAACACGATGCATTTGGGTTCCATGCAAGTTGTCGGTCAGCGAGTCGCTGGCCACAGGAGAGCTCGAAATTGCGATGACTTTGAGTTTCTCATCGATCGCCCAGCTCTGGAGCTGGTTCATCAGCGCGAGGGCAATGTCCCGATCGGTCTCGCTTGCGCCAAAGTTCTCGAGGTCGTCCACCACCAGCAACACAGCCTTGTTCTCCTTCTTTTGCTGATCAAGGAACTTGTCAATGGCTTTGATAGCTTGACGGTAGCGGTCTGTTGGCTGAGCATCAGCTGGAACCAAAGTCATGCCGAGTCCGGCAGAGCCGACAGTCACGTCGCGAACTTTGGAAGGCGAGTTCAGGTTGAATGTGTCGACTAAAGCATCAACGAGTCGCGCTTCCGTCATTGGACCCGCCGTGGTGAGTGCATAGACCAGCTTGTCCGGGTTCTTCTGAAGGTGACGGAACAGGACGTGGCGGACGGTCCACGTCTTGCCACTGCCGCGATTGCCGCCGACCAGGATCACACTAGCTGCTTGCTCGAGCAAGGAGCCGAGTTGTTTTTGAGCCGCGGCATGGCAATTGAGGGCTTCCGGGCTCTTGGTCTCATACTCTTGGTGTTTGTGAAGATATGCCGTTGCCACACCAGCAGCGCTCACACGCTCGTTGAGACGGTCGTCGGCGTGTTTAATGTAATGGCTGTAGCCGTAGAAGCCACCGATGAGGAGACAAGTCCCAGTCGCAGCCTTGAAGGTCAAGTATCGACGAACAAGTTGAGCAAAGACCATGGTCAAGAAGAGTACATCATCTGTTTTGGCCATTTTCGCGCCATTTTTGGCGCGCCATTTGTTGGCTATTTTCGCAGCTAGAGAGGTTTGTTTCCTGGAAAGACAGAAACTCATCCAAGCTGGCCGAGACCCCATGAGACTAAATGGCAAGAAGGTCTACAGGAGAGTCGAAAAGAGAGTGTGTGCGGATAGTATTTTCACTGATTTTGCACTGTTTTTGGGGCCCCCTCTGTGTTACACCCCAACCCAAATCTGTTAGCGCAGTGCTCAATATATTTCGTATCTACCTATTCCTCCCTCTCGGGTGTAACATTTGGCTTTGTTTGAAAGCTTGTTGATCAGTCAAGCAGTGCAAGTCGGGCTAGACTCTCTTCATTTCAAATTTGATCACCATGGGCAAGCTCGGATCGCTCTTCAAGTACGCTGGCTCGATTGCCGTTATTCTCGCCGTCTTTGCGATGGGCTTGCAGTACTATCTCGACCACAAGACCTACCTGTTTGACCAAGCCGAGCTCCAAAAGATTGCCGAGCGTTGCGTTGGTAAAGCGAGCATGCATTCAGGGAGGGGCCCATGTTCTTGGTCCTTGAGCGCCAGATGTGACTAGATTCAATCATTCTGGGCATGGTGGAACTGGATGGCTGGGGATGTGTGGCTGTGCGGGCTTCTGCTCACTGCGAAGCTTTGGTGGGTGTTTGGAGAGCGCAGCAGATCAATTGGATCGCGAGACGGCGTTCGCCAACATCACGACCGAGCTCCGCCGCCTGTACCCGGATCACATCCTGCCGGAGGTCGAGTTCATCTTCATCAACGCGGGTGGCTGGATGGGCACCTTCGGTCTGCTCCACGCGTCCTTGACTGAGTGAGTTGAGCGTGCGTTTGAAAATGCGCAAAATCGCGCCACTTTTGCTCTGAACTGCTTTTCTCTCTCTCTCGGAGCACAGTCGATCGCTGACCCCCGTATGAAACAACATCCATTGCGCTCCATAACCACAGATACGTGCTGATCTTTGGCACAGAACTCAACACTTCGGGAAACTCGGGTCGCTATTGGGCTGACATTTGGGACACAATGCTGTCGGGCGAGTTCCGCCAGTGGCCGGAAGGCACCGTCCGCAGCGTCGTCCACAAGGCGGGTGATACCATCTACCATGCCCGTGGCGAAGTCACGGGTGTGCAGTGGACCAGCGGAACGTACATGCTCGAGTTGGGACGCGGTGTCATTCCGTCCACCATCCTGTTTGCCGTTGCCGACACCATTTTCAGCACGACCGACTTTATGACGCTTGCGAAAACCCTCCGAATTTACGGTGTTGCCGTTGTACGTGAGCTCTTGCGTGGCAAAATTTGAAGACACAGGCCTTGTTGCCTTTTTGCATCAGTGTTTTTGTTTTGTTTTTCTACAGCATATTGTGTTCCAGTGACAACCAAATCATGAAACATGTGCACCGCGCCACTTCATAGCATCGGTGCATGGTGGTGGTGATGGTGATGGTGAGGGAGGTGGAGTTGACGTGATGCAGTCTGTCGAATACAACAGCAACGAAACAAAACGGGTCTACCAGCGTGATAGAGTGGCAGACGTCTTTGACTTTTGGGCCGCTTGCATAAACTTGTTCATGAGCAGGTTGGCTGACGCTGAGGCTGTCGCAGACGAGGAAACGACACCTTGACCATTGCGCACCACGCCACCGAATGCAACGCTGCAACTGGAAGTCAGCTTGGAGGCAACAACGGGCGCTGCCACAGCGGGCGCGGACGATTTTGCCTTGCTCTGCTGCTGCTTTCGTCGGAGCGCTGAGGTCGCCACCTGATCCGGCTTGACGTTCATCTCGATGGCCAACACCGAACGCGATGGGGTGGGTGCGCTGGTCGCCGGCATGGCGCGTCCTGAAGAAAGCATGCTGTCGACACTGCTGGCAATACCGTCTGCGCGTGCCTTGAGCTTTGCCTGGGCCTTCTCGGCGTTGCGAGCAGTCCATTCTTCATAATCCATCTCCTTGCGTCCAGCATCAGAGGGCTCGTCGTCATCATCGTTGCCAAAACGAGCAGCCATGATCGCTTCAACCGTTGCCACATCTTGCTCCTCGGACTCGTCATCATCTTCATCATCTTCGTCGCTGTCGCTCTCATTGTCGGCTTGGTGCTGCTTGCGGCGAACGCGATCTTCCTTCAGACGGCGCACCTCGGACGGCTTCATGTTTTTCGTGCTGTCCCATTCGGGTTGAATCTTCCTGAAGATGGCCATTGTGGCGCGAGCGTCTTCCACCTACCAGAGGAAACAAAAGCAACATTATGAGCACAATGTCTCAGAGCGGAATCGGCGACAAAAAGCTCTCAAACTCCAACCACTCAAAAAAAAAAAGACCCCCACCGAAGAGTGCTCGCCAATCTGGATGTTGACATCGAGCAGCTCCATGGCCAAACGCTTCAAACCAGGCGTCCGACCTTTGGAGTACTGCTTGAATGGGCGGAACAAGGACGTGTCTATCAAGTCGTGCTTTGGATGCGACAAAAGCATTGCTTGCAGATCGTTCGAGGCAGCGTGCGCGACCAACTTTCGTCCTCGAATGATGGCGGACACGGCTTTTTGTGCTTCAGCAAACGTAACAGCTGAAGGTGAAGATCAGGTGGAACAATTTTTCAAGGGCGTGAGCAAACGAAAAATAGAGGCAAAAAAAAAAAAACACAAAAATACTTTGGCCACTCGTACCGTTAACGAGATCCTTTGGTCGAACTCCAGACCAGCGGGTGCGATAGTCGGTGACACGCTCTTGGGGCTTGACAAACGAATCGTACAGTACTTGGCCAAAGTAGTTGACCACCGAAACACGTGCCAAGGCGCTACGCTCGCCTCGCTCTCCAACACCGACCATTTCGCAATCGACTGCGATAAACTTTGTCGGTCTGTTTTTCAAACACAAGCCTCGATCAGTGAACGCAATCACAAGATCTGCTGTTCCCCCACCCCCCAACCAAAACAATCAAACAAAACAAAACACAAGCACAAGGGATGAATCTCGTACCCAGCAAAGTCTCCAGCAATCAGCGATGACAAGTCCTTCCAAACTCGCTTGGTCTTGCCTCGTTTAAGAGGTTCCGCAGCGGCACTTTCGTCGAGTGCGACTCTGCAAGGGTTTCGTCGTGAGTTGTGAGAATTCTTCCGAAATGCTCCAAGCGCAAACCATTCCGGCTTACCGTTTCCGCGCTCCGGTTGCGTCGGTCGAATCTTGGTCGTTTTCTTGACGCTTCATGTCCCGGCGACGCTTGAAGGTAGTTTGTGGCTTGGACGGGGGCAGCGTCTGTGCCATGAGGCAGCAATGGATTCACAAAGATGGTGTCAAGCAACAAGTGAATCGCCTCGTTTCCTTCCATCGCCGCAACACACAAACCCACTGACCGCCATGAGCGCCTTCCAGTTGGCTGAAACATCGCCGGGCTTGGAGGGCAGGGCGGGAAGCGGGGCAACAGGCTCAGCCACCTTTGGCTTCTTTGTGTGCGCTTTGGGCTTGCTGACTGCAGCACGAGGCGCCTCGACGCCGCCTGCAGCAGATGCGGCAGCCGCTTGCGTCTTGTCTGCAGATCCAGCAGGCTTTGTTGCTGCTGCCTTCTTCTTCGCCGGGGCTGTGTTCGGCTTGTGTCCGGATGCAGCACGATCAGCAGTCCTCGTGGGCGCGGTTGACCTCGTGCGGCCTGCAGTTGCTGCTGGCTTGCCCGTGTTCTTCATTGTCTGCACGGTAATTTCTGAAGCTGAGTGTGTGTGTGTGTGTGTGTGAATGCTTGTGGTGCTTGAAACTTGGACTCTTGAGAGTGGAGGGCGGCGAGCGGGGGACGTTCGCTTGTGAAATTCGGGACGTGCGAGCACAAAGAGACTGAATCATCCCAAAATGGCCGCTCGAGCAATTCAGGAAAGCCAGGCAGAAAGTCGCTCGCTGCAGCTCAAATAGCAGCGGATCGAGCGGATGCTCGCCTTGGCTTTGCCTGTACTGGCTTGATCGGGTCTGTGGTTTTGGTTGTTCGGCAGTTGAGACCTGGCCTCATAAGCCGAGCACGCTGCTTTTATCTACGGCATCCTCTGCAATGGGAGGGCTGAGCGGAAGAAATTTCACTCAACCCTTTTTGTTGCAGACGCCGTAGAGTGCCTGATGAGGCTGTGCCGACACTTGGTCAGCAGAGAAATTCCAATTGGCGCTTCATCTGTGCTGCTCGTTTCCATGAGCAAGGGCAGAATAGCTGGCTGGAACAATCTTACACTACTATTTGCTTTCGTTCGTTTCGTTTTATTTTCTGGCGTTTTCGACTTTTTCGATGGCTTTTTTTTTTTTTCCGTTAACAGCGAATGAAGTACACAGAGTTTGATTTCTGAATAGCATCTACCCTGCACGACTCCCTATTCATCTTGCGAGGCATCGTGTGCAGCAGCTTTGGCCTTGAAAAAGGCGAGTAGCTGACTGATATCCATCGTCGGCTGATTCTCGGAATCGCTGTCACTGCTATCGTCGACAGAGTTTGATTTCTGAATAGCATCTACCCTGCACGACTCCCTATTCATCTTGCGAGGCATCGTGTGCAGCAGCTTTGGCCTTGAAAAAGGCGAGTAGCTGACTGATATCCATCGTCGGCTGATTCTCGGAATCGCTGTCACTGCTATCGTCGCTATTGTGCGCGGTAGCAGGATTGCCTTCATGTGACATGTCTGCATCGGGGCGATTGGCGAGCGAATCGGGCTCAGGCCCTTCGGAATGCGCAAAGCGGTCACTCTGCTGCTCGCTCGTCGCTGGATCGTCCTCAGCTTCCACAACCTGATCATCACCAGCAAGGTGTAGAGCTTGGGCACGCTGCAGCTTTGCTTCTTTCCGCTGATGGATCTGCTCCCACCAAGCAACAACCGTCATCCAGCGATGAGATTTGGCAGCTCGATTTTTTGTTTGGTTTTTTTTTTTTCGGTCAGAGGGGCAACACCCCGCGGTCTTACCATTTCCAACCGCCGGGCAATCATCGACTCCCTCAACTTGGAGAGACCTTCGCGCTTCTTGCGCTGTTCAAGTGTCTGTGAAGCCAGCCAGAGAGTCGAGCGAAAGCAAAAAAGTCAGTCGTGCCACAAAAAAAAAAAAGCATGGCCGAAGTGGCCAAGCATCTTGTCATCTTGTGTGCAGGACAAAAGCACCGTACCTGCTGATGCAATGCCTTCAATGAATCGAGTTGCAGTTGGCGCTCTGTCGCATCGGTCGAAAATTGGTAATAACCAGCACCAAGTGTTCGAATTTCTACGCATTGCAGTCGCGAACCAGTCCCAATTGAGCAACACAAGACGAATGGCAAGAAGCAAAGGAGAGGCCATCATTGAATAGTCCCCATACCTCCAGATCGAACAGTTTCAAAGTGGATTGGCCCCGTGGGTTGCTCGGACTGTTGCTCGTCCCATCGGCTCCTTGGACGGTGTCTTCGATCCTCATAGTCTCGCTTGCTTGGATCCCAGGGCCTGGATTTGAGGTTGGAAAACGGAGGCAATTTGAGAAGCAAGTGTGAGTCAATCATCACAGACTCGTACCGCACGCGCCAGAGAAACAAAAAAATGGCCAGAAAAAAAACTGGTTTCACCCAGCACACGTACGTATCTTCACTCCCACCAGTGGAACTTGGAGGAGGGACGGCGGCATAGCGATCATCATCGCGACGAGGACTGCGTCTGCTCTCATCCTCGTCGGACAACGAATTCGATCGTCGTCGCCTTCGACTATTGCCCGACCGATCTGAGCTTTTGATTTCGTGGAGACGGTCCCGTCGGTCGGCGGCCAGCAATTGCGGCAACTCGGCACGACGACACGTTCGTGTCCGCCCGAGATAATCTACAAACTCGACCTGCTCGTCTGGATCGCCAAACGCGGCCTCGCCAAGCTGTATTGGATCAACTAGCTCGTCTTGCGACGTGTGATTATCAACCTGTCATCCCAGCGACGTTCGTCAGTGAAATCAAACGCGCAACACGAAACGATTGCGAAGCAAACGTTGGGCACACGCAAAATACGCAGCCGTACTCTTGGTTTAAATGACTTGACCTCAAAGTCCACTAAATAACGATCGCTTTTTTGTTGCTCTGTGTACGAATAATGCAAGTGCTTGGAGTAAGCAGAGTGTGCAGCAACACCATTTAAGTCTAGTCGTAAACCGAAGAGGGGGGGGAACAGCATACCTGCGGATGAGCCCTCGCCGCGGTGAATGCGATCATAGATGGCAGCTTTCGCTTCCAGTGCTGCGCGTGAGTGAACCAATGCATCAGGGTCGATCTCGCGGTTCATGGCGACGACGGCTGCACGAGCTTCCGCATCTCGTCGCTGCCGGTCCTGCACGCCCTTGTTTTGCTTGACAAGCAATGATGGCTTCAACTAAATGAACAACAAGATTTCGCCAATGTCAGCTCAAGTGTCACAGTCGAACAGTCGACAACTGTCGAGAGTGGTCTGCGTCGCGACCGATTGTCGAGGCACTACTGTAGACTCGACCCGCTCACCTTGGTGCTGGAGGGTACCAGCGTAGCAGCTGCTCCAGTGCGATTCATGTGCTCCTGGCGCTTGAACAGCTCGGCTTTGAGGTCGACGAGCTGGCAATTGGAGCAGGGTGAGAGAGAGACGGGAATGGGATTGAGTCAACGCACGCACAGCTGCGACCAAGAGCAAGATAGAGGGCATACGTACAGATGAAGCGTTGACTTTGATCTCCTTGGTGGTCGCACCTCGGCCACTGATGCTCCGACCATACATGTCAGTCGTCGTCCTCGCTGTTGGCGACGGACCAAAGTCGTCCTGGTCGCTTCCATCCATCCTTTGCTGTCTTTTGTGCAATATCGTGCAATTCCCAGAATCGCTTTTCCGCCGCTTGGAGTTGAAAGCCCGCTTTGCGTCAATCAAAGCCGAGGTCCGATCTGCTGTGTTGCTGTTACAATGTAATACAAAGTAAAAGACTGATCGTTCAATTTCCAGTCTTTTTTTTTTTTTTTTTCTGTTTCTCTCTCTCTCTCTCTCTCTCTCGTCAAGGATGGTGTATCAGCAGGCGCCGGATCAGTCCGCGTACATTGTCTTTGTGCAGGCGCTGCTTGTCGTTGGCCTCGTTCCTGCCACGATCGTCCTCCTGAACCAGATCTACGCCGCTCTCCGCCCGTCTGCGAGCACTGAGCTGGACAAGAAGTGTACGTTTGTGGATGCATTGTTCCACCGCCATCGCTGCTGCTGCTGCTGCTGCTGCTGCTGCTGTTCATCGTTGTTGCGGCTTCAAGTGTTCGATGATGCCGACGAGGGGGGCTCTGACGCAAGCGCATCCAAGCCGTCGCGACCTTGCGTTTCTTTCGTCCATGCGTTTTGTTGCAAAGGCTCTGGTTTTTTTTTTTTTTTTTTTTTTGTATTATTATTGCTGTCTCATGACAAGTCGTGCATCGCTGACTCGACTGACGGACTCGATGCACTCGACTGACGTTCTGTTTGGCTTGCTTTGTGACGCTTTGCTTTGTGGCGATGCGGATCGATGTGTGTCGGTGCCCCTGCTCCTCGCCTTCTCCAACTCCGCAGCCTCCAAAAAGTCCATCAACATCAAGCTGTAAGTCACGCACGCGAGCCATCGGCTGTACCGATTCGTCCATTACAACTCTGTACACTCACGCTTTGGGTTTTTGGCGGTGGTCGGGCGCCGGGACGGGACAGACTTTCGATTGTCATTGGCGGTTGGGTTGCGTTCTGGGTGCTGTTCTACTGGGCCTCCGTGACCGTCGAGCCTCTCTGGGACCCCTATGAAATTCTCGGCATCAGCCATGTATGTATGATTTTGCAGCTCCATCTCAGAGTGGCTGGCTGCCGCTCTCTCAAGCTGGCCCTCCATCGCTGATGCCGCGCTTGAGCCTTTGCTGCAATGTGCGGCTCCCTTGTCGACTCGCTCACTTGCGTGCTTGATGCGTAGGGTGCCTCTGAGAAAGAGATCAAGGCCAAGTACCGCGATCTGTCGCGCAAGTACCACCCCGATCGCAATCCCGGCAACGACGTCGCCAGCGAGCTGTTTATCAAAATCGCCAAGGCGCATGACGCACTCACCGACCCCGAAACACGTCGCAACTGGGAACTGTACAACAACCCCGACGGACCGAGAGGTAAAGGGCGATGCTTGACATTGATTGGGTGCTTTGAGTGGAGAGACAAAGGTGGACGTGTCAGCGCCACGCGACCTTTTTTTTTGTTTGTTTGTTTGTTTGGTTTGTTTGGTTTGTTTGGTTTGTTTGGTTTGGTTTGTTTTGTTTTGTTTTTTCGTTGTCCTGTTTTCCTGGGGGTGGGGAGTCCTTGAACTCTGCTGGGCGCTTTTCAATTTTCACGATACCATTGCCGCTGATGTCTTCTCACTTCTAACCACTTTTGGTCTTATGATTGCATGAAACACAGCCATCAGCGCCGGTTTTGCACTCCCTCGTCTTGAAAAGTGGCAGCTTTCTATCATTGTGCTCATTGTTGCGTTTGGTTTGTACAAGGTGCGTGTACACTGTCGGGTGCGGAAACTGGCGACACATTGACTTACTCATTTGGATGCGTGTCAACTTTGACCAACAGGCCGTGAGCTATCTTCGCCGCAACCGCGCGTTTGACGGATCTGTCAAGGCGTATGCCGCGTTTTACAAGCAAATTCCGATTGATGCGAGCATGGAAGGTGAGACACGGCGCTTTTGTGCGCCTTCTTTTTTTTCCGTCGTCGGGCCAGTGTGAGCTCACAACTGTCGTTTTCTGCAACAGACGTCCTGGAGCAGTATGGCAATGCGCCAGAGTTTAATGAAGGATTGAGCAGCAACCGTGCCGACATTGATTCTTTGCGTCAACAGGTATGTCTCTGAGCTGCTTCCATCTGCTCGTGTTCCATGCGTTTGCCAGCTCATTCCGTCTTGTCTGGTTTCTTCTTGACTCGCAGTTGCAAGCGGAGCATCGTGTATTCCTGAAAGCGACTGCTACTCCCGCGTTGGTTTTGCTCTGGTCGCACCTCCGACGTGTGCAGCTGTCCGATGGCATGGCGAAAGGTGAGTTTTTGGTGTTTGTTTTGTTTTGTGGGTTGTTTTGGTTTGTTTGTTTGCTTCTGTCAGTTCTTGATCGAGAGCCTGTGCGCTGATCCGTTACGCTTTGCTCTCCTGTGTTGGTACTATCGTTAGACCGCACCATTGTCTTGGGTCGTGTGCACAAGCTGCATCGCGCAATGCTGGGCATCGCGGCAAACGCCACCATTGTTGATTGGGCTCAGTGCGAGGACGACGCTGAACGCGGTGACTTGTCGCTTGTCCTTACCAACTTGATGGTTCGCCAATGCGTCGTGCAGGCGAGTTGGCCGCGTGGTGGCCTTCCCTTGGCCGCGCCTGCCGAGTCGACTGCTGTCGTCAGTGCCTCCGACGATTTTGTCGAAGGCGCTGTTGCCGAGCTTCTTCAAACACCTGGCCTCGTTACAGCGGATGCCCTCCCGCTTGTTCGTCGCAAATCCCCCGTCTACTCGCTGGCAACCTTGGGAGCAGCTTTGGAGCACGAAAGCTCACAGTGAGTGCCTTTATTGTTTTGGTTGCTGTTCGAGACCTTGTTTTTTGTTTTTGTTTGTTTGTGATTGTTGTATCGTTGCTTTCTCACTGCGTTCTGCTATCCTGGGTCGCGACTTTCAGTTCGCTTCTTCCGCTTTTGACCGCTGAAAAGCGTCTGGCTGTGTCTGCGTTCTTTGCTGCTTTGCGCTACCCGTACTTTGAGTTGCGTGTCGGTATGTTTTTTGCTTTTTTTGTTGTGTGTTTTTGGTTTGGTTTCGGTGCTTGCATGATTTTTGGTCACCAACTTGCGTGTTCACTATTTGGGCATCTGGCTTTCTTCTTGTGACAGTCCCGGTCATGCACTACTTTGTGCTCGAGATTGATTTCAGTGTTGTGAGCGCCGCAGAGTACATTCGCCGTACCACAGGCAAGCTCAAGATTGAGGCGGCCGACCCTTCAAAGAAGGACAAGAAGCAGTACAAGCAGTCACGCATCCGCTCCAAGGTTGTCACTGCTGCAGTTGGTCAGGAGTCAGACTCTGGCTCGGATGACGAGGACTTGCCCAAGGACAAGGCCGATGCTGAGAAGCCGAAAGAAAAGGAGGCGAAGGATGCCGAGAAGACCGAAAAGGCCGAGACCGAACCGGTCGATGAGGCCATTTCTGCCCCTTTCATGCCTGCTGTCAGTTTTTGAGAACATGTGGTGCGGGCATTTCGGTCACAGTAAGGTTGCCCTTTCTCATCTGATCTGCGTCTGTCATCCCCCAAAACACAGCCAATCGAAGAGCCGTGCTGGTACTTGATGATTGCCCCGCCGCGCCGTCACGGCAACACTGTGACCCAAACCGACGCCCTGCAATGGTACAAGTTGGGATGTGTTGTTTCGATCTTGAAGAGCGAGAAGCGAACCGTGAAGGTATGCTCCAACATTTGTGCTTGAGGGAGGGGGAACGCAGCTTTTCTGCTTTTCTGCGTTTCTGCTTGAGTTTGAACACTATTGCTCAACTAACGCCTCTAATTGGCAATCTAGATTGCCTTCCCGTTCGCCGACAACCCTGGCGAGTACGCCTTGACTGTTCGAGTTGAATCCGAAAACTACTACCACGTTTCGCATGAAGCCACTGCCAAGGTTTGTTGACTATTTTCCTGCTTTTTGAATGTCATTGGCATTTCTCGCATCCCCACTGACGTTGCTCTTGCTGGCAAACTTGCAACTTTCAGTTCCATCAAGTCGGTTTCCGCCCAAAGGCTCGTGAGCAGCAACAAGCTCAGGTAGCGGGCGGCAAGCAACAAGTGTCGCGAAAGCAGCGTCTGCAACAACGGCTTCAGCAGCAGCAAACGAGCCGGGGCCGTGGGGCTCCCGCGGACAACAGCGGTAGTGAAGACGATGAACCCGGGCCGTCCAGCAGCTCTTCGGGTTCTTCTGGCTCGCAAGCTCGTCGACGTGTCCGTTATGTTGCGCACAAGCCGCCATCGGCTCTCAAGTCATCGTAAATCTACCCTCGGATTTCCGTGTTGATGGCCAGTGGAGTGTATTTTGCATCAGAGCGAGCGCGCTGTTTTTTGAGTTTCTTTGACATGTCAACGAACAAACTTCATCCTTAAAGCCTATGGCACTTGAGCATCGTCGTCGTGGTACCATTCGCTGGAGCAGTGAGCCTGACAGAACTCAACCACATGCCGATAGAGCTGCTTTGCGTGCGCCGAGTGCTGTCGAGACGATGTGAGTTTGCAGAACTTGATCTGGCGCGTATGTTCGACGGTAGAGTCCTTGTCTTACATCAAATTTCACATCCGGTTGAAACGCGTCTGGGTCGTGTACGAGTGGGCGCTGTTGAAGCACCGAGTACCCAGTCCGCACGGTCTGGACTTCCTCGAACAGCATGATGGCAATCAACGCGTCAGCCACAGAGACGCAATGTCGCAACGACAATCTGCAGTGCGCTGTGGCAAGCTTGGTTCTGTTGTGTGTATGCGCGATTTAACAAGGGTTAGCGGAGACTACTCTCATACAGTAATTTCAAAGCTTAGAGGAGACCTAGACGCATTCAGCAATGTGGTGGCCGAACGGCACTCACAAGGTTGAAAACGCACGCGACGGAATCTCTGTTGCGTGAACACCGCGCGATTGGACCCGGCGACAGGCAGCAAAGAACTCCTGTAGCAGCTGTTGTGCTTCGTTGTCAAATGGCAGACGGGTGGGTGTGACTGTACGAATTGTATGCAACAAGCTCCGAACAGAATCCGCATGAGCAAGCTCGCGCTCGTCGTTCTGGGCTTGGACTGTGTCGAGCACGTGTGCACAGATGGCGCGATCTACTTCCAGCGATGCGCTTGCTGCTGTAGCAGGACGATGGATCAGATCGACTGCTTGCATAATCCTGAATGAGGTTCATGTGTCGAATGAGTTTATGTTTCACGTTGTTGGCAACGATATTGTTTTTTTGTTGTTTTTTTTTTGTTTCGCGTACTTCTGAGCGGACCAAGCCTTCGATCGAGTAGTTCCGACTGGGACAAGTGCTTCCATAGCAGCATGACGATCGTGAAGAGGTCCTTCACGAGTGACTGTCCGCGAGTCGGTGGTGGCCCAGACAGTGCTGTGGATTGTGGTGGTTACCTCGACTTGGAGAGCAGTGCCGTGTCTGAGTTGCTGGGCAGCAGGTGCCTGTGCTGAAACGGTAATCTCTGGCACTGTCATTGCTGGTGTTCAATCGTGTAAGTCGTGGTGAATCTCCAAGAGTGTTTTCGCAACCATGTCCCCAGCATCCCAACCTTGGTACAGCGTGTCAAGTTCAGCAGGACGCAGATGCGACACGTTCTGAATCAAGCAGACGCCATCAGCTGCGAGCGACAAGGATCCATCTGCAAATCAACACCACGCAATGAATTCAAATGTGACAACGTTTCAAGTCGCAGAGGCAAGATGCGTTGCGAACCTGCGATGGTCGGATTCGGCGCTTGGGCGTCCCATGTTGCAGTTGGGACCAAGCCCATTGAAGTCTGATGAGTCAGACCCCTGCCATCGTCGAAATAGGTAGCAGCTTGAGCAATGAGCCGCGCCACAACCGGATCATCTTCTGGCAGCAGCACGAGCAGGTGCAGGGCAGATGACGTATGGTTTGCACGGCCCTGTGCGCTGGTGGAGTGCAGCATTGTCTCGCGTGATAGCAAGCTGAGCAAACACAACAGGCGCAGTCGTGTGTACGTGCCGCGCGGGACTGCGTGCGCTGCAAAATTCAAAAACCAACAAGTCGTCAGCATGCGTGCTTTTGAGGTGGTGCGCGCTCGTGATATGCTTGCGCGCTTACCCATGAACATGCGTGATATGGCGCTTGCTACGGAGAACGGGGATGTGTCTGCCGCTGTAGTTCATTCGGCGACTAAGGTTGGATGGGAGCACTAACGCACTCGTTTTGCCAGAACGCACTTACCTCGCTGGATTATCTCACGGAGGGTGTTGTCAGTGATTGTGGACATGATATTTCCGTATGCTGGCGTGAGAACAGGTGGACTGAAGGCCGTCTGTGCACAAAAATGTAACAGTTTGAGCTCGGTCAGTTTTGTCTCTGCGCTGCTGGGCTCAGCTACGCCGCGTGATCGCCGCTTTACTGTTGGAATTTGAAAGATCTAAGTGTTGACAACCAAATGAGAGAGTGTGGCAGTCAGGCGACGGGTGGATTCGTGTGAGCTGCGAGTCCTGTATTTTTCCACGAAATGAATCTTTTTCTGACCTTCAAATGCCTTTTTGGAAGGCGACCTCGCGCTTGATTTTTCGAACTGAAATGCGCACTCGGCAAAAACACTCCGTAGATTTCCAAATATACACCTATTTTCAACACATAGGCAACGGCAGCGGACCGATTCAATCTAGCTGCTCGACCATACAGCGTTGCAAGCTGGCCCTCACTCACCCAGTGGAAAATTATCTGTCAAAAGAGCTCCTACAGTCACCGACGCAAGTGAGGTACAATCACAATAATATTTTCAGTATTCTAGAAGCAGCGCAGCGAGCGGAAAAACACACAACATACCCTGGACGATGACCGAAAGTTGACTGAATGGACGCTCTCGACCGACCGCTGCAAGCGTGAGAATGCTCAAAGGCTGGGTCTTTCGACCTCGCACGCATTCCTCAAGCATGAACGACTCGGAATCACACACTACACATCTGTTGGCATTCGGATGTATCGTCCCTTGAGCACAGAGACGGCACAAAAACAAACAGGGTTGAACGCTCACTTGTGCCGCGCAATAACATCCTGCGGACGTTCTGCATAGTCGCAACTGGCATAGAAATAAGAAGGCTTCTTTCCGGTACGCTCGCAATATCGACAGACTATTTTCATGTGCGACCTGTGTGTAATGATGAGTACTCAAGCGGGTTTCGGTTGGTTCCCAATCCGGCTTACATGGCCTGAGTTGCACCAGTGAGCGCAACCACCTGGCCTCGGACCCGAAAGGGACATCCAAGTGCGTCGTCAGGCACGGTGGCAATGGGCGAGTCGCAGCTGTCCATGTGCCAATCTGGCCTAGGCAACATGAGCTCTGGCAGCTTTGGGAATAACTCAAACTGCACGCAAACAAACAGTGCTCTTCCTTCCACGATGACTTTGAGGGCAGCGTTTTGATCAGCGGACGAGGCACAGCTACACTGCTCTGCTAACAGCGAGAGGGCGGTCTGAAACAGACGAGCATCCAACAGCATTCGTGAGCGAAACCGAAAATCCCGCCAAAATTTCAAACCACCCGCATTTTTTGATCCGCGCCGTGTTCCTCGTCCGACCACAGGACGGGGTTACAAGCACCACAGCGCAAAGAGATCATGCCAAACCACACGCTTGGAGTGAACTAAACAAGCCAGGACCGTGGTGGGCGTTTCGAGCGAAGGTCTCTCGAATTGGCGTTGATCTGCAAAACCGACCTCTCGAAACAGCTCATCGAATGCTCTCTTGGCCGACAGGCACATCGATCCCAATCGCGCTGTACAATGAAACGCACATGCACACGTATTCAGAGTCAAGCACCAGAGTCACCAGCGTTGAACATTGCTGACCGGCCAGACAACATTGTCAAGTCGCCTCTTCCCGCCAAATTCGCAACAAAGCCCCAAACATGCGACAAAACGCTGATCCGTACGACGAAAGTCAAGCAGCTCGTGCACATCGCACTCTGGTCGATACTCAATGACGAGATCCTCCAGTCGCGAAGACGCGCCTGCTTGGTGGGTGAGAGCAGTGGCGGCGTACCGACCCGACTGCGTCTCAACGTCTAGCTCGATGTACTCAATCAGGCGAGGTACTTCGTTTCTGTGGAGCAAGTACTGACGCATCGCGGTCCGCTGATCATGCGATAGCTGGTCGTTCATGATGGCAGATGAGGAGGGCAAGAAAAGCGAGCTGGCAGTGTTTCACAATGTCAACGACGAAACAGACGACTGCCACATCCAAATCCAGACTGCTTTGAAGATGCATCATGTTACTCAGACACACAGCTTTGAAAAATACAGTACACGACCACACATCTCTATCGCAACTCGACTTTCAAATCTGCTGCGAGCCGGTTGCGTATCTCGTTGTGCAACAGATTCACTTCTTCGTGTGACAAATCACGTTCGTACGACCGGTAGGTCACACGGAAACATTTGCTTGTACGGCCGGTCTTGGGGTGCACAAATGAGTCGATCTGCGGAGCCCAGACGAGCAAGAGCAGCCAAAACCCCGCCCCCCAAAAAAATCAGTGTCGCAGCATTCGAGTTCCAATGACATTCACAGCCAACCACCAAAAAAAGGACCCCCACAATTACAGACAGCATCACAATGTTCTGTCACATACCATCTGCACGTTCTCAACAAGGTCACTCGCAATCGAGCGCACCAGCTCGAAAAAGTCATTGTCTTCAAACCCACTGGAAGGCAGCCAGAATGTCGTGTCCTTAGACCGCGAGAGGAAGCGGGAAAATTCCTGGAACTTGACTGCGTTGGCACCGGGATTCAGTGCCGCAGCTTCGCTGAACTGCGAAACAAAGCGAGAGTCAGTGCTCCAGAACAGACGAATGTCGGGAATGCCGAACAGGACCATCGCAAGCCGCTCCAGACCCAGACCGAACGCCCAGCCAAGCTTGTTTTCAACACCAGCATTGCTCAGAATCTGCTGTTGCACAACGCCACAGCCAAGCACTTCAAGCCATTTGCCGTGGAAGAGCACCTCCATCTCCCACGACGGATGCGTAAAGGGAAAGTACGCATCGACCCAGCGAACTTGAATCTCAGACCCGAAAAGGTGCCGCGCAAGCCCATCCAACGTGGCCTTGAGGTCTCGCTCAACGACAGCGGCAGCGAGGGCAGTGTGCGACTTTTGCTTGGCTGCCGTTTCGCCGTAGGTCGGACTGCCTGCTTGCTCAAAGATGGGCGAGCCAGCGATCTCTGGATTGTATTTGGCAAGAGTGTCATGCGAAAACAGTCGAATGCCCTCCATCTGGTGGAAGGCGGGGTAGTGCGAGGCATCAATCTCGTCGCGGCGGAAGACATCGCCGGCAATCAAGACCGCATCGTGACCCTCGCGGAGCGTCTGGACCTGATGAGCCGACGTATGGCATCGCAGCACTTGGTTTTGATTGACATAGTACGTGTCCCTGGGCTGGCGCGAGACGTGGTCGGCCGGCACGAGGAGACTGTCAAAGTTCTGCTGGACTGTCACGACTGGGCTGAGCGAGTCCACGATGGCGAACGCGCGTGGAGCAAGCAGTGGATCTGTGCCAGGGCGCGTCTCGTTGAGGTACTGCTCGATGCGCAGCTTGATGATGCGCAGGGGATGGTTTGGCACGGTGAGCAGTCCGCGCCCGAGCTTGGCCTGGATGGACGGCGACACGTTTGTCCATCGGTCGCGCGGATACGCCGTTCCAAGCAACGTAATGTGGTCTGGCGATGGCGATGGCGATGGGTTTGCAGGATGACTGGGCTTGGTGGCAGTCGTCGTTGTTGTCGACGCCCATCGCCTCGAGCACGCCGATCTCAAGCAAGCACGGCCAAGACGACGAGCGAGACCGCCGAGCGCAGCGACCATCGATTCACCGAAACAAACAAAAACGAAAAAACGCAGACTGCAGCCTCCCCAATTCGGGTGTCAAGTTCGACAATCACTACCACGATCAAGTTAACAATTACAAGTATTGCTTGGATGCGTTTGATTTTTGCTATGGAGCAAGCTGATGGATGAACTGAATGGGCAAAGCAAAGCAATCTCATTCATTCATTCATTTTTTTTTTTTTTTTTGGTTTTTCTCATATGACTTCGTCGTCGTCGTCGTCGTCGTCAGCGGCGGCGTCGAGTGGCGTCACTGCTGCGTCGTTCCAGCAGCACTACTTGTACCTCTCGCCCGAGTACCCTCTGCGATTCACTCCGCCAGTCGAGCGGCAAGCGAGCGTGTTCTTTGACGAGAGCAATCGACAGGTAACGCAATGAAGCCCCAATAAGAAAAAAAAGAAAAAAAAAGAAATAGAAAAAGCCAAGCCGAGTTGATGTGGGAGTCACTGTCCAGTGTGCTGCAAGAGCGGAAAGCACACAGGCTGAATCCCCAACTCATCCAGGCATCTATGTGCTGCGCGTGCTGGACGGCCGGGGGGGGGGAAGGTCGCCATCGAGCTTTGACTCGTTCACCTTTCCATCTCCAACACTGATCATCTTTGTTGGCTTTGTTGTCCTCCCTTCTTGCAGGTCTTTGCTGTCCGGGACAAGGACAACACTACGGAAGTCACAGTGTTTGCTGTCAACAAGTCCAACCCGATGCGGTACAACATCCACGGCAAGGTGCGTGTCGATAGAATTGGTCTTGCGCTTCGTACTGTCGTTGCCACAGACACACCCACTCATAGCCCTTCTAGGACTGTGCGAGTGTGTGTGTGGATGTGTGTGTGTGTGTGGATGTGCCGGGCGAAGTGCACTCCAGTCTCACATTGACCTTGGTTGATTGTTCGCAGGGTAATATCGTGTCAGTCAAGTTCTCGCTCGACCAGAAGATTCTCACGGTTCAGAAAACTGCCCGCGACATTGATTTTATCAACATTAACGATCGCACAGTACGTTCGTTCCTTTTCTCGCGGGTTGTCTCGCGGGTTGTCTCGTTGTTTTTATTTACTTTTGTCGAGGTGGTGCATTCATTCGCCGTTCTCACACCTCCACCTCCTCCATCGTATTATCGTTTAGGAGTTTACCTACTCGTGCAAAAGCAAAAGCGCCACCCAAATCATCGGATTTCACTGGACTTACATGAACGAGCTGGTTCTTGTCACGACGCAAGGCATCGAGTTATTCAAGCTCGATCCCGGGAAACAATCTCTCAAGCTGATCAAGGCGGTCAGTGTTGCGGTCAACTGGTACAACTACTCGCACGAGCACCGTATCTTGCTGGTTTCGACCTCGCTGCAAGCCAACGTCATGTATGGGTTTCACTTCAAGTCCGGAGCCATGACTCGGTGCGTACACTCCTTTTGACCTCTATCGAGCTGGCACATGCTGTTTGGACTGGACCAAATGACTCACCCAAGCTGTTTGTTTTTGTGCGTCCCGCCGCCGCCTCGTCTCCAGCTTGCCACGATTCGACGTCGAATTGCCCGCTTCTTACAATAAAGTTCAGCCTCGCCTTCACGAGTCCGACCTTACCATTGCTATGGTATACGGTCGCTTGTACTGCCTGCACGTTCGCAGCACCGGATTGTCTCCAGATCAACATCATAGCAGCGGCTCTGCGGAGATTGGTAAGGCGTTTCCTCCCCTCCCCCTCCCTTGAAGTTATGATTGTGCTCGGCACTTTTTTGAAGACGTATCTTTGAAGACGTATGTTGTGACTTACCCCGACACTCTGTCCGTTCTCGTCCTTTCGATTCCCAGTCCTCTATCAACTCACGCGAGAGGCCGTCACGAAAAAGGCCATTCTCGACTTGCAGGTGGACGGCAAGTTTGCCATCAACGTGGTCGATAATGTGATTGTGGTGCATCGGCAAGAATCACGCACGTCCATGCTGTTTGACATTCGACTGCCTCCGCGCGATGTTTATTCCTCCAATGGCCTGCTACGACCTGTTTCGCCCTCTCCCTACCGAACCGCATCTCCAGTCGCTTCGCCAGTGTCGTCCACTCATCCGTCGTTGCTCGGCAATGCCGCCATGGTGGCGAGTGAAGTGCCCATCTTCGATCATGTCCTCGCTCCGCTGTCCATCGCTCCTTTCCGTCTCCGGAATGAAATCAAGGGCGATCCGTCTGCCGACAGCGCAACTACTGCTGCCAACCCAATCGACTGCGAACTTTATGCGGTCAGCTGGGTGGTATTCCAGCCAAATCTTGTGATTGATGCCAAGCTGGGTGTTCTGTGGCAGGTGAGTTTTTTTTTTCGTTGTTTCCAGGAGAACAACCCAAAGATGGTTGCTTTCACCGTTTTTTTTTCTTTTGGCTTCGGAAGGGTGAAAAAGTTGTTTCAGTCTTGCTTTTTTTTCCCCCCCCCCGTTGTCTCCAATCTCACCTTTGCTTTTCTGGCTTCTGTTTGTCGCCTCATCCTCATCAGCTTTCAATCAAGTTGGATGCAATCGTCAATATGATTTCAGACAAGAATCGACTCGTAGACTTTTTGCTGCGGCGCACAAATTCAAAGCAGGTGCTGCTTCAAGTTTGCAGGACTCTGCTGGAGGAAGCCTCCCCTTCTTGGCTGTCCACCATTTCCATTGTGTTTGATCAGCTCAACGCCGTGTACAAATCCAGCTCCATCGGCACAGACGGCCTACCCCTGCCAGAACAGCAGCCCGCCATGTTTATGTCTGCCGCTGCGCGATGGCTTTCGACCTCCACATCCATGTCGGCCGCAGCCGCCTCAATCGCCGCCTCATCGGCAACTGCCTCCACAACACTCGCGTCTTCGTCACCACGCTCGGCGTCGATCGGTTCTGGGACGATCGTCGTCGCCAGCGAGCAGCCAATGTCGCAGACAAACCTGCTGGCTGGACTGGATGCAGATGCCGCCTTTTCGGACGCTGCACTCTCCGGCGGCACCGTTGTTGATGCTCGAACCAGCTTGCAACGCTCTCTTGGAAAGGGCTGCGTCGTGATTGACCAAGCGGACATGTTTTCGGCCGTCTTCCACCCGCTCGAGGAATCCAAGGTAGAGGTCCCTTGCTGTTGCTGCTCAACTGCTTTGCTCGATTGAATTATTTACTGATCGAATGCATCTGTGAATTGCAATTGCGTTGTTGATTCAGGACTTCAAGTACCGTTCTTTCGTTGCTGTCCTGGTCGAGTACATCCGATCGCTTAGCGTGTTCAAGATCCCGGTTCAGCATTACCTTTACGAGCTGGTCATCAACTTGCTGGTGCGCAACAACCGCTACTACCAGCTTCATCAGTTCCTGCAGTATCATGTCGTCAATGACTCAAAGCATGTGGCGTGTCTGCTCTTGTCGCTCGAGAATACGTATCCACCAGCCTATCAGCTTGCATTGGATATGCTCAAGGTGAGTTGTCAGTTTTTTTTTTTTTTTTTTTTTTTTGGTGTGTGTGTGTGCATGTGTGCTCTCACTGGATACACCATGCTCATATTGCACATCCCAGCGCTTGCCAAACTCGGATGCCGAGATTGTGGACGTGTTCTTGTCCAAGGGCGCTGTTCTGGGTGCCTTGAGGTACATTCGCAGCCAAAATCTCGAGTCGACCGCCGACGCTCGGCAGTTCCTCGAGGTGGCCGTCAGCACCAAGGATGACATGCTCTTCTACACGGTCTTCAAGTTCTTTGAGCAACGTAACATCAAGTATCGCAAGTCGCCCGAGTTTACAAAAGACGATCGCTGCGAAGCGTACGTTCAACGTTTCCAGGAGCACTTCCGCTCGGGACCACACCTTACGCAGTTCCAGTCTTGATTCCCAAGCCATGTGTGAAGGACGGATGCTCGTTCGGGGGGTTTCACTGGCTTTGTTGTTGCTGTTGTTGACGGGGTCTATCGAGAGTGTTGAACTGTGGTTCATTTTCCTATTGTGTGAATTTCAAGTGGTTTTTTTCTTCTTTTGGCTGGGATTTGTTCTGCATTTTATTTTTCGTGTGTGCGATTCGGAGCGTTCGTTTGCTCTGCACGATGTCACTGCGATCGTCGTTGTTTGGCGTTGAGACTTGCTTCGGATGGCAATTGTTTCCTTTTTGCTTGTTTTTTTTTTTTTTTTTTTTTGTATTCTTTTTTCTTTCTTATTTTTTTTTTTGGTTTCCAAGTTTGCTTTTTCAGTTCGTTCAGTCCAAAGTCACGAGCAACAAATGGAGGTCGACGAGCTTGAGCGTCGTCGTGCCGAGCGCAACGAAAAGCGGCGGCAGCTCGAAGAGCAGCTTGCTCAAGAGGAAGCCGAGCGTGTCGCAGCCAAGGCCAAGCGCCAGGCCGAGCGCGAGGCTCGAATGGCAAGGCTTGCCGAGGAAGAAGCTCAACAGGAAAAGGTTGGAAAAATTTTTTTATTTTTTTTATTTTTTTATTTTTTTTACAAATCGAATTTTTGATTGTTTTTTTTTTTTGCTTGAGCTTTTTCTGGTTTGAGCTTGTCCGAGATGAGTGTGTGTCTGTGGGGGAGTGCGTGGCAAGAAGAGGTCTACACATGCATTCACCGATGGATTCTCAGAGTTCCCATCCTAGTTGTTGCACTTTGCAGCGCTCGTAGTCGGCGATTTGGCTTTTTTTTTTTTTTTTTTTTTTTTTTTTTTTTTTTTTTTTTGCGCTCGCTCTTTGGCGTCTTTTCTCATTCCGCTACGCCATGACACTCTTGTCACATCTGTGAGTGAAATGCTATTGGAAAGAGAGAGAGAGAGAGAGAGAGAGATAGACAAATAGACAAACTCTCGCGGGTGGAGGGATGATGCGTGTTTCAGAGTGGCGTCTGCACAGTCAAACAGAGAGCAAGGAATTCGGTTTTTGCTTCTTTTTATTATTCGAGCATTTCAGCGTTTGAGCATCCAGATGCATCCCACATTGATAACACTCGTATGAATATGAATTGGTCTTACCTTGTCTAATGCTTGGTGCAGGAGCGAAAGGCGCGGATGGAGGAGCGCAAAGCCAAGCGCGAGCAGTCGTCCGACAATCTGCTGGCTGCTGCTCCAACCTCGTCATCTGCACCTGCGGTTTCGGCCGTGCCAGAGCGTGCCGTGTCAGCTGCTGTATCTGCACCCGATTCTCCAGCCATCTCGGATACCGAGGAGCGCCGCAAGGCCCGCGAAGTGAGTTTGCACACTCGTTTTTGAATCTTGACTTGATCTGCGCATTCATTCACGTTTTTGGTACTGTTGGTTTACCGTCGTGCGATCCACCACTTCTGCTGTAGGAACGTCTCAAGAAGGCAGAGGAAGACCAAGCCCGCGAAGAGGCTGAGCGTCAAGAACGCCGGCGCGAGCGGCAGCGTGCGAATGACGAGCGCCGAATCAAGGAGGAGGAAGATCTCCGAGCCCTTGAGCAGCAGGCAAGTCTTTGCTGCACAGTCATGTTGAGGTTGATACTGCTGACAAACGAGTCTGGCGTAAAACTGCCGAATCGCTCACTTGCCTTCTCTTCGTCTTGTCGACAGCGCACGTTGCGTCGCGAAGCTTCCTCCCAAGCCATTGACTCGTCGGCAACGGTCGTTTCACCGTCTTCAACGCCAGCGCGACGAGCTTCCACCGACACCGAGGCCACTGGTGGCCTCCACCGCAAGACGTCGCTCAAGAAATCTGGCTCGGAGCACGGTCTGGGTCCCAAACGCAAGGTCTCCTTCTCGTCGGAGGACTTGACTGTCATTGTTGGCGCCTCCGAAAACAGCCCACCAGCTCCAGTCGACGAGGCAAGCGCCGCTGCAGAGCTCGATGAGCAACAACTTGCAGTGGCTCGTGAGCGCATTCTCCAAGAAGAGAGCAAGGCCGGCCTGGAACTCAGGCGCAAGGCCGACGCCGAGCAACTCGCTGAGGCCGAGAAGAAGGCTGCCGAGAAGGCCGAGCGCGAACGCCAAGAAAAGGAAGAAGAAGCAGAACGCGAGCGTCAGCGGGAGACTCGCCGCAAGGAACGCGAGGCTCGTGAAGCTGCTGCTAAGCAACAGGAGGAGGAAGCCGAGCAGAAGCGCAAGGACGAGCGTGCTCGCAAGGCCAAACAAGCCGAAGAGGCAGCAGCTGCCGAAGCTGAAGCCGAGCAAAAGCGCAAGGACGAGCGTGCTCGCAAGGCCCGTGAGGCCGAGGAAGCAGCAGCCGCCGAAGCTGAAGCCGTGCAAAAGCGCAAGGACGAGCGTGCGCGCAAGGCCCGCGAAGCTGAAGAGGCGGCCGCCGCCGAAGCTGAAGCCGAGCAAAAGCGCAAGGACGAGCGTGCGCGCAAGGCCCGCGAAGCTGAAGAGGCGGCCGCAGCTGCAGAAGCTGAAGCCGAGCAGAAGCGCAAGGACGAGCGTGCTCGCAAGGCCCGTGAGGCCGAGGAAGCAGCAGCTGCCGAAGCTGAAGCCGTGCAAAAACGCAAGGATGAGCGTGCTCGCAAGGCCAAACAAGCAGAAGAAGCCGCGGCTGCTGCAGTTGCCGAAAAGGAAGCCCAAGCTCAGGCAGATCGCGCTCTCAAGGCCAAGGAGGCATCGACTGCGCAGGACGACACCCCTGCCAAGCGTCCGTCTGCAACAAAAGTCAAGATCGCGGAAGCTGACATTGACGATGAAGAAATGTGGCGACTTGCGGAACAGGAACTGATGGCTGGTGGCGCAGCGACTGCTGCTGCGATTGAGGATCTCACCAGCACCACCACCACCACCACCACGACCTCGCGTGCCCCGCCGTCTCAGCCGACCAGCGCTCCCGCTGCGATCGCGTCGAAAAAGAAAGTCACCCTCTCATCAGAAGACGAGGAGACAACCAAAGCGCCTCGTCCGAGCCTTACCGTCACTGAAGACGCCTCCGAGACAAAGGCGACTTTGAGCAACGATGGCGCGTCGCTTGATTTCGGCGATCTGGCTCTTGCTTCTGATAGCAAAAAGCTCACTCACTTGACGCTGGGCCGTGCCGCAATTCGACCAAACCGCTCCAATCGCCATTCCATCAACCCCGTTCGCACGCTCCAAGCAAGAACCGATGTGCAGGACTTGTTTGACGTTGCTGGCCATAACACCGAACCAGCCTCGAAGACCGAAGCCGAGGACGACGACAACGTGCCCCGTGCGCTCAAAAAGACGACGACATCTTCTGCTAGCCCTGCGGCTGCTCTGGCTGCTGCTATGACCGGCGGCGCTAGTGCGGAGGGTGGCATTCGCGGTCGCGCAGGCCTCCGCCCTTCTACGATTGCCCTTGGATCGACACAGTCGATGGAGCTGCAGATCAAACTGCGCGAACAAGAGGAGGCCAACGCCTCTTCAACATCGACCCCGCCAAAGACCTTCAAGCCCCCAGTTGGCGCTAAAGGTGCTGCTGGCTTGCTGGCCCAAGTTGGTCTGCCTGGTAGCGGTGGCTTCCCTACATTGAAGAAGACGGGACTGAATGTCAACCAGAGCGTTGGATCCCCAGCTCCCAGCAGCCCGTCGTCCGGCCCAAGCTCACCATTTGGCGCGTTTGAGCGTCCACGGTCTGGCAGCGCGTCTGGCTCTGTGGGCCTCGTTGGTCTCAAGCGTGACAAGGCACTCTACGTGCTCAAGGGCAAGCGTCGCTTCCGCATGATTCGTGTCGAGCCCAACATCCACCAGCTCACGCATGCCGAGGTGGCCATTCTCGATGGCGGTGCCGGTGAAGTATTCTTGTGGAATGGGCGCGACGCTTCCAAACTCGTGCGCGCAAAGGGATTCGAGGCTGCCGTGCGTGTCAAGGACAAGGATTGCGGCGGGAAGGTCAACATTGTGACGTTGGACGATCAGGATGACTCTGACACGCGCACGCGCGGGAGCAGCGACTTTTGGGCTGCCCTTGGCGTTCCCAGCGACATGATCGTGGATCAGAAGGCAAAGATGCTCGCCGCACCCATCGTTGCTGGTGCCGATGACGACTCTGCATACGACGCCATCTTGGACAAGCAGATTGTCCTTTACCGCGTGAATACCGACGACAACGCCACGTCGTGCGAACTCGAGGTCGTGAATGAGAATGGCGCTCCTTTGGGCGTGGAGATGCTCGACAGTGAGAGCTGCTTCATTCTGGATTCCGGCAGTGAGCTGTATCTCTGGAAGGGTCGCAAGGGATCCGAGGCTGTCCGTGACATTGGGCTCAAGCACGCCGAGCAGGTCTTGCTGCCGCAACCCGCGCCTGGTGGGTCCAAGCGACCCGCGTGGACCAAGGCACTGCTGGTCAAGGAGAACACAGAGCACACGTCATTCAAGGACAAGTTCCACAACTGGGCGGAAGGCATGTCCATTGCCCCGCGCCAGCAGACCAACATCAAGCGCAAGGACAAGACGGCATACATTACCGGCGCTGATGTCCGCAAGGTCTCCAAGGTTGACATTCCCGCTCTCATGGAGCAAGAGCCACGCATCCCGAATTGGGATTGGCTCATCAACAAGGACAATGGCACTGGTGAGGTGAAAATCTGGCACGTGACTGACAAGACGCGCGACGAGCTGCCCGAGTCTGAACATGGCCATTTCTTCTCCAACGAATCGTACGTCGTCTTGTACAAGATTGCCGAAAAGGTCGACCTGTACATTCTGTATCTCTGGCAAGGCCGCGACTGCTCGCCCCTCGACAAGGGCGCCTCCGCCATGTATGCGATTGAAGTTGACCGGCAATACGGTGCTCCGCAAGTGATGATTCCTCAGGGCAAGGAGCACGACCATTTTGTCAGCGTTTTCAACGCGCGGCCAAACCGAATGGTTGTCCACCATGGCCCCCGGTCTGTCAACCACATTCTTTTGCCGAGCGGCTCTCGCGAAAAGCAGCCCGGCGTGCATGTGCGCTCTTACAGGGCCCTGTATCAGGTGCGAGGCCTGAACCGCGCGCTGGCGCGTTCCGTTCAGTTTGCCTCTCCAAGCACCGCCTTTTTGGCCTCAAACTCGTGCTTTGTCTTTGTTCACGGAGAGTCATCCTCAGTCTTTGTCTGGCGCGGCAAGGGCTCGGCAAAGTTTGAGCAGTCGTTGGCAGAGACCGTTGCCGAGTCCATGGTGGCAGGTGCCAAGGGACACGCCAAGCTCGCCGTCGTTAAGGTCGACGAAGGAAGCGAGCCCGCAGAGTTTGAGCTCAAGTCGTACGCCAACGCGTCCCATCTCAAGCGTTGCCCCGAGTCAAACCACCATCTTCGAGCTTGGTTGCTCTCTCGCAATCACGCTTCAGGCGTCATTGCGCTCGAGCTCGACAAGCTCACCCAAGAGGATCTCTTGGCCGACGCCGTCATCCTTGTTGATGGACTGCATGAGCTGTACGCTTGGTGCGGCGCCGGTGTCCACATTGACGATGTGCTTCTGGGTGTCAACGCGCTGCGCGACTACCGCGATTTCACTCTTTCGCCAAAGGACCCGAGAGCGACAGACCGGCGCAAATCGTCCGAGGCTTACGTTGTCTTTGGCGGACATGAGCCTGCAGCCTTCAAAGCTCTGTTCTATGGATGGGACGACAGCGTCTCTGCCAAGCTCAACAAGGACGTTACGCCTCGCCACTCGCTGAGCGCTGAAGTGGCGTCGCTCGAGACCATGTTGCAGCTCTTCACCAAGAAAATCTACCCGATTGCCCAGCTGAAGGTTCCCGCCGAAAAGCTCCCTCCTGGTGTCGATCCTCGTTGCTTGGAGGTGGGTTGAAATACATGGTTTCGATGGCGATTGGGTTGTGCTGTGTTCTTGGACTCACACTCTGATGCGACGCCTGTGTTTGGCTTGTGAGCAGGAGTACATTTCCGATGCCGATTTTGAGGACTTGTATCAGATGAAGCGCGAGGCCTTTTTGTCAAACCCCGAGTGGAAGAAGGTTGAGCTTCGCAAGAAGAGTGGGCTATTCTAATGCCATTTTTGTTCCAATCGAATATACAAATTTGAATCTCGAACAGAAGTGACAAATTTTTATTTTGAGCATGTGCACGAGTGGGGGGGGGGTCGTCGGGGGCAATAAGCTCGTCGGTGACAAGGAGCGAGAAAACGTTACGAACTCGTGGGTTGAACGGAGCTCGTTCGAGCCAAGATGGCACCCAAGTCGCGAACGGAATCAGATTCGTCCAGTGACATTCGTGCAAACGCAACATGAAGCTGGGCGACATCAACACGGTCGGTCACCTCCCACGTCCAGCAGCTCGAGACTAATTCCCAAAGCTCATCGCTACAAAGCGGGGGACGAGACAAGCGTTGGCCGCTTTCCAAAAAGAGAACAAGTCCTTTCGCATCAACGCCTTCGTACGGAAGAATACAGGCAGACAAGACCTCCCACATGAGCACGCCAAACGCCCAGACGTCCGACGCAGGCGATGACTTGCGATAAAGCAAAAACTCGGGCGCCATCCACTGTGGCACAGCAGACAAGAAGAACACTTAGGTCGCGGCCATCTCAAACACCAGCAACTCTGTGACTAGCAAATGCGACTTACACGAACGGGTAGGGCTCTACGTGTCTGCATGTGGTAATAATTCTGCTCTTCCAGCTCGCGCGACAAACCAAAATCGGAGATCTTGACGACCAAACCGGCTCCCACAAGACAGTTGCGTGCTGCGATATCGCGATGCACAAAGCGCAGTCCAGCAAGGTATGACAAGCCGCTGGCCACTTGCGAAAAGATGTGCAGGTACTCTCCAACAGTGGGTGTCAATCCGCCAGCGTTGCACGATTCGATGCACTTGTGCAAGTCACCATACGGAAGCAACTCGAGCACGAGCATCCAGGGCTCCTGCTCGACAAAAACTTCGACAACGGAAACAATGTTGGGATGGTTGAAGCGGCGCATGACTTGGGCTTCACCAGCAAAGTCACTCTTGCTCTTGTCGCTGGCATCCGCTTTCAGAGTCTTGACAGCAACGGCGACCGTCGTCGCATTGGAGGAGCGGGACTGACGAGTTTGCTTTGCGAGCCATCGGGAGGGCACATGCGCCAGCCAGACTTCGCCAAAGTTGCCAGAACCCAGAAGAGACTTGAGCTGGAGCTCGTCGCGCGAAAATGCTTGCTCTCGCTGGAAGCAATCTATTGTTGACGTGTACACCGAGTCATACACGTCTTCTTCTTGCTGTCCACGCGTCGAACTAAATGCTGCACGCATCGCGTCAAACGCAGGCGGAGCGGTTGGCGACGGAGAATCCTGCCCTTCAGCATGTTTCTCGGATGGCGAAGCCGCGCGTCGCGTGGAAATGAAGACTTCGTAGGGGGAGTCAGTTTCAGGATCCGAAGGAGTAAAAATGGGGTTGCGCGTCATGGACTGGTGATTGCCGGTTGGAGCGTTCTGAGGCTTGAATGAAGCGATCAGCTCGCCATTTTGTACGACACGAGTTCGCTTGCGCCGAATTCGACTAACCAACACAACGATGACGGCGACAAGCACCACGATGCCTCCCGCTGCTGCGCCTGCAGCAGCTGCAGCTACTGGAGCGGAGCTTGATTCGTTCGTATCATGCTCGTCGTCTTGAATGACAATTGCCATCGCTTGAGAGGCACCAAAGCGCGCTCCTCCTTGCAGATTTTTCAGGCAGATGAACATGACTCGACTGCCATCCAGCAAGCTGTTGTCGTGCAACGGTATCGCGAGCTCAGCCTCGTTTTGACCGTCTCCAAACGTCACCACAAACGGCGCCGCGTCCACATGTTGCGTCAGGTTTGCTGGGGCTGAGGACAGACCCAAACCCGACAGGGACGCGCACGCGGGATCAGACGTGAGGTCGGTTGTCACGACAAAGCTCACCGTGACGGAACCCACTTGTGAAATCTCACGCCACAGAGGGAGCCGAATAAAGCCAGAGTCCTCGGAGATGGTCGTCACAAGTGGATTTTGACCCGATGAAGGAGCAAACTCAACCACGCCGTTGACGTCGTCATTCCTCAGAATGGTCACAGTCGCCACTGACATCCACGACAAGGTCGCACCAGTCACATTGACGAGCGTCACAGTAAAGGTCTCGTCGAGTTCAGGAGCACTGTCCTTTGAAACCTCAATGTCAAACGAGACAGATGTCTCCCCAACCGCGAGCGTGTACGTGTTGTTTTGATTTGACGCGTCAAAGTCGTCGCCGGATGCGGAAAGAGGCACTGCGTTGGTCTGGAAGCTGATTTCTGTGGCACTTCCGCCGACACGTTGCACTGTCAGAGTGACCTTGCCAGTATCTTCGACGACAGAAACCGTCGGTTGAACAAAAGATAAAACGCCGTTTACACCATCCTGGGCTTCAATAGCGCACGGGATGGTAGAGTCCAACGACGTCGCGCCAACAAGAACAGTTGCTTCCTGACCAGCGCTGGCTCCGTTCGCCGTCAAAACAAGCTTGAACAGCTCGGTCGGCTCCTGTGTGCTGTCTGCGCTGATCGTCCATGATGCCAACGCAGTACGTTGTCCAGGTTCAAATGTGACAGTGCGAGCGGAGCTGTCAGCAAAATCAGCCGAGCTGGTTGTTTCATGCGCGATGGAGACAACTCCGGACACTCGGTGAAACGTGCCACCGACACGCGAAACAGCGACAGTCACAACATCGCTCTCGCGAACAAGCAGACGGCTCTCGCCCGTCGCACTCAGCGTGAGATTGACACGCTCGAACGCCAAAGATCCGAATGGATTGTCGTTCATGCCGATGCAAACGTCTGTAAAGTTGCTGACTGGGTCAATGGTCACGCCGTAGCTTGCCGAATCCAGCTGCACCCAAAAGTACTCGTCCAACTCTGGGATTGAGTCGGCAAGCAGCACCACTTGAATCTGTGCACGGTCCACACCAGCAGCAATAATCACGGTTTGACTTGACGAGGCCGTGCAATCTCCGGGCGCTGATGCTCGATTGTCGGCGGACAGCGTCGTGTTCTTGAACCTTCCGCTGTGCATCGACCAGGTAAATGAAACGGCACCATACAGACCACCAGAGCGGATGACTTCAATCGCCACCGTGTTGTTCGGTTGAGGAACTCCACCAACAAGGGGCGACTCTTCAAAGCAACTGGACACCCGCGTGATTGAGAGAACACCACGCGCATTGTCGTTCTCGGGTATGGTGACCAACGCCAGCGCCAATGTCGCATCGACACGGCCAGGTCCGGACACATACTCCAAGAGCAGACCAAACATTTCATCCAGCTCAGGGACACCATCAGCAAGCACTGCAATAGAGACATGGGCCTCGACATCGTTTTCGCTGAAAGTGACAAGCTGGGAAACAGCGGCATAGTCGCTTGGGGATGCGATTCCCACACCATTGGCTTGACTTGAGCTCAAAGTCAAACTTCGCACGCGGACGACCGTAGTTCCCAGAGTGCCCTTGAGTCGCTTTAACTGCACAAAGCCCGTAGAGCTCTCCGCCACCGACACGTGAGTCAAGCTGAATCCAAACACACCATAAGGGTCGTCGTGTGCGTTCACGGTCACGCGAGAAGTCGAATAGTACCCGATGGCCGCGGCAGATCCACTGCCAATCACCATGGCACTAACGATGGTATACGTGTGCACGACATCAAGAGTAGGCACGGACGAGAATGGCAGCTGAATGATCTTCGTTGCTGCGGCTTGGTTTGCGGGAATCACGATCGAAATGTTTTGGGGCACTGGGAAATCGCACCACACAGTGACATTGATGGCATTCACGAGTGATGCATACGAGTACCTCTCAATCGTGAGAGGGTAGGTGCCAGCGGTAATGTCCACCCGAAACGCGCGCGACGCCGCGGCAAAGCGTACCACTGCATTTGGATTGTCATTGGCGTCCACGGCAATTGTCGACTTGTTAAACGCGCTTACTGAATCCTGCAGTTGAACAAAGATGCTCCGAAGAGGCTCGGGGTTGTCATTGCCAATCACCACAATCGTAATGGATTTGAATGTGTCGCCGAGATTGAAGACCAGCGGAGATGGGGTCTCCACAGTGTAATCAACGCCTAGGATGAGATCCAACGAAGACACGTTAAAGGGGACAAGAGTACCGTCAAAGTCAGGAACCATTTCAACGCGCAACTGGATGGGCGAGGTGGCGCTCGATGCGCCGTCAGAAAGGAGTACAAACCGCGAGCTTTCCGCAAAAGCCGCTGAATTTCCAAACACGCACTGGACGCCGTTGCCCGCATAACCGATTTGGCAGGTGCAAGTAAAGTTGCCGGGAAAGTTGGCGCAGTCAGCAAACTCACTGCAAGGCAAAGTGGCGCACTCGTCGACGTCCGTGCAAACAGTGCCGTTGCCCACGAATCCGGCAAAACACGCGCACTCAAAGCTGCCAATGGTGTTGGTGCAGGTGGCATTCCCGTCGCAATTGTCCAAGCCTTCTTGGCATTCGTCAATCTCCGAGCATGATTTGCCGTCGCCCTGCAACCGGAAACCATCATAGCAGGAACAATGGTACGATCCTGGAACGTTGTTGCAATTTTGGCCACAGTTGCCATTGTTTGTCGAGCACTCGTCAAGGTCTGTGCATCCGCTCGGACCGCGGCCAGCGTTGTTGATACTGTATCCCGAGTTGCAAGAGCAAGTATAGTCGCCAATGGTGTTGTTGCAGATTTGATTGCACTGGTTGCCGCCGCCCGGAGCGCATTCGTCTCTGTCCGCGCAGGTCAAAGTTGAACTCCAGCTCCAAGGCCCGCTTGAAAGACACGTCGTCGTAGCAGAGCCACCAGAAAAGCCAGACTTGCATGCATAGGTGCACATGCATCCAGTAAAGTTGCAGTTACAAGAAGTGACATTCATGACGGCAATCGAGTTCAAAGGAGGCATCGGGAACGCGCCGCACACGTTTGACCTGTCACAATTCGGGCCAGTCCAGCCGTCACAGCAGCTTTTGACGCCACCTGTGCCGCACGTGTAGCACACAGTGGAAAGGTTTGTACTCGCGCAGTGCACACATTGGAAGCCGGCTTGTCCCGGCGTGCCAACTGGCCAGTAGTTTGGGGCGACGCAGGTGCCGCAGTCTTTGCCCGTGTAACCGACAGAGCAAGTGCACACGCCTGATGAGGGATTGCAAGCGGTGCACGCCGGAGGATCGCTGACTTTGCAGTACTCGCCGCAACGAGCACCATACCAGTATTGGTCGCACATGGCGCGATGATAGACGTAGACTGCAGGAATGTTGAACTCGCCACCAGTGGTGCCTCCGAGATCGACACCTTGCCAAGGAATGGTGGTCAAGCTGCCTTGCTCTTCATTGCCGTTCAGGGTGATGGGATTGAACGTCTTCCATCCCATGATATCGTCGGGATTGGGCCAAGGATCGTCGTCGTCGCATTTAACATACCATTGCACCGTCCCTGCCCAGTCGCTCACAGCGCCGTAGTTGATGTCAATGTTCCAACGAGGATTGCTGTTTTCTGATAGCACACCGGCATTCCAGTTTGCGTTGCCATTTGGCGCAAATTTCACCCAACCAGTGCAGAAGGGGTCGCCTTTATGTTCGCAAACAGAATCAATGAGCGTCACAGGACGAACATGGAAACGCATTTCACAACAAACCAAGGACCGGCACGTACAGGTTCCATCACCGCAGCCAGAATCTTGGGTGAAATACAACGCGCGTGCAAAGCATGTTGCACGGTATTGGACGGCGTGCGCAGATCCGACCAAAAAGCAGACGAGCACGAACATGCTCCAGAATTGTGTGCCAACCCTTGCCATTGAGGCATTCCAACGTCGCATGCTGTAAATCGAGCACCAAAGCGTCAGTGATCACGAATCGATGCAATGCATCGCAGCAACAGGACTTGTCATCGCCCCTTCGCTCGTTTTTGTTTTCCATCGAACAAGCCCCCTGTCCCTGAAGCGTCTGGTTGATAGTGAATTCTGAGCTGGTTGCTGGTGCACGACATGGACGTGTTAAGATTGCTTGGGAACGAAGAAGAAGGAAAATATCAATAAAATACCAGATCAAAGGGAAAAAAAAAAAAAAAAAAACAAAAAAAAAACGAAAAAAGGAAATAAGAGAAACAAAAAGCGCTCGGTCGCTCAGCTTCAGGTCACCAGCAGCCGCCCATCCAGCTCAACACGAGAGGCATGGCTATGGGACATAATATACGCAAGACCCTTTGGGAGGATAGGGGAACGCTGGCACGCGTTGAATGCGACGGACTCAGGTGCTAACAGCCGAGCATATCACCGACGCCCGATTTGACACCCCCACCGTGACCGCGCAAGCCACCATGTCGACAACGGCGAAGCACATCAATGTGAAAGCCGGTTGTGGTCCATGTCGTTGCTGGCGCGACACGCTGCGGTAGCGTGGGTCCAGGGCGGGTTTGGTGGTCTTGGTTTCTCGTTCATAAACAGCAAGCCCAGCAAGCAGCTCTCTCACCCCATCTGCCGCCCCTCCTCGCCTCCAGCTTCAACGCCAAATGAACCCCGCTGCATGTGCATTGCACGCACGCACTTGTGTTGCGAGCAGAGCCGCTCGTGCTGAACGTTCGCCATGCGCGTGCATGTGTGAATCCCGCCCCATTTCCCTCACCCTCACCCTCACCCCTCGTTCCGTTTCCCAACCCACCAAACTCACCGACTCACCTTAAACAAGCGATTTGAGAAGGGAATACGAAACGAAAAGAGTTGAAAAAAAAAAAACAACTAAAAATCAAAAATAAAAAAACAGGAACTGACCTCTAAAACAGAACACAGGTTTGCTGCTGTTCTGAACAACTCAGCCTGATCCGCTGTGCATCATGATTTACCGCTGCCACTTTACAGAATGGCATGTATTTGATCCAATGGCGACATTCACTCTTCCTTGTTTTCAGCAAACACTTCTCGCTGATTGTGTCACCATCCCGTGAAAGCAATGAGTGCCAGAGCGTTGCGTAAGGCCCTGAGCGAGCAGCAGCAGCCACTGCCGCCGCCACGGGCGTCCCCATCGACCACCAAGACTACAAGCGGCAAGAAGACGAGCACTGAAGCAGTGTCCGAGGCTGATGCGGAGGACCAGCACGAGGACAGCGACGTCGAGGAGCAACTGGACGATGACGAGGACGAGGACGAAGTGGTGCCGTCAAGCTCAAGGCGCATGCAGCGGGGCAATGTATTCGACTTGCTGATGAGCGGCAACGGAGATGACGACAATGACAACGACAATGACATTGGCGACGAGGACAAGGGCGAGCTCGACGAGGACGACGAGGACAAGGGCGCAGAAGAGCACGCCAAGAAGTTACAGGGCAAAAACGCCGCTCCTGTAGGCCAGGCCAAGGGCAAAAGCCAAAGCAAGAAGGCGAAATCCAAGGCGAAGTCCAAGGCCAAGGCCAAGGGCAAGGGCAAGGCACAAGCCAGCGACTCTGCCTCGAACGACAACGCTACGGAGCGCGCCGATTCAGCAAGCTCGGCTGCTGCTCGCGTCGACGCGCAGACTGCAGAGCTGGACGAAATTGATCTCGCCATCCGCGAGGTACAGAAAAAGTACGGCGATCTGGTCTGGACTGGACCTGCGGCAGACACAAACACACCCGTGTTTGCATCCGGCTCGGCAGCGTCGGCAAGGCCTGTGCTGTTTGTGGAAGCCAAGAACATGAAAGCCGATGTCGAGATGCGTCGCATGTTTGGCGCAGCCACGATCGCAGCTGCCGCGACTGGCGACGATGGGGACGAGCGTCGGGGTGGCGGCGGCGGTGTTGTGCGCAGAAATGTGCGAGGCCAACGCCCGCTTGTTCGCCGGACGTATTGGCTTGCCGGGCCAAAAGACACCTGGCCACTGTCTGGGCGCGGTGGGATTTCAATGGAGCCAGATACCCGCTCCGATACGGTGGAACGCCGCAGGTCTGCCAAGGACGCGTGGTTTCGCATCATGCATTCCTCGTCCTATTCAACTGTGCAGGAGCACTTTCTCATGGCAGTGAACAGCTATCAAGTTGATGCAGTTGCGAATCTGCTCAACATGTACCCGTACCACGTTGGATCGCTCGTGCAGCTGAGCGAAGTTTCGAGAATGCACGGCGACCTTCCCATGGCGCTCGAGCTGATCGAGCGGGCTCTCTTTGCCCTCGAAATGTCCTTCCACTCGTTGTTCAACCCAGCGCTCGGCACGTGCCGGCTGTCCTACCGATGGCGCGAAAACCGTGACGTCTTCCTTGCCATCTTCCGCTACCTGCAGCTCATTGGTCAACGTGGCTGCTGGCGAACTGCGCTGGAGTATTGCAAGTTCATGCTGTCGCTCGACCCCTACACCGACCCCATGGGCGTCCTGCTGATGATTGACTTTTACGCGTTGCGCGCTGGGGAGGAGGCTTGGCTGTGCCGCTTGTTTTCCGAGTGGGACCAAGCTCGGTCTCTCTCCTTGCTGCCCAATTTTGCTTACTCGATCGCGCTCGCAAAGTATCGATTGGCGCAGCAGTTCCTCGACCGCGCTTCAGGCGGCAGTACTCAGAACAGCGGCGCTGGCAGCAGCAAGTCCAAGAAGGGCAATGCCGCCGCGAAAGCAGCCGAGCTCGACATTCAGCGCTTGTCCGATGCCGAAATCGAGACCGAGTTTGCTCGTCTTTCTCTCGAAGCGGACAAGCAACTTGAAGTTGCCATGCTCCACTTCCCCGATGTGCTCCCGATGCTTTTGGACAAGTATGTGCTCTGTGAATCGCGTTCTTCTTTGAGTTCGCAAAAGCGTTGTACTGAATCGTCTTTTGTTGACTCTGCTTTGATCAGGTGTAACATTTCGGCTCCTGGGGCGGTCTTCCGACACGAGCTGTTCAAAGATGTTGCCAGTACTACCTCCGAACTCAACTTGCATCAAATTACGACACTCTATGTCGAGCGTAGCTTTTCCCTGTGGAAGGAGCCGGAGGTACTATGGTGTGCTGGCTGTGCGTCATGGTGCTTCTGCTTCTGATGCTGACCGCATGTTTGACTAATCCACAGGTGGCTCCATGGCTATTACGAGTGGCCAATTCGGTCATGCAACTGTACGATGCCAAGTCGCCCGTGTCTGAAGCCGGGCTGCACGTCCGAAAGACCTTTTACGTCAAAACTCCTCTCAACGTTGTTCGTCACATTGTTCTTTCAGGTGAGGCAGGGCGAGTCCGCTCCGGTGGTCATCGTGCACTGTCTGTTTCTTACCACGGCTTTTGTTCGTTTGTGTTTTTGTCTGATCTTGTGTTTTTGGGGGGTAGACTTGAAAGGAGCGATTGGTGCGCTTACTCAAGAGTCTCGCCCTGCGCGCTTCGACATGCACGATCCTCTCCCACCACCCGATTCCGAGTCTCAATATACAGAGCGCACCCAGCCTGAAGAACAACACGCGCTCAGGTCGATGAGCGTCCGCGAGATGATGGCTTCTATCATGGCGTCGCTCATGCCAGGTTATGCCGCTGTAAGTCCTCTCAAAAGCCCCCCTCCCGTGCTTTTGCACAAGCTTGTCATTCCATTGCATCGACTCATTGGGCTGGTGACAGGATCATGTTGGCGCTGTACCTGCGCCACGAGCGGCCCCGGCCCCTCAAGCCCGGCAAAATGCTGCCGCAGGGCCTGCTGCTACAGACGCTGGCATTACTACGCTGATGCAACAGCTCGTTCAATCACTGCGATTCCCGATCAACAGCGAAGGAGGCGGCATGCCCGGCCAGATCACCCCTGCAGATCTACCCGAATTCGGTGATCAGGACTTGGACTTTCAGGACGAAGACGAGGAAGAGGACTATGAAGAGGATGAATAGTTGATCTGGTTCTGATCTTGGATGAATACAGTAAATGTATGTTGAGACTTCTTTGCATTCTGTTTGTGCACGTTGTCGGAACATTTTAAAAACGAAGAGCTGATTGCTTCACAGCAAGCGCTTTTATGAAGCTACACGTGATGCGTTGTAATGCACAAATGTGCACATCACCACTACTGAAACTGAAAGCGACAACAACAACAGCAAAACAAAAAAAAAAAAAACCCACACTCAATCACTTGGATGCTGCCACTTCCTGCTCGGCCTTGGCCGAATCCTTCCGCTCGTTGATGGCAGACTGCAGCGCCTCAATCCATTTCGCGCGCTCCGCGTCAGAGGCAGCCGCCAGGGTGATGCGGCGATCACCAGCATGGAGGTAGAAGGTGTGGGGCTTGTCTGCCTTCTCGTCGGCAGCTTCGACAGTGCAGGTCGCCAAATCGAACGTGCGGTGAGGCTTGCTGCTGCTCTTTCTGTCGGCAAAGTAGTAGACAAAGTTGTCTCGGGCGAGCACAAACTGGCGCGCCTTCCACGAGGAAGTACCAAAGTAGCCACCTCCACCCTGCTTTTGCAGCGAGCCCTCCAGACGCGCGTGCGAGGCCACGCTTCCATAGGTAACCTCGAGCCTTGCCAAAGCGTCGTCGAACGCCAAGTGCGGCGCACCAGGGTTGGCCTCGTCGATGCCCTCTGCCTTGAATCGCCCGGCAATCCACTCGTCCAAGTTGAACTGCAACGTGCCGCCAAGTTCGGGTTCACGCTGGTCGGGCGTGAGGCGCTCAGCGAGCTCGCTCATGGAGAGCACCGAGAAGGAATCAATGGCTGCCTGGCTCATGAATGGCTTGGCAAACGCCCACACGACGCGAAAGTACCACGGCACGTTCACGGCATACGTGACTGGCGTGAACGGGTAGCGACGAGCGAGATCGAACGTCAACTTGACGAGTTGCGGGCTCGACTGCTTGAGCGCCCAATCCGAGTAATCGCACAGCGCGATAAACCCGTCAATTGGCGCCGGCGAGGACACCTTGAACAAGGTGTCAAACAAGTACGCCTGTGCCTTGAGCATGTCCGCAACGTTCGTTGACTCTGGGTGGAAGTTGCGCCAGCGCACCATGACGATCGGTCGTCCCTGTGACGATGGGGGCAAAAAGAGATCCAGCAGCGAAACAAAAATGAGCAAACTTGGATGTGCTGGTGTTCTTGTAAGTAATCCGTTCATCTAGAATCTTTGGTCTGTTTCCGAGGTGAACCGCTTCAGACTCTTTCATCAACCCCATGCATCCATCAAAACCCGTACATCCATCAACCCCTCCCCCCACACACCCATTTATTCATTGGGAAAAGAGCGCGTTTCGTCAATGACCACAGCTGTTCGTTCGCATTACAGATTGTCATTGTGTTCCGCCACCACCACCGCCCCTCCTTCTCCCCCATCGCAGCCAGCCACCGGGCACCGACAATGAGCAAGCAGCAAACTCAAAGTACGGAGGAGAAGAAGCAGCAGGACTGACATGGCTGTCGGTCTTGTCGAGCATGGCGAGCAAATTGGTCTTGAGGAAGGGCTTTGCGTCTGCAATGGTGAGGTCGTCGATGCGGAAGTCCTGGCGCCAGTCAAAGAAGTGCTTGACATGCTGCTCGGTGGCCTTCAGGTCGTGGTGGTGGAAGCGCAGGAAGCGAAGCAGCAGCTGCTCGCCCTCCATTGCTGGATGCGGCTCGTTAAATTCCGACCGCAGCTGGGCCAGCTGCTCCTTCTCGGCCTCCGTCGCAGGCGCCAAATGGATGTTCACGTGCGTCATGCTTTTGCTGCTTAATCAAGAGTGAATTCAGAAATTCAGATTGTGAGGTTGGTCTTGGTCTTGTTTTTGGTCGTCGTCGTTGTTCAATACAGTGAGAAAAACACGATGAGAAAAAGCGACTGAAAAAAAAGAAAAAAGCTTCTTTATTAATACAAATGGAGCGACTGCACGTGCAAAGTTATCATTGCCGTGATCATTGTTGGCGTCCTCGAACCAGCGAGCACAAACCTGAATGAGAACAAAGCCAGAGACATCAGCATTGGCAGGGAATGGCGCCCAGAACACGAGCGAATTTGGGGCGGCGGGTGGAGGCGGGGGAGAGACAGAGATGTCGAGGGTTGGAAAATGAAAGAGCGCTCGTTTCAAACATGTGCTGTGGTTCAGGAATAGGCAAGGTACAAAGTGTATGAACTGAAACAAGTGATCGGGGGAGGGAAAAAAACTATGACGACAGCTGAAGCACATGGGTTGCAAGCGACGTGAGCGAAACGGACTGCTGATGCGCACTCGCAAGATGCCGGACAACGGCAGTGCCGGTGGCAGCTTGATCAGGATATAGCAGGACGACGTGCTCCAGGCCGTGCCGGGCTGCAGCGCGTAATTGATCGCCAAGCATGGGAACGGAGCGCGAGCTGGTTGCTGGCTTGTCTGTGCATTCGCGCGAACGAACAAGAATGGGAATGGTGCAAATCCCCTTCTGATTGAGCTCCTCCACCGTCTGGTAGAGAAGCGACACGAGCTGGGAAGGTGACAATTGCGGCGACACCGCGGCCGGTGCGCTCTGTTGCTGATCAGGATACACGGGCTTGGGAGGGACGATCAGAATTCCAACGCGCGCCAACCGCCCCGCTTGAATGGCGTTCGGACGCGAGGACAAAAAGACAGAGTTGGGGACTGCAAATGGCCCGAGAGGCTGTTCTGCTGGAGGTGCAGCAAGACCACACTCAGCTTGGCCTGTCTTTGAGGACGGTCCTTGGGGTGTCGATGCTCTGGCGAGTGAAAGCCGCTCGACACCGGCAGCCCATCCGACAGCCGGCACCTTGCGCTTGCCACCGAGCACAAGCGACAGCTCATCGTACCTCCCACCAGCTAGTACTGTGGACTGGGCGCCGAGCACCCCGCTATTTGCAACAATTTCAAAAACAGTGTGCGAGTAATAATCGAGGCCGCGTACAAGTCGCGGGTTGACGGTGAACGGAATGGCAAGTGCTTCCAGAGTCTCCTTCAGCTCTGCAAACCGCGCGTGCGTCGAAGGATCTAGAAAGTCCGAGAGAAGAGGAGCAGCTTCCAACACGGCATGGTCCTGGGCGTGCTTGGAGTCCAGAATACGCAACACACGACCGACAATGCCCGTGTCTTCGGCAGCGCTTGTGGTGCTTGCTCCAGCTGCTTCTTGACGCAACTCATCCGAGCCCGTCGCCACGACAGGCGTGCGACCACGTAGCCGCGACAACGACTCACCCGACAGCTCATTTGCGCGAGGTTCTAGATAGTCCCGCAACGCTTGGACGTAGCGGTAGCGCTCAGCGGACGTCCCAAGTGTGTTCAACTGCAACACTACTTGAGATGAAAGCCCGAGCTCACGGATGAGACGCCAGGCAGCGTACAGGACGAGGCCATCCGCATCCACGCCAGCCGAGCCCAGGTACTCGACGCCGCACTGCAGAAACTGACGGTACCGGCCCGCTTGAGGTTTCTCTCGACGGAACATGGGTCCCGTGTAGCAAAGACTCGCGTGGACGTCGGCATTGATGGACGGGGTGGGTTCAGCAGCGAGCCGCTGGAGCACCGCGCGCATCACTCCAGCGGTGCCTTCCGGGCGCAAGCACAGCCGGCCGCCATCGGGGTCGTCGAACGCGTACATTTCCTTCATGACAACACTCGAATCGGCACCGATCGACCGCTTGAAGAGCGACTCTTGCTCGACGATCGGCGTTTCGACCTCGCCAAAGCCCAGGTTGGCAGTGACCTCCCCGAACGTCTGTGTGACGCGTGCTTGACTCAATGCGACTGCAGGCACAACGTCGCGCATCCCTCGCACCAGCTGGGAGAGCTGCGGGCGCGCCGTCTTGGCTGGGGTCGCGCCACTCGATTTCCATTGCCGGCTGGAGCCCGACAATCCCAGTTCGCCGCGTGTCGCATAGGTGGTAGCAGCAGCAGGCATCGTGAACGCAGTAGTCATTCTACTCTGTGATTGTAATGCGCGGCAGGTCGACGAGAATGGCGCTACCGAGCGAGCATGACTGAAAGCACAACGAAACATGCGTCGCCAAGATTCAGAAAATCAGACTGGAACGACTCGACTGACCTGAAACAAAAACCCTCCCAAAAACAAGCAAAAACCTTCACAACGAATCCAGGAACGAATGTACACATCGAGTAGTACTATAGTACAATATAGACAGTGCAACACGGATCACAATCGCCGCCGAACGCGCTTGCGAGGGCCGTCCGGACTCGCAGTGGATTCTGCAACGCGCCGACGCTCCGCTGCTGCAAGGCGCTGAGGCGTCGTCAGGACGATGGGGTTGGACACGGTCTGGTAGAATAGATTGCGCTGTGGAGTTGCGATGGGCTGCATTTCAAACATGCTGTGCGCTCCTTTTGGCAGCGTGATAATCCATTGTTGCACGAGCAGCAGCTCGACAAAGCTGGCCAACAGAGGGCTTTGCTCAATTGTGGAGCGCGAGCCCACAATAATGAGCTTTTTCTTGGCTCGGGTAAAGGCGACATTGACGCGACGCCAGTCATTCAAAAGGTCGCCAAGCTAAGCGTTTTTTTTTTTGTTTCGTTCGAAGTTTTAGTCAAACTGCAGGTGAGCAACAAGCAGTGACGAATAGGCGACACCAACGCAGCAACCCGAGATGATGACTGAGCACACACAACTTACATTCTTCTCCGCGTTTGAACGGACCAGCGACACAATGATGCACTCCTTGTCCCGTCCTTGGTACTTGTCGACAGTGTGCATTTCAACACCGCGCTGCACAGAGTTGATCAAGTGTCGAATCGCCTTGAGCTGCGAGCGGTATGGAGAAATCACACCCACGTCGTTGGGCGCAAGTCCAGCTTCGAGCAGCGCCGCCATGAGCTGCTGGACAATCGAAGCCTCGGTGTCATTCTTGAGAACCTCTCCCACTCGAACTTCAAGCGCAGGGACGAGGTCAGTGTCCAGAAACACGACTTTGCGAGCAGGATCAATCGCATCCAGGAGCCAGTGCGTGCCACTGTCGACAAGCCGCTTGCCAGCTGCAAAGGAAGGGTGCGGCAGCCCAGTAGTGTCGGCAGAATTGGAAGGGTGATGTTCAGATTCGAGCGCGCGTTCCACCTCGGACGGGAGCGCGTCAAACAGAGACTCGTCTGCGTCGCCCAAAAGCAGGTCGCCTGGATCGGGAGCTCGCTGAGAAGCAACATCATGTTTGCTCTGTTGCGTCCCTCCTTGCTGAAGGTCTTCTTGACAAAGCGCCCGCGCGAGCTCGGGGAGGCGCGGCAAATCCAGGCTGGCCGCGCCCACGGCCGCAGACCCACACTTGAGGCGATGCTGATAGATGAGCGTGTTGGACAGGAGCATGATATCGCGGTTCATGCGGTACTGGTGCTCCAGATAGACAACTGCCGCGGGATGCGCGTTGGAAAGGCGTTCGAAAAGCGATTCGGCCATGCCCTTTTGGCGTGCGGTGGGGTTGCGGACGAGCGGCGTGAGCTGGTAGTGGTCGCCCACCAGAACAAACCGGTCGGCGTAGCGGAGGGGCCCGAGGCACACGGGCAGCGTGACTTGGGAGGCTTCGTCAATGATGCAGACATCAAATCGTCGGCGTGTAAACAGCGGGTGGTTGATACCGAGGCAGGTGGCCGCCACAACTGGAGTTTGCGTGTACAGCTGCTCAATGCCGGCAACTGTTTGGGCGCCTGGTGCATGCTGGGCAGTGCGATGAGCGAGCTTGGGGTGGACACGATCGCTGTTGCCCAGGCGCACAAACTCGACGCCTTTCATTGTGTCGTCCATTTTCAGCAAAATATTATCCACCGCCGTGTGCGTGTAGGCACAAAGCAGCACTGACAGACCCTGCGCTACCAGCCTGCGAACAAGCTCGGCAATCGTTGTTGTCTTGCCGCTGCCCGGCATGCCCAGAATCAATGCGTAATCGCGGCACCTTTGGACCAAGTCAATGGCGCGCAGCTGGTCAACATTGAGGTTTGAAGCAGCGGCAGCATTGGCATCGGTGGGTACGGCTGCAACCGCGACGGAAGGCTCGTCAAAGGTCGGCGCAGCCAACTCGACAATCAAGGCTCGACGGCGAGCGTTGGCGGACGCAACAAACAGGCTCGCCAGATTGTCTCGCGTGAGTCCAGTGCCAACGCTCATTTCCTCCTTGTCCAGACGGAACAGCTCGGCATTCATGTTCTGCGCGGGCTCCGACAGCATGGATGGTTTGATGAGCCGAGGGATGCACTTTGACACCTGCGTCCCGCCAGGATTCGATGCCGCAAATAGATAGCTTGCAGCAGAGGAATGAAGGCCGGACGCGCGGCTGTGCTGAGAAGCCGAAAAATGAGACGAGTGAACGGAACGGGCATCTGCTCGCGCATCATCTTGAAGGGTTGGCACTGAAGCCGAGGCACCGACGGGTGCAGCTGACTCGGGATTATCCCATGACATTTGCGACGAAGAAGCCATATCCAGGTCGTCGGGAAGCAGTCCATCCAGTTCCGAAGCAGCAGCAGCAGCAAGAGCAGCAGCAGCAGCACCATCCCCTGTGGTCGCTGCTCTTGCTGCTGCTGACCTTGCCTTGTCTGCAGCCAGCGACGATCGTCGAGCTTGTAGCTGCCTGGCGACGACTACCACAAGGTAATCTGGAGTAATTTCCCTGACACTACCTGTGCTCAGGCCGACTTGGCTTCCATCGTTGAGTGAGATCATGACAGGGTCATTCACATTGAACGACGTGTCCAGTAATGAGGGAGACATGGACTGCCGGAACTGGCGTCTCGCAGCGGCACGCACGGGAGTGCAAGCGGTTGGCTGAATACACGAGCCTTGGGTGCTCGGCTGCTCGTCGCCGTCGTCAGGGTCCTCGGTGAAAAAGTCGTCGAGTTCCACTCCCGCAAGATCGTCAGCTTCGTCAGAAAGAATCGCAGCTATGGCCGGATGCGATCGATGACGGGCAAACTTGTAACGCCATGGTGCGTTTGGTTCCTTCGAGACCGGACGTGCAGACACAACGACCATCGACCCCAGGCAGCGCCCGCGACTTTCGCGCGCTTCGCTGGACATGGTCCATAGTTCGTGACGAGTAGCCATGTCGTCGCCCGTTTCCAAGGCGATGAGCTCCATCCAATGCTGCAGGTAAGCAATCTCGTGCACGTTCAGATGCTGCGTTTTCGCCTCGAATACGCCTTCATCCAACCCTGCAGACTCGGCATTGCCGTGCTCAAGAGCCTTGTGGATGATCATGCAGTTGTCCAATTGAAAGCAGGACTTGCACTGTCGAGGGCTTTTCAGCATCTCGGGATAAAACCTGGGGCCAGAAAGGTGGACTGCGAGCTCGTTTCGCGCAATCATAATGCCCCGCAGGTCGGCTGCAGTGTGGGTGATACCCTGCATGGTGCCAGACTTGAGGTAGTACAGCAGTCCACTGGTAATATTTTTCTCGTATCGATCCGACATGAGCAGTGTATAAAGAGTGACTTGCGTGCTGTGGGAGATGGCGCTCGTCCCGGAGGCTTTGCCCGTTTTCAGTTCAAACGGCACAATGTGCCGGGTTGTAAGGGCTGATTCCGTCTGCTGGGTGGATGCGGGAGGAGCAGGAGGAGCAGGAGGAGCGGCGCCGGGAGGGCGCCAACTTGACGCTGCTCGTTTCAGCACTGGCTTGCGGTGTACAACGACCTCCAGGGTCGCGTCCACTTTGCCCTTGAGACCATACGCAGGAGACACAAGATTTTCTTCAATATCGACCACCGCACTGATCGCAACGCGATGCGTGTGATTGATTTGAGCGTTTCCGGGGGCGTCGTTGTAGGGCACGTCTGATTCTGCACCTCCAGGCTCGGACTTGTAAAACCTTTGCGCCCATTCTTGTATGGCCGGGATTGAGTCGCATAGCTTGACAGTGGCCGCCTTCTCGTCGTCCCCGACGCCATAGAGCTCCTCAATAAACTGCGACAAGACCCGAGCAACTTGCTGCGTGATGAACTCGGCCGTAAACGTCCCTGCCGCCAGAGCAATCTCAAACAGCTCGTGCAACATTGAGCCGTACAACAGTGCTGGGGCACTGTAGTCTGTGGGTCCGCGCAAACGCTCGTTCAACACACCGCGCCGTTTGCAAAAGACGCTCTCGGCGACGCGCGTGCCAGTCACCAGGCAGTCGGGTTGGAGCACAAGCAGTGCACTTGCGGGCGATGCGTCAATAACGTACTCGTGCACATCCAAGGAAAGCATGTCGCCCATCGGAGCGCCACCCAGCGGCCGGTAGACGCCGTCATTTCCAAAGTCGCCAGGATCGTCCGTCGGATACGGCGCAGTCGACACCAGGTTGCAAACGTGGTTGGGGGCCACGGGGGTGTAAATCCAGTTATCACGGAGGCGAAGGATGCACTGCACGCCGTCGTTGGCACGCGTGGCAAACACGGTCAGCTCTGGTCGCTGCACGGTGGTATTTTTGTCCGACGTGGTGACCACCACAGTTCCCTTCTGGGCATACGTGATGTTGAAGCGCAGTACCCGAGCCAGTCGTGGATGCTTGGGTGCCGGTGTTGTCGCAAGGACTGTTGGGGGCATGTTGGCAGCGGCGGCTTGCAAAATCGAGTCAGTAGTTTCAGGTTTATCAGCAGCGCGATGCATGGTCGTGGAGACGGTGGGTGCTGGAATTGCAGTGCCATTCTTGCTAGCATTTGTTGTTGTTGTTGTTGTTGTTGTTGTTGTTGTTGTTGTTGTTGTTGTTGTTGTTGTCGTCATTGTGGCTGCATGGCCCAGATTGGGCAACGTCGCAGTGATGGCCTCTAAATCCATGCTGCACATAATGTCCTCGTCAATTTGGCTCATTTGCATCCAATCATCCACCGCACTGTCGATGGGTTTGCATTCTGCCGCGTTCGCAACGGACGACGCGGACAGATTGCTCGAGCACGAACTCAACGAAGCGTTCGGTTTGGGCGATCGCGTTCCTTGTTCCGGGGCAGTGTGGGCAGCTTGCATTCCTGGTACAGCAGCAGCTGGAATTCCATCAGTAAAAGCGCTGCGGGTCTGGGCAGAGGTGGTCTCCATCATCATGGGATGCGCGACCTGCGCTGGTTGCTGTTTCAGGGCGGGAGATTGACTTGTTTCGCGCGCGTTTCGATCTGGCGTTGATGTTCCGAGCGACGTGCGCTGGCCGTCTGCGCCGCTGCACTCGGCCGACCAGTCAGCCTGGGCCAGCGTGGCTAGATCTACGGCAGCGAGCGCAGAGTCGTCGGGGTCCTGTGTGCGTCCGTGGGTGTCGCTCTTCAGCAGTGAATCGTCTTCTGCTTCTGCTGCTGCTTGGTCTGCGTCGTCCCAGGCGTCTGCAAACATGGCCATCTCGGCGTCCAGATTGCTCACGTCGCGTCCGTCGTCATCAACGCACAACGCGGCATCCACAGCGTTGGACAGCAGCGAGCAGCCGGCGGCGCCATCCTCCTCGAGCAGCGCTTCAGCAGCCAGCAAGTCTGCGTCTGCCGCGTCCATCCCGCCAACACAGCACACAAACTTGGGTCTCCCAACAACAAATAGAACTGTTGGTTGTCCAAAATGCGCAACAACCAATAATGACTGGACCATCTTCATCTGAGATTTTACATCTACAGCCTGTCTCGTTTTGCTTGAGCATTGCCTGCAACTTTTGATCCTGAAGCTGGATCATGGTCCCCGTCGAGATGCATCCAAGCGTACCTGTCGATCGATCATGCAGCGCTCAACGAACTCGATCTGCGTCAACGCAGCATGCTGAGCAGGAACATTTTTGGCTGAGCAATCTCAGAATTTTCATCTCACTCGCTCAATCCAAGCCATTTCCTCATCTCGTCGCCTTCCCCAAACTCTCCATTCTTCTCGAATAATTCATCTTGTAAGCTTTGCTGTATGCCAGTTCACTCCTTGCTCATTTTCTCCAACAACAAACACAACTATCATGGCAGATTCTGAGCTCGAGCGGCCGTTTGACGTGATTGTGCTCGGCACGGGGCTCGTCGAGTCCATTGTTGCCGCCGCTGCTGCCCGCGCTGGCAAACGAGTGCTGCATCTCGACCCAAACAACTACTATGGCGGTGCAGCGGGCGGCTCGTTCACGCTGGACGAGCTCGGTCAAGTGCTGACACCAGAATGGCCCGCCAGCAAGACCAGCAGCTCGACTGCAGCTCCCAGCGCTTCTCCTGCCGCAGGCTCAAGCACGACAGACGATAAGCCGACAACAGCACTGACGGAGGCTGCCTGCGTCCAAACACCGGCCGAGAATGCCGACTCGGCTTCGAGCATTCTGCGCGAACCTGCGTCATCGCAGCCGCTCGAGCTCGAGCGTCGCCCGCTGCCTGCTGCTGCAGACCGCTTCTACCCCATTGGAAACGCCGTTGTCGAGCAGCCGTTGGCCTCCGCGGCTGACATCTGGGCACCGTTGGCTCGCCAGTCGCGGCGGTTTACGCTCGACGTCTCGCCTCGCGGTCTGTTCTCTCGCAGCCGCATTGTCGAGCTGCTCATCTCGTCGAATGTTGGCCGTTACCTCGAGTTCAAGCCGGTCGACCAGATGTGCTTTGCCCGGTCGGAGCCCGCAGGAGAGGCGCCGCAGCCCGTGCCGTGCTCTCGCGCCGATGTCTTCTCGTCCTCTGCGTTCGGGATGCTGGACAAGCGGGTGCTGATGAAGCTGCTCTCGTTCTGCGTTGCGCTGGGACCCTACTTGCAGCAACCTACAGACGCCAGTCAGGTGGATCCCGATGTCCTTGCAGAGTTTACCCGCTTCAAGGACACGTCGCTCGTGCAGTGGCTTCGCGCCGAGCGCAAACTGTCGCCTAAATTGCTGTACATTGTCCTTTACGCCATTGCGGCTGTGGACGAGTCATCTACTGGCGAGCCCCTGTCGTCCAGGGCTGCGCTGACCGTCGAGCAGGGCGTCGATCGCTTGTGCCAGTACTTGTCGTCGTTGGGCCGTTACAGCCGCACGCCAATGCTGTGGTCGCAGTACGGCGTGGCAGAGCTGTCTCAGGCATTCTGTCGTCTGTGCGCCGTGTTTGCTGGCACGTACATTTTGCGTGCCGACCTCGCATCCATGCTGGTTTCTTCGTCCGCGTCTCCTTCGACACCGGCTGATACGTGCGCAACCGAGTCAGTGTCGTCTCCAACATTCGCCGGCTTTGTGGACACGGAGGGCCACCACATGCTTGCCCCGTGGCTCGTCGCCAGCCCCGAGCACGTTCTGCCGGCTTCTGCTGTTGCTCGCGACCATCCCGAGGCAATCGTCACGTTGCGTGCCATTCTCGTCACGAATCGTTCCGTCTTCCCCGCTGTCGGCTTGAAAGACCAAGCAGCTGGCGACGCGTCGAACGCTGCTACCGAGCCCGGCGCCGAAGAATCGAGCGCGGATAGTGCAACGCCCGCACCTGCTCCGCCCGTCAACCCCGACGCGCGCATTTCGTTCGTTTGTATTCCCCCTGACACGTACGGCAATCGACACCTCGTCCACATGGTTGAGCTGGGAGCGAACGCGGGTGCGGCTCCCGCTGGCGCGATGGTGGTGCATTTGACCTGCCAGGCGTTTGCGTCCCAGCTGACCAACCCTCGTGCAGCATTCGGGGGCATTGTGGCACACTACTTTGACCACAACGCGCCCAGCAGCGTGCGGCCTGTCGTGCTGTGGTCGGCCTACTTTGACGTTTTGACAAACGCGCCTGCAGTTGCTGCGCAGACCGACACGCCTGCCAATGTCATCCTATGCGCTCCAATGGCAAGCGACAGCTCAATCCAAAACGTGGCCGAGGAAGCGCGTGCCATCTTTGACCGGATCTTCCCCGGCGAGCCATTCCTTCCCGCAGCGCCAAACCCAGAGGACATTACCTGGGATGCGCCGAGCGAGGCGACTTCTGATTCGACGGCCCTCGATTCGACCCTCGACGCGGCATCCGATGCTGCACCCGCTTCCTCATCGACAGACCCTACTGCCGCGGTTTTGGCATCAGACACAATTCCTCCGCCAAGTGTTGCTTTCGGCGAAGTTGCTGCGAGCTCTAGCGATGCAGTTTCGCCCACTTCTTTGCCTGAGCCGAATTGAGCTTTCATTCCCCCAATCCCTTCCCCCAAATCCCTTGAACAATAAAAACAAAATTGCTTGATGGATTGTTGATGAATACAAGTACCGTTGCTCGTTCTTGCTCACCTGTTCCCCCAGTCGTTTTTGTGCTCAAAGTGAGATGCAACTCCCACAACTACAGCAGATTGAATGAAAAACAAGTTCCTCTTCCACGTCGTCCTCAACCTCAACTCGCTGTCGTCCATTCCGTTCGTCTCTGGTGTCGTGTTTTGCAAGATCAAGCTGACCGATGGCGGCAAGTTCCGCGAGCTGTCCACCAGGTTTGGCGCTGGCTGGCTGGCTGAACACACCAGTCTGGTCTCTTGTGGGACCCTGCCAAACTCACTCTCGTTCTGGGACTTGCACACACCATGACATGCTTGCGTTCGTCGTATGTCCGACCAGACAAAACATTCGCGACCATGCGACCAACTGGGAGGAGCGCTTCGAGTTTGACTGCGCGACGGTCGCCAACAAGCAGGGTCTGCTCGCGTCCCGGATGGTCAAAATCTCCGTGCGCAAGGTAACGAATGAAACAAGCAAGAATGTGCGCACACAAGGGATTACAAAGAAAAAGAAAAGGCACAGCATGCGGGAGGTGCTGGATGGGTTCGCTCGGTCGAAATCGCTCCGCGTTGTTGCGATTTCTCGTTGGCGACAAGCACATCCCTTGACTCTCATACTGCCGCGAACATTGTGCGCAAACTCATGTCGTAGGAAAGACAAGGCGGCAAGTCATTCGAGAAACTGGGCTACGTCCAGGTTGATTTGGCGGAATTTGCAGGCGCCGGCTCCACCGTCCGAAGATACATTCTGAATGCTCACAACAGTGCGACACAACGCCAGGACAATTCAATTTTGACAGTATGTGAGGGTGGAGGGAGTCTCGATGGAGTGCGTGCTTGACAAAATTGTGTCTGATTTCTCGGTTTTGATTGCTTGCGGTTGCAAAGATTACGATGGCATTGACGTTGAAATCCGGAGACCCATTATTTAAAGCGTAGGTTGGATGCTCGGTTGCGCGTTGCGTGGAGGTGCATTTCGTTTGAGAGGAAAACATGACTGATGATTGACTTTGCAAAAACAGACCACGTCCGCCAGACCACGCCTTCAGCAACCCGACCATGGCTGGTTTGATCAACGACAACATTAGCGAGAAAAGCGGCGACACTCTACCGCGGGCGGCAGGAGGTATGGATCTTTGGGATTCTGAGAATCTTTGTGTGCGCATTTTTGATTGATTTTGCTTTTGGGACCGTTTCACCACAGCACCAATCGCAGCGGCATTAGCCGAAGTGCACGCTCTGGAGAGACTTGGCCATGTTCGTGTAAGCGCCCGAGCTTGAAGCGAAGTGGATTGCTCAGATGCATGGTTTGGAAAAGGCCTTTTATTTTTTGTTTTTGGAACAACTCACCCACTGACATTGTTTGACTACCTTTGAACCTTTGTGCTGCAAAAATTACTTACCGGCAACTCACACAGACACCTTCGGACGATCTGGTGCCAGCGCAAATCGAAAAGTCGCGCAGAGACGCGCGCGCCGTCGTGGACGACATCTTCAACAGCCTGATCACGGACGCGGCCGACGAGATTGACTACGATCCCGACGCACAGCCAGCGCTGAACTTGTACGTCTCGAATGACGGCACAGCGTCGCTGTCCAACCGGCGAGGCGACGGCCGATGAGCAATGCACAACAACAGCAGCGAGCACATGGAAATAAAAAAGTGGACAAAAAAAAAACTCAAGCAGAAGCACTGTGCAGATGCGACAGCGCAGATCGACTGATGCAGGGCAATGCAGAGTGCATTGTAGGGACATGAGAAAGGGGGAGCGGAAGGGGGAGGGGGGGGGAGGCGCAGCTCTGGAGAAGGAAGGCAAAGCAGTGAAGAGACCAGAGATCTCCACGTGGAAAAGAGGGACCAAGATCAAAGGGATCGTATTGCTCAGTGTAGAGCAGTGTATGTTGCGCCTGAGCGAACCAAGCACGACCATGGGATGAAAGGCACGTGCTGGATTATAATAGGGGCAGTTATTCTTTGCCGCGCCGTCAACGAAAGAGCCGCGCACGTTGGCGGAAAATCTTTTCTGGTAATGCGCGGCTGAATGTGTGAGCTCGTCCGCATTTGGACGACTTGGCTTTGTTTGTTCGATAATTCGGGTCGGTAGGTTGGTTATTCAGACGATCCAGGTCAAGGGCTGGTGAGTTGTACTATTCTTAAACTTAAAAAAACCCAAAGCAAAAACAAAGAGGGATTTCAAAAGAATCACGAAGAGACGTAGTGCGGGTGCGGCACCGCGGCACTGAGCGGCTGCAACATTGGAATATCAATGCGCATCCAATTGTGCTGCGAGCGAACGTCGAGGGAGCCACCGTTGGCACGCTCGCGAGCGACTTGCTCGTGGTAACTTCGCGCAAATTGCGAGAGGGCAGCCCACCGACCTTGCTGGTGCAGCTCCTCGCTCTGAAGGCGCAGCTCCTTGTTTTGCACCGCCTCGCTGGAGAAGAGTTTAAACCAATTTGCGAGCGTCGATTCCTTGATGAGCATGATTCTGCACCATTGGCACCCCAGCAGCCCGGGGAAGTATGAGTCAATCGTCAAGTCTTGACAACACGAATTCAACCACCCAAACAGCTTCAGCTTACCGAAGCTTTTCAAAGCGCACTTCATCCGCCATTTCACGTGTCAGCGCAAAGACATAACGCTCGGATTGCATGCGCGAAGCCGAGCTGTTTGCAGCATGGCTGGCTTGATGGCTGGCTTGATGGCTGGCTTGATGTGCAAGTGCGACGGGGGACGGACTGGATGTCGTGGTTGCAGCACTGGGTGCTTCGTCTTTGGAAGGCAAAGTGGGGGTCTTACTGACTGCCATGGTGATGGAATCGAGCACTTGCTGCATCTCTGCGTCTGTCGGAGCGTCCACACCCAGCGAGTTGCGACTTGGGTCGGGTGCGGCCTCATCTGCAATCACTGCTCGGCGACGAATCACCGTTCGACGACCCGACACGCCAGGAATCGGGTGCGACATCATGTCGCGCATCAAATGAGCCGAGGCGAACATGGACGAAATCTCGTTGAGGATTGTCGTGTAGATAAACCACGATTCTTCCGCGGGCAGCGGCAGCAGCACGTTCTCTGCCGTCGTTTTCCGCGCGGCGTCGAGCACGATGGTGGCAGCCCGAGAGTTGCTCATGAAAACGTCGCTGTGAGAGAGAGAGAGAGGGGGGGGGTAGAACAGAACGACAAGTGAGCAACAACATGGCCAGAAGTTGCAATTTTTCCAGCGGCAGCAGCAGCACCGTACCGAAGATCTCGTTCAAAGAGGGTGCGGATAAGAAGGTGTCCATCCTCGCCAAACGAGTTGAGTGAGAGATTCACCCGTCGAAGAAACGACCTGCCAAATCACAGAGTCAAATCATAAAGTCAAAACGTCAAACCACAAGAATTGGACAAATGCAAGCTGCGACGGGTACCTTTTGCGCCATTCTTCGCGAGCTTTCAAGTAGGACCAGGCGACACCGGCACCAGCAATGAAGCCCGACCCGATGCGTGTCGCAATATAGGTGATTGCTTCCGTCACCAAATGCCGAGCGCCAATCTGAGCAGTCGTGAAGTCGCTGGGTGCGCCAACGCTCTGCAGCACCGATCCGCCGCCAAGCAGGGCATGTGAACGCTTGCCATGAGCCACCTGTGCCCGCATGGCCGGAGTGAGTCCGCCAGAGGACGCAGAGGCGAGACCGACGCCCGCGTGCAAACCAGCGTTCAAACCAAACGCGCGTCTTGGCGGATTTCGACCAACCGCTCCCGCCATCGGCGTCGTTCGGTTGGCATGCACCGGCGCCAGAACGGACTGTGCCGACAGCGGGGCCACGCACAATGACACGCCTGCCGTCATGCACAATTGCATCGGGAGGTCGGTCGCGAATGGAGCGGCAAGCGACCGTTGTTGTGCTGTGGAGGATGCATTGCATGAGAATGTCTTCGCGGTCAAGCCAATCTCAGTGCGCAACAGATGGTGATGGCTGTGTCGCGCCAGAGCAGATCCAGCGACGGCAACCGAGCTTCCAGCACTGCTGCTTGTGGCAGAAGCCAGAGTGACCGCCACAGTGAGCATGGTTCAATGCGAGAATTTTGAGAAGTTCGAAAATGTAAAGTCGTGTTTCAGAAATCCAAACAAAGACTGCTTGCTGAAACACACACAAGCTACCACCAGTAAATTGAGAAATCCTTTGGTGGAGGTTTTAGAATCATGGTGGTGTTATTTGTCGCGTTTTTGTTTCGCAGCTGCAGCTGCTGACACTCCAATGACACTCCACAGTTTGGAGCCCGCCTCCATCCTTCCCATTCCAAACTCTGAAGACGCAACGACATGAAAATGAACGTGTTTCTTTGGGAAATGAAAACATGCACACAGAAAACTACGAAAACAAGAAACAAAGTAGTGTTGTTCGAGCAAGTCTTGAGATGGCAGCTTATGAGGATGCGCGGACACCCTTGCCCTGAGCAGCAGCCGCCTGTTGCATTTGCTGTTGTTGGTATTGGGTCTTGCGGTCGATGATGTCTTGGAGCGCTGCGCATTGAACAACAACGAAAGAAAACCGAAGCAAAAACAAATTAGCCAACGAATTGACCAGGGGAAAAAAAAAATCTACACATCGCAACGCGTGGATTCAAAGTTGGATGGGCACGCGAGAGTTTCGTGGACATACAGTTGAGGTTGGCACGCTTGGTGCCGATGGTCTTTTGCAGCTTTTCAATGTTGTCCATCAGGAAGGCAATGCGACGGCTGAAGAAGGCCGATGCGTCCTTGACGCTCTACAGAAACAGAAACGAGAAACACAAAACCAGCCACATCGAGAGATGAGATGTCAGACTGGTGTGCGAGTCACGCAAACTAAAAATCGACGAGTCAGTCAAAAGCACGCACTCGCTCAACATAGTAGTCGGCGCCAATATCCACCATGACCTTGCCAGCGTTGGCGAGCGTGCCAGGAACGTAGAGCTGGAGTGCAACGGCAGATGTAGATGGCAAGTGGAAACCAGCAACAAATCAGCAACAACGCGACTGACAATGTCAAGTTCCCTCCGAGCATCGTCCTTACCGAGCTGGTCAACGGCACGAGCAGATCGGAGCCTAAACATTCAAGCAAAAGAGCCAAAGTAACGTGAGCGCACACAGCAGAGTGCAAGGACAAGACGGCGCAGAACAACCGCCTCGCTCCTCTGTACCCTCCTTGGCGTCGCCAAGCTGAGCAAGGCTGTCTCGGGACTCCTCAAAGCGCTTGACAGCTTGGTGCAGTTGTGACAGCGACTGGATCAGGAAGCGGACCTCCTGCACAGCCACCAGCAATGCAAACAGCACAAGCATGGTCAGTTTGGGTGCGCGACTGTCATCCTGCCGCATGTTTTTGCAGTCCGGGGCGAGCATGGGGACTTTGCGCAAAACCACTGCAAGTACCTCGTCCATCTGCTTGGCAAAGGTCTGGAGCTGGCCAAGGGGCATGGCGAGCAGGCTCATCTCTTCCTGCGAGGGAATGGGCTTTCCGTTGCTCGAGGTTGCTGGTGCTTGTGCCATGGCTCAAAGCGGGCTCTGGACGAGATTTTCATTTCCAATGGCAGGAAGAAAGAAGTCAGTGCATGAATATTGGTCAGGTTGGGTTGGAGTGGCAGATCATGAAAGTCGTTGTATGCATTGCGTGTTGTTTCAGCGAAAAAAAAAAAAAAAAAAGAGATCGCGACAATAACTCGAAAGCAAATTGAAACGCACAAAAATCGAAATGGACTGCGATGCCCGAATCGGAAAAGGCAGTCCAGTTGAAACTGGGAACGAGAGTAACACAGAACGGGTGATCGACAATGCGTATAGAGCAGTGATATTGTGTTTCTCTCTACCCTACGTTGCTCGATTTTTTGCCTCGAAAGTTGTGCTCACTTTTCGTTCTTTCACTTTGCGGCAATTCTGTGGACGCTGCTGGGATGGCTCGTGTAGATCTGGAATATCCAGATGACGGAATTTCAACAACGTTACAATTACGCAGTCTTTTATCTTTGTTCAGGATTACAGGTGGGTTGATCAATGTCGTGTGTTGTTTTGAGCGTTTCAGCAAAACTCTCAAATCCGATTCAGACCTACCACTTTGCTTGACTACGCATGAGCGACGTGCCCAATAACTGCGCTGGAAATCTAACATCAAACTACCAGCGGATGAGGTTTGAGTTTTTGAATTTCTATGAGACAGCTGGAAAGGGGGAGGTGGGGTCGTGGGAACCAGATCAAAAACAACCACCACACCACTTCTCACCCAAACTACCAAAATACGCGAGATAAAGTCGCCAGACACCTTGCAAAGAGTTGTTAAATTCATCAATAAACTGGGGTATCAGAGGTTTGAGCAGAGCAAAATGGGGGGGGCGGGGGAAAGCCTGTGGTAGCGTGGGGATGTGGAAATCAACAAGTCGATCGAAACATTTTTCTCCCAAAATGATCTGAATTCAAAAGGAAGGCAAAACTGCGCACCAACGACCTCACCCTTGGAAAAGTAGTGTTCAATAACGTCGCTGGCAAACGCGCATCAAACCACATTGTCTGTGTGCTGTACACATTGACGAGAAGGAGAAGACGACAGTGGAACCAGGACGAGGAGGTGAGCAGATTACTGATTTGCTCGCGTGAGCGGTGTCCCAGCAGGCACGACTTCACACTTTTCATCTTTCACACTTTTCACATTCCACAAACTGCTTGCCGTAAAGTTTTTCAAGCCAGGGTACGAGTGAGAAATAATGTACGCTCGTGACGGGCTTTCCCGCCCCCTCCATTTTCTAAAACCACTCACCCAACTTGACTAGCTCAATTGAACAAAACAGCAGATACCATCACGATGGCCATCGCCCGATCTGTCGCCTTCATGCCCGTGTGCATGGTGCTGGCGTTGGTTGCACTTTCGCAGCCGGCGTTTGCTGTCAATGCTGCGTTTGGCGTCTTCACCGAAGACCAATGCGAATCTTTCATCCCGTTTGCCGCCACCAACTATGTGGCTTCGGGAGCTTGCACCTTCAGCGCGCTGATTAACACGTACTACCGGATTGTTGTCATCTCCGACACGCAGGTTACTTACTCTATCGGCTGCGACTCCGCTTGCGGCACCTGCGCGTCGACGACTACGGGTGCCCCAGGCACGTGCATTTACTCGAGCACCAACGGCGACAAGTGGATCACCGCCCATCCGCTCAAGGAGACGACAATCACTGCCACACTTGGCACTGCGTGCAACGCGACGTCCGCCACGACCCTCCAAAGCGGCGCCTGCGTGGCGACACCGACTGGCTATGCTCGTTTGATGGACATTGGCAATGGCCAGATTTGGTACTCGATGGATTGCATGCCCAACTGCCTCGAGTGCCAGACCATCGGCGTTTCTGGATCGGGCGGTGCTTGCGACGATTTCGGCTCGGACGTCCACGGCTCGTTCCACATCAATGCCTCCGCAGCGCTGACTGTGTCCATGTCTGTGATTGGCATGGCCATGGCCTTGATGTCCGCCTTTGCTCTTCTCGGATAGCTTGCCAAAGCGGATGGCGGGAAGAAAAAAAAACTAAGTTGGCGCGCGTGTAAATTGGTTGCTGTACAGGATGATGCGAGTCGCAGATGATAAAATCGAAAAATTCTTTTTTCCTTCAAGTTGGTGGTGTTTCACGCGTCTCCAGTGAGCTGCTACAGTGCACGCAGCAGTATGAGTTGGCCATCGCGATCGAGAATGACGTTGACTGTCCAATTTTGTAGACATCCGAAAGAGAAACGCGTTTCCCCCAAAAGCAGTCCCAAACTAAATAAACCTGCAGGAGGGAGAGCGACTTCCACCCTTAAACCAGCCCTTCCAGGCAACCTGAATTTGGCATTGATTGCGATGAAGGGAGAGCGGCCAAAAGTCAAGCCATTCTTTTTTTTTTTTTTCTGCCTTTCTTTACCTTTTTTTCCCCTCCTTTTTCGTTTCTTTCGGTAAATACGCGGCGGCCGTGTTCTTGCGAGACCATCGCTGCGATATCAGGGCTTGCTCGAGTGACAGTGACTTTGTTGACGGGACAGGCGGGGGATCGAGGGAGATTCGCAAGACAATCCAGAAACGAAAAAAAGAAAAAAAAAAAAAAAAAAAAAAGGGAAGCGATCGAAATTCATTCCAGCGCGATGTGCTGGAGTGTTCGCACGCGGTTGTGCTGTCTGGTGCCATGTCCAGCACACACCCGGGCGGCAAGGACTCTGCTGCTTGCTGCGTTAGAACAGCACTGCACGCGCTGCCCTATGCCGTCCTGTCGAGCGGGGCCACCGCGCTCTGGGACATGCTGAGACCACAGACAGACTGCGTTGAAAGCAATTTTTTTTTTTTTTTTTCGTTTTGCATTTTGCATTGGAAAGTATTCTTTTTCGAGTCGTTCAATCAGCCAATCCTCTGAGTCTGGATTCGGAGCGAAGCATTGCATCGATATCGCCCGTGGTGCCTTTTCCCCCCATTGACGCAGAGAAACGAAGAGCCATCAAGTTGGAACCCTGCTTTTGATTCTTGTCCTGTATTTTTATTTTTTTTATTGTATTATGATTTTTTTTTTTTTTCGTTCAAGAGGAGGGCATTCTTTACCGTGCGATTTTTGCCTCTGCGATTGCGCCTTTTGAGCTCGCGTCTCTTGCTGCAGCGACAATCCCGCCGATGGACATGCAGGGCTTATCATCTTCGTCACCTCATGCCTCTGTGCTTCTGACGGGCGGGGTGCTGTCTTCGCGGGCTGGAACTCTTTGCTCTGCTGTTGATTCTTCTGCTTTTTGCGTGCCTTTTTTTTTTCTTTTTTTTTTTTCGGTTTCTTTCCTTCTTTCTTTGCTGCTGTTGACCTTTCTGCGCGGTCTGCGATTCTGTCGCCAATGGTCCGCCGGCACTGGAATTCTCGGCAGTGCACTGGCGCGCGACCCGTTGGAGGAGTCACGTAGGAGGAACAAAGCGTTGGTGCACCAAGAATGCGCTGAAAATCCTTTTTTTTTTTTGCTTTTTTTCACTTTTGTCACTCCCTCTTGTCACTCACTCTCACTCCCTCGCTCACGTCTCACTCTATTCTCGCTTCCTCAAACATCACCCTCTCGCATCTCTCCAATTCTTGCGATGGGTGCTGCATGAACTCTTGTACTTGCACGTTTCCTGATTGGAAAATGCCGATCCTGACGTCGCTCGTTCTGAAATTTCGCTTTGACACACAGGGTTACAGCGTGGCATTCGTTTGCACCCGCTCCGTCTACCTCCTTTGAGCTCCTCTTCCCTCCCCGTTCCTTGTTCTTTCAATCTTTGAGTGCTGGCTGCCAAGGGTAGCGCGTTTTGGTCGTTTGGAGCATGTCTTCGGTAAGCAGCAATTTTTGCCTCCTCAACGTCGACGCGATTGGAACGAACTGCGGCCACCCTCACGCAGCGATTACTGTCAATGCGCGTTTGGCTTACCATTTTTTGACCCTGGGTTGCAATCGGTTCGGGTTTTTTTTTTTTTTTCAAACAGGGTCGATCGCCAAACTCGAGTCGCGCGGCTGATTCCCCCTCCTCTGCAGCCCAACCCGACTTGGGTGCGTTGCTTCTTCGCGTGGGCTCGACTGTCATTGACAACTCTGCTCTTGCTTCGCCAAACCCAAAGGCGGGTGCCCCCTCAAACATTGCGTCGCCGGCGGCCAACGGCGCCTCCAGCCCGCGCACCTCCACTGGGCTGTCTGTGCCAGAATTGCGAACTCCCTCCGGAGTGTCTCAGCCGGTTCGTACTCGTCTCGCCCTTCTTCCAACACTGTAGATTGCGCACATGGTCACTCACGCAGGTTTTTTTTTTTTTTTTTTTTTCGTTTGGCTTTTGGTTTTTTTGGTTTTTAGAACTCTCGTCCAACCTCCATCAACCGATATTCTCGATCCGAAGGTACGTTCTTCTCGCGCTCGTCAACGAGTGTCGTTGCAGTGCAGATCGCAACATTACCATTTTGACTTTAAATGTTTTTTGTTTTGCTGTCTTTTGCGCAGAGAATGTGTCAAACTACGTTCCGTCCCCCAGTTCTACGAGTTTGAATAGTGACAATCACCGGTCATCAACACTCTCCGTCAATGACGATTCAGAGGCGGACCCCGAAGAAGACGCCGAGGAGGCGTGCTTGTGGTTGCAACGCTCTGGTTTTCCCCAGTATGCCCAGTTTTATCGAGGTGAGCTTTTGCCTTTCCCCCCCCCCCTTCCCCCCGGCACCCCCAACTGCCACCCTGTATTCTTGCGTCCGAGGGACATTTTGCGCGACGCTTGGGCTGACACCTTTTTTTTTTTAATAATTTTTTTAAATGCCGTGTTCCAGAAAATATTGAATGCGACCCTGCACAAGTTAAAGCCGATCACGATTTTCTCAATGACGAGCAGCTGCAACCTGTGACCAAGCGTGTCCTGATTTTGAACGCTGCCTTGCTTCGGCGGGCTCGCAAGGTTTGTGGCATGTTTCCTATTTCGTTTTGCCTCCATTTGAAAACGGTGCTTGGTGCTCATAGTGACTATTTGCTCGCACCAGTCGCCCGGCTCCAAAGCCCGTCGCTCTCTAGCCAAGGTCCAGTCTTCGGAGATTGAGTCGTCGGATGAGGAAAGTGATGAAGAAGACACGCCATCCATCCAAGTCGACGCTGCTCCAGCGGATGAAGACTTCCAGCCGCGTCCCCCGCGTCGGCGATCTCGAGGCAGTAGCCGTCGAGGCCGGAAAGCCGAAGGGGCTGGCGCGACTGCCCAAGACATGGACGGCAGCACCGACACACTTTCTGAATCTCTCGATGACGCCGGCCCAGTATGTCTGCAGATCGTCATCACGCATGTTTGGCATTTTGTTGTCACTTGTCTCCTCACCCTCTGTTCCTCTATTTTTTTTTCTTGTTCGAATGACAGCTAACTCCTGCGCTGAGCAGCAACTGGACCTTCCGCAGCGATAGCAAGAAATGGTCTCGCTCGTTCAAGGAGGCACGGCGCCTGTCAGACTCCCCCCTTGAAAACATCACCCTGGCAAAGATTTATGCGCAAAAGTGGACGTCGTTCATGCGCCAAAAGAGCACAGGTGGGCGCCCTTCGACGCCGTCGAGCTCCGAGAAGGTGATTGCAAACCTCTCGTGTCGGGAAATGCTCGTCGTGCAGCGTCTCTCCGTGCTGTCGCTCACTGGCATGCTGGACAATCGAGCTGGCGCGGACTCCTCCTTCACTAAGCGATGGGAGAAGAAAGTGATGCGCAGCCTGACGAAGCTACTTGAGCCAAACCGCAAAATCGTGTACAATGGTATGTGCAGAGTGAGATGGCTTTGTTTCGTCTCTCTGAAGCCGGGCAGGGACGTTTTTTTTTTTGCGGAGAGGAATGGGCATCTGACTTTTTTTTTTTTTTTTTGTCTTTATTTTTTGAATTTGTTTTTGTTTGGTAGCGGTCGGTGTGTTTGGAGTTCCATTGCAGACCATCCTCGAGCGCACTGGCCAGCCATTGCCGTTGAGCATCTACGACGCGCTCATGTACCTTGGCAACCACTGTCAGTTCGCAAAGTGCACAATCGTGGCGGTCTCTTTTTTTTGTTTAAACAAAAAATTCTCATTTACTTTTGGTCCTTTTTTTCTTCCCGTTCGCGCAACAGGCGCTCAAGTGGAAGGCCTCTTCCGTAAAGCCGGTGCTACGGCTCGCATTCGAGATTTGCGCGAAAAGTGCGACAAGGGCACCGAAACCATTGATTTCACCAGCTTCTCGCCGCACGACGTGGCGGATGTCGTCAAGCAGTTCTTCCGCGACTTGCCCGAGCCTCTTTTGACGTCCACGTTGGTTGAGATCTTCATCGAAGCAGAGAGTACGTGAGACCCGTTCATGCGTTCATGGCGTTTCGTGTTTGTCTAAAGAATGTTGTTGTGCACGAATGTTCTGATTTTGCCTTCTTGTTTTGTGCGCCTCGTTCCCTCTCGTGCAGAAACCAACACTGAACAAACCCGGCATCAGATGATGCAGCTACTCATTCCGCTTCTTCCCGATGAAAACCGCGAGGCGTTGCAATTGGTGCTGAGCATGCTTGTCAAGATTGCTGCCAATGCCCAAGGGTCTGGTGACAAGAAGGGCAACCAAATGGACGCTCGCAATCTTGCGCTGGTATTTGCGCCCAATATTTTCCACGTCGACCGCAATCCGCCAAAAAGCGGAGGCAAAAACACCTTCACCAAGGCTGACAGTCGCGAGTCTGCCCTGCGTGAGGCGCAAGCCCAGGAAGTTGCTTCCAACTGCCTGCAGCACATGATTGAAGACACTGACGCGCTGTTCCGTGTAAGCGTGTGATTGCAGCTTTTGGCGTAGCTTGTTTGCTTTCCTTTCCTTTTCTGGCATTTTTCTGTGTTGATTTTCACGTTTATTGGCTATTGTTCTTGTTCTCCTTGTTTGGGAATGGCCAGGTGAGTGACGGAATCTTCGAGCAGGCCTTGGACGTCACGACTGGCCAAGTCCCGCCACCTGGTCTCTTGCATCTGTTTGATGCGACCCACCGACCATACTTTGCCAGCCTGATGCAACAGCAAACAACCAATCTGATGAACGAAGCGTCCGGCAAGTTCAAGTCCTTCTTCTTCCACACTCGAACGGATGCGGTTCGCATTGCCTACAAGCGCGAGGAAGACGAGATGCTCCAGACGTGGTGTGGTCAAGCAATCGCAAACACGTCCCCAGAACGTGCTCTTGAGCGACTCGTCCATCAGCGGTGCGTGTTGTGACATTCCCCCCGCCTTCTTTGCTGTCATGTTTGAATGCTTGGAGCTGATTTTTTCTTTGGCGTTTTGTGATACCCTTTTTCGACCACACAACCCTGTTCTGCGGGATAGATACCTTTGGGATCCCGAAGTCGAGAAGGAGCATTTGGTCGAAGAGATTTCCAAGGAGATGGATGTCTTCCACTACACGCGACGAGGCCGCGGGCCCATCCGGCCTCGTGATTACATTCTTCTCCGGTAACTCATTTTGGGCGGAAGGATGCACGCAATAGGATGAATGCGTTGGAGCGCACCACTGATTTTCCTTGTTGTTCTTGCTTCATTTTGCTCGTTGCCCAGGTCTTGGAAGAACTTTGGAAATGGAAAATGCGTGCTGGTGTGCGTATCCATCCGACACCCGTCCGTGCCAGAGGTACCCGGCGTCGTTCGCGCAACTGTCTACCAGCACAGCTTCTATATCGAAAAGAATGATGCCGCGACCTCCAAAATCACGTACATTAGTCGAGTGGATCTCAAGGGTCGCACCCCCAACTGGTACAACCGGGCCTATGGCGTGCACGATGTCATGGTTCTCACCGACATCCGCAAGGTTCTGGATATGCAGCAGTTGCCTGGTCCCGAGACCTGTGTGTAACGTTTTCTTAAAAAGCAAAACAATCGTAACAAGTCGCTTATTTTTGGTGGTTGCTGCTGTTGGTGGTTGTTTGTTTGTACTTGTCGTTGAACCAACAATGCTCTTTTTCTTGGGTTTGTGTTATTGCTGCGCTCGGCGTTTTGTCAAAATCGATCTTTGAGAGGGAGAGAGAGAGAAAACAAAACAACCCTGTATTCAACATGTCAGTGTGTCGCCAGTTCAAACTTGTGGAGGCATGTGAAACATTTAACGAACATGATACATGGATTTTCTTTTTATGTTTTTTACCATTTGCGAATTCTCAGTCTTGCTTCCATTTTTTTTTTTTTTTTGTAAGTCATCATCAAACCAAAAAGCACGCCATTCGTTTCGAATTCAAACCAAAGCGTCTTCTGCGTAGAACAGTCTCTCAGCGACCTGAGCCTTCCTGAGAGCGAAAGAGCGTGTGTGAGTGTGTGCGTGTGTGCGTGTGTGCGTGTCAAGTTGTGCGTCCAACCAATTGTGTATGCCGGGCTCGACTTTTGGGGCGTTCTCGCATGGTTGCATGAGCGGTTTGGATTGGCCGGCGCCTCCGCTGGTCATTGTCGCGGTTTTACGCCCTCCTCCCGCCGCCGCACGCATCGCAAGATTCACGTATCAACCCCAGTGTTCGGCTCGCCGTGTCTGCGCAGCACTCGGGCGACCCCATGTCGCTGGAGCGGCCCTCCGAGATAAACGCCACGGTCCGCGTCACAAAGTCGGCTTGCGGCCTGTTGGTCTCTTGGGGGAGGAGGGGGGGGGGGGAAGGGGGAACTACCGCACTGTTCTCTTACATGTCCATTCAGTGTACTTTCGCGCCTCTGCCTATGACTCTTTGTTCCGACTCAGGAGGCGGGGAGGGTTTTGTGTGGGATAAAGCTTTTTTTTTTTTTTTTTTTTTTTTTTTTTTTTTTTTGGTGCGAGCATTCTGAACGTCGTCGCCGTCGTCGTCGTCGTCTCACGACACCCAGACCGAGAGAGTGAGCGTGGCGTGTGAGCTTGTGCACATTGCGCTCGAGTGTCGCCTGTTCCTCCCCATTGACAGACCAAACCCGCGCCCGTTCCCAATGCATTTTCACACGCGTCGTTCAAAAACGATACGAAGTTATCGTTTTTTGCATTATTCTTCTCTTGCCCTTTTTTTTTTTTTTTTTTTTTTTGGGAGTAGTCCCCGTTGCTCTTTCCGTGCATTTGCGACCTTCCTCCCGCGACGCTTCGTGTTGTGTATGTGCTTGCTGCGTCTCCCTGCTGCGCTCCACTTCCTCTTCTCAATTCTTCCCTCAAGACGGCACCGAAAGAAGAAGCAGAAGCAACGGAAATACCAACAAAACCCGTTTTTTTTTTTTCCCCTTTCTTCCTTTCCTTTTTTTTTTTTTTTTTTTTTTTTTTTGTTTGATCATTTCACTCCCTCACACACATTCTCTCTCTGAGTGATAAATGTATATTTGTCCAATTGTTTAATCATTGTTATCTCACTTTTTTTTTCCCCACCTCTTTCTTCTCGTTTTGGATTGTTTCGTTTTTTTTTTTGACACTTTGTTCACGACAGCTGTCGCTTCTTCGCTGGTTTCCATCTCTCTCTCTCTCTCTCTCTCTCTCTCTCTCTCTCTCTCTCTCTCTCTCTCTCTCTCTCTCTCTCTCTCTCTCTCTCTCTCTCTCTCTCTCTCTCTCTCTCTCTCTCTCTCTCTCTCTCTCTCTCTCTCTCTCTCTCTCTCTCTCTCTCCTCCCCCTTCCCCTTCCCCCTCCCGCAGTAACAACAACCGCGCAGTCCGCTCATTTCAACCGTCATTGACGACTGCTACCACCTGGCTCAAGCACGCAGCAGTCACCTCCCCCATTCAAGCACGCGCAATGCTAGACACACTGCCAACCTCACCACCAATACCTCCCTCGCTCAGGCCGCACACTGCTGCTGCTGCTGCTGCTGCTGCTGCTGCACCTCAACCCAACCCGACAACACCAACATCATCAGCATCAACATCAACAAGAACAACGACATCGCGCTTCCATGTCTCAATGTCGTCGCCACTGGATGCATCACCAAGATCACCACCACCACCATCAACCACAACAACAACCACCACCACCACCACCACCACTCCAATAACACCCTCAGTGCCGCAATCGCACACATACCACGCCAAACACCGACCGGTGGTTGTGCTGCCGGACGGACGGCGAAGGCGGTTGTGCAGCACCAGCAGCACTGACTCTGTCGACGGCGCCGATCCCCTCGCACCGTCGCCCCACCAAGTCGGCGGGCACAGTTGCATGCTGCGGCTGCCTGCAGGGCGGGTGTGCAAGGACTTTGCCTTGCGCGAGTACGAGTTTTACTCGACTGTGCGCCGGCTCGTCGCGGAGGAGGCCGAGCAGCAGTCCCGTGTGGCTCCCTTCACCCGGCTGCAAGAGTTCATCCCAGCCTACTTTGGCTTGGTCGACATTACATTCCACGCTCAATCCAGCCAGGTTGTGCTGGCCGGCAATGTGCGCGACTGCACCCCTGCAGACGAAATGCAGTTGCAGCAGCGTCAGGCCGTGCAGGACTCGCGGAAGCAAGCCAAGCAGGCCGAGCTTGCCGCAGAAAGCCAAACCTCGCCGCTGCACTCGTTGCTTGGCCACAGTCGTCAGTCGTCGGCCTCCTCATCGCTCGATTGCTCGGGCATCTTCCAGAGCACAGAGCACCACCCCGCCGAGCAGCTTTCGGCTACTTTTGCGGCGCCTGCCTCGCCGTCTAGCTTGGTGCCAGCTACTGGCTCTGTTAGTGGCCGTTGCAGCACAGGTAGTTCGGCGGCAAGCGCATCTTCTCTCGAGGATGTTTCGCATTCGGCGGCGCGCGCGACTGCTGGCAGCGCAGCCGGCACCAGCACCAGCACCAGCACTAGCACTGGCAGCAGCGCCGCTTCACTCAACGTGTTGGCCCCGTCCCCGGCACCCTCCCCTGTTGCCCTTGATGCAATGACTGCCGTGCATGGCAGCGAGCCTTCCAGTTCGGCAACCGGGGATTCAACGCCGCACCTCTCGGTCGTTCATCACAACAGTCCTCACCAACACCATCCCCACCACCTTCACCACCACCACCACCACTACCACCACAACCACCACCACCACAACCACCACGCTCATCACTCTGGTCAGCACCAATCACACCAGCAGCAGCATCTCCACCACCAGCACTCGAGCCATCGCGATCATGCGCATCTGTCGCCACACTACTCGCACGCAAGCTCGCTTCAGATGCTCATTGCAAACTGCTTCTCCACTCCCCCCGATTCAGGCAGCTCGCCCAACACGACGCTCAACAGCGTCACCGCTGCCGAGCTTGCGGGGCTCTCTGCTGCCGCGGCTCGCTTGGTGAGCGAAAACGCCGCAGTGGTCAGTCGCGCATCAGCGCTTGCCGCCATCCAGACCGCAGTGCTCGATGCCTCCAGCCAAGGCCCTGCGTCGTACTCGTCCGAGTCCGACTGGAGCAGCGCCTCGCCATCAGCCGACTCGTCCGTGCCCTCTCTCGAAGGCTCGCCGACTGCTTCCCCTGCCGCCGTCTCCAACAAGTCTCTCCCCGCTGTGGAGCTGGGCACTCTTTTGTTCCCAGCCATTGACGCCAGCGACGCAAGTTCGCCTGTGGCGTCAACCGAATCCTCCACGAGCGAAGAAGAGGCCGATGCTCGAGAGTTGGACAATCGTGTCCGACGCCGCGTTTCACTCTACACCATTGACAGCCGCTGTGTCAGTCCCTCGTCGGCCAGTGCAATGCGCTCAGCCGCTTCGTCCACGTGGCTCTCGACGCTGGAAGTTCACACGTCTGGCGTCAATCAGTGGCCTCGGCTCTGCTACGACCGCTCGATGAGCAAACTGCGTTCTGACAGCTCAGCAGACCCGCTTACAGGCGAACTCCGCACGGACGCCACCTGGCTTGTGCTCGAGGACTTGACCCGCCGATACTACCGCCCTTGTGTCCTCGACTTGAAAATGGGAGCGCGTCAACACGGCGACGATGTCAAGCTCGAGCGTCGGCTGCACCAGATGGCGAAGTGCGTCAACTCGACGTCGGTCACGCTTGGTTTACGGCTCTGCGGTATGCAAGTGTACCGTGCTCTCCAAGACAAGTTCGCCCACGTGACAAAGTACACTGGCCGCTCGTCGACGGCGGAAGAGTTTGCGTATGGCCTCGTGCTGTTCTTCTTCAATGGCGATCGCGTTCGTTTTGATGCTGTCCGCGCTATTTTGGCCAAGATTCGCCGCTTATCGGAGGTGATCCAGCAAGTTGATTTCCGCTTCCCCTCCGCGTCGCTGCTGCTCTTGTACGAGGGCTACGTTCCCGGTTCCGCCTGCGAGAACGCGTCAAGCGACGACGAGTCTACTTCACCCTCCGAGCCGAGTGCCATGTTTGATCCGAGCATGGTGGATGTTCGTATCATTGACTTTGCTCACACGTCCGCTCTGGCTCCAAAGTCTCCTCTGGCCCCTGGCGCGGGCTCCATTCCCGGCATTTCAAGCGAGCACGAGACATTGCTGCGCGAAATAGACGGGAGCGCGGCTTCTGGGCCTGACTCAAACTTTTTGTTTGGGCTCAACATGCTGATTGAGCTGCTGGAGGAAATTGTGCAGCAGGAGCCCGTCGAGCTGAACTGAACGCCTTTTTTTTTCAACGGTACGAGCGTCTTTTATACTTTTATACACAAAACACCATGGCAGGCAGTTCGCTCTCACCTGCCGAGCTGCTCTACCAGCGTTTTGATTCGGTTTACATAATTTCTTTTGTTGAGGTTTTTTTTTTTTTGCTGAGAGTTTTGTTGACTGTACAACATTGTTTGTAATTTTTCTGCTTGCTTTTTATGATTGTTTTCGACTTGTAAATTAAACGATTTCTTAGTTTTGAGCGTTTTGGAGAGCTTACAAGTGCACCAGGTTGGCGATTCTGCTCGAAGAGTTGGATAGGGGTTATCTTTTATAGTTGTTGCAAACAAGTCAACAAACTCAAGCGGGAACACACAGTTAACGCGAAACGAAATGACACCACCGAACGGAAAGCAAAACAAAAAAGCAAAAACACCACACACACACACACACACACACACACACACGCAGCATTTAGAGCATCTCCTCTTCAGGAATTTCCACCTTGAGATGCTTGCGGTCGCTGTCGCTGTCGCCGTCGAAGGCGTCTTCGTCGTTGGTGCTCAAGTCACGAACGTAGCCTTGATGGGAAACGGATTCCGACGAGGGGAGCAAGTTGCGGCCCTTGATCACCAGGAAGGCGATAAAGAGGATGACTGCAATCACGGTGAATGCAATGACAACCTTGAAGCTAGTGCTGCTCGAGCCCGACGCTGTTGTGGGTGCAGAAATGATAACAAGGACAAACACATTAAAAGATGCACATGTTGGGCAAAGAGTCAAACCATAAAACCAAAAGTGTCTTACATCCAGACGGAACTGCTGTGCTACTAGCGGATGGCGTGGCGGACGAGACTTCGGGAGTAGCAGAAGAGACTTCAGGGGTGGCAGAAGAGACTTCAGGGGTGGCAGACGAGATTTCAGGGGTAGCAGAAGAGACTTCGGGTGTGGCGGAAGAAACGTCAGGAGTGGCGGAAGAAACGTCAGGCGTAGCGGAAGAAACGTCAGGAGTAGCGGAAGAAACGTCAGGTGTAGCGGAAGAAACGTCGGGAGTTGCGGAAGAGACCTCAGTGGTCGAAACTTCCTCAGTCGGCGAAGGAACATCGGTTGGCGAAGGAATATCAGTGGTCGAAACTTCCTCAGTGGGGGAAGGAATATCAGTGGGGGAAGGAATATCAGTGGTCGAAACTTCCTCAGTGGGCGAAGGAACATCGGTCGGTGAAGGAATATCAGTAGTCGTCGAAACTTCCTCAGTCGGCGAAGGAATATCAGTGGGGGAAGGAACATCCGAGGTGCTGACATCCTCAGTTGGCGAAGGAATCTCAGTGGTCGGCGAAGGAATCTCAGTTGTCGAGATATCCTCAGTCGGCGAAGGAATATCCGTCGGCGAGGGAATGTCAGTAGTCGAGACATCTTCGGTCGGCGAGGGAACATCGGTGGTGGAAACCTCGACATCAGTGGTCGAGACGTCTTCGGTCGAGGAAGGGACTTCCGTCGAGGAAACGTCCGGGGTGGCAGACGAGGCATCGGTGGGCTCGGGGATGGGGATGGTAGTGGGATCGGGGATCGGGGTCGAGGAGGGACTGGCGTGGCAGACAAATGCTGACAAGGGGCGACGACGGTACGACTTGGGGAGGCTGAACGAGCAGCGAAGATAGCCGAAATCCTCAAACTCGTCATCGAACGCTCCATCGAATAGAGAGGGCTGAGCGGGCGTGAGCAGGGCAGCCAGCGCGGAAGATTCCGTTGTCTCACCATCTTCATCCACGAGGCGCCAGACAAGCACGTCGCGGACACCAGAGCTGGTCGGCGGGTTGCCAGGCTCCAGGTTCGCCATGCCGTTCGGGACTTCATCCAAGCTGTAGATGACTACAGCACCAGAGCTGGAGGTAAATTCGGTGAGCTCGGGGAAGATGAAACTGCCAGAGTCGGCAGCCCAGAGCCAATCGCCATTGTCGTCGGTCATGCCAGTGTCAGTGCCCCAGACCGGGTCCACACCCAACTCAGCAGCGAACAAGATGGTGGTGCTGGTAGTGATGACAAGGGCAAAGCCTTTCAGCGATGTTTGGGGCGAGCGCTGGACGTCAGTGAGACGAATGCTCTGCAGGGGCGAATAGACTCCAAGGAGCGTGCCCACATTGAGCTGAGTGAAAACAAAGTTGTACGCGCTAGCATACCCGGTGCAGGGGTTTTGCTGGCCAGGCGATGCAGCCTCGAAGACGGGATTCCACGCGCGAGTGTTGCTGGAGATGAAGTGGCTGCAGCGCTCGTTGGAGTTGTCCACGCCTGACGCCTCGGTGGCGATGGCCATTGCAGGCTGTCCGTTGAGCAGGTATGCGCTGAGCTGCGCCACCGTTGCAGGATCGGAGGCGTAGACGATGGCATCGAAAGGGTCGCCAGCAATGCGGTCGCCCACATGGAACGAGCTGGCGGGGTCGTCATACAGGCACACAGCACCAGCTTCCGGGAAGAGCGCAATGGACGGGTCGGTCACATCAGCAACGTGCACAGTGACTTTGGGGTCGGTCACCCAGTTCGGCGCGACCAAAGCAAGACCGTCCGCGTTAAAAGTCACGCTGCTCAAGTCGACCACCCGGTAGATGTTGCTATCGGCGTCGTAAAAGACCAGTGAGAGTTGATCCGAGGTATAGGCTCCTGTTGGTCGCACACACACATAGTTGCAAGTTGAGTTCATCGTCATTCCGGGCATTTTCCAAATCTCCCAAAAAGCACAGCTCTGGATGTTCTGTGGTTGTTGAATTGTTTGCATTGCTTGCATTGTTTGTTGTTCGGTGATGAAGAAGAACGACGCGCCAGAATAATCAGCAAATCAGAAGAATCAAAAAAAAAAAAAAAAAAAAAAAAAAAAAAAAAAAGAATCTGGTTCTTTTTCAACATTTTTTTTGCGGCTGTTCCACACAACGCACAAGAATGGCTGTTGTTCCCTCCGACTCGAGGGGATTTCCACCTCACGCACAAGCACATCAGCGTTGGAGGCAATGAAAGCAAACGGAACAATCGCGGATGCGATGGGCGAAGGCGCGATGGCGATGGCGAGCGAACAAAGGGAAGGAGGTGGAAAAGAAAAAAACGAAGAAAAAAAAAAAACCGCGTTATGACGTCGCACTCGTTTCCCCACGTATGCATGTGGAGGGGAAAAGGGGCGGGGGAGAGGGGTTTGGTTGGGCTGGCTCCGCATGCAGCGAGCTGAGCGAATGCGCTATGTGTGGGGCCTTGAGACGGAAGGGAGTGCGACACGGTGCGCAGATGAGCAGATGAGCAGATGGAGCGAAGCGAACCTGCAGGAACATTGGTCTCTGGATTGCGGGCGGAGATTTCGACAAAGGGGTAGCTACCCGCGACGCCGTCTGCGACCTGCACATTCAGCTCGTTCAGCTTGAGGAAGCTCTCGTCGGTGACATCGCGGCGGGCGCGCAGACGGACTGCAGCAGGCGCAGCCGCAGGCGAGGCAATCGCGCTCGCAACCACTTGCAAGGCAACGACGGCAACCAGCGCCGTGGTGAAGGCAGTCAAGCGCATTTTGTGGAATGAGGATGCTGTTTGGGGGAGGGGAGATGAAGCGAAGGTGAAAACGGCGACACAAGGAAGAAACGATGGAAGGAAGGAAGAGCTGAGAGAAGGGGAAAAAGAAAAAAAAAATAAAAAAAAAAAGAATGAATGGATTTTTTTTATTATTATTATTTTTTTTTTTTGTTGCGTACATTTCTGAAAAAACCACATGAAAAATGGGAAAACGAGAAAAACCGGTTTTCATCAAAAATATGTTGGTTTGAAAAATGGGAAAACGAGAAAAACCGGTTTTCATCAAAAATATGTTGGTTTGAATGAACGATTGTTACGCAGTCCAACAGCAAAATGCATGGAAAGCGATGGAGTGGGCGGGGCGAAAGAGGGATTTTTTTTTTTTTTTTTTTTTTTTTTTTTTTGACAGCAGCATTCGCCACACACACATGTGGACTGCATGCAGAGTAGGATGCAGAGACTTGAAGAGATCGTTGCGGCAAATGCATGTTCAAACATCGCACTGGGTGGTTGCCAGATCACAACAGCAAACAGCAATCCGTGCGGACTTGGCGTTGTTCAGTCCCATAACGCTGTTTCAAAAACCGGACGAAACACTAGAAACACAAGCCGTTCAACCGCAGCACGAGCGCAATTGCTGTTTCGATGCGAGTCGGTGGGGGTTGTTGGCTGCCTGTGTGTTGTGTGCTGATCTGTCCGTGCGAGGACCCGTTCCGCATCATAGAAAAGGCTGCTCGGCATCTCGGATCAGAGTCGTGTGCGTGCGAATCATCAAAGCTCAGATGGACTTTTGTCTGTTCGATGTCTTTGCCCACCGCCGCACATGCTTTTTACAACCTTCCGATAGACTACGCATGCTGGTGTCTTCATTAACACCAGTGAGGGACCTCCAAACCAAAGATGCGCATGAACCTTCACACGCATCCGCTACACGGCGGTTTCCGACATACTTGTTCCCCCCCCCCTCCTCTTCGACTTTTAATCCCCCCTTTCTGTTTCTCAAGCATTCATATCTACTCCGACGAACAAAACCCGACCTCAACTGCACTACACGCAATGAAACGAATCACAGTCAACCTTTTTTTTTTATTTTTTCACGAGCGTCCTCATCGTTCATTACGACAACGACACCTTCGAGCCGCACAATCAAACAGAGTACAGTAAATCACCATGGGCCGACAATCATGTGATACGCCCGGAACAGGTAGAAGAGGTACACCCAGTGGATGACAAACACGACCGAGCCAACGATGAGCCCTTGCTTGCGATCTGCCGTGCGGCTGAAAAATACAAGAGCCTGTGTGACAAGCAAAATTTGTGCAATCCAATGCAAGACGGGACATGTCAGCACAACCCGGTTTGCCACCACGCTCAGCACCATCAAGAAACAAATTCGTGTCTCACGCACCATTTTGGCTGCAGACAGACTGCCTAACACTGCCCAGGCGAGAAGGAATGCGTTCGAACCGGGAAGCATTGTGGCGACAAGAAGACACACGCAGTATGCGACCAGTCCGTAGCCCTGACGATGGCAACAAAACCAACAAACAAGAGAAACAAAAAGTACAAAAAGTGAAAAACCAACCTCTCCCTTTGTTGCTTCTCGTGACCCCGACACACACATCCCACGCAAGAAGTCGCAGTAAGACATTGCAATGCATTTACCGTCGTGTACAGTATTTGGAGGAAACTCAACGACGTGTTGAAAATGTAAGCAAAGAAAAAGTAAATGCTCGAGCCGCCAATCCAGTAGCCAAAGCAAATGGCGAGCGCCGTGCCCATGAGGGTTCCTTCGCGCTACAGGCGTGAACGGCGCGTTTGAAACGAGTTTGGGACACGGGGGAGAACACCATCAACACAATATTCGCTAGTCAGCGGCACTCGGTGCAATCCGAATGTTTCCAAGAAGGAAGCATCGTTGAGAACATGACATTACCACTTCTGTTCCGGAATGCTTCATGCCAAACAATAGAACAGTCACGAGCGAGAATACGAGCATGAGAGGCCCGTAGAGCTCGGTCGGAACCGGATCGACATCGCGCGATGGTCGGGTTGGCAAGAAGGATCGCAGCAGCCGTGCTCGAACTTGGTGCACCTCGACATCAAAGTAAGGACGTAGTAAATCGACTCGTGCATAGGCGCCATACGCCTGCTTGGCCTGCTCTGAGCCAGCGCTCCACATCTGTCCGTTTTGGGTTTGGGCGTGTGCAATCACAGCGCCAGCCGCGCATGAACGCAGAGTTCAATAAAGCCAATCACAAAGAGCATCATCCACACCATGCAAGTGAGTGTAGTGGCGATGGGGCGACGGGACCCAGCGCTTTGACTGCGCCCAATCTCCAAAAACGCTGAGCTCTGCCTTGGGAGGCAAAAGGTGCGTCCGAGACACGGTGCAGCTTGAAAACCTTACATTGCCAGCAATCTGTTGACCCAGTCCAGACATCATGGCGGCAGACAGCGCGCCGCCTCTGCAGCGCCAAAGCGACGAGCGACAGCAGCGTTCAGTCAGTCCAGCATCCAACTCCCCACAACCCAATCCAACCAGAGTACAAGGCAAAAAAAGTACGCACAAGGAGGGCATGTTGGCCTGATCCTGTGGCTGGGAAGGTTGCCGCTGGCTGGGCGGAATGTCGTCCTCGCCAAAGTCAATCGCCGTCGACATTGGACCAACTCGCACAACACGCAATAATCAAGGACTGGGGATTTCAAAGACACAAAAAAGATCCAGGCTATTAAACTCGGTGTGCAATTCGCGGGTGTTTGAGATTGAAGATTTGGGGGTGGAGGGGGTGGGGAATATTTGAAAGTATTGCATACATTCTACCATACAGTTGGTACAAAAAACACTTGCTTTCAGGCAAGCGCACGAAGGCCAACCTGCCGGAACCAGGCCAAGGCTGCGTCAATGTCCGACGACTGCGAAGGTTCGAGCTGGGTTGGCACGCCGGATTGGGGGACTGGACTTGACGTCGGGCGGACGCGGGTTTCCGACAGCGCGTCCAACGCCCGCCGATGCAGCTTGACGAGAATGTGCTCAACGAGATTGAGGCGGTGCTCGCTAAGGAGATGCTTCCAGACATGCAGTGTGCAGACAACGGAGACGAGGTTGCAGAAGGCATCGCTAAGCAGCAATCGTTCGCTGGATGCGCCGAGCGATGCCAGCATTTGCGACAAGGCTCCTCCTTCTGGTTCGGCGGCCGGAGTGGAGCTCTCAGTCTGCATTGGTGAGGCTGACTTTGGAGCGCCTGGAGACTCTGGCGGTTGCTCTGTCACGGGAGAAACGCCGTCGCCAACCACCATGGCGGTTGAAGCCGATTTGGCGTTTGCTCCGCCCTTTCCAGCCCCTCCATCGGCAGAAGCAGCAGCAGCGGCCTTGGAGGTGCTGGCACTGGTGGCAGAGCCGGCGGCGGCGCCGCCGCTTTTGACGGCAACCGTAGCTGCATCCGGCCAACACAGCGCTGCGCACATGGTCGCGGCCATACGCTGCAGATATTCGAGATCGCGCGACATCCAGAGCATGCGCTCCTCTTCACCAGAATCGGTCTCTGCGGTCGCGGTCGCCTCACTCGTGTCCATACCGCCTCCCCCTGGTCCGAGGCGAATTCCGCCGCTCGCATGGGATGCTGCTCGCCACGCAGAGTTGGACGACGTCAACGTGAACTTGATGAGCAGGGTGCCGTCCGCTGCGCGCGTATCCTTGACCAGCCAATGCAGCATTGCAAACAAGCGATCGCGGTCCAGCGCCATGCCAAGGGCAAGAAGCTCGGATCGTACCGAGCGGCCAAACAAACAGGCGTCGTGACCCGCGGCGCGCTCGCGCATTTTCGCAATTCGAACGAGGCACTTTTTGACGTCCGTCAAGTGCTGGGATTCGCGATTGGTCAGCTGGAGGCCATTCGGCGGAGACTTGAACGCCACCATGCTCAGGACGTCGTTGCGGAGCTGTGCTATTTGCGCGCGAGTGGTCGAGGCAGATCGATTGTTGGAAGGGAGCTCAGACAAGCGCTCCATGCGCCGCCTAAAGCGCTCGCACAACAAAAGCAGTAGCTTGGCACGATAAGACGTGTACCACGAATTTTCATTGTCCGACTTGAGCTTGCTGAGCTCAAGAATGGCTTCAGCACACCATTCGAACGCGACATGCTCGCTACAGTCACCAGGCGGCATGCACGGGTACTCTTTGGGTGACGACTGCTCGGCCAGGGGCACCAAGTAGGGAAGCGGACGTCCACCAGCGGTCGCAGAAACAATGGCTGAATAGGAAATCAGCAGGGACGTCACCAGCTCTACAGGCGGATTGGCACAAAGTAACAGCTTGATCAGCACGACCGCGCGTCGGTACGAGCCTTCGTTTTCCTTCGACTTGATCTTGATGCGGTGTGCACGAACCTGCTCGTAACAACGCACACACTCTTCCGCGGCATCCGCAGACTCGGCAGCAAAGCTGTACAGGGGTACTCGCAGCTGCCACGGACAATCGGGCGCAGTGTCTTCGTCCAGGTCTGCACCCCCGATGCTCTGGCCAATGCCGTACCCATAGACGTGCACAGGAATACCAGCGTCAGGTCGCGTCGCCTGGATGCACTGTTTTTCGAGAATGCGACCCAAGAGAAGGGACAGGTTTGCTCGATAACGCTCACGCTTCGGAGCAGCCAAGTCGTCTGGAAGGTCGATGGCGCGTCTGACGTGCTGTTCGGCTTGCTTGAGGGCGTCGACGGACTCCGTCAAGCTGGCGTAAGCGCTCCAGTACAGCTCCAGAGCGCGTTGCGCGTCCCTTGGGAGCTGACTCGCGGTAATCGAGGTGGCTCGTTCGACAATTTTGCGTTTGGTGAAGGCCATAAACAGGGTTTCCGCCAAGTCCGCCCAGCAATACGACACTTCGGGCTGGAGAAGAGTTGCCATTCCGAAGCTGCGAATGGCAATGAGAGGCAAGGCAGGAAACGACAAAAGATAGAGCATGTGGTCTTTGCCAGTGGCGGGTTCTGCCAACGTCAGCGGCGTGGTTTCGCTGTCGTTGCTCTCGGAGGGGGCACTGTCGCCCGTCGCAGAAAGCCACTCAGTCCAATCGGCAAGGCTGGCGGTGAAAGTCGTGACACTGGCTCGCTGAGCAGCCGCAAACTGCTCCGATAGCGAAACGGATCTGTTGGTGACCAAAAACTCGGCAAAGCGACAGTGGAAGTGCGACGTCACACGCACCATGTCCGTCCACGAAGGGTTGTCGAGAGCAGTGTAAAACTCAAGCAGGGCACGCACACCCAGGCGCGCCCAGATGTCCGGATTGCTGGGTTGAAAGAGCAAAAGTCGCATTGTGACGGCAACGTACTCTTCAAAGTCGTCGAGCAGCGTGATGCCATCTTCGCAATGGAAACGCAAGTTGCGCTTGATGCGCTTCCAATTCTCAAGATCCGCCTCGGCCGCGAGCTCCAGGGCCTCCCACAGGAGCTTGATAAACTCGGGTGTCTCGACAAAGCCAGCTCTGAGACTCACAGGGTTGGCCACGCCGACTTCCAAAGCCGACGCTGGCTGCAATTCATCTGTCGGCGCACTTCCTCGAGCAATCACGTCCAAGATTGGGGAGGCAGCAGCTTCCATGGTTGCGCAGACAGAAGGAGGGTAGACGAGCCTTGCGCGAGCCTTCCACGCGATCGGGGCTTCAGGGCCAACAAGCACCGCTCGAGTGAGGGTGCTCAGGGGAGCGCTCGATCTCAAGTGCACAGTGGCATGGATGATTGCCGGAACATGCAGTGGCTGCATGTCAAGAAACCAGCTTGTCGGATTGGTTTGGTCAATGTGCGTGGCGAGGTATTCTTGCTCTCGCGTTTGGCGCGAGGTGCTGGATGTGCTGCCAGCTCCGGCTGCAGCCGACATGCCCGGGGCCGAAGCCAAAGAAGATGCAGTGTTGGCGAGGTTGGATGCCGGCGTGTTTGAAACCGCATGAGGAGCGGACGCGCCGAGGGTGGACGCAGCAACGATGGAGGTGCCTTTGTCGTCCCCGACTCGTCCTGCCAAATCCACAGCCCCAGAGCTGGTCAGAATCAACCCGTATAACGCGCGAAGACAAAGAAACAGGACCCGAGATGCAGCCGTGGTGTCTGTGGTATCCGCCGTGCTCAACAGTTGCATCGCAGTTTGTTCCGGCAGGTCCGGGCTGGCTTCAAGCAGTGCCTCCTGGTACTCCTTGAGCCCGAGCACGGCGCTCGCGTAGGCGCCCGTTTGGGCAAGCGTGTCCAAGCAGGCATGGGAGAACGCGCGACGCGCACCAATCCACACGTTGAACATTGCTGCAAGCTCGTTGGCCAACGGACCATTGTTCGCCGACCACGAGCTGTGTGCGCTCGGCGCAGCCAGGGTTGTGGTCTGCGACTGGTCTGCGGACGAAGAGCTCAAACTTTGCACATCCGTTGTATCACACGCGCCCAGCACTTCAAGCTGGCCCAAGAGGAAGCAGACTGTCACGTGCCCGGGATCGTGTTGAGTCTCGCTCGCGACTGGTTCGATGCGAGACCGCTTGTTCTGGCGGCCAGGGGCAGCTCCGGAAGGTCGAGTCGCTTCAGACAGCCGAGGAAGCAGCATTTGGAGCACGAGACGCGAGCACTCCAACGCTTCAATTCCCAGACGCTCAGCCACAGGAAAGTACGCCATCAGGCCAGTGGCGTTGACAGCCGGGCCAGCGGTCTCTCCACGGGCGATGGCCAACAGTTTGTGCTGCCGAGTGGCCGCCAGGCCGGTCAGGCCGTTGCGAAACTCAACAAGGGCAGCATCCGCAATGGCAAGCAGGCGAAAGAAGAGAACGGCAAGCAAGCGGAAAGGAGCAGCGGGCCAGGACGCCGGTTCGCGAGGACTGGTATCGGATTGCGCGTGTTCGTCCTGTTGCAGCAGGCGCAAATCGTGCTGCAGAGAGCCGCGAATGTGCTCAAGTAGCAACAACACTGCCTGGTGCTCTTTCGTGGTCAGCCTGGAGAGCATAGGCACGTCCTCGACAGTAGGATTGCTGCCGTTTGTATCGGCTGGAAGATTGACAGTGGCTGTGGCAGAACCGGACGCCTTTGGTGGCAGCATTCGAGCCAGCGTCTGACCCAAGCTGACCGAGGCACATGCATAGACAATTCCGTGCGCACGAGCACGGAGACTTGCTTCCAAGAGAAGGTCTCGCAAACGTATGGGGCTCATATTGGGAATATCGCTGAGCGACAAGGAAGGCGGGATGGCGGCTGCACTCGAGGTGCCAGCAGCAGCAGCAGCAGCAGCAGCAGCCGCAGCAGCAGATCTGCGGGCCGATACTCGCCGTTCCGGACCAACATCTTCATCGGCGTTGCCGGAATCGTCAAACGCCACAAAGGTCCATCGCGGGAGGACTAGCGGAGCCAAGGTAACCACAAGATTCGCGGGTTGATTGCCAGATAGCGAGGTGTGCAGAGAGCGTGATGTGACAAGCAGCTGGTACACGTGGTTGAGACTGGTAGGGTCGATGCGAGAGCCAAGTGGGGCGTTGGACACGCGCAAAGGCACAGAGCGCGTCTTGCAACGAGCCAGCAGCGTGGAGCAATGTTCGAGACAGAGCAACGCGTCATGCAGGCGGTTGCCAAAGCACGCATGAGCAACAGCATCAAGGTAAAGCAGCCGTACTTGCTGCTCTGTCGTGAAGAACGCAAAGGCCAAATTGCAATCCGCAAGCAATTGAGGAAGAAGCGCCTCGACAGCACTTGTCGATGGGACAGTGGCGCGAATTCTCATTGAAATCAAAATTTCAATCGCTAGCAACACTGCTGCGCGAGATTCCTGCTCGCGACGAGCGCTATCGTTTGGTTCTGCACCACCTGCCGCCAAGCCAGCCGAAGGGTTCATTCCGGGCACGTTGCGGGTTCGGAAATCGTCAACCTCCATCCCATCGGAAGACCTCGCTGCTTTCGACGCCGTCCGTCCAAACGTTTCAGTGTGCTTGTTCGGGGCGCCAGCACTCGCCGGCATCAGCACCAATGTGCCAAGATTCCGGATGGCCAACACGTAGTCAATAATCATCGAGTGCATTGCAGCCCAGCTGGCATCCTGCGAGTCGTAGAGCTGGGATACTCGGAACAAGGCCTCTCGCATCCAGATTGCAATGGACGCGCCAGGACCGAGTGCAACATCGCCGGCATTCAACGACTGCACAAATTGCTCGACAGCGTTTCGTTCGTCGGCATCGATCGCGTCCATCGGTCGGGCGACTGCAGCGGGCTGCACTCTCCGGGCTTGGGTCGTCACGCGATTGTCAGCTGCTGTGCTCTGCAAGGGGCAATCTTCCGAACCTGAGGCCAGTCGGCTCGCGTGGCGTGCAAAAAAGCGTGATTGGAGCTCAGCTATCTGGTGGGCGATTTTCAGTTTCGGGTTGAACGACTGCCCTCGGCGGGACGCCCCGTCGAGCTCCAAGTCCATGGGGCTGGCGGCGGACTCGACTGCCCCTGAGGCGGTCGGAGAGGGTGGTTGGTTTAAGCTCTTATCATGCAGACTTGGATCAACGTCAATCCCAACGGCAGCACACCACTCGGCCCAGAGGGCGACGGGCGCCAACTCTGCAAGGCGCACAAAGACGCTTCCGCCCTTGAAGGATATCGATGGTTGGATGGGGGCACGTTGCTTGACGAAGGCGGCGCCGACTTCTGTGTCATTGGTTCGAATGTTGCGTGACCGCCGCCTGTTGGCCAGTGTTCCTGAGGCAAGGGTGGTGGTGGTGGTGGTGGTGGTGGTGGTGGTGGCTGTGGTCGAGACGCCGGTCGCAGAGTCGTCGTCGAGAGTAATGGGGCTCGAGGCGGACCTGGCGTCGTCGGCAGTCGAGGAAGTGGTTGTGGGGCCACGATCGCTTCTGAACGGCGCAGCAGGTTGGTTACCTTCCACTTCAATCAATTTGCGCTTTTCTCGGGAGAGCTTTTGAGAGGCCTGGTTGTCGATGGACATGTCCATCGGCTCGGACGCCCCGGTTCCATCGCTCGACGCCAGCAGAGCAGCAGCGTTCATCAAGTCAGATTCACCCAAACCAGAAGGGGGTACAACGCCTTCTGCTGGTTGGGTATCGCCTTGAAGTTTCACAATAATCCTTCGAACCGCGCTCGCCGAGCTAGCATCAAACACACATTTTTTTTTGCATCAAAGTGAGATTGTGCCCACCAATTGTGTCCAGTCTCGCCACCATAGCAATATCAATTCTCAAGACGCAAATACCACCCCAAAAACAATCAATGCAAAACTCACCTGTCCTTCTTTTTGGTTGCATGCGAGAGCAAAAACCGCAACAGCTCGTCCCAGCCAGGGGTCGGCAGTGTGATGCTGTGAGTCATGGTAGAGATTGTAGACATGCGCTGGGGCCCCTGCATGGCGTTGCGCAACGAGGGGTCTTTGATGCTCATGTCATCCCGGTAAGACTTTCGGAGCAACATTGGCGGAAACTGCATGAGATCGTCTTCGCTCATGACAACAAGCGAACGAAAGTCGTATCGCGCCAGGGGTTGGCGTACAGGTCCCGCAACAGCATGTGCATGCCGCAACAGACCCAGCGTCGGATTGTGGCGAGCAGCACCGGAAAAGTTGACGGCGGCGCTGCCGTACAGCACGGCCGAATTGAAGGCTCGTGCAGGGCGAGCTTCTTGGAGAGGATCCGGCTGTGTCGAGTAGGCGCCTGGCGGTTGCCAAATGGGGAACAAGAGGCCAGGGACACACTCCAGCACGGTCGCATTTTGGTGGTGGATGACGCGAAGCAGCTGCTGCCCAAACGCCCAATGGGCATCAATTTCGAGCCCTTGTGCGAGCAGCATCAAGCACGACAAAAGGTCGTCAATAGCAAACAACACAGAGCAGAGTGCTTCCAAGGTTTGCATGTTGGAGGACGACTCAAGCTCTACCGCTGTTTTTGCAAGTCAAACAAAACAGCACGAAACCAAAAAAAAAAAAAAAAAAAAAAAAAATGCGCCAAAGTGAGCAGTGCCACCATCCTCAAGCAATCGTCCGAGCCGTAAAATACACAGCAAGTCACATACCCTTTTCGTACGCATAGCGAGCGAGCGACAACTTTCGTTCCCGGACAGCGAGGCGCGCAACCCCAACCCAGAGCTGCGCATCCGTGTGGTCGACGTCGGTCGCCTAAAACAAACACACAACAAAATCAACACCCATTCCATGCACGTGCACTCCTCAGCAGAGCGATACAGTCATCTCAACAACCGTAACTAAGAATCACGCTTACCAGCAGCAACAAATCGAGCGCTCGTGCAGCCTCGCCCAACTCGTCTCGCAGGGCCGCCTGGTTTTTGAGAGCCAGAAGACGAATTTTCACGATGGGTCGATTGTTCTCCTGCAATTGGCGACTTATGGCGACCAGCGTTCTGTGCAAGTTGCCGTTGGTGATTGCAGCCTGCTCGATCGCGTTCGCGATAGCCTCCTCTGAAGTCGCGTCTTCAGCCGCGGTGGCACTGGCCTGGGCTGGCAACGATCCTGCCTCGACCAACGACGCCACGATCTGCGCTTGGGTGGAGCTGTGCCGTCGCGCAAAGACGCTGGTGACCATCTCGAGCAGTGCTTGGTACTTGTCCGCCGACTCTTGCAGCAACTTGGCTCCTTGCAGCTCGAGAGCCTCCTTGTAAACCTGCATGCAACTCACCTGCATCAATGTATCAAGGTGACGAGCGGCACCAGTGTGAGTCTGATTGCACAGCACAGAGAGAAGAGCAGAAGGAATGGGGAGCGAGTTTTCCCGCCAAAAAAAAAAAAAAAAAAAAAAAAAGCTGCACGCAGACAACAATCGCTCTATCAACGACCATCCCGCCTGCAAACCCTCAATCAACACAGCACGATACATCAAAATAAGGCCGCTGAATAACCAAGGAGATCAAGCTACGGGAACGAGCAGTACCTCTTCACCATGGCGAACAACACGCTCGCTAGCGGCAGACGATGCCGACAGAACGGCTGCAGGCGATTCGTGGACGGCGGCAGCAGCGGAGGTCGATCTCGCTTGCGTATCGAGCTCGTGCGGCGTCGAAGCAGAAGCAGAGCCATTCTGACTCGGCGTGTCTGCTCGCGAGCTGGCGTCCAGCGGCGTGCGCGGCGTCGATTGCAGCGCCCGGAACGACATTTTTTTTTTGGTTTTTCGCTCAGCGAGTGAGCGATGAAGACTGCGGGCTTCGCACAGGGAAAAAAAAAAAAAAAAAAAACAAGCAATTGCGTTGTGAAAGGGTTTATTTATTGTAATGTGGAGCCTCACAACCCGATCCGCGTCTTGTTTGTGGTACGGGCAAAAAAAGAGAGCGAAACGACGATGCATGATCAATCGCCTTGTCCGAACGTCCTCTTTTTCCCTCTGAGAATTGTTGCATCACCAAAAAAAAAAGGCCTCACCAAATTCAAAGAAATATCGCTTTCTTAGCCACGCGATTGTGGTGTTGGTTCAAGCAGACACGCGCCCCATAATACCACCTGCGGCAAATGGGGAGAGCCATGTGTTTTCCAGTGCTGCACCGCGAGCCCGTTTTGTCGCCCCGTCCTTGAACGAGTCGCTTGCCCTTGTCGCACCTGTGCCCACCTGCATCGCGTGTGTGCGTGCTCGTGTCTGCGTGCGGAAGCAGGCGGCCTCGCCATTGCTTCAAAGTTTGCTCGGTAATATGTTATCACGACAAAAACATATCCGCCACGAAGAATTTCGCAGCGTGCTCCTTCTAGTTGCACCTGGGATCCAGACACGTCGGCAAGACGACGCTATGACAATTCTAAAACCAATGGCTTGTCGCTTCAATCGCACGCTGTTGACCAAAGATTGCCACATTTTTTTTTATTATTTCCTCTGCATGTTTCTCATTTCACTGCATTTTCCGAATTTCGCTATTAACCTGGCATGATGCCTCCTCGACACTCTCGATTATTCAGTTATCATTCATTTAGTGCATGCCCTCGAATCGCTGCGAAAGTTTTGCGCTGGATGCAATCCCTGAGGTTGCGCTGAGAATCCAAGCCTTGACGCTGGAGAAGACTTGCCCTTGCTTCGTTGAAGCGACTGATTTATTCAAAGAACACAGCACAAACCGTTCAATAATTATCTACCCGGTGCGATGTGGCACCAAAGAGCAAACCCGGCCCAAACCTCGCCGTTTCTTGACGCAACAATGTTCTACCCCGAGCCCGTTGCCTTTTTGTCACTCTCGTCTTTGGCGTCCTTGTCGGTGAAGAAGGTTTCTTTAAACTTGTCAAGAATGGTCTTGCCACTGTTGTCGGACGCAGAGCTGGCGTTGGAGGACGACGTTGACGATGCGGACGCGTCTTCGACGCCGTTGACGGTGCCAGTGTACTTTTCGTCCTTGGCAAACTGAATGAGCGCAGCCTTTTGCAGCTCTGTCAAGTTTCTGTTGTCGAAATTGAAAAAAAAAGAAGATCGGGTGAGCTTTGCTCATCATTGTCGAGGGCGAACAGCAGCACAACAAGACAACCGCGCATGAATCACAAACCGTGGCAATTTCAAGCGAACAGAAACGAGGTGATCGCCCTGTCCGTCTTCTGTCTTGACACCGAGACGACGCATGCGCAACATGGTACCATCTGCAATTTTCGGTGGGATCTGGTGCAGCAAGATTTTGAGAAATTCGTGAAATGAGGACAACAAACAAACTACCAGCCCCCCCTGCCTCCCGCGACCCGTCCATGCTCGCTTACCGTAAGCGTAAACTTGGAGCGGAGGCCTTGAATGGGCACGGTTCCTCCAAGCAGAGCCTGACTCAATCCGATTTCAACCTGAGAGATAATGTGCGGTCCTTGACGCTCCAAGGAAGGATGCGATCCCACCTGTTCAGTGAAGAGGAGCAATAAAAACAACAAAGTTAAACGAAAATTCGATTAAACCAGCTGAAAAACTGCAATTCCCTGCAAAGCAAAACGGTTGGCGTCGTAGTTACCTGAAGCACAACCCAGAGATCACCCGTTGCGCCGCCTTTCGTGCCAGCCTCGCCAGCTCCTGGGACACGAATAGACTGGTTGTGGTCAGAACCTGGTGGAATTTTGATATCGAGCTTCCGGTGCGACTCGACCGATCCTTGACCGTGGCAAGACTTGCAAGGATCCTGCACCACCTGGCCCGCGCCGCTGCATTTCCGGCACGTGGTTTGCATGGCAAACATGCCAGTTGAGACAGTTTCCTACAAGCATGTCGGGGGTTGGAATTAGGGGCGAGGAGAGAGAGAGAAAGAAAAAGAGAGTGAGCGCCCCACGAACTAACTCTCCAAGAATTGACGAGCAATGCAACTCACCATGCCGGTACCACGACAGCTCGGGCAGCGAGTTGTCTTGCCCGTGCTCGAGCCAGTACCATTGCAAGGAGTACAGGCAGTGACGGTCGGAAAGTCGATCGTCTTTGTCGTGCCATCAATCGCATCCATGAAGGACACTTCCAACCCAATCTGCAATCAAGTTCCATCAGCAGGTGCAGTGAGAATTTCGGCACATTGTCCCAAAATGCGAGAGAGAAGGAGGGGGGCGGGGAGAACCTCTTCGCTTCTTCGCAAACATCAGCCAATCAATTGCATCAAGACAGATACGTACGCGAACATCGCTGCCTCGGCGCTTTCCGCCGCGAGTGCCGGCACCGAACGCACCGCCGCCGCCACCTTGCTCAAATTGACGGAAAATATCTTGGAAGTGGTGGAAGATGTCGCTGTTCGGATCAAAGCCGCCGCTACCGCCTCCTCCAAACTGGTTATCACCGGTCGTGCCGTATGTGTCGTAGCGCTGGCGCTTGGTTTCATCCGAGAGGGTCTCGTACGCCTCGCTAATCTCGGAGAACTTTTTTGCTGCGTCCTTGTCCGTCTTATTGGTGTCGGGGTGGTACTTTTTGGCCAGCTGACAAACCAAGAACAAAAATGTGAGTTTTTTTTTTCCAGCTGAGCTTCATCGAAACGCCACCATAACAAATTGACGACATTGTTGAGGTACCTGATAATATGCCTTCTTGATTTCCGACACTGTAGCTGTCTTGGATACTCCGAGGGTGGCGTACAAGTCTTTGCTGGCAGCAAGCGGAGCTGGTAGAAGATTCGAGAATGGAACATGACCAAAAAAAAAAAAAAAAAAAAAAAAAGTGAACGCAAAATGTTTCCGTTGTTCATCCACAACCATCACGCTCTCCAAGCTCGCTTCGGTGTCAACGCGAAACGCAACACCCCAAAAGGCATGATGGCACACGGCTCAAAAATGCGCTCGATCGAAAAATGCGCTCACCTGCACTTGTGTGGAAGCCGCGGGAAGACGCGAACGGCGAGCAAGTCTTGGCAGTGGAGCCCGCGCGTTCAAGCACCGAGCCAAAGACTGCCGCCCGGCCGCTCGTCGTGTCTGCGCCTCGAGCAGCACGCGTGGAATGCATACGTGCCGCGCCTGCATGCGGAGGACTGGCAGAGGGCGACGATGGCTGCGCTGCGATCGCCATGTGCGGCACACGCGCAGCGCTGCTCGACGCGGCTCGTCGTGCTTGATGTTGATGAGCTGTCAGACTCGCCGTCGATGGGGATGGGTGCACTGCAGTCATAGCAGCAGTGGCAGTCGTGGTAGTGGTTGTAGTGGTGACGGTGGTTGAGCAGGCGGCCACGGCAGCTGAATGCGCTGCGACCACTGCTCCCGTCGCCGTTTCTGCCAGCGAACTGCTTGGCGCGCGAAGCATCATCCTCAAAGACAAGAAAAAAGAAAGAGTGCCAAATACTCTGATTTCCAATTCAGTTCATTTCTTGTTTTCAATCCATAATCCATGGTTGCAGCAACACGATCGGGAGACGCGGATCCAGCTGGCAAAGCGAAAGCGCTGGGCACACCACGCAGCGCGAGGTACCAACAATGAAACGGCTGTCCCACTCCACTCTAAGATCTGGGTTGTTGATGATGATTGTTATTGTTGTTGTTGTTATTGTTGATGCTGCGTTGGGGGATGCTGCGACGATGCTCTGTACAGCAGCTGCTCTTGCGCATGGGAGATGATGAAGCGATAGATTGTCCGACCTGTTGGTGCATCATTGAGACAGACGCACCTGTCGAACGAGAGTCACAAGCAAGAGAAGCAACCAACCGCACCAACAAACGCACTTTACTGATCGTGGTGATTGGGAGGAGGCGGGGTGGGCTGGGGGGAAGGGGAACGCAGCCGCTGAAGCCAAAAAAACTCATCTTTGTTGTACCGCAATCATCATCATCATGGCACAGTGCAATCAAGAACTGGACGACCTTCTTCAACGAGCGCGCGCCGCTGCCAGTCTACGTGCTCTTGGCGCTGGGGCCCTGCTTGTCGGGGTTTGCGCTGGCGGACAGCAGCCTCCCGCTGCCCGTCACGAGCGGCCAATTCTCGTACTGGCAAACCCTGGCGATCGTCGTTGCTGGACAGCTGCTCTACCTCATCACGCTGCGTTGCATGGACGACGTCAAGGATTACGACAAGGACGTCAAGGTGCACCCAGACCGACCCTTGCCGCGCGGGCTGATTCTCTACGACGAGCTCGTGAATGCCATCCGCCTCGAAATTGCCCTCTTGTGCGTCTACGCGGTCGTGCTTTGGTTTGTCTTCTCGCCACTGGCAGGGGCGACGTTCGGGCTGCAAATTGTCTACTTGGTCCTCATGTACATTGAGTTTGGCATCGGTCACTGGCTCGACCCCCGCGTCTTTTTGTACGCCTTGACCCACCAAGCGTCCATCTACGTCGGTGCGCTGCACATTTCGGCCATCACCAACCCGGATTTGATCTGGGATCCGCGCACCTACTGGCTGGGGACGGTGGCGCTTTCCGGCGCCTTCACGTATGAGGTCTGCCGCAAGCTCGACCCGACCCTGGATCCCCTCAAGGGCACTTACCGTGTCGTTCTGGGCAAGTGGCCGACCTACGCGATCGTTTTGTTCACCGTTTCCCTCGGAGTGGTGTCGTCGCATGTGATGGGACTTTCCTACATGCTCTGGCCGATTCAGGCGCTGCTGCTTGTCGCCCTGACCCTGCATTTCGTTCTTCCTCAGCGCAAGAGCAAGCACAAGCTCGTCGAGATTATCTCCATCTTCTACGTGCTCCTGCACATCTGGTCGCAGTACATTCACCGTAAATGGTATTAGATTCCAGCTCTTTAGGAGTGTTTTTTGCTGTCTGTCTGTCTGTCTGTCTGTCTGTTTTTTGTTTGTTTTTTTCTTCAAAAGAAAACGCTTGATATACGCAGTGGCAACAACAACAAAATATACGAGAAACGCATCTGGCAACGATAACATTCGAGACCCCGGCCAGGGGAACAGCGAAAGGCGAGAAAAGGAACCAATACAAAGAATCAAAAGAGAAAAAAGCAAAAACCCAAACTTAATGAGCGTCGGCAGCCGAAGCATTCGAGGCCGCATCGTCCATCTCGCTGATGCAGGCCCAGTTGCCATCCAAATCCTCCTTCCAGAGAGACGCCTTGCCATCGCCTCCGCTGACAGCAAGAATATCGCCAGTGACAGACCAGCTCACCCGCCAGACAACATCGGGAAAAACGGGCAGCTCCTTTGACTTCCATTCACCTTCGCGACTCTCCGTGCAGATGACCACGCGCTTGTCCTGTCCGCAGCTTGCAACCACGTTGACGGGCAGACCGATGTTGGGGGCCCAGCAGACATCGCGAACCCAGTCTGTGTGCGCTTGCGGCAGGTTGCCCTCCAGGATCCACTTGCCGTCGCGCAATTGCCAAATCTTCACGTTCGAGTCGCAGCCACCAGTCACCAGACGGCGCTTGGCAGGAGCAGCCGCAGCAGCAGCGCCGTTGCTATCGCTACCGGCAAACGCGTTGAAGGCGGGTGCCCAGCTGACGGCGTTGCAGCCAATGTCATGTGCATGGAACTTTTCCGGCTCCCATCCGCTCTCTGTCAGCCAGCAGATCAACGTCAAAACCGCGCAGCGAAGAGAATGAGAAAAGTGCACAGCAAAAGCACGCAAACACGAGTTTGGAGGCTCTTTTTTTTCTTTTTCTCGCGGACTGCAAAAAGCAAGCAAGCCTCACCGTTGTTGGTCAAAATTGAGACAAAGCCATCCGAAGAAGCACATGCAAGAACAAGACCGACATCGTCACCAAGCAGCGACGCGTATTCTGGTGGAGCCCAGCAAATCGAATTGACTGTGGAAGGAGACATTGAAATTGCAAAGCGAGAGAGCGAAAAAAAAAAAGTTGGTTGAGCGACCGGACGCGAAACTCGGCAACTCAAATGTCGAAGAGCGCGCATTCGTTTCGTGCTTACCGGATGATGTGTGTCCAGCGTATTCGTATGCCTTGACCCATTGGCCGGCAGACTCGCGCCAAATGATGACTTTGCGATCGTACGAGCACGACGCGAGAATGTTGCCGTACTTTGGGTGGGCCCACGCCACTTGCCAGACTGGCCCTTCGTGCCTACCCATGTCAGCGTCAGACCAAAACAGCCCAAGAAGAGCCACGAGTGCCACAACGTCAGCACACAGCCAGCGGTGAACATTGCCCACACACAAAAGGATGAATTGCGAACGTGGCGGCGAAACAAGCGACAATGACGACGCACCCTTTGAGCTCGGTCACGAATGTGTGCTTGTCTCCAACGACATCAAAGATGCGGATGGTGCGATCGGACGAGGCGGTGGCGAGTCGCTTGCCAAAGAAGTCGAGCTGCGCGTCGTGCTGTGATGAGAGGAGCGCGTTCCACTTTCAAATCAGTCCATCTGCCAAACGGTGACAACGCAGCAAACATCTATACGAGACACAACGCAACGTCTTCCACATGAAAGCAGCAGACGCGACAACGACGACGACGACGACGACGAGCTGCAAAGCGCCAAATGCTGAGATCTCAACGGCTGAACTTACAATCATGTCTTCATGCCGAGTGTCGACACTCGCGATCGTTTCCAGCTGTGGAGAAGCAACGATACAAAAAAGACCAAGAGAAAGCAAGGCGGGACAGGCCAGAGAAGGGAAGCGAGAGGAAGGGAGAGGAAAAAAGACGGCGTCAGATTGGAGTGCGCATTGTATGGCATTGCATTGCATTGCATTGCATCGGATCAGTAACGCTACCATGACTGTGTGACAAAATGGACTTGAGGGATGAGTAAAAAAGACTGAGATTTAAAGCAGGCACCACTGAAAAACACTTAATTTATTGATTATGAACTGGATTTTCTATCATGGAAGGCCAAGTCCGCGACGCTGGAGAAGCCACCGCCGGACCATCGGAACGACCAACCCGCCCAGGAGAATTTGGGTGGGGTGATAGACGAGGAGTGGAAAGGAGACCAAGTGGAACTGGGGATGCGCGCCAAACAACACCTTGAGCAGCGGAATGCCCAGCGTGAGCGACTTGTGCGTTGAACAGAAGAGCAAGCAGACAATGTCGCCGCGAGAGAAGACCTGGATGCTTTCGAGCCACTCGGAGGCAAAGCTGTCATTGGGGTTGTTCACGCCGTCCACTTGAGGAGTGAGGCGGCCGCGCAACGCAGGGCTGCTCGGACCAGCGGTGGGCCCGAAAGTGGAGCCGGGAGAAGCGCGTGAAATGCCGATTGCCACAAGCAGCGGGACAATGCGCGCATAGTACCAAGCGACGACCCGTGGAACCACCATGCGCGAGAGGACAAAGACGAGCCCCAGCAGGCCGAGTTGCCCGAGAACCACCATCACAATGACAGTGCCAATGTCCCCGTATGCGACAATGAACTGTCTTGAAAAGGTGTCGCAGAAGGTGGCGAAAATAATCAGCAGCAGCATTGCCGAGCTAATGTCACCGAACGGGATGCCGAGCGGTTCGATCGCCTTCCAAACAAAGCGCCGTGCGAACTGTCCGACAATGATTGGAACGATCACAGAGATGGACAGGCTGATGACCGCGGACATGAACGGGACGGCGGACGACACGTGTACCAGGGCGTACAGCAGCATTGGCGTGATAAAGATGCCCTAGGAGCGAGTGTTGTTAAAAAAAAAAAGGGAAACAAACAATCGAAAAAAAAAAACAAAACAAAAAAAAAAAAAAACACGACTTGAGCGTGGATTCACCTTACGCGCGCAACTGCGCGAACGAGAGTGACAACAAATCCTCCGTCCAATCGCTTACCATCAAACTGCCCAACGCACTGTTGAAGATGGAAGCAGCTTCGTTGCCGCCGATGGCTTTCACTAAAATGACGGCGGAAGAGACAGGCGGTGGCATGCAGCTCACGACGAGCAGGCCACGCAGTAGCCATGGGTCGATGCTCGTAAAGAGACTGCATGAATCAATCGCTCGCGAGTGAGCAACAAACGAGCCGTGGCTTGGAGGACGGACAAACATCGTTTGCAGGCTCGGCGACGCTTACAACAAAAAGTGCACAATCACCATCACAATCGACGGCACTAGGATGAACGTAAAGCCTTGAACAAACATGTGGATTCTAAACTGCATGATGGCCTGACTAAACTCCTGAGATTGGCAAACCAGACGACAAGCAAGAGAATGAGAACACACAAGGTTGGTTCAGCAACCTGAATTTTTTGTTTTTGCCCTTTTGGAGTGCCAAGCAGACCAGCCAACAACCCCCCCCCTCTGACCATCTTGCAAACAGTAACTCATACCTCACTGCGGAGTGACAGTCCGGAGATGAAAAAGATCACCATGACAGCGAGGTACTTGACCGTGTACTCGGGATGCAGCACACCTGTACAACCGCAACGTCAAGCCCACTCACGAGAATCAGTAATCTCCATCCTTGCACTGAAACGCGTAGTGATCAACAACCATCGTCAACAGCGAGGTCGATGTTGGAGGTGAACGACCCCGAACGATGTCCGATGTCCGATTTTCCGAAGCAGCAAGATCGCGTTTTCTGGGCGAGTTATCTGTCTGTGTGTCTGTGTGTCTGTGTGTCTGTGTTACCTCCGGTCTGACCCAGCCAGGGCACAACGCGCGCCAACGAAATGACAACAACCAGCCCGACCAGGAACCAGTTGCGTCGGAGGCCGTCCACCCAACTCGACATGCTTGAACGGCGGGAAGTGAGACAGTCAGGCTCGTTGGAGTTCAAGTCAACAAGGTGTTGATGAGTGTGTGTGTGTGTGTGGAAGGTGGGGAGTGGGGAGACTGCTGTGCTGGCACTCAAACCAAAAACAAGAAAAAACCCAAAAAAACCTGACTGAGTTTCGTCGTCTTGTCCCAATCAGGTTCAAGGTGGATGCGAGCGCGAAGGACGTGCGTCGTGCGACTCTCTGTCAGATCGAGCATTTGGATTCTTGCAATAAAAACGTTGAACAGTTGCATTTGGACAACTCAGTTTCACTTTTTATTTTTTCGTCCTTTTTCCATTGGATTTTTGCTGCGACTTTTTTTTTTTTTTTTTTTTTTTTTTTTTCCTTTCCACCAGAATGGAAGCGCTCGCTGGAGTGGCTGCTGCACTACTCCAGCGCTCGCCGCCGCCACCACCACCACCGCCGTCGCAGACAAACACACAACAACACCAGACAAACACACTGCCAAGTCCACACCCGCGGCGGACAGCCGGAAACGAGCAGCAAGAGGCACAAAGTAGCAGCGTCGATGCTGGTGCTCCTCACATCCAAACTCACCAGGCGTCGCACCCGAGCAGCACCCTCCTGCTGCCGCCGCCAACCGCTTGTGCCAACACTGGTGGCTCTGGCTCAGGAGTAGGAGGAGCAGCAGGCGCAACAACACCCCCGTCGGATGCTGTCCCGCCTGCATGCTCGACAAGTGATTCGTCGGAATGGGCACCAACCTCGAGCACTCCAGCGGCGACGACGCGGACCTGCTTTGCAAGTCCATTGCAGCCGGCTTGCTCTGCCGACACGAGTCCGAGTCTGCCCATTGGGAGCGAGGCGGCGGCGATGGCGCGTGTGCGCAGTCAGAGTGCGGCGAGCGCTGGCTCGTACAGCGACTCGCTCGATTCCTACAACGAAGACGACGACCAGTGCGACGACCAGTCCTTGAATCTGCAGTCGCTGGTCTTGGACGCCACGTTCAATGCAGCCTTGCTCGACCAGGACGAGGTCGACGAGGTGCGAAACAGCACCACCTTTGCCGTCGCGACGCGAAGAACTGGCAGCAACCTGACCACTCGCCAGCTGTCTGTGGTGCTGCTCCAGGTCCAACCAGACGGCACAACGGACCCATCAAGCATTCTTCACGACGACCGCAACGGCGATGCCACGTCCGCCATCACTCCCGCCGTCCCCGGATCTGCCGAAGTCGACGACGACGAGATTGCCGATCCGCGCATCAAAGGAGCGCTCGAAGCCTTGAACTTTGCGACCGAGGAAATCAACCGCCTTGAGCGAGAGTTGGAGGTAATGGTGGATGTGTGTGTGTGTGTGTGTGTGTGTGTGTGTGTGTGTGTGTGTGTGTGTGTGTGTGTGTGTGTGTGTGTGTGTGTGTGTGTGTGTGTGTGTGTGTGCGTGCGTTTGCGGAAACCGAGGCAATCGAGCACGTCAAATCTCTTACCTGGGCCATGTCGTTCTTCTAGGCATCCAAACGAACGCTGCGTGTCTTGGACCGTGATGGCGCCAAACAATTACTTGCTCTTGCTCAGAAACTGGGCAAAGCAGTCGACCGCAGCAGGGCGTACTACAATCTAAAGCACGAAGCGAGCGAGGTACAGTTTCAACACCAACAATTTCTGACAGGTTGCGTACCTTTTTGAGCACACACTGACGCTGACGCTGCTGTATTGTTTTTTTTTCGTTCCTCTTGTTTGCCAGGCTCATCGGCTTGCGATTGAAGCAGCAAAAACCTTTGAAAAGGCATGTAGTGCCCACGACGCTGCCAAGGAGCGGCTCGCCAAAGCAGAGCGCCATGTTCTAACTGGTGCGCGCGACTCTCCGGTGCTAGAGCTTTTGAATTTCTTGAGTTGTCTGACGGCTGGTTGCTGGTGTTGAATCCCCACTCGCAGACAACAAGAAAATCGATCCTGTCTGGCATGACATGATGGCAACTGCTGCCACACAAGTAATCGAGTCGGAGAACGCCAAGCGAGATGCTTCCACCACACACCAGGCCCTTCTCAGTGCAGCGGCCCATGTGAGCACCAAGCTCGAAGCTGCCGCCCGCGACATTAAGCCTCGGATAGCCAAGGCCAAACCGTACTACGATTTGCAGAATGAGGTACAGCACAGCCTGCCTGCTCGTTTGGCTCTTGTCTCACGCTTGCGCCAAGTTCGTTCGTGTGTGATCGTGTGTGCTGACTTTGATACTTTTGGTCTCTTTTGTGTGTGTGTGTGTGTGTGCTTGCGTATTTGTTCGCAGCTCCGAGAACAGCGCACAAAGCTGGTCGACAAGCAAACGTTTCTCGCGGAAGAGATTGCGCTCGCAAAGCGGCACGTCCAGTACTCGCTTTCAAACTTAAACGACATTAGTATGGAAATTCACGAGCAACGCCGCGCTCGAAAGGCAGAGGCGTCTGGCTCGGTCAACAGTCACCCCGGAGATGTGTCAACGGCTGAGCTCGAGTCCACGACTGTCGAGGAATTAACGGCCACTGCAGTTGTCACCACATCGGCTTCAGTCTTAAGCATGACCGTGGCCACTTGAAAACAACGCACCGTGTTATTCTTTCCCACCCCACCCCCCATCACTCATTTCAATCCATGCGTTTGAAGAGTTCGTTGGTTTCATGTTAACAACTATTCCATTAGGCAATACAAAAAAGTTATTCAGTGCCACTTCACAAATCCACAACGACATACACAAAAATGTACAACCTACAACGAGACGCCGGTCGTGCAGGTCAAACTAGTGCTGCAGATTGGAGCACAGAGCGCAACCCACCGCATACTCCTGGCCGTTTGGAATATGGTTTGGTCCGAGCAGGCAGTGCGGCGCGCCACGACACGGCTTGACTGGCGCACCAAACCCAGCACGGTGGCAGGGTTCGCAAAAGTGCGTCGTGCCCGCGCAAAAGAAGGTAGAGAGGCGCTCGCAGCAAAATTTGCACTTAAACCCAATGTACTCGGCGCCGTGAGTTGGGCAGTTGCTCAATCCTGCCGTGCTGCAGCCGGCGCAGACGAGCTCTTCGGGGTTGAAAGGAGCGTCTGCGTTCTCGCCGCACTCAACGCGACCGCCATAATACCAAGACGGACACTTGAAGCACTTGTAATACGAGTAGGACGCCAATGCTCTCTTCACCTTTTCTTCCTCGCTTAAGCCAGCCCGATCTGGAATGTCGTTGTCGTGGTCCATTCGAACCAGCGCCTTTTGTTTGATCAGCTCGTAGAGCTCCATGTGCGGCTTCAACTGAGCCTCCAGCGCCGGGTGAGAGATCAACTTGGGGCACTGAGGGCACTTCAAATACGTGAAAACAATGCTACGGAAAGAAAGAGGGGGGTCCAGCGCGCACAAACAGCAATCAAAAAGATGGCAAAAAGCTGGCAGTCAGTTCAACAGATGCAAGCCACCACAATCTGGGACTGTGCTCCCCGCCTCGCAATCAGACCCCCCCCCAAAAAAAAACCCACAAAAGACAAAAAAAAAGACACTCAGCACTCACCGTTTGCCAGAATGACCAGCGGAAATCTGTTGGACAAGACACGCGTGGTGGAAGACGTGGCCACATGCATTCCGGATGCATGGGGCCTGGGCGAGAGGCTCGGCATAGCAGAGTGAGCAGTCGTCTTGGCCGTTTTGGTTGACGCCGGAGGCGACGTGCGCGCCGCAGCCGGGCTCAAGGCAGGGCATGCACTGCGCCTCATTCAAAACGCCGTAACAAGCGTGACCACACGGGAGCGATTTGGTGCAGGCACGGGTCTTTTTCTCGGAACACTCGGGCGTGTCGCAACACGGAATGCCCGAGACGTACCCAGCAACAGCCCGGCCGCAGTAACGACACTTGACGGCAGCATCATGCTGTTTCAGACCTTCGCAGGTGAAACCGGTGTGGTAGGGAGACTGATGGCACGAGGAGCAAAACTCAGTGTTGCACGCAATGCACCGGAAGCGGTGTTGCCTCCAGTGGCCTGCCACCACTTCGGGCGACTCGGTCCACTTTGGCACGAACGCCGGATTCTGCTGGTCTGCCTCCCCTTCGTGCCTCGCTCCGGGGATGCATTCAAAAATTTGGCCACATGCGGCGTTTGGACACCTGGCATAGCCTTGCTGCACGCTTTCAAGGAACTTTTCATTCTGAGCCTTGTTGCGCATGTTGTCTGCAGCGCGGCGACGGTCCTCCTCGGCCACCCGCCGTGCAGCGTCGGCGCTGGCCTGTTCCTGTTGCTTCCGCCAGCAGGCCTCGGCTTCTTCTTGCTCCTGGAGTTGCCGCACAAATTCGAGCGACTTTGCCTCGGCCAGGCGATGCTCCCTTGCGGCGCGGGCTCGGTCTTCTTGCTCTTCTTGCTCTTGGAGTCGCTGCGCGAGGGCCCAAGAGTCTTCCTCTTCTCGCCGGTACTGCGCGTCGAGTTGTCGTGCAAGCGCGAGCGACTGCTCGTCGTCGTGCTGGCGCTGGACGTGATGGTTGCAACAACTCTGCAGAAAATCGCCATCGACGAGCTCGTACGACGAGTCGTCGTCGAGAGATGCATAGATTGGCGCGCTGGGAACAGCCTGAGCCTGAGCCTGAGCGGTGCCAAATGCCGCGCCACCCATGCGGCGATCAGTGAGACCCGGCCCGTCGTCGTCGTCGTCATCCATGTCATCGTTCTGGTAGAGCTTCATGGGGACGCAGGTCGTTGCGGCAGGGGCTGAGGCATGAGTGCGCAGCGGCGGCGGCGGCGGCATTGGCGCTGGCGCGCGGGGTGCTGCTGAGAGCAGGCTGTGTGGCGGCCACGGCGACACATTGTTCCGCCGCGCATGGCGGTCCACGTCCTGCAGCAGCTCTTGCAACACGCAGCGCAGGTCGGCCAGCTGGTTGGCAGGTGTGGTGGTGCGCAGCATGCTCGCGACCGCATCCCGAATGAAAGCCAGTTTGCTCGTTTGGCTGTGCGGCGCGGAGCCCGACGCCGACGCCGCTGAAGACGAGGAGACGCCCGGCGACGATTGCATTGCGAGAAGAGTGACACTGCCAGAGTCACACATGCACAACACAGATACACAGACCAGACAGACACACACACGCGCGCGCGAGATGAGATTGAAGAGAGAGCGAACAGCGAAGATGACGAAAGCGAAACAAAAAAAAAAAAAAAAAAAAGCTCAGGAATGAAACAAAAACAGCAAAAAGCAAGTGAAAAGCTTACAAAACAAAAATCAAGGACGAGAAAACAAAAGCAAAGACTGGACTGCAAAAACCGTACCAATTAAATCATGTTTGTTGGAGTACAGTCTGTTTGACTGTTTTCGCAAGGGAAAGAGAAATTAAAAAACAAAAAAATCCGCCAAAATTTGGCGCCAAAAAAATCAATGCAACAACGCGGCCGACGAAGACAAGAGGACCAAGCAGCGTCGACGCCACCGCTCGATGATGGCGATGGCAGTGACGACGCGAATGACTTTGTCAAGCCACCCCCGCGGCCAACCGTGAAACGGCGAGCAGGCAGTGCCGCCCCGCCGACATCGAAACGCGCCCGTCGCCACGAGGAGGACGAGCAGGAGGATGGGGGCTCGGCAGACCACACCGTGCTTGCATACCAGCCAGCAGCAGAACAAACCAGCTCCCAGCGGGGAGACGCGACTGGGACAGCGGAAGCCTCAGCAGCGCAGCCAGCGCAAGTCGTCATTGGATTGTTCAGAGTCAAGTCCGAGCCGGTGGCTGAGCGCGAGGACGAGCTGCCGGCGTCGCCCAGAGCTCATGTAGGCACTGCCGAGACATCTGTCCCTTCTCCAGCGCAGGCGCAGGACGACGGCGAAATGCAGGCGCGGGCGGTGGAAAGCGCTACCGTCGACCAAGCAACGAGCTCGTGGATGCAACTCTGCGCTCAAGACGCCAGCGCCCAAGGCCTTGGTCTCGCTGGGGATGAGCTCGATGCTACTCGAAGCCAAATCAAGCCCATGCCGAGCTCCAGTGCCACAGCCGGCGGCAACGGTGATGCACAACCGGAGCAGGAATCTGCCACCACAATTGCGACCACGACCACCGATGCAAGCACTCATCTCGAGATTGCCGAGGCCATTCGTGCAGAACAGGCCGGACAGCCTCCTGCCAGCGAGGCCGAGTCGTACTCGTTCGCGACCGACCACCTCCTGCTGCGAAACAATCAAGATTACTTGCTGCTCATCCGCACAATGGTGGCGCTCGAGGCCCAGCGCATTCGCGTGCTCCAAGACATTGATCATTTGAATGAGTTGCGTCAAAAAGCGGCCGTCGAGCCTCTTGGTTTGCTTCGTGCCCTGAAGCTCCGTTCCGATTCGTTCGAGCGCGTCGATTCACCTTTAGCCGGGCCAGTGACAGCCGAACAGCTGGCTTCAGACGCGTGAGTATCTATCTACATCTGGATGAATGTTGTTGGATGTGAGGCGCTGGCTTTCGAGAGAGGACATGTGCGTGCATGGGAGCGAGAAGAAACATTGCAGAAATCTGCCATTCATTGTTGTCATACCTCTTTTCTCCTCCTTCGCCTTCCCCCCCCCGCTGTGTCAAAACGCACTGCTCATACGCCTGCCTTTCTTTTCTATTGCTCTTCAGAGCCATCAATGCGGAGGCTCAAGACGGATGGCACTTTCCTGATCGCCAACAGGTGGTCGCGCTGCCCGACATCGACTGGTTGCGCTACGGGTTGCACGACGCTCCATATCAGACATCAAAGGGCCTGCTCACGAGCAAGCAGAGCTCAACGGCGCGCGGTAATGCTATGCAAAAGGCAAAAGCGCCCACCCTTGCAAAAGCGGCCGTCATGGCGCAGGTGGCTTCGAACAGACGCGAGCCCAAGTCGCAGGCATCCACGCCGCAGGCGGACGCTGACCTCCAGCGAGATGCTGACACTACACCGGCGCTGACGCCCGAGTCGTCGATTCATCAGACAGAGTCCGACCGCGACGGCGCACAAAGAAGTGAATTGGACGGAGCTGCGGCTCCAGTTACTACCACGTTATCAACTGCGGCTGACATCCCTCCCATCGCTCCTTCTCCTGCAGCAGCGAGTGCTGCCGTCATCACAGCGCCAGTCATTGCGGCGTCAAAGCTCATCTTTGACCCGCCGCCTGCTGTGACAAACGCAATCCTGGAGGCTGCAGCAGCTGCTGCTCGAGCTGCTGCAAAGCGCGGACTTGAGGAGACGGCCGAGATTGCTCGCAGGATGGCCGAGCAACGGGACGAGCAGTCTACGACCGACGCCGCCGAGCCGGATGGCGGCCAGATTTCAGAGGGCGACTGGGAGGACGATGGCGTGCTGGTGATGACCCGTTCGCGCAAGAGCCGGGATCCGCAGGAACGGGCTCGCATGCTCGCGGAGCAAGAGGCCGAAGCTGCTGCTGAAGCAGAGCGCCGACGTCAAGACGAACTGGCACGGGAGCGCGCTGCCGAAGAGGAAGCGAACAACGCCGCGCTCAATCCGACATTCAATCTGCCCTGGTCGATGGAGGAGCAGGCGCTCTTGGATAGCTTGCTCGTTCAGTATCCGCTGCGACCAGACGCGAGCTCGGGCGAACGCTATTCCGTGATCGAGTCCATCATGCAGACTCGAAGCCGGCAGCAGATTGCTTCGCGCTGCCAAAAGTACACGCTCAAGCTGGCTAGGCTCGGGCGAAAACTCCCCGGCACGGTGCCCCTGCCTTCGCCCGTCGCCGAAGGTCTGAGCGAGCGGGAAATCCTCGAGCGCGCCATTCAAGACGCCATCGAAGGCGGGCGGATTGTGTATGGTCAAGTTCCTGTGCCCTCTCGCCCGCGATCCAAAGAATCAAAGCGCGCGGCGTCGACCAAGTCCAGCGTGGCTGCAGCTGCATCGCTTCCTGCTGCCCAAGAGGAAGCACCAGAGCCTGTTCGTCCTCCGACCAAGGTGCGCAAATCGCGCAAGCAGACAACCATGTTTGCCGCGCCGCGAGTCATGATGAATGAGCAAGAGGATGCCCCTGGTCCCAACACTGCCCCTCCGGGCTCTGATGACGAAGACGGCTTGGATGAGGACGTCAAGAAGTCTGCCGAGTATCAGGTACGCGCGGCACTTGAGCAAAGCAGGAACGGTTTTGTTGGCTCGATTCGCCCGCGGGAAGTATGGATGCTCATTCGTGTTACATCATCATGTGGATTGCAGGAACTGCTTCGACTCAAACGCCTCAAGAAGGAGATTGCAGCACGCAAGACGGCAGCTGTTGTACACACTGGATTTGTGGTGAGAAACACAAACGTTCATCGTCCTCTCGCGGTTGTTCTGCTCTTTCCTGCGGGACTCACTTTTGCAAACCTCATATTTTGTCGCCCCCCCCTTGCCCCTTGTTTGTGTAGTGTGATGGCTGCGAGATGTCACCAATCCTTGGGACGCGTTGGAACTGTGCGGATTGCTCGACCGAAGAGAATCAAGTGGATTTGTGCGACGCGTGTCACAACGCCGGCTGGAGTAATGGTGCGTCGTCTTTGTGTGGTGTGTTTTCTCGCAGGTGGCTGTGGCCCTCACTCCCCTCCTCCGCGCTGGATTGTTCGAGCAGCCGTGCACGATGCAACCCACGTCCTGTTGCGCGTTGCAGTTCCCGAAACAGACTTTGTCAAGGATGCCGATTATGCACAGCTCATGGCCCACGGTTATAGCTATCTCGATGCTGTAAGCACTTGGGGGGGGGTGTCGACTGGCATGATGTGCTTGTATTTGCTGATCAAAGTGGGCTGCTCAAAGCGGTTGGTTGGTTGTGGCGCTCATTTGATGGTTTGCTCTGCTTTCTTCGATCCCCTCTCCCCGCCGCCGCCGCCGCCGCCGCCGCCGCCGCCTCCTTCAACGAAAGGCCCATGATGCCAACTACGACAATTAAATTATTGGATCAGACAATGTTTGAAACACGGCTGAGATGGTCCTGGCTTTGCTTCATCGTTTCTGATTCATGTTTATTTTTAACAACCTTAATGAGTAAATTATTACCCCCCCCCCAACAACCCCATGACAACAACCCCATTACAACAATCGTGCGTTCTCAGTTGCAAGTCGCATAAACAGGCCAGCAGCGGCCAAAGTCATGCGTGTATCGGCGTGGCGCATGCCGTGGCCCCATTCCACCTTGCCCCAGCGTTCAGTCTGGAACTCTTCCTCGAGATGGGCGCAAATGGTCGCCTGGTTTGCGTCAATGTAACCTCCGCCAAGCGCCGCGGCAATGACCATGGACTTTGCGGTTAGCGTTGCCGTCTCCAGACCTGAGTTTGGCGCAAAACAGGGTAGGGTGGTGGGCTGTTAGGCTTGCGCTCGAAAAAAAGCAAGCATGTACAAGGAGCAAATGGTGACGACACACTTACCTGTAAACGTCCATTCGTTCATGTTCTTGAGCACGTCGCGCATGCGATCCGTGGTAGCCTCGGGATGGACACCGCCAAACAAATCCTCGCTGACATTCAACTCAACACCAAAGCGCTTGGTAAACCAGTGCACCAGCGGATCCCAATGCGTCGACTGCATTTCCTGGAATGCAGCTGGGTCGGGCGTACGGCAGCTATGTTTGCGTGGAAAGCACCCAAAACCCAAAGCACTCAATTGGTCAGCGCCTCGAACGAATGAAACAAACTGACAGAGAAAAAGATGCAGGGGTCAAAAAAACAATCGCCAACATACCACACAGTGTCTGTCGCCAAAAAGCGTAGCAAGTCTTCCACGCGTTGATTGCGATCACGCTGACGGTGCGGATCGGTTGCAGTGTTCGACAGCGCCGTCTGGGTGTGTGCGCGATAGATTGATTGGCAAAGTCGTAGTGAGTTTTTTTGGGAAAAGCACAAGGTTGGGTCTTTTCTTTTCCCCCTTCCGGCGTCTTGCTGCTGGGCTGCTGAACGGGGTTTTGCTGTTCCAATAGAACAAACTACACCACGATGCGCATGTATCACACAACCAGCAAACATCCTTTTGAACGCGACCAGCTTCATGGACTTTGTGGTTTGGGGTTTGCTTACCAACGGCATCAGGTGAGGCTTGATGGTCGGGCGCTGCGAGTCCCACTCGCCTGCCACGCCGACCGCAAGGGCCTTGGTTGGCAAAACGAGCAGCGATCGAGCCGGAGTCCGCAGCTGCCGGTCATCGAGCTTGATGACAAATCCAGGCGCAGGAGCGGTTGCGGGAGCTGCGCTGACTGTGACACTGCGGTAGAAGCGCTTTCGCTCTGTCCTCGCGCGAACCCCGTCAAAGACAAGGAATAATGAGCAGAATGACAAAGGGGGAGGGGATTGTGTTGTTCATGGTTTGATGTGATTGTTGATGTGATTGCTGCTGCGAGTGGGGGAAAACGAGCCGCAAAGCACTCACCTGGAACAGCCCCGCCAGGCGAGGCACCGCCGCCTGCAGACACCGGATCGCGACTGGCATCCCCTGCTGCTGTTTGCGGAATGCTGTCGATGCTGGTGGTCGGCGTTGGTGGAGATGTGGGCGGCGGTGGCGGCGGCGCACTCGAGCTGCTCCACCGCATGGCCGTCCTCACCATTGTCTGGGTCCAAACACTGCCGCGAGCCCAAACCGAGAACATGATGGACAAGTGGGAATTTTAGGAGTGAAGAAGGCTGCGAATGACCAGATGGAAAAAAAAAAGTATTGTCGGGCAACAACAAGGGGTGTCGTGCTCGGAGCCGAATCGCTGAGAGTCGTTCTATTGTGTGTGTCTCTATCGATTGCGTCTCTGCGTTCCGCGCTTCGCGATTCCGCCTCCGGCGGTTTTTTCTACTACCTTTTTTGACTAGATATTTTAAAAAGGTAGAAAGTGTTATGGATTGATGTGTATCTGTATTTGGAGTGTGTTCACTCACGCACAATTGCCTTGCCTCAACCTACCTCTCTTCCGACCACCTCGCTTCCCACCTCCTCCGCTGTCAGCACTTGTTGCCGCGACTTCTGCTGCACAGCGCCACATTCGTTGCTTGGCTAGCTGTAACCACTCTTGGCGGGCTATTTCAACGACGCCTGCTTCAGCCGAAACGCATTTGGTTGTTGTGATTCTCGGCACCGACCCGCGCAACCAACCCGTTCTCTCAGACACGTCCTATCGTATCATCACTAGTCGGCTCCAGAAGCTCCCATGGCGTCATCTGTTTCCCCGTTTAGCTGCCCGCACCTGCACCGCACCGCATCGCCGCCGCCGGCCAGTTGCAAGCTTGGCGAGGCACAAACGACGTATTCCTTCACACCTTCCCTGAGCTCTGAAGGCGCCTTGTTGCCGTCCTCCCTGGAGACTGGACGCTGGCTGAATGTCCATTGGAGGTACTGCGACAAGTACGATTTTTTCTACATTTATTTTCAACGAGTATCCGCCACTGAGCTAGCTTCTGCGACGCATACTGTGAGTGAAGATGATGAGGACTTCCACTTTTTCCGCTTGAGCGGTTCAACGAATTTGAGTGTGCTTGGCATCGCGCATTGTTCGACCCGCCTGCCATTCCACACGAAATGGACGACTCGTGAGAGGATCAATGGCAAACCGCCGTTGGAACTGAAGCCCGTCTACGACCAAGAGGCTGATTGTGTTCGGCTCTGCTTCACGACCGACCGAATCCGCTCGTGCGTTCAAGAGGAGGTCGCTCCAAACCTTGTGGCCGACTACGATCAAAACAGAATCGTTCTTGCCGTGGAGGTGATTGGTGCGTGTGACAAGCTGCCCAAGCTGTAGCGCCTTTCATTTGGGGGGCTAACTCCAATCATTGCTTGGTCTAGCAAATGTTGGAGCAGATTGAAGGCGACGAGCCTCTTTGTGGCCGCCTTGGGGTCGGCTGGCAGTTCCTCATTCAAAAGCTGCTGTAGAGAGGGCCTCGACGAGAGCGACGTCCGCAACCGGCCACTTGCGTATCTCGTGGTCAGCCGGAAGGTTCAAAATGGAACTGAGGATGAGGTGTTGGTCGATGACGTCTCCAAGAGTACGGTCCATTATGTCAATGTGAAAGAAACGTGCGTTGAAGATCAGTCGAAAGCGGGCGAAAGCAAAAAGTTCATTGACAGACTGGATGCATCGGACCAGACTTGACGCTTCGGAACTTCACATACTGCCGCACCGTCCTCATATCTTAGAAATTATTGAGTCCTCGCACAAGAGTCTCAACTCCTGAAAAAAATTGGAAACTGCACTTCCCACCCTCTCATCTCTCGTCTTTTCTCTGCAACCCTCTCCTTGTCCTTGTCGCGTTCCAACTCCCCTTATTTCAAAAAGTGTTGTTTGTCGGAAAACCGCTGTTGCTCGTCGGAAACCAAACGTTGCCCGTCGGAGATCAAAATGTTGGCGCGGGAACAACAAGTGGAAAGCAACCCAGCAGAACCCTTGTCCAGCAAAATGCCTGGTGTGCGCGCTTGTGCCTCCTCATGCCGCCACAGAGCATCTGCGTACATTGCCCAAAGGGAGGGTCATCGTGGGAGGGCGCGATTTCATGACGTCCACAACAAAAAGCAAGGGAAAAAACAAAAAAATCACTAAAAATAATTTCAGGAACGTGGAAGCGTTTCTCCCCAGTTGCCGCGCCTCGCATTGGCTCCGTTTTGAATTCTCAGTCATCACCACAGCTCTTTGAACAACAAGCACCTCCTGGTCTTCCTGATCGACCGTATCCGTCGCTCTCAACCGCTGTGCCCCACACCTCACACGCTATCAGCCAAACCCGGTTTAGGACTCAGTCTCATTTTCTGAAGAAAAAAAAAAACACACGCGCACCCACCACCATCACCATGGATCCGATCTTCCAGGCTACCCGCACCCCCAACCTCAACGCGCTCATGTACATGGCGCCCGCATCGCAGCGCTACAAGACCCAGCTGTACCTGCAGGCCTGCTGCACCCTCAACCTGTGCATGTGCGCCGCCGTCGACGATCTCCTTCGCCGCACCTACGTTGCCGTCTACGAGAACAAGATTGAGTACAACTACCCCTGGTGCAACTGCTGGTGCTTGGTAAGCGGAAACCTGCGTCTCCGCACTGCCTCACAGCGCCCTTTCTCACACGAGGGGGAGAAACGAGCGCGGGATTCTGACTCCCAAGAAAGCAAAAAAGAAAAAAAAAGAAAAAAAAAGAAACGGCTCATTGCTGTTCTCTCTGCCGAACTCTCCTCTTCTGTTCACTTCTCGCGTTGCAATGCGCGTGTGCGTGTGCGTGTGAGCGTGGTGTGCTAGTTCCAGGCACTGCGCACTCGCCCACGCAAGAGCAGGACAGAGCAGAACGGAATCTCAAAACAGCAACAAAAAGAAACAAATGAAAAAAAAAAGGGAAAAAACCGCGCTTTTTTTTTTTTCAAATCTAATCTAAACAACAAAGGACACCCTGCTGTCACAGGCGGTGGATGGGTTTTGTTTTTGTGTGTTGCGTAGCTGATGCGTAATGCTCAAAGTACACCAACAGTGCTTCTTTTTGCTCTTTTCTTTGTTTTCTGCTTTCCTGTGAAAACTCCTTCTTTGAAAAAAAAAAAAAAAAAAAAAGCCAACACAATTATCAAAAAAAAAAAAAAATCAAAAAAATCAAAAAAATCCAACACAAACCCTTTTTAAGGCTTTTTATTCATTGAGTGCGAAAAAATGCAGCGTGACGAAAGCAAAACCACGAACTGAAATGAGATGAGATGAGAATGGCTGAAAAATCAGAGGAACAGCCAAGCAACGAAGCAAGAGAGGGGGAGGAGAAAGGGGGGGGGGGAAAGGCAAAGAACCAGAAGAAGAGGTAGAAGAAGAGGAAGAAAAAAGAGCACATTAGCATTGCCAGCTGCGCCTTTTTTTGCTTTTTTTTTTTTTTTCTCAACCCAGCATTTTGCAACATTCACAGTTGCATGCATTTTGTGTGCATTTTTTTTGTCGCTCACCACTTTTGTTCCTTTTGATGTGATCAAATCAGTGCGACCAAGTCGGCGTCGTCTACTTTGACCGCACCCTGACCGCCGCCGTCACCCCCGCCGGATGCTGCACCCCCGCGTTCACTCACTGCAGCTGCTGCCCGACCTGCTTTGACATTTGCGGCGAGGCCATCGTCCTCCACGGCGCCACTTGCTGCGACAAGAACCAGACCATCATTGGCGGCATTTGCTGCTGCCGCGCCTGGACCCTGCTCCCTGGTCTCGACAACGCCGGCAACCTTGCCGCCGCCATCCTCTCCAACCGCGCCATTGCTCTGGCCAAGCTCCAGGCTGGCGGCCAGGTTGTGATGGCTTAAACAGCAATCAGATCAGAACTTGAGACGACGACGCGCTTTTTTTTTTAATTTGTTGTTGTTCTTGTTGGTGTTTTGCTTGTTGAGTGCTGGTGCGCGCGCGCTGAGTGTTTCAGAATGATGCTGAGGTATACTTGTTACAAGCCAAGAACAAGGTGTTTTGTTTCTGTTTTTGTTTCGATTGTTGGCCTGAACATGACGAAAGGAAAGGACGGAAAGGAAGGAAGTGGATTTCGCTCCACTGTCGCACACAGCACGACCCTTTGCTTCGATGGTTGACATCCGACATTACACGAGTAGATCCTATGCTCTTTGACTCTCACACGAGTACAGCCTGAGCACGAGCGCGCGTGGTCAGTCATCAATTTTTCCCATTCTGCTTTGGCTCCCAGATTCATTTTGATGCTACCAACGCCACACCAGCAGTCTGCAAAGTACATTCCAACTCCAATGGAGTTGCTTCTTGGCGGCAACGCCAAATCGAGCCCTGCTACTGCTGCAACTGCTGCAACTGCTGCGATGGTCCCGCTGCCCCGACTCCACGCGGCGGCAACAACCGCGGGCACGACGTCGCTCGCCTCGCTGCTGAATCTCCCGCCACCAATACCGCTGCAGTCCTTCCAGACAGGATTGCTACAGCAGCCCATGCAGCCGGTCGGACCGCCGTCGATTCTGCTGCAAATGCTCGAGAAAGGGACGCCGACGGCTGGTGACCACTCTCCAAGCCCACGAGTAGCGCCGCTGTCGTCGTCTGGTCTCGCCACGCCGCCACTCTTGATAGCCACTTCTGTTAGTTCCACCGAAACAGTGCCATCAGATACCGGGTCGCACGAGTCGACAGGCACGCTCGTGCGATGTGCACCATGCAGCATGCAGTTTGCCTCTCAAGCCAAACTCGACATGCACACCCGGATTGATCACATTTTGTGCGACCTCAACGGTTGTGCGTTTACTGCGTGCAAGCGTGTTGTGATACGCCATCGCCAAGACTGCCACCCGCCTGTTGGCAAGGTAGTTGCAGACAGATTGTGTTTTGGGTGGTGTTTGATTCGTGCACTGTCAAAGCGCTCTGACTTTTTTTTGGTTGTTGTTGTTGCTTGTTGGTTTGTCCTCAGACATTTGTGTGCTTGGACACCCCCGAAGAGATTGAAAAGTGGCGCGCAGAGCGACGAAAACGCTACCCCACCAACGCTAATATGGAAGCAAAAGCTGAGCTGCCGCCAAAGTCCAAAGCAACAAAGCGAGCCAGCGAGAAACGCGTTTCATCATCAGCAGTAGCAGCAGCAGAAGAAGAGGGGAATCCACGCAAAGCGAGTGCGACTAGACAATCAAACCGACGACGGCATACATGCGACAGAAAGCTCCGACGACGACGATGATGAGGATGACGACGACGAAGACGACGACGACAGTGAACCCTCGGAGGAGCCAATGGGAGCCTCTCCAGTGCTGCCAGAAGCAGACTCTGCAAATGGGCCAAGCAACAAGCGACCATGCAAGTATTTTGCGCGAGGGACGTGCCGCAAGGGCACAAAGTGTCCATTTGCCCACGTCAAGCGTCAGCCTGGGACCAAGTCCGATTCCAAGTCCACGACCTCCTCTTCCTCCTCCACCACCAGCACCACTTCCAGTAACCACGCTCTGCCGAATTCAGCCACCAGCCGCCGCCTGACGCTTGTTGAAAAGCTGGTGCGCACCGATCTCGCTCGAAATGCACAACTCTTGCTCGCGTGCTTTCAGCACCTGCTCGAATCAAAGACCTTTGAACAACCGCATGATGGCACAGGCTTGCTTCATGCCGTACTTCAAGAGGCTATTCACCAGCAGCGCGGCTAGAACTGTGCAGCGGCGACAAGGGTGCTTTTTTCATGAAAAAATAATAATAATATACAAATGACGACAACACCAAACGCAATCACAGCCAAAACTACCCAGACACTGGCTTTTGCTTCCAAAACTCAACAATCGGGTCGCTGTGCGGATGCACTGCTTCTACAATATGGTTGGCGGTCGGATAGTGGATGGACGGCGGCACAATGTACTCTCGACCGGCGTCACGATAGGCAGCACGAATGCGGTCGCGAGGGGTGACTGGCACAGCCCAGTTGGTGTGTGGAGTGTCGTCTCCAATCTTGCGTCGAACAAACGACCGTTCCGGCTGCAACAGAACAAAGCAAAACCGGTCGCTGAGCTGCGCGGGTGAAAGATCGTTGGTAGCGGTGCTGGTGGACGGGCTGACCGATGGTTGTGGTTGCTCGGCCCCCTCGTTCGTGGCAGAGTCGTCCCAGCGAGCGCCGAACGCGTGTCGGCTGTGATTTGGAGGGTAGAACGGCGCAAACGTGGTCACAAAGAAGGGTTCGCCAGCCAGCTCGAACGCCCAGCCGCGCTGACCCACATACGATTTCTCCATGATGCGAACACCTGCAGGATCGTAGTGCGAAAGCATGCGAAGCACGCGGTTGACTGTGCCGGCAAAGGCGTCCACGGTGGCGCCATACGGAGTGGACGGAATGGCAAACACAAATCCGTCGAGCAACTCGTCCATGTCCAACGCTTGACAGAATCGGAGGACCATCGGGATGGAGCGATAAATGTTTGCATCGAGGGAAATGTAGTCATCCCAGTTCCGTGAACCCCACAGCTTGGCGCGTGGAGCAAAGATGCACTGCGTGTTCGTCTGGACGTGCTTGAACGCTCGCAGCGCATCGCACTCGTCAGCGGAGGCCGGATTGTAATGCTGCTCGATTCCCGCCAACCGCTGCGTGTGAGTGCTCGGCGGGCCAGACGCGAGATCGTCGGATGCAGCGTCGTCATCATTGGCATCATCGTCGCCGTCGTCCGAGTCTGGCGAAGGGCCCTTGCGATTGAGCAACGATCGAGATGACGCGACAGAGAGCGCTGACGACACGAACCAGTCGGCGATCGCTCCCATCATGCTACGACTGCTGCTGCTGCTGGTTGCGCCACTGGATGTCGTCGATGCGTCGTACAGCTTCATTGAGGTGAGTGCAGCGACAGTGCCACCCGACACGCCGCCGCGTTGACTGGGCGCTGTGGCGTTCTTTGATGAGTGCTCCTTGTAGTTGTCGGTCATCATCATGACCTGCGCACTGCCAACCAAGGCCGCGAGAATTGCAGCCAGCACGCCAAGCACCGAGCCAACACTCAGAGCAACGTTGAACAGGAGAAACGGCGCGGCACCCAGCGCCACAATGAAAGCTGCCAATGCGAGCATCTCCGAAAACAACAACAATAACAACAACAAAAAAACTGAGAACTGAGAACTGAACGCATCTTTTTTATTATTATTATTATTTCTACGAAATTATTGTATGAAATAATTACTTTCAACGGTGGTGTTCATACGAGATCATTCATTTTCACCTTCACATCGAGCGAGAGCGCATCATCTCCAACAACATGGAGATGCACGACGAGCTTCTCGACAATGATTCGAATGCGGACGACAAGCTCGCCGACGGCCGCTCGCTGATCAATGGCGTCGCCGTCGATTTGCGTGAGTCGGAAGGAGCAGAGCAATTGAGTGGTGTTGGTGTTCATGTTGGTGGTGGTGGTGGTGTTGGTGGTGGAGGAGGCAGATTGACCGCTTGGGTGCAAGTGAGAAGCGACAAATGAAGCACGAGTTTGAGTTTTGGCGTCACCATCGCTTGACAATGGGAAGCTGTGCTCACCGTGGTCACCTTTTGGCAACTTGTTGGCATAGCTGGCACGCCTAGACGACGCCCGTACGTCGCGTTTCTCATGTGGCTGGGCTGCATTGGCTACGTCGCCTTCCTCTGGGGCATGGTCGCCATCTCCGAGCATGCCCTGCCCGACCCGTTGCCCGCTTCCGCCAGCAACCGCTTGTTCTCCGAAGGTAACAACCAGAGTCTGGTTGGTGTGGTCGGTACTTGCTTGTGGTCGGCAGTTTCTTGGCCCCCCCCCCCAACCTGCCAATGCACAAGGTCCACTTTGGAGCGCGCTCCCAATTGAACATGTCTTCACATGTCGGTCTCTCGTGCTCGATCTCGGAGCCAAAAGAAGCTTTTCGTGCTTGTTTGCAGCCTTGCCTGTCGGCTGTTTGTGTGCATTCAAGCACCCTCGGTCGCGTTCAAGCACAAACTAACCCTTTTCCGACCACAATCTTGTCTTCTTCATCTTGCTGTTGTTAGGTCGGTCATTCCCATACCTCCAAGACTTGGTCAACATCTCCTACAGCTCTGTGGATGCAGGCGTGCGCCAGGATGGCAACTACCCGATTGTGGGTCGGCTGGCGTTCGACGACACGGCGCTCAGCACGGTCGACTACATTGTCGCCAAGGTGTGTCGCGAGCTCACTGCAGCGTATCCAACCTTGACGAGCTCGTGCAACACACTGCCTGGCTTCAATCCACGACTCTGGCCAACTCACCTGCCCGTGCCGTGGAATGCTTCTGTCATGTTGCCGGACGGCCTCACGCACGTTGCCATCAGCGTGACGGCCACAGCTCGCGCCTTCCAACAGCAGAGCGGCTCGCCCGTTTATATGAGCTACGCAGAGCTCGTGAATGTGGTGGTCGGGGTTTCCTCGGGCGCCCATCCCTCGTTGGTCTCGTCGCTTGTGGTCAGCGCGCACTTTGACTCTGTTCCGTACTCGCCCGGTGCAAGCGACAATGGCGCCAACGTGGCCGTGCTGCTCGAGCTCTTCCATAGCTTGCTGTACAAGCCCCCGACTCAGCACGCCGTCATTCTCTTGTTCAACGAGGCGGAGGAGTGCGGTCTGTTTGGCGCGGATGCGTTTGTGAATGCGCATCGCTGGGCACAAAACAGCAAGACAGTCATCAACTTGGACTCTGCCGGCGGCTGGGGCCCTCTGGGCATGATTCAGCTCGGTCCGCGTCAATCGTGGCTGGCAGATGTGTACCGTGACAACGTGCCTCACCCGTACGGCAACTCGCTTTCTGCTGATGTGTTTGGAACGAGCGTCGTGCCTTCTGGCACCGACTTTGAGGTGTTTGTGCGCGGCAACATTGTCGGCGTGGATTGCGTCTTTCTTCGCGACGGCTACCAGTACCACACTGGCCTCGATGGACTCGCCGACTATGCCGCGGGTACGCTGCAGCACGCTGGCGACAATGTCCGTGGCATGATGGACGGCATCCTCGCGTCGGACTACATGGCCGGCTACACTGCCTCCAACACCAAGGCCGTCTGGATGGACATTGTGGGAACGGCTTTTGTCGCTTTCGACGCGCCCATGTCGATTGGTATGCTCTTCCTGTCCATGTCGACCTCCGTTGCGTGTGGCATTGTCTTGCTCTTCATCTTCCGAGACCGGTATCCATCCCGCCGCAGCCTTGGGCACCACCTCATTGTCCCTTTCTTGCTGGGCTTTTCGTTCGTGTTGCTCTCGCTTGTGGCTGCGGTGGTCTTGCCGCTGGTGGCCGGCGCTGTTGTTGGCAAGCTCAACACGTTTGCGTGGTACTCGAACATTCCGTTCGCCGTCTTCTTGTTTGGCTCGTGGTCCATCCTGGGCATCATTCTCGTTCAGATTGGCTACCGCTCGGTCCTTTTGCGCTTTGAGTCGAGCGTGGGCCCCTTTGTCATTGAGGCCACTTGCTGTTTGGGAGTTGCCACCTTCTTTCTGCTCTTGCATGGCGGGCTCGTGACGGCCAACGTGGGTTCGTCCTTGCTCTTCTTCTGGTGGAGCATCTTTTTCGTGATGGCACTTGTTCCGTACCTCGTGCTGGCTGGATGGACGTACGATCCCATCCGGGTGCGCTTCTTCCACTTCCGCATTGATCCCCGCGACATTCGCGTGTGGCTGCCATTCTACCTGATCTGGACGCTGCTCCCGCTTCTTGTCACGATGAGCACGGCGTGGCGAGTGGCGGTGGCCTTCACGCCCTTTATGAATCGCTTTGGCGTCACGGGCGACACGGTCATTCTGGACGTCTTGTATGCTGGGTTGATTGGTGTTTTGGTGGCCTTCTTGCTCTTGCCAGTCACCCTGGCCTTCTCGCATCGCGCGCAGTATCGTTGGAAGTCGGCCATCGGCGTCGGCGCCATCGCAGTCATCATGGTGGTGGTCGCTTGTGCGGGCGTCTCGCCATACACGAGCGATCGCCCTCGGCGGGTCGACGTGACGCATTTCTGCGACCTGGGTGATGGCAGCACCACGCCGGCGTGCACGCTGTCGCTCGGCGCACCCAATCCCGGCTCGCTGTCCACCGTTGTCCACGCCATGACCACATCCATGCCGTTCACGAAGGGCTGCCAAGCGCTCGCATACAAGTACACAACGCAACCTGCCTTGTGCTACGATGGCCACGTCCCGGTCTTCAATGTGACCCAACCGACCGTCACTGTCGAATCGCTGCTCGGCGACTCTCCAAGCGCGGGATCTGTCAATGTGTCGTTGTCCATTACTGCACCTGCAGCTGCCGTGCTTTTGCTGCGTTTCTCGGCTTGGTCTGCCGCGGGCAGCGCCGCCTCGCCTGACGCCACGCTGACGGCATGGTCGCTGTCACCCACCGTCCCTCCCAAGCCTTCATCGTCTTGGTCGACGTACCTGAGCACTGGCCTGCAGTACGGGCTCATCCACCGGCGCCGGTCGGATACATTCTCGCTCTGGATGGTCTTCTCCGGCCAGCCAGCCAGCCTGTCTCTTGACCTCATCTCCAGCTACTCTGCCAACTCGCCTCTCCAAGCTCAAGCTGTCAAGTCTTTGCCAGCCTGGGCACGGACGTGGGGCAAGTCGAACGCGCCAGGCCCACTTGCCTTCCGCATCACCCAAATTGTTTCCCTCCCTGCGCCCTTCTCTGGCAGCTCTGCGGCTTTGCCTCAAGATTCCTATCAGGCTCCTCTTGAAGAAAAGGCGCTATGTCGTTCCAACGATGTGTTGTAAACCAATCGGTGGGGGTGTTTTGTAGATCTCAGTGGAAGAAAGAAAGAAAAAAAAAGTACATGCGTTTTCAGTTTGTTCGAATCGCGGTGTGTGTGTGTGTGCGTATTTGTGTTTTATTTTAGTTTTTCGTCCATCTCGCTTGACCAATCGCTGACCTTTGTCAGAGCAATGCGGTTTTCTGTTGCTTCTCAGAAATGAGCAACGGACACCAATTCTCGACGGAGCTGAAAGACCATTTCATTTTTTTCATTTTTTTTTCATTTTTTTTTTTTTTCACGATGGGCAATCTGCTTCAGGCCATGCGCGGCGACGGCCGGTCCACCAGCATCGACGTCTTCCTGGACTTTGAGAGTACGGCAACAGCACTACATGTTGCTCCTTCTCTACTCTCCATCCTCAACCGTTCGCTGTTCGGCAACGACGAGAAATGCAGAAACGACGACGAAAAACCATCACAAAAAAAAAAAAAAAAAAAGTTGAATGTTTGCGACTGCGCTCCTTGGCGGGCGGCGATCCGAGTGTGCCACGGCGATGACTTTGTGATCTTACCATCGAGGGCACTCGGAGAGCCCGGAGGCGGGGGGGGGGCGGTGGAGGCGGCCCGAAAGAAGGACCGGCCGCTTTTGCATTTTCAACCATGTGAGAGACAACTTTGTCCCCGCGAGTCGTCCGACCCTCCGTCCAGCCCAGGGATGCGATTCGACGGCTGCGGCGGCACGCACGATGGCAGTGCTCTGGGAGACGCCGTTGCCTGGCTCCTCTCCATCCAGTCGCGTCCCGGCACGCGGCTGACCGATAATTCGATTTTTTGATTTTTTTTTTTTTATTCTTTGAGGTTTTTTTTTTTCTTTGTTCATTCTGGAGGTTGACCTGGAAGGCAAGCAAGCTCACAGCGCGGTCCCGCCTCCCCCTCCCCGGGCGACCCAGGAGCAATAATTCCTTCGCTTCCCGCCTGTTCTCTGTTCATCGCGTTTCGTCGACTGGGAAGCGACAATGAGCTGTGAACGGTTTTTTTCCCTTTTTCATTTTCATTTTGTAATTTTTTTGCCGCTTTTTTTTTTTTTTTTTTGGGTTGACGCTGTAACATCAGGGGCTCTTGCGCGATTGGAGAGCGGGGGGAGAGATTGGAACCAAGAGCACCTCAGCACCCTTTTGCTCTGCCTCTGCTTGCCACGCGATGCGAGTGGTCTGAGATGGGGCGCTGACGAAAGGGCAAAATGGACGCATCGCGGTGGCGCGTTTTCGTGCGTTTTCGTATTGCCCTTTCTCATCCGTTGTCTCGCACCAGCGTTTCAGCATCCTCTCGTGCTGCTGGCCAGCTCGACTTGCAATTCAGCGTCCCTCCCTGGCTCGACGCTATGACCTTTCGCCCGCCGCTTTGCATCAACTTTCAATGCAAAGACACGCATGCATGACTTTTTTTTTTTTCGTTTTTTTTTTTCCTATTGTTGCTCGATTTGTTGTGGCTTTTTTTTTTTTTTTTTTTTTTCTGCGAATTGGTTTTTTTTTTATTTGCATTCAAAATCACATCGTTTCCTCATTTTGATCTGCCAGCAACCCGAAACCCTCGACTCACTGTTGCTTCTCCCTGCTTATGCTGTAGATGCTCGGCCAACCACTGCCGAGTCCGAAGTCTGGGCAATGGTCGACGAGGTGCTTCAACAGGCGTCGCAGATCCTTGGCCAGCTGAAGAACTATGAAGGTTGCGGCGACCAGATTCGAGCGGTAAGCGCCCCCCCCCATTGCGTCCGTGTCGTGTCGAGCCCAGCGTGTGTGTGCAATGCGCACGATGGCGCACCTGCGGCGGTGTGGAATGATGGCAACGTCCAACGAACAGCTCATTCACTCCCGCTCCCTCTCTCCCTCTCTGACCATCCGACGATGTGCAGGCCATCTCTAAGCCTTCCCAAGAGTCAGAAGAGGCTGCCTGGGCAGCTGTTATTCCGCAAGTCGAGAAGCTCAAGACCTTTTACGAGTATTCCAGCGCACTAGGTGAGGTCCCTTCGGTGCTTGCTTTTGCTCAGACCTGCGTTGTTCAGCTCGTTGTTTGGACTGACGTTGCATCCCTTCTTCCCTGAACTCGACTTGTTGGCAGCTGATAACGTGCTCCCGAAGCTTCTTGATGCGCTTTGCAAAGAAAATCCTTTGCAAAACCTCGAGAGCAAGCAGGCGCTCGTCAAACAGCTCGCTGACGTGTTTGATTTCGTCCTTAGCTTTGACGATGCCAAGGTAACGTGTTGGTTCCATTTTCATGTCTTGTTTCGTTTTTGGGGTCTCAACACCAGCGGCTCGCCTGTTTCTAACTCTTCCCTACCTCCCATAGATGAAAAACTCAAACATCCAAAACGACTTTAGCTTCTATCGCCGAAATCTCAACAAGATGAAGATGAGCAACAGCATTCACGCCGAAAACCTGGTAGTCCGAGACGAGCTCGCCAACCGCATGTCACTGTTTTTTGCCACACCGACCCCCATGCTCTTCTGCCTTGTGAACGCTGTCAGCAAGTTTGTGAATGATGTACGTGTGCTGGACTTGACGGCTGGCCTTGGATGATTCTTTTGACGGCGCGCATTGAACCGACTTGCTTACCTTTTGTTGTTTCTCTTTCTGGTTTTTCAGAACAAGAAGACCGTGCCCGTGGACAATGTTACCGAATGCTTGGCTACTATTGCCATCATTTGCCAAACGATGGTTGCCAACCCGTACGTGCACCTTCTGCAGTGTGGTCCAGCTTCTGGCTGGTGCAAAGTGCTCACTTGATTTTGAATGGAATTTTTGTTTGGTCGTTTTTTTTTTGTTTTTTTTTTTTTCATCCATTTTCAGTGATTTCGCCAGCCGATTCCAGAATGCTGAAACATCCCTTTTCTGCTTGCGTGTGATGGTCGGTGCCATCATTCTATACGATCACACTCACTCTGCAGGAGCCTTCCACAAGAAGTCTGTCATTGATGTACGTTTTTTTGTTTCCCTGTTCCTTCCGCTTGCCTTTTGTTGGGACTGTGTCGTTTGTTAGCTCTGCCTGCATGGCATTACCAGTGCCGAGTCGCTGATTTTGTTCGTTTTGGTTTTCACAGGTCCGTGGCTCTGTTAAAATCCTGAAGGATCAACCAACCGCGTCCGTAGAAGGCCTTCTCAACGCGTTGCGATTCACCACCAAGCACCTTGGTGATGAAGACACTCCGAAACAAACAAAGGCTTTGTTGGCATAAACTACCTTGTTGCGTTTCTCGGTGTTATTGGTTGTGTGAGTCTTTTCGTCTTTTTCTTTTCCGTCTTTCTTTCGTGCCCTTTCATGCCCTTTTTCCTTTGCTTTCCCCCCCCCCCTCCGGTTTCTTTGAATCCATTTCGTCTGGCCTACAGCTTGATGCTGAGGGTCTTGTCTTTGTTTCTATTGGGTGTACCTTTTCTTGTTTTTCTGTTTCTTTTCTGCGTCAGCTTCATTCTCCCGTCCGCCCGCCCGCCCCTCCAATCCCCTCTCACCGTCTGCAAGTAACGACAAACAGCACCCGTCATCATTTATCCCTTCTTTTATGTTTTACTTGTGTGTTGTGTTGTTGTGCTGCGGCAGCGAGAATCATAGTACAAAATTATAATTCAATGTCGAGCAAACTGTGTTCTGAATGTCTCCCCTCCCTCTTTTCTCACCCGGTCCGGTGCATACTATAGTCCGTCCCGCCTCTGGAACATTTTGACCGCTTTTTTGTTTGTTCCAGGTCGCTGAGACAGTCCATTTCACACCGCTTTTTTGATCTTTTGATCTTTCGATTTTTTCGAAAGATGGGCAAGCAGCACAAACCTACTTTGCAGCGTGGCCCGAGCCGATTTACAATGCTGGAGACGGACCCTGATGGCGTCGAGTCGGACACGGACACGACGACTGTGATCGGACGAGCTATTCCAGGTGAGGGAAGCGAGGACCAAAGCAACGCAAAGAAACGGGTGGAAAAAACAAAAATAAAAAATAAAGTCAAAAGCTTGAACGAGTGAATGTTAGATCCTGTCTCCTGGTCTCCCGGATCGTTGCAAAGAGAAGAGGGAAGGTGCGGGAGGGGAGGGGGGGGGTGATCCGGGGTTTGAATAAGACTTCTCTGTGAATGCAATGTTGCTGAAGCGTGCCTTTGCATGTCTGGGCGTTGGTGAATCACTCGATCGATTTGGTCTGTTCGCATTGTAGACGGCGTCGCAACAGTGCCGAGCATTCAGATGAGCACGTTCGCCAGCTCTGCGATCGTCGAGCGTCTGCACAACAAAGCCAAAAAGCACAACCAGAGCCAGAGCCAGAGCCAGAGCCAGAGCCAGAGCCAGAGCCAGAGCGTCGACCAGAGCCCGAGCGCAAGCCAAAGCCAGTTCCAAAGCATCAACGCGGGCGAGCCAAGAGAGCAAGCTACGCCTACGAGTGCTACAACTGCTGCTGCTACTGCCTCTGGTACGCCTGCAGCTGCGGCCGGTGGGGCGGTCCTGCCCACATCGGCGCACTTCGTCGACGTTGCAGCAACCATCAATCGCAATCTTGCCGCGTCCAAGATGCAGCTCGACTTTCTCAAAACGGCCATGAACGACACTCAGGAGACCATCCGCTTCTTGGATACAAAGGCAGGCGTGATTGTCGCATTCGAGTCGGCTCTGCTCGGCGGCGTCATGTTTGAGGCGTCGTCGATGGACGTCATTCGCATGATGCTCAACGAAGGTATCACGGCTTTCAACGCATCGTATGCCCTCGTATTGGCCGCGTACTCCATCCTGATTGTGCACCATGTCAACCTGACGCTCAAAGCCATCTTCCCCGCGGAAAACCCTGGTGCCCATGTCATCAACGGCAACCTCCAGCCGGCCGGCATCTTTTTCGTGTGGCAGCAAACCCCTGACGGATTTATGCGACCCACCCTGCCGGATTACCTGGCCAAGTTGCGTTCAATGTCCGAGGACGACTTGGCGGTCGAGTATGCCTCGCAGGTGCTCAAACTCTCCTTCATCCGCAAACACAAGCAGGACCTGCTCTCAAAGTCTTTCACTCGGTTAATGCTATTGGTCGCTGGGTTTGTTGTGCTACAAGGGTTTAGGGTAATTGCTGGGTTTATGCATGAGCACGATCCCAGCATTCCGGCCAGCCTGTAATGAAAAGTTGTCGTGCTTTTGTTTGCCGTGACATTTTTCCGACGAGTTGGACTGTATTTTTGCCAAAGATTTTTTTCGGTGGATTCCCCAATCACATCACACGACATACGACACATGTTGCACGTCGATCTGCTGTAATGTCCAAAAAAGCGAGACCTTGTTTTCTGTGTGCGTATTTTGAAGCAGGCGGTGTGCAAAAACACAAACACCGGTTTAAAAGGGGATGCCTGTCGCAGTCTTCATTCGACATTCTACAGTGTTCAACATTTCGACAAACACACACCTCAACAACAGCAACAACAACAATGCCAATTCCAGAGTCGGACATTTCGCAAGTTCATGCGCGCGAGGTTTGTACTTGTGCTCCTCCCTTCGCTTGTCTGCGGCAGCTACGTGTCGTGCTGGGATGAGAGTCGCCCAAAGCGCCCAGCTGTTGCGAAGGGAAGAGAAAACGTGTTTTTCGCGACATTTACAGCAAAAAAGCAGAAGAAAAAAAAAAAAAAAACGGCATGCGCTGTGAAACAACCCTGGCGTTCAAGTTGCTCTCACGTCTTTTCGCATCTACCTCGCCTCGCCCTGCCCTCGCAATCATGCCGAGTCAGTCTCACTGGATCTCAGTAGTAGTAGTAGATCCATCCATGGGCATCTACATACCGATGGACTTGGAGCGGTGATGGCAATAGGGCAGATGCGTGGCGAATCGACGCCGACCTGTTTTTTGTTGTTGTTGTTGTTGTTTCATCGGGATTTGTCTTCTTTTTCGGGTCTTTTTGGCGCCGCTTTCTGCACCACGGCCCTCATTTCAAATCTCAGTAGGAGCTGTTTCTTTTGGTTTGCCCATCATTCTCTCACCACCACCACCCCTTGGTTCCGATCTGACCTTCTGACAACAACGTAGCAAATCCGCCCTGCCCAAAAGCTCGGCGACACGCAGCTCCCCTCCAATGAGGCCCTGCTCAGTGCCATCGACACGGCCGAGCAGACCTTGGAGCAGCCCCAAGCCAAGCTGTCCAGCAAGGGACAAACCATCGTCCAGCATGCCAAGGATCTGCTCGACACTACTGCGCGCGCGATCGAGGAAAAGAACGAAGGAGAGAAGCTTCAACATCTCGTTGCCGCTGGTCAGCAGCTCGAGACGCCTGATGTGGCCGCCGATGGCGGCAAGATGGAACGCTCTGCCAAGAAAGGCAAGGCGGCAATCAGCGCCCTCGCACGGATGCTGGTCCGCTCGTCCGAGTTCCGCGGCTCCATCACGTCCTTGATGAGCATTGCTCAAGACTGCTTCACCCTCGAGACGAGCCAGAACACTGTTTTCGCTTCCTTCCAACTGACCGAGGTACAAAATGTTTTTTTTTTGGGGGGGGGGGAGCAAATGCGTATACGACTACAGTGGTCGGGAGAGTGTGTGTGCGTGTGTGTGCGCGCGCACGCGTGGCATCCTGTTTCTCACCTCAAACCCTCATCTCTGACACAGGAGCAAAAGCAAGAGTTTGGCAACCGCTTGCATGGCGTGCTCCAGCAACTCACCCGCAACGAAGATTTCAAGACGGGCCTGCGCAACTTTGTGCAGCTCATCCAAGACACTGCTGCAAACGCCAAGGAGGCCGCTCTTGACGTGAAGCGCCAGGCCGAAGAGATTGACAAGGAGATGGACGTCGAGTCGACTGCCAAGTCGTTTGTCGAGGAGTTTACTGGGAACAAGTCGATTGATCCCTTCCTCAACGCCGCGCGTCGTCTGATTGCCAGGGTGGCCAACGACCAGAACATCAAGAGCTGGCTGGACGAGTGGAATGACATGCTCGAGAAGGTGATCGAGCGTCCCGAGGTCCTCGAGGAGGAGAACTGGATTGACCAGGCCGGCGACCTCATCGACCGCGGTCGCAGCCTTGCCTACAAGTACGAGTACGACCAGGACTGGAACAAGATGTACGACGAAATCAACGAGCTGCTGGACGCTCTCAAGAATGACGAGGTGCTGAACGAGCTCGAGCTGCGCGGCAAGATCCTCGCCAGCGACATTGTCTACATTGACAACAAGGACAACATCCATGTTGACTACGAGTCGCTGTCCGAGGTCCGCAAGATTATCATCCCCATCATTCTGGACCAGCTGACGGCTGTGCCTGTGCCGCGTATTGAGATTTCCGAGACGGCGTACGACGCCATGCTGGACAATGTTGTCTTTTCGATTCGCGACATTGCTCCCGACCACGTCCACATTTGTGCGAGCTCGGACACGGACATTCGACTGGACGATCTCGAGACGACGACCGAGTCCAAGATTTCCCTCAAGATGGATGGCATGCGCACCAGCCTCGAGAATGTCAAGTTCTACCTCAACCACAAGACCTTCCCCAAGCTGGAGGACTGGGGCACTGTCGATGCAGAGCTCGGCGGCGAGGGTGCCAAGCTCGAGATTGTCCTCAACGTCGACTACAAGGAAAACCAGCCCGTCACCTTCCGCGGCAGCGACATCAAGTTTGATCTGTCCGAGCTGTCCCTCAAGTTCCGCGACGACGTGTCGCACCCGATTCTCCTCAAGATGTGGACCATGGTCATGCGGGAAAAGTTTACGCGCCGCACCGAGGCCCTTGTCAAGGAGCGCATTACCGGCGTCGTCGACAACATTACCACCCAGCTGAACGGCGTCATGAAGGAGCTGTACCAGCGTGCTCGTGAGGCCATCAACGAGCAGAAGGCCCAAGTCGAAAAGCATGCGAAAGAGCTGCTCGACAAGGATGACGGATCGTCGTCGTCGTCCAAATCGTCGTCCAAGTCCTCCAAGCACGGCAGACACGAGAAGTTTGACGCGATTCCGATCCAGTTTGGCTCGCATCAGACCAAGGTGGGTGGCTTTGGCCAGTCCACTGAACCGCACGAGCACGAGTCTCGCCACCTGCCCTCCGACATGCCAAGCATGTTCTAAATCAGTTGAAGGTCAATATGTACTTTGCATGGGCCCGGGTGGTCTTGAAAAGGAACAACCCCAAAGCAGCCTCGAGAAACGAAAAGACACACGCATACACGCAAACACACACACAAAAAAAAAACAAACAGCCAACAAAAGCTCATCGATTCAAAAGACCCACCTCTGCACTCAAATGACAGCTCATTGTGAAGATCACGTGGTGAATTGGAGTGTAAATAAATAGATTGTACAATGAAACCAGATGTCCGTCCTATCGAAAGCGTAGGGTCGGGGCGAAGTGGGCCTGGTCGGGCAAAGCAGCTCGCGAATGTCCGCCCAGTACCTCTGATCGTTGTCGGAGCAATTGGTACGCACGCATAACATGCTGCGCAGTAATCCCAGAATCCGCCGGCACGGTACAGGGCGAAGGCTCGACAGGTAACTTGGGATTGGCCGGCTTCTCGGCTGAGAAGGACGACGGAGACTGAAACGACGAAAGCGCCTGGAAGGCACCACCCCCAGAGGGCTGCGATGATAGCCACACGCTGTGCGCGAGTGGCGGAGGAGCAAATGCAGCTGGGCCAACCACGGGGGCTGGCGCCAAGCGACTGGCAGTCTGCACTTCCAGGGCCAGCTCGGCGAGTAATCCAATCAGATCGTATGCAAGGAATGCCAGCAAATCCAACACATCGTCCATGTGCGTGGGTGGATGCTCGTCCGCCTCCGGATGCCGCTGCACCCAAGTCCAGAATTTGCGTTTTGTGTGCAGCACAAAGTTTACTCGCCGTGTTGCCGTGTAATCCATGTATGCCGCTTTGGACATGTTGCTGGTGCGGTTGTCGGCACGCTGAAATGAGGTTGATACGCACGACAAATGAGCCCAGAGAGGTTTGCTCGAGAACGGAACGCTCTCCGACCCGTCCTCTTCCTTTGATGCTTCCTCCTCTCCTCCTCCCTTTCTCCCCTCCTCCGTCACATAAGAGCAAAACGACACTGCTGGCCATGTTCTTCAACAAGTGACCTACCACAAGCCTTGCAGCAGTAACCGGATTCAAGACTTTTGGTGTCAATCCCGCGACATCCAGTCCTAACGTTGCGCACATGGAATCCACTAGAAACGTCTCTGATAGATGCACCGATAGGCTGCCGGTTCGGAATGTCGGTGCCTCGTTAGCTGTACGTGTATCTGCAATTGAGCACGGAGGGCGATGAGGTCGCGCGCTTCGTTTCGACTAGTGTTGCCGCAACCTTCCCCAGAAAACCCAAGAAAAAAACAAGACACAAACCCCAGCATACGAACGGCACTGCCTTACCAGCTTGTTCGGTCGAGGCGCTTGCTTGTGAGCTAATGTCTTTGTGGTTGAGATACTCGTGCAGCCGCATCATTCTGCTGCGATCGTTCGAGAGTGCAATCGCCACATCCTGCACTGTGGGGTACCGGCTCTGACGTTGTATTGCACAATTCATGGCATTCACAAACTGATTTGGGAGCGGGGGGAATCAGCACAGAGCAAAAAAAACTTGTGGGAGCAGCTGCACGACGCAAACCACGCAAAACACGCTTACAATCTGCTGTATCTCTCGCTGAACAATCTCTTCAATTAAATACGCTGCATCCTTGTCGGTCTCTTTGGCATCGCCTGTGCGTCAACGTCCGCGACGCGACGAAGCAAGCATGATTTAGCACTCTGAACACAAAAAACAAAAAAAGGTGCACACGGCGACTCTGCCAGCTTCCTTACCAAAGGCAAACATCATTTGCTGTATGTGGTGATGGAATAGGAATTTCCGATACGAGCCGACCGAGCTCCCTGCAGACGCAGAATTCGAGGTTGGCGTTGTCAAAGTGAACGAGACTCCGTCGTCTTGCTGGGCTTGAACTGGCTGTGTGATTGCATCTCTGCCAATTCATACAATCAAGCATCGCACGTAAGATCATGAAAAAATCCACCAAGTGCGACCAGCGTTCGAGTCAAGGCAAAGCGCAACAGCGCCTTCGCGCTCGATTCCTTTACAAGTCGTCCTGCCACAGCAGAGGCTCTGGTGCGCGCGAGCCACCCGTCTCATCAGGCAGATCGGAATCGTCGAGTCTGGTTGGGTCGCTCGAATGTGCTTGGCCGGGCAGCACATCCATGATCCGTGAAAACCGAGCGCGGTCCTGCGTCACTGTTGAACAATGACGACTGAAACGCTTTCTTGGCTGAGCATGCGGATAGCATTATGGTGTCGAGAAGCAGTGAGATACTGTGCATGGAAAGCAAACATGTGCACTCAATCGAAACATTGGGTTCCGAAAGAGAGAGACAAAAAAAAAATAGCTTTCTTAAACTTGACAAACACACAAAAATGACAAAGCATCGCACAGAAGAATCGGACATGCACATCACCGCAAGAAACAGGAAAACAACCAAATTGTTCAAGACAAAGAATGCAAGAGTCAAAAATGGAGACTTGCTGAAGTCGGTCTTGTCACTCGCGAGCAGCAGGCTTCTTGATGCCCATGCCAGTGCCCTCGCCAATTGAGCAACGAGGACCTGGGGTGATCAGGTCGGCACCACCCGGCTCCTGGGAGAAGGCAAAGCCGTGGTGTGCTGGCTGGGGCGACGGCTTGGTGGGCTCCCGAACTCCGAGCTCGAGCGAGTCGGAGGATTTGCTGTCGCGGTTTTGACGGTCGCGTGTCGAATCCAGTTTCCGAATCTCGCGCACAATGTCAACAGGCGTTGGTCTGTACGTGATTTGGTAGTAGCGCATGGAAAGCAGTGGCAGGAAGATGGTCGCGACACCCAGGCCCAGGTAGAACCAGAATGCACCAGAGGCAATGATTCGGTACACGGCCCAGTAGTAGGCAATGACAGTCTCGCCAAACGCAGGGACGGAATACAGAATAAAGTAGAACGCCCAGATGGACAAGATGGATGCAATCACGAAAACGGCGTTCACAATCGTCCACGAATACGTGTTCAATCCAATTTCAAGGTTGACCACCAGCACGAGCACCGCGGCGACGCAAGTGCCGAGGAAGACGAGGTCGTTGTTGGTGCGGCCGCTGGGTGAGAGTTGATCGCTGCGACAAAGCAAAAACACGCAAAGCAAAAAACGCAAGCCAAACAAAAAAAAAATCAAGTCAGAAACTGGGACAGGGGGGGGGAATGAAGGACATGCGGAGCATATGCACAAGCGGAAATCTCACTAAAAGATGCCAAGAGCAAAGAAGAACAGCACGACCGAAGTCCAGATGCCCTTGGCCAACGACAGCCAAAACTTGGTCTTGTTGAACAAAAGATTGCGCTGACCGGGGATGTACAGTTGCGGGAATTTCAACGAAGTCTTATCGTCCACATCCTGCAAATCAACACGAGGAGGCAAAAGGGCACAAATTAGCGAGGCGGGAGATTAGCGAGGCGGTGGGGGGGGGGATTGGAAGGGGTGGATGACGAAAGAAAAAACATCAAACACACAAAAAAAAGTGAACACGTACCTGATCGAAAATGCCGACCATCAGCACTGGAAGCGAGGTGAAAATGACATTGTAGAAAGTAATCATCCAGGCATCGTACAAGGTCTGGGGAGGGCAAGGGGAAGGGGAACAAGTACATCGAGATCAGAACCATCAGCACTGGAAGCGAGGTGAAAATGACATTGTAGAAAGTAATCATCCAGGCATCGTACAAGGTCTGGGGAGGGCAAGGGGAAGGGGAACAAGTACATCGAGACCAGAAACAAGCAGGTTGAGAGCATGGCTCAGCAGCATCCGCACACACATACACACCCGAACGCCCATGGCAGAGCAACAACAACAACAACAACCACAATTTACAAAAACACACAACACAAAAACTTACCGTGGCAGAGAAGGCCGAAAAGAAGGCATACCAGAACTGGCAGAGAGTAAAGGCAAAGTTCTTGTAGAAAAAGTACGCCATGAACTTGCACATGCGCATGTACGACCAGCGACCGTGAACCAGGAGCAGGCGCTCGAGGAAGCGGAACTGCGCGAACGAGAAATCGGCGGCAAGGACGGCCTGGCGACCCTCCATGCCCGAAATACCAACACCAATGTGAGCAGCCTGGATCATGGACACGTCGTTGGCACCGTCACCAATAGCCAACGTCACGGCCTTCTTGTGCTCCTTGACCAGGGTCACGACGAGCGCCTTTTGCAGCGGCGAGACGCGGCAGCAAATCACCGCGCGACTCTTGGAAGCCACCTCGAGGAACTTGAGCTTGTTGTGCGGCTCGAGCGCGTGATGCAGCGAGTGGCCGTCAATGACAAGCGCCTTCGCGACGTCGGGGTTGACTTCGGCAACACGCTTGGCCTGCTCGAGGCTGGCAAGCGTGTCTTTTTCCTCCTTGCCGTTCACAATGCAAAGCTCCATGTCGGTGCGGAGCAGCTGGCACGAGAAACCAATGTTGATGGCCGTCTCCTGCTTGTCGCCCGTCAAGACCCAAATCTTGATGTCCGCGCGAGCAAGGTTGGCAATGGCTTCCGGGACACCCTCTTGCAGCTTGTCTTCAATGGCAGTAGCACCAATGAGCGTCAAATCGGTTTCAATGCGCTCGGCAACCGCGCCAATCCTGGCCTCGCGATCCGTCAGAGCGATGCTGGCCTCGTGGTGTTCCTTTTGCCAAGCCGTAAACTCTTCCTCGCCGAGATCGCGGTAAGCCAGGCAAAGCGTGCGCAGACCGTCGTTGGCAAAAACTTCGAGGTGCTGCGATGTCGTTGTCTTGAGATCCTCGCAGGAGTTGGGGCCAAGTCGAGCGTAAATGACAGAGTCGGCGCCCTTGCAGTACAGACGAAGCTTGCCGTTGGGCATGCGCACCACGATGGACATGCGCTTGCGGTCCGAGTTGAACTCGATGATGGTGAGGAGATCGTACGTTTCTTCCTGGCCGTGGATGGAGATGACCACCTGAGTCGGGGTGCGGCGCATAAAGACAAAGCCAAAGTTCTTGGCAGCCGACACAAGGGCAGCTTCGTCGGGGGATTGGGCCTTGTACTCCAGGCCGCCAGCCTCGGTTTCTTCGGGAACAACAGTGTGGCAAATAGCGAGCAGGCGGAAAAAGTCGGCAGCGCGAGGGTTGCCACCGCGGCATTCCTTAACGAGGCTTTCGTCGAAAAACTCAAAGTCCTGGTCGGCGAGCGCGTTCCAGCTAAAGTCCACCCTGGTCAGGGCACCGGCAGCAGAGGCGTTGCCGTCAGAGCGGGCGGCAGCACCAGCGTTGGCGGCAGTCAGGGCCTTGCCATAAGACACGCCGTCAATCGTGCACTTGAGGAAGCTCATGACGTTGCGAGTGAGGGTGCCCGTCTTGTCCGAGAAAATGTACTGGATCTGACCGAGCTCTTCGGTGAGCGTGGTCGAGCGAGCCGCAGCCGGGGTGTTGTTCTCCGGGAAGTACATGCCGCGATCCCAGTCAATCAGCCACGACTGGATGAGACGGATGATTTCGACGGACACGTACAGGGAAATGGGGACGAGTGTGTTGAGCAGAATGATGAACGAGAAAAAGTTCAAAACACCAATAACACCAGGGGTGCTCGTAAAAGTTTCCCACGGCAGATAGATGCGGAAATCGCCGCCATACAGCGTCGTCCAGATACCGCTACCAATCGCAGCAATCAAACACAGCGTTGCCAGGAAGCAGAAGATGGTAATGACCATGTTGTTCATCAGCTTGTCCATGTGGGTGCGCTTGAAGCGAGCCTGCAAAAGAGAGAGGGGTGTGGGGGATGTGAAGTGTGTGAGTGTGTGAGTCGCGAATGTGACAAGAGGGGGGGGGGAAGGAAACAAGCAAATAAACAAACAAACAAACAAAACACCGGCAACTTACACCACCGCTGTTTTGCATCAACTTGGTGTCGTGGCCAGCAAAGAGCACGAGGCCATGAATCCACTTGGTGTTGCGAACAACGCAGCCGCGAAGCAAAATCTTGTCGTTGTCGATCGGGAACTGCTTGTTCTTGTAGGTCAGGGCGCCATCAAAGCGATGCAAATTGTTGTTCGGGGGTTCGCAAAACACAACGCCGTCAAACTCGTTCAGGTGGTGCGTTTCGTCGAGATGGTTGGTGTCCGGAATAGCCTGGCGGATTTTGAGGTTGGTCTCGCCGTCGAGCTCGGCCGTCTCCACGTAGCAAATGCCATGCGGCTCGCTGGTCGACAACAGGAAGAGATCTGCCGCAACAAATTCACCGTCGTTCATGGCGATAATGTCGCCAACCACCACCTCGTGCCATTGGACATCAATCCACGCGTCTGTTGGGTTGGCGATAATGTCGCCAACCACCACCTCGTGCCATTGGACATCAATCCACGCGTCTGTTGGGTTGAGCAAGACGAGGGAGTGAGTGAGCGGGGGGGGGGAATGAACACACACACACACACACACACACACACACACACACACACACACACACACACAACTGATCAGGATTCAACGCTCAAACCCTCGACGTACTGTTACGAAGCACACGCGAAGGACGGGTGTTGACGCCGTGATCGCTCTTGTGGCGCTTGAAATCGTCAAAGCCATCCTTGACGGCAGTCACAGCAAGCACAAAGATCAGTGGGATGGCCGTGGTCACCCAGCTCAGCGCCGAAATGGCCGGGATCAGCTGGAGAATGAGCAGGAAGAGGAAATAGGCGTTGGCAACACGGCGGAATTGCTCAAACAGGTTGACGGGAATGAACGTGAGGATGGTGTACTTGGACGTCACAATGTGGTTGCCGACGTACGACTTGAAGGCGGCATTGTACCCCGGGTTGTTGGCAGCTACGCGGCGCTCCTTTTCGCTGCCATCCTCGTTCAGATGCGATCCGTCAGCCATTGGAGGGAGAAGAGCACGCGAGTCCGAAGCGGTGATCGACATTCGGTCTCGCTACAATTTGGGCGAGGAGGGGGAGAAACAAACAAAAAAAAAAAGGAATCAAATCTGTTTGTGGAAGCGCAAGCAACATGTGAGTGCGAAGATGCAATGATGTCGGCTTCATCGAGGTTGGAGAAGAGCAGAATGTCAGGCGGACAGTGACGTAGAATAATAAAAAGATTCCAAAACTTGAACAATCAAAAAAAAAAAAAAATCAACAGAAAAATCAAAAAAATCGGTTTTTTTTTTGGTTTTTTTCAGTTTCGCATGCTTTTGTTTTGCTCGACACAACAACGACGCTTGGCAATGACAGACGCCATTGCACATGCACGCCATTGATTCGCTCGGACACACACCCGCAGTTGCGTGCAGATGCTCCTTTCGCGCGACGCCGTCGGTTTGCCAAAATAAAACCACATCGATCTAAACTTGTTTCTTTTTTTTTTTTTCTTTTTTTTTTCTTTTTTTTTTTTTTGAAGTTCGCTGCAGTCAATTCGTATTGTTGTGCTCCGTTTTGTCCGATGCAGTCAGGCGAGCACGAGGCTGCTCCTGTGCATAGAATCACACAACACTGCCGCGGTTTGGCCAGCAGATGAAGCATACGCATCGCAGGGACGCACGAGCGAGAGAGACGCGCCAGAAACCGACAAACCGAAAAGCGAACCAAAAAGCACACAAAAAAACAAAAAAAAAAAAACCACAAAAATAATAGAATTGCTGGCTCCTGCAGACGATCAGAGCGCTGACACTGGGGAGTGTACAATCCGAGAGGGGGCAGCGATGCATCCAGTGATGAGATGGCCATGCCAGCAGAGCAAAGATGCTCTCGTTCACACAGGACGCGTGCCTTTTGTTTTGGCTCAATAATTTTTTTTTGTCAGTTTGTTGTGGAACCACCAGTCAATCAGACAAAACCGCGCTCCGTCGGGTTTGCACTCCCGCACGTCACATGCATCGTGGCAGTGGTTGCAATGCGCAAAATGAGCTAGAATGGGGTCGAGTCTCCGAGGTCCAGCGTCCAGCCGGCCGACGGGCAAAGAAAAAGAGCACAAAGAAAATTAAAAACTTACAAAAAAAAAAAAAAAAAAAAAAAGAAAGAAAAAAAGAAAGAAAGAAACAAAAAAAGACTGTCGATTATTTCGCCATCTTTGCTCGTCGTGAACGCGATCAGACGTTGGAATCGTGCAGCAAAAATCAATGTGTACGAGTCGTAAATATCATCAAGATTTATTATCGTCCTCAGAAACGGCGGTCGTTCGTGCACAAGATGGAATTTTATTGCGCGAAACTCCGGCGCCTTTTCGAATTGGCGATTGGGAGTGTGCAGTCCGTCAAGCGTGGCTGTTGCTGAGGATTTAGTGTACCCTGGTGCAATTGGATGTTTTTGGATGGTATGAACCCACGAACGCGCACCTTGTGCATAATTAGAGGTAAGTACAGGCAAGGAGGTAATGCTTCCAAAATACCAAGTAACAACAAGTGGCCGAAAAGTTTCGCCGAAAAACAGCGCGCGTCCTTGCACTACATTAGGAGTCAAAAACAGGATTCTGCCATGTTCCACTAGCAATAAAACCTCTGATTAAATGGAAAGCACACAGTCATGCAGGTCGAAAACATGGCAAAGCATCACAATTTCTGCGAGCCGGCTTGTGGCGCCGTTCAATAAAGCTTCAGACCGCCCGTCACCTTATCGATGGTAGCAACCGGACCTGATCTCGAAATAAAACAAAGCAAGTACACAGTGAGCATGCATCTGGACTGCGAATGCACCCTGTTCAATGTGTGGATTTTGGTCAATCTCGTACCAGGACCCACTGCAAGCACAGTTCGTGATCCTGCGGCAATTTGCGTACGTCCAGCGTCGCGAACAATGTAAGACACCAGACCGGCTTGGCGCGCCTTCCTCTGGAGTTCAAACCTGTTCATTGCGGCAAGTATGGAATCAGCCCGACACGAACAACTGGATCAATGCATAAAGCGAATCGACCTACAGCGAAGCTTCATCTGGCGTTTTCAGAACAACCTTGGCATGTGCTTGGCGCGACCATGCGCGAACGACCTGGCAGGTTGAATAGAAACAAAACAAAAGGCGCCAAAAACCAAAAGCAAAACACCTCCGGCTCAGCCATCGTGTTGCGCTCCTGAGGTCAACGTCAAAGAGACACCGTTTGGTCGGAGGTCTTACACGCGGGGCGTGATGGGTTGCCAGCTCCAGAGCGGCGATTGCCGCATGACAGCACTGCAATGAATGCACATGAAATTTTTGTTTGGTGAGCCCAGTTACTACCACGGAGACCGCAATCGTTTTCGTTCGTGTTGTCAACATCTCTAAGGTGTGCAGAACGCCGACTCACCTGTGCAGCAGCTTTGCCTTTGCCCATCTCGAGATCCGCTCGCACGACGAGCACCTACAGCATGAGCCGAGACATTTCGAGTTACATCATCATCATCAGCCACCGGTTTTCGAAAGCATGCTTCTCCCGGCCATGTTTTCAGTAACAAGAGCCAATGGGCCCCCGCATCTCACCATCTTTGTATCTTCCATCAATCCGACGCTGTTGATGTATGGCGGCAATGTCTCGGCGCTCGTGGCCGCCACCTGCTCGTCGTCTTCCTCGTCGTCGTCCTCCTCGTCGTCGTCCTCGTACTCGTCATCGTCATCATCGTCATTCTCGTTCTGCAGCAACGCCAAGTGAGACACACACACACATACAGAGAGCTTGAGCTCGTTGCATACACCCGTCTGAGCCAATCCGCTGCCTCACCTCGGCCTCCTTGGCCTTGTTCGCACGCGATCGAGCTTGAACATGCTGCAGCACGCTATGCGCCACCCATCCACCGACAAACGCCGTCACTGCGCACGCAATCGTCGTCGAATCCACCGATCCCAGCATACTGTATTTGCAATAGAACAAAGAGTGAATGAGATTCTGAGCCTCACTCTTCATTTTGATTTCTTCATTTATTATTATTCTTTCTTTCTTTTTTCCTCGAGTCAAGCATGATGAATGAAGAGCCATTGGGCGACAGCGCCGTGTCGTCGTCCTCGTCGTCGTCGGCCACGTCAAAGCAGCAGCTTCCGCCCGCCATCGAGCGCGTCTACGTGATTGCCAGCAGGGTGCGTGGGTGTTGATCTGAAACAAGCACACGCAAGACCAACGTCAACAGTGCGAGTCCTGCCGATGCGAGAAGGGAGAAGGGGGGGGGGAAATCAGATGAAAGCGGGAGATGGCTCTTGAAAAAAAAAAAAAAAAAAAAAAAAAAAAAAAAAAAAGCAGCCCCAATTCAACAAAGCGAGCGTTGCGTTGCAGTGGCTCGTGTGTCCAACCAAACTCACCTTCCGTTCTGTCACTCTTGGATGGCGGCAATGCCTTTTTGTGCCTTTTGCATGTTGTTTTGTTGACAGCGCTTGCAAAAGACGCTCGACGACTTGACCCCACACCTGCACGTTCGTTGGATTGGCACTGCGGCCGTCATGTCCCTGTACTTTCTGCGCATCTACTACATTCAGGTAAGACGCACCTCACCGCTGATCCATGGCGACAAGAAACGCGGGCGGAAGGCTGCGAAGCAACCAAACGCACACAGATCAATCCAGCAACCGATCTGACCTTGTCGCATATCGATCACCAACGAACTTACTTGTGATACACACACACACACACACACACACACACACACAAAACAATCTTCTGCTTGTCATAGGGCTTCCATATCATCACATACGCGCTCGGGATTTACATGCTCAATCTCTTCATTGCGTTTTTAACACCTCAAATCGACCCCGCGTTGGCCAACCTCGACGGAGCCGAGGACGATGGCCCCACTCTTCCCACCAGCAAGGATGAAGAGTTCCGTCCATTCATTCGTCGCCTGCCCGAATTCAAGTTCTGGTGCGTTGGTCATGGTTTTGTTTTTCTCTTCTTAATTTTTTTTTTTTTTGTTGTTGCTTTGGCTTGCCCCCGCGTTGATCGCGTTGCTAACTTTCGCCCTCCTGCTGGGGCTTCTGACTACACAGGTATGCAGTCACGCGCGCCATTCTCCTGGCCATCCTGTGCACCTTCTTTGGCTTTATGGACATTCCAGTATTCTGGCCCATTCTCGTCTTGTACTTTATCATCCTGTTCGGCGTGACCATGAAGCGACAGATCCGACACATGATCAAGTATCGTTACTTGCCATTTTCGCACGGCAAGCGAACATACAAGGGCAAGGACGAGCCTGCCAAGCATTAACAAAACAGGGCCATGTTTGTGTTTCGCCGCCTTCTTTTTGTTCCTGTCCGGTTTACCTGAGCATTGAACGTGTTTGATCTTGAAAGCACGAGGCTTCGGTATCCCTTCTCCCCCCGGCTCCCTCTTTTTCCTGTCCTTCGATCAGTTTGTGTGCGTGTGTGTGTGATGTGCCTTAAAGACTATGGTTCAAAACGTTATCTTGCAACAATCCATTTGCAACAACAGGCCCTCAGGTCGCAATCAACAACATCTATCCGTACATGCTCTAGAAAGAATAGATTTCATTCCGACAATTCGGCTTTGTCGTTGCCAGTTCAACACTTGGCTTTCAAACATTCAAAAAAACATAAAAACAAAAACCGGCCAGCATCTTTACACCTTGTAGCCGATCGAATCAAAGAATGCGCACGTCGATCCAAGAAGATCGTAGTCGACTTCGTTGGGGGTCTCGATGCGAAGGGTGGGTTGCGTGGTCGCGTTGAACGCAGGCCAGATGAGCGACTCCTTGCCGCTGGCGTTCGGGTCGCCATAGCGCGCAAAGGAGGTCCAGTAGTTGACCATGCTCGTGGCCATGCGATCTTCCTGAGGAGTGTACTGGAAGCCAGCGAGATTAGCAGAGTGGAAGACGTACGGCAGCTCAGCACCGTGGCCTGCACAAACAAAAGAAAAAAAAACCAAAAAACAAAAAAAAAAAAAAAAACCAAGTTCAAACCAAAACCAACAGGACCAACGTCAGAATGAGACACAATTCCACAATTAGGAAACAGCCGGCCAGTGATTCACGCGGTACGTACACGAAGCATTCGCGCAGAAAGTGTAGTTGGGGCCCCAGCCGTTGAACGACAAGGCATGATCGAAAATAAAGTGGTAGGTTGGGACGCTCTTGGACAAAGCCGCGGCAACATTGCGGTTGATGCAGACGAAGACGTACTACAAGTCCAACCCCCAAAAAACGTAACCAACAATCAACAAACCAACAAACAAACAGTCAGCACGCAGACGTGTGCAGCGAACGATGGCTCCACTGCAACCCCACTTACATCAGTCGCAAGAAGAGCGGTAATCGGGCGCTGATCCTCGCTGCCCTTGATCGGAGGGAACTGCTTGATGGTCTTGGGGCCGTCAAGTTGGAAAATGGCGTCAATCAGGCCTTCATAGTAGAGGGTGCTCATCGGCTTGGTGAAGGCCTGGTAAATAAAGATGACGGCTTCTTGGGCGGTGTCGCCGAGCATGATTGGGATGGGCGCAAATTCACCCTGTTGGATGGAGTCGAAGGGCTGACGGTACAGCTCAAAGTTGTCAATGACAGGGCCCCATTGGAGGAAGACCTCGAGGATGCGGTCATAGTTGACAATGTGCGACATGGCAGAGTTTTGCGCATTGAGCAGGTCGATGAGCGAGGCGGAGCGAATGCAGGCAATGTCCGAGGTGGACGAGCAGTTCAGGGCCTGGGCGAGGTGTGCACCGAGCTTGCGCGCCTCGTCAACCGTCTTGAGCGGGATGGTGAAGGGCTCGCTTTCAAGAATGGCGCGATGGAACAGACCCGCGCTGCGGACAGAGGTCATGTGAGCAATAGTGGAGATGGCGCCGGCAGACTGGCCAAAGAGCGTGACCGAGTTCGGGTCGCCGCCAAAAGCCGCAATGTTGTCGCGAATCCACTTGAGAGCGAGGCGCTGATCGCGGAAGCCAAACTGGCCGCCAACGTTCGTGCCGTCCTCGCCGACATAAAAGCCGAGGGCACCCAGGCGGTAGTTGATGTTGACCAGGACGACCGACGAAGTGTTGGTCATAAAGCCACCATCGTACAGCGGGCCGCCACCGGTTCCCTTCACAACCAAAGGGAAAAGCAAAACAACAAAACATGGAACAAACAAAACCAGCAAGGAGAGTTAGTTGGAATTTGCCTGTTTGCACGATCAGCATGTATTTGTTTTTTTTTGTTCCGTTCGTTTTACCTGGTAAAAGTTGCCACCGTGGATGAACATCATGACGGGCCACGGGCCAGGGAGGCCGTTCGAGCTGTTGAGACGCGGAGTGAAAACGTTGAGGAAGAGACAGTCTTCGCTGACGGTATCCGGGCAGGTGTGAGGGGGCAGGTCGCAGATCTGGGGGCAGCCCGGAGGATCTTGACGTTCCGAAAGTGGATGTCAGATCACAAACAAAAAAGTCAGCAATTTGGACGATTCTAAGACCTGAAAGCAGCAGCGCCAGTCGCAATAGCAGCGCCAGTAGCAGCAGCAGCAGCAGCACCAGCAGGAGTAGAATCAGACAACAAATGAAGCCGTTCGCGACATACCATTGTAGGCGTTGAGGACGGACGGGGACCACGGCTGGGCAGGGGTAGAGTCGACAAAGCGAGACGGCGGGGCTCCGTACGGAATACCGCGGAAGGCCTGAGCAATCAATCAACACCACAAGAGGTGAGTGTGGGGACCAAGCGACCCTTGACAACTCAGCAGAGTCGAGTGAGTCGAGTGAGTGAGTGAGGTTGCTGTTACAACAACAACAACGACAACAACAACAACAACAAATCATCTGTTTAAATGCAAGTCAAATGACATGCGGGGCTTTTTTTATGTTTTATGTTTTGGTTATCTTTTTTTTTTTTTTTTTTTTTTTTTTGAAAATGATCTGCTTTGGTTGATATTTTCCGCATCTTGCACTTTGTGCCGTCGGTGGACTGCCATGCACTTCACTGCCTGCTCTTCTTCCGCTTGTTGTACGATATCGACAGAAACCAGCAGTGATCTGCTCGGGAAAAAAAAAAAGAAAAAAAGAAAAATAAGGCCCGCGGGAAATTATGAACAAAACCGCTTTGTTGCGCCAGCCAGCGAGAGAGGGGCAAGGCTCGGAGCGCGTGCGAGAGGGGGGGGGGGAGAGGAGGTCCAGGCCATACACGATGAGTGTCAGAGACAACGCCGCTGATCACGCCGTTGGCAGTGGAGACGAGGGACTCGTCGGCACCAGGGGCAGCGTCCTTGGTGGGTTGAACGTATTCGTTGTGCTCGGCAAAGCGTGTCACTCGGGCAATGCTCCCACGCTGCTGGTTGAAGGGCAGGTGCTCGCCCTGATACGTGTGGAGCTTGGCAGGCATGGCGGAAACCGACGCAGCGGCCACCAGAAGCACCGTGGCAAGAGCCAGCCGACGCGTCATGACTGAAAAAAGTTGGACTGATTTTTTGTTTTGTTTTTTCAGATCGCTTTCTTCCAATACAGTAAAGATGCCAAAATCACAACATCACAATCTCAACAACTACTACAACCACAACATTAACAGCAGCAACAACAACAGCCAGAAGTCCTCGCTAAGGAATCAAGGAAATCCTAGAATCGATTTTTTGGTAGCTGCCTGCTTCATGACGAGACGGGGGATGGCGCACGCGCATGCCACGCACGGAAGACATGCAGCACGGTGGCGAGATGCGAGCGCCAGCCGGCGTGCGGGTCGGATCCGGCATCGTGGGAAGGGTCGGCCTTCAACAGCTCATCCGCTTCGGGGTTGCGGGTGTCGACGTCCTTGATGATGATGCCTTGGTGCTGCCACTCGGAATCGGACAGGAGCTGGGCGTCCCAGTCAATCTTAAAGACCCCGCTGGAGGTGAACGCTTTGACCACACGGAGATACTCTGGCGCGTGGACGTACTCTTTCAGCCGCTTGGACACTGGCAGAATCATCTCCTCGCCAATCCATCGCACCGACTGGCCCGTCTTGGCGACCTTGAGCGCGCCGCGCACGATGGCGTGCGCCACTTTGACCAAGCCCTTGTCGCGAACATCGTCGTGCAGATCGTGGACGAGCGTCCGGAAGACGCCCTCAAACTCGGGGTTGAGGAAGGAGTACGAGCGCGAGTAGAAGAGCGCGTTGTGAAAGTAGAGCGGGACATTGATGAGCCCGTCACGCTTGCTGCGCTCGGCCAGCTTGAGCATGAGCTGGTCAATCTGCTTGCCCAGGCCCAGTCCCGGCGCGTCCTGTCCGGGGAGCAGCGACTTGAGACTCTCGGCTGAAAACGACTTGTTTGGGTCCTGCATCCGCGCCCACTCGAGCACGATAATGTCCAAGTCGCTGAAGGCCGTCATGCTCCGGACAACAGCAACGCCCGGGCTGGTGGACGAATGGGCGCCGAACGTTTTGAAATTGTCGACCGCGCGGAGTCGTCGAAAGTACATTTCCGCCAGCAGCGGGGCGTGCGGCTGTCGGTTGGCCACCACGAACAGCTTGTGGACGAAAATGTCGCTCGTGTCGAGCTTGACGTGGAACTGAGGAAAGTTGCGCTCTCGCAATTGGGCCGCGATCTGGTCGTCCTCGAGAATGGCACAGATGGCTTGGCGCGTGTACTTGCCCAGCAGCAGACCGTCGCCGTGGTCGTCCAAGTTGTACTCGGCCTCCGGCAGCGCGGCGCGTTCGGCCTCGGTCAGCGTGCGGTGGCGCGAGTGGGACGGTCGGAGATCGTCCTCGGAAAAGTCGAGCGTGAACTGAGCAACGTCAATGCTCAAGCCCCACTTGAAAAAGTTGGGCAGAATGCCGCCCTTCTTGTGAAGAGGCGCGGGAGACGCAGACGCATGTGTCGCGGCGGCGGCGGCGGAGGCGGAGGGAGCGGAGCCCAGCGACATCGACGTAAGCGCGTCCGCAGTCAACCCCGCCTGCACAGACGACGACGCGGTTGCCATTGTGTTACTTCCCCTCGAAACCTGACTAACTGAAAAAGCAAGGAGCCTCTGAAAACAATCGAACGAGCGTGAACGCCAAACAGCGAAAAAAAAAAAGAAAAAAAAAAGAACGAAATGGGAGTGAGCGGCAATTCGCTGCGGTTTGCGACGTTTTTTCCGTTGGGAGGTGGACTTGGGCACCACTTGAATCACGCCACCCCATGCATCAAGAGGGTGAGGAGGTGATGAGTGTTGGTGGTGGAATGGTGGCGGAGGTGTTCCGAATGTCCGAATGTCATCACATCGGCAAGAGACATGTGGTCATGGAACACGCGAGACAAAAGGGTTTATCTGAAAAAGAATCGTGTACTCTAAATACAGGCAGCACGTTGTGCAAAACGCAATACCACACACACACACACACGCACACTGCTCGGGTTTGTGGTTTGTCGCTGCTCTTGGCACTTTGGCGGGATTGGGGGTTTTCAGCTGCTTTTCGTTTTCGATTTCTTGTGGGGCAGCACAGGGTCGTTTCGACCCGTGCAGCAGAAGGCGATACTGCCCACCAGCAAGAAGACAGCGCCGACGCCCACAAGTAGGTGACGAAGCTCCCACGAAGAAAGCGTTCCAATCAGGACGGTCTGTCGTTGACGAGAAGAAACATTGAAGCGGGTTGGTTGTTTTGATTGTCGGAGCAGTGCAAGGAAAGATGAAGCATCAGGGCAAGGTCAATCGTGTTACAGCTGCAAGTGAGTGAGAGACAAATTTCACGCGAACGCTCGACCTTGTCGTGAACTGCTCCAATCAAAAACACCCACTTACCTCTTCGTGCTTGAGCTTGGAAAAGTCCAAATGCTTGACACGCTTGTCCTGCTTATCGAGGAGCCACGCGTCAGCCAGACGAACGACCTGTTCGGACGGGCTCTCTCGCGCAATAACTTCGTAGCGCAACGGGTGAACACCATTGCGAACGCTCAAGGTCAGGTTGATGTCAAACTCGGTCTCGCGCTAGAGGGAGCCCCCCGAAATTCAAATAAAAAAAACAAAACAACGCGTGTGGGAGGTCGAATGAGCTATTCGGATGTGCTGATCATGTCACCGCCCGAACCGTGGTGCATTGCTGTAGGCAAAACGTCGTTACCTGTCCTTGCATGTTATGGACAAAGCCTTCGAGTTTGCCCTTGCCTTGCTCGGCACGCACAATCAGCTGCCAGATTTGCTCAGATAGGGTCTTGAGGGCATGCAGTTTGGGATTTTCCGTCGCAAGCTTGGAAACGTCAACGGTGCCGTGCTCTTCCTGCCCACCCTCTTGCTGCTCTCACGCCAGCACCGGAAACAAAAACAAAAACACGAAAAAGACTATTGATCAGCCCACTGACACGCAATAGCAAGCTTAACAAGGGGTGTGGCTACCTGAACGACTTTCAGCCGGTCTTCTTGGAGCATCATCAGCCGACCGAATTGTGCCTGAGTCAGCACATCCTCAAGAGCATACGACTTTCCTTCCACATTCATCGACACTTCCGAGATGCCTGCGCGCGACGAGCACAACAAAGCAAAAGCAAGAATAGTCTAGGGCTGTGAGCGCAATCAGTACAACCCAGCAACGAGCAACTGCTCTCCCGCTATGCGTACCGTGTTGGAAGATCTGATCTGCAAGCTCCGGGAGAGTTAGACTCTTTGGGACTTTTTTGACAAACACCTGCGATTCCATCCAAATCTCCAAAATGAGCAAAAAGCGTCAAGCACATTAAAATTCTCAGACTTCAGCAGCGTTCCCTCTCATTCTTCAGCGACGCAGCCGCTTTCTTTTTTTTTGTTGCTTCGTACACTATGGCGTTCGACATCAATGGTCTTTCGGATCTCCTCCAGCTCCTGCTCCTGCTTGTCGGTGAGCTTTGGCGCGTCTGGGTCGTCTTTCGCGGCGTCTGCGTTGCCGTCCTTGAGTTTGCTGCGTATGGCATCGAGCGTCTGACGACGTGAGAGCTTGCGCGCCTTGTCGAGGGTTTGCTGCAGCTCGTTGATCTTGCCCAAGCCACCCTCAGGCAGCAAGTCGGCCGGGTTGGCTGGCGCAGCAGCGTCAGGCTTGGGTGGCGCCTTCCGCATAGGTTGCGGTCGTGGCTTGCTGACTGTTTCTGCCGCGCACATGGCGAACGCAGCGACGACGAGCGCAGCCACCAGCACCGAACGCAGCTTCATTGGGGAGTGATGGGGGGGGGGGGGAAGGAAACGAGAGGAAAACAAAAAAAAAAAAAAAAAAAAAAAAGGAAAAAAAAAAAAAAAAAAAAGGACGAGTGAATCAGCAGCGCTCTAAGCTCCACAGCAGCTCAAATGGCACTCGATATCTCGCTGCCATTCGCAATCAATGTTGGGTGAGACGAACGAGCGCTATTGTTTAGCTCGCAGTGCTTGATCCATCGACAGTAGATCTATTCATTTCAGTGTTTTGATTCACACTTTGGTCGCTTTTCGCTCAAATCCCCCAGCATCACCAATCCACCGTGGACACCATTGCGTTCCAGTGCGTTTGTTTGTGAGAGGTCAAAGCATCTCCGTTGCTCTGCTTCTCAGTCGTACTTTTTGTTTTCCCCGTTTCAATGTCGCTCAAGATCAACCGCGTCACAACGCACCCGTTCGACGGCCAGAAACCAGGCACTTCCGGTCTGCGCAAGCGCGTCACCGTCTTCCAGCAGCCAGGCTACACTGAGAACTTTGTCCAGGCCACGTTCGACGCCGTCACGCTCAATGTTCTGCGCGGTGAGTGGACAAGACTGGGCGCACGAAGCCGTTTCTGCTCAGTGGCGAGTCTGGGTCACGAATGAACGCCTCTGCTTCTATTGCTCACCTCCACGTCGTTTTGCTCTGCGTTTGACAACTCGCTCTTGCTCTCACACTCACAGGCAAGAAGCTCGTGATTGGCGGCGACGGTCGGTTTCTTGTGCCCGAGGTTGTCCAGATCATCATCAAGATGGCCGCAGCGAACGAGGTGCGATCCAACCCAAAAAAAAAAAAAAAAAAAAAAAAAAAAACCAATCGAAAACTTCGGTTTGAACTTTCAGCCTTTTGCGACACTCCATGAACTGCGGTAGCAAACGGTCGCATTGCGTAGTAGTAGTACCAGGAAGGGAGAAAAAACCCCCTCCTTTTTGTTTTCGACTAATTGCCCGTTGTCGCCAATTGGATTTTCTGCGCGCAGATTGGTCGCGTTATTGTTGGCACGAACGGCATTCTGTCAACTCCGGCAGTGTCGAATCTGGTTCGCGCCAGAAAGGCGCAAGGTCAGTGCATCATCACAGTCGATGGCTTTGCTGCCTTGAGATATCCAGTGCTGCGAATTTGCGCTCGATTCCGCATATGGCTGTCCTGAATTAGGCGCCATCATTCTGACCGCCAGCCACAACCCCGGTGGCCCCGAGGGCGACTTTGGCATCAAGTATAACGTTGAAAACGGCGGCCCTGCTCCGGAGGGCGTCACCAACCTCATCTACGAGTGCAGCAAGAAAATTCAGTCGTACTCGATCGCCGACATCCCGAACGTAAGGGCCAACCTGCAGCGCCTTGCACCAACCCCAACCCTTCCCCGTTAGCCAAACACTGTATTGTAGCTGTTCGAAGGCGAGGTTTGATTGCGTCTACTGTTCCGCATGTCTCACCTGGCGCTTCCCCCCCCCCATCTTCTTGTTCTCTCTGTCGCCCAGGTTGATCTTTCAAAACCCGCCGAACACTCGTTTGGCTCTGGATTTGCAGTCGAGGTGGTCGATTCGGTGGACGAATACGTGACATGCATGAAGTCGCTCTTTGACTTTGCCGCTCTTCGTGCCTACTGCTCTGATCCTGCCAACAAGTTTTCCATGTTGGTCGACTGCATGCATGGTGGTAAGGTCCCCTTGTCGTCAGCCCAATTGCGCAATTCATTTGAGTTTTGACGTTGCCAAATTGCACTTTTTTCCTTTTTTTTTTTTTTTTTTTTGGTATCGCACAGTGACTGGACCTTATGCGACCCGCATCTTTGTCAACGAGCTTGGCAACGCGAGCAACAGTGTCATGAACAACATTCCTCTTCCTGACTTTGGCGGTTTGTACCATTGGCCTTGTTTGTGCGTTGGTCTGGCGGCTCCTGCTCAATAGAACTTGCCGCGTTTGTGTAGGTGGCCACCCCGATCCCAACCTCACTTATGCGGCTGCCCTCGTGGAGAAAATGAAGAACAGCGAGCACACCTTTGGCGCTGCGTCCGATGGAGATGGTGTATGTCGCGCGCAAGTGAACAATGAGCGCACGTTCATTGGAAGCTCACCGTAGCATGCATTTTTTTTTCGTTTTTTGGCCATGCAAGGATCGCAACATGATTTTGGGCAAAAAAGGATTCTTTGTCACGCCGTCGGATTCTGTGGCTGGTAATGCTGGGCTTTTCGTTTGCTTGTTTTGAAGTGACGACTGTACAGGCGTTTCTACAGAGTTCTCACCTGGACCCCATCACAGTCATCGCCGCCAACTTTGCGCACATTCCGTACTTCAAACAATCGGGGCTGAAAGGCCTTGCCCGCAGCATGCCAACCAGCGCCGCTCTCGACCGGTAAGGGTGCATGTCCTGCTTTTCCAATGCCCTTGCCCTTGACGCAACCCATCGATATTGCGACTGATCTGTGGGTTTTTTTTCCACATCATCACCCGAGCAGTGTGGCTGCAAAGTTGAATGTCGAGTTCTTCGAAGTCCCAACTGGCTGGAAGTTCTTTGGCAACTTGATGGACGCCTCTCGGCTTTCGATTTGCGGCGAGGAGAGCTTTGGCACGGGCTCTGATCACATTCGCGAAAAGGATGGCATCTGGGCAATGCTTTGTAATTCAACTTTCAGCTCCTTGCTGGCTTGTTGGGGTTGGGTCGAGTCTTGTTCTTACGCCACTTGGTCTTGAGGGCTCCCTTCGCAATCTAGGCTGGCTTTCAATCATGGCCGCAACGAATTCATCCGTCGAAGATGTTTTGATCAAGCACTGGACGACGTTTGGCCGCAACTACTTTTCACGGTACCGCCCACAATTTGGTTTTGTGTGTCAGGGTTGTGTCTGCTGTGACACGACTCACTCACCGAAACTACATGCTTGTCTATTTTTTTTTCTTGTTTTTGTGGTATTCTCTTTGATTTTTTTTCCCCGTCGGACCCAGCTATGACTATGAAGAAGTCGACTCCGACAAGGCCAATAGCATGGTTGCGCATCTGCAGCAGTTTGTCGCAAACCCCGCTCTGCTTGTCGGCAAACAGTTTGGTCGTTTCACGGTCGCGTCGGTCGACGACTTTGCGTACACGGATCCTGTCGATCACAGCGTCTCGCTGCACCAGGGTATTCGCATTATCTTTGCTGACGGTTCTCGCATCATTTACCGCCTGAGCGGCACTGGCAGCAGCGGCGCAACCATCCGCGTTTACATTGATAGCTTTGAGACGGATTCTGCCAAACTTACCATGGATGCTCAGGTACAAAAAACATGGCGACGTTTGGCAAGCGCGCGCACAGGCCGGAGGAGGAGGAGGAGGGGGAGGTTGTTCTTGTTTTGGGTTTCGGCAACTCATCAAACTTGCACTCGGAAATTGTGCATGTAGGTTGCTCTCAAGCCCCTCATCGAAACTGCGCTCGAGCTTTCCAAACTGACCGAGTTCACTGGTCGCAAAGAGCCTACTGTCATTACATGAGGCGCAGACCAGAAGTTGTGTGTGTGTGCTCGATTGTCGGAGATTGTCGATTGTTGTCGATCTCTTCTTGTTGTCGATTGTATCTGAACACGCCTCTTTTTTTTTTTTTTCGACTTCAAGCTTTATGCACGAGTCGCTTGGCCTTCAATTATGAGTTTGATTGAAACCGCTTGGAAAGCTGTCGTATTAGAGTATGACTTTATGTCGGATATATCTAACGACAACCATCCAGGTCTTGAGGAGATAAAACACACATCAAGGAAGGAAAGAAAAAGGAACACAAAATGTACCAGCACACCCATTTCACACTCAAACACACTGCCCACATCCTTCGCTACTGAAGCCGCTACGTCAGCATCAGTCGCACCAGTGATCTCTCGGAAACGACACCGACACGGCAGCTGCTGCTGTGAACATGCCGTTCGTTGGCAAGCTCATGCAGCAAGAAACTTATCCCAAAGCCCCCAAACAGAGTCAACCAGCGAGTCGATCAGCGGCTGATCGTTCGGCGCCGAGACGTTCGAGTAAGTGTACTCGGACCGAATCTGACGTTCGATGGCACGCAGAGCCCGGACATGCCGACGGAAGAGCGGGTCAGAGTCGGCCGACTGCAGCGCGAGTGGAGATGCAGGAAGGCTGCGCGGCGGGGCGCGGTGATGCAGAGAAGCCAGGGCGCGAGATCTTTGGGAAATGCGCACATTGTCCGAGTGGACGACTTGGACGGTTGAGGAGTCAAAGTGGGTCTGTCGTGCTGCAGGCGGCGTGAAGAACGCCGGGCGCTTTTTACCCCGGCTCTTGTATCCAGCCATCTGTCTAATATCTACCATAGAGCCTCTCAAGGTCTCTACAGAGACGTGCTGTAACTGCTGCTGCTGATATTGTACGGTCTCGAATTTCCCTCCCCGAGCAAGCGAGGCAGAGTCAGCCGCATGTCGGTTGTTCGCGCTTGCGTTGACGGATGGAACTGGAGATGGTTCTTGCTGCAACAACGTTGTGCGATCTGCTGTTCGACGAGTTGGTAGAGAATGCGAATTTCGCTGCTTGCGCGGGACGCGTTTCTCAGACAACTGTTGCGTTGAAGCACTCACACCAGCGCCATCATCATGCATGGAACGATCGCTGCTGGCTTCATCATCGTCATCCTCGTCCTCATTATCGTTGCTAGCGTTCACTGTCGTTTCATCTGCGTTGCCGGCACGCTTGAACTTGTCGTCGCGGTCATTCTCGATGTGGGATGGTTTGGATTGGTTTGCGGAATTCAATACCAAGTCGTCCTCCTCCTGGTGAGAGATCCCGTCGTCGCCATAGCCGTCATCATCATCATCGACAACAGCTTCACTGCTCGTCTGCGTCCACCCGGTAGCAGCATCGGCATCAGCATCGGCATCGTGATTGTCCCGGATGGCGGTCAGTGAGGAATGCTGGTGTTGCTGAATTCCCGCCGTCGAGGCAGGGTTCTGGTCCTCGTCTGGAGCTGCTTCGTTCGCCGGACTCTGGTGGGGGTGAGGGTGCTGTGCGTGGTGGTGTCCGCGGTGGTGCGGCGCTTCCATGTGGTCGTATGCGACTGCGGGAAGTGAGCGAAGGCCGTAAGCGCTTGAGCGACCGCTGCTCCCGCCAAACTGCTGGCTGTCCTGCGGCAGATCGTTGCCATCACTGCGAGCAGTACCATTGTCCGGTTCTGCTGTCGTCCCAAACAAATTGTCCACAATCGCCGAGCGAACGGCTGCAACCAACCCAGACATGATGCTCTTGAAAAGATGACCTAAAAACAATCAAAAAAAAAAAAAAAAATAAAAAAATAAAGCCTGAACTGAGATTGGCAATCAATCCTTTTTTTTTTTTTTTTTTTTTTTTTCACTTGCTCTCCTTCAGATTTGTCCGTGTCGGTTGCGTTGTTGCCACACATGGACCCGCTGCCGACGCGTATTGCGCAAGCCGACTCGAAGCTGCAGATGGATCCTGCGTCCGAGCTCGCAGCGGCGCTGGACCGTCCGACAGCTCGAGGTGATTGGGCTGAGCCCTCGGGTGCTGCTGACGTTGCTGACGCTGCTGCTGATGGTGCTGCTACTGCTACTGCTGCGGATCTACTGCACCTGCTGCCGCTGGAGGCCAAGATTGTCGACACGATTCTGTTGTTCAACAGCGTGTCCAAGGACGATGGCACGTTTGACACGTTTCCCGAGATTGACAGCCCCGACTGGAAGAGCTTCATCGAGACTGTTCCGCTGTTCTGCTTCCCGTCAGAGTCATGGCTCGTGGAGCAGCCCGCGACGCCCTTTGCGAGGGGCAGCCAGGCCACCATGCCGGCCGTCGTGCGTGGCAGAAGCGTCTCCGACGAGTCATCCGGCAGTGCGAGCAACGCCACGGCGGCCCGCGAGCCCTACTTTCGATCGCACTCGTTTGTGCTCACAGATGCGCTCGGTTGCCATCGCTACGGCGTGTGCACCGTTCTTCTGACGCCAACCGGGCAGCCAGTCACTGACCATACACGGACGCAACGTGCGCATCAGCGTGCGTCAAACCAGTCAACGCAGTCTGCGCCGGACGCGTTGGAGTCGGCGTCCATCGGCCAGCTGCGCCGGACAAGTCGCGGTCGCAAGTCGTTGTCCCTGCCTTCCACCATGCTCCAAACCGCGTTAAACTATGCCGATCCCGTCATCTCCAGATTCCCCGACGTGCCAGGTTGCACGTGGCGCGCCGTCGCGCTTCTTTCCAGGCTGCCCTTGTTTGACTCTTTGTTTAAAATTTCGCGCTCGTTGCTCGGCATCTGGTCGGATACTCCCGAAGAGCTTGACAACTGGTGTCTTCACCTGACCTACTCGGTACGCCTCGAACGAACGATCGGGGTCGGGGTCGGGGTCCTTGTTTGATGCAAATCGTTTCGCAAAATGTGTGGTTTTTTTTTTTTTTGGACTCACTGTTTCATCGATCGTCGCAGCTCCCAACACCACCTGTCGGCGGCCTCAGTGTCGAATTCCAAGTCGGTTCCGAGCTGGTGTCGGTCTCGCGCCCAGCCTCCCGTCGCCTTGTGGACGTGGACACTTCCGTTTTGCTGAGCACGCTTTCGCCAAGCAGCATCCTCCAGGTTTACGGTTCGCTCCTGCTGGAAAAGTCAGTGATTCTACATTCGACCAACCTGGAGGCTTTGACCGCCACGTGCGAGAGTTTCCGGTCGCTCCTGTTTCCGTTTGAGTGGGAGCATGTCTACATTCCGATTCTCCCGCCCTCCTTGCTGTTGGTTGTCCAGTCTCCCGCCCCTTTCTTTCTCGGAATGCACACGGATGCATTTCTGGAATGCAGCGACGAGATTGACGAGGGCGTCGTTGTTGTCGATCTCGAAGCGGATATCATTCGCAATGGCGCGACGCTCGGTCGCAACCATCATCTCAAGCTGCTCAAGCTACTGCAACAAGCCCAGCAGCGCCGATTTGAAGAGAGATACGACACGCCGCGTCCTCGTCGATCAGCAGTTGCGCTGGCTGATGTGGCGCCGGGCGAGTCGATCCAGCCTGCCTCCAAGCGCGGCGCTGACGAAACGGTTCACAGCCTGCTGCTGGATGCCTTTGCTATGTTTGGATGGCGGTTTGCTGCTGCCATTGCTTGTTATCACGACGACTCGACGAGCGAACTCGACGTAATTGCCCTTTGTGCTGCCCATCCCGAGCTTGACTCCAAGTTTGTTGAGGTAACAAGAAGCAAGTGGCTGCCCACTGTTGCACTGTTTCTCGTCGAATGCTAAGCCCTTTTGAAACGCTTGTTTTTTCTTTGTTCGCGTTGTGTCTCACTTTGCATCTTCCCCCGCGTTTGTCAGAGCTTTTGCGAAACAAGCGCCTACTTTCGATTACTTGACAATTCAAGATTGCGTGCAAGACTCGGCTCTTCACCCTTGAGAGCACCAGAGTGGACGAGCGCTCGGGCACACCTCGCCCTCAAAGTGCCGCCTCCAGTGTCAAGTGCCACTGAAGGCTACCATAGCAGGCTACTTGGCAAACGATTCTTGCAGCTCTCTTCTTCGTTGCTGCCCCTTTTCCTGTGGAAGCCTACCGAGTTTCTGGTTGAATTTTTAACGGTAGCCATCGACCGTCAGCATAGTCAACTTCAACTGCAAGGCGCTCTCACCGCCACATTTGACGCGACGCTTTGCGACCTCGTGATGATGCGTGCGAGCGCGCTCTTCTCCATGAAACTCTATGCGTGCGCGGTGCAAGATATCCTCATCCTCCTGGAGCTGTGTCGCCCCAAGCCGCAACAGAGCGAGCAGCCGCAACAGAAAGAGCCGTCGCAGCCACCCTTCCACAGCACAGTGCTGCGCGACTGCATTCACATCATCAAGGAAGACGTTCCTCCAGAACTCGTGCACAAGCTTCATCCAGCCCTGTGGGAGCTGTTGAATTCCAGCTCGACAGCGATCGCGCCACCGTCGGCGACAGAGCTCATGGTCCACCCTTTCTGTGCACATGCGACTGGCAGTCATTCGTCTCGCAACTCAGCCATTGATCCATCTCTCTCGAACGATTCCTACCTGTCCTCGACAGAGAAAGGGGCGTTGCAACAGCAGCAGGCGCTTGCGGACAGGCCCAAACTGGCCTCAGCCCAGTCGACCGTGGATGCAGCCTTGGTTCAGGATATTGCCATGCGACGGCCATCAGTGGCGCTGACATCCGCTACGATGCGGCGCAGAATGTCGATTGCTCCACAGTCCCTCATTCCGACGTCGGCGCGCCGACTCTACAAGCAGCCCACCCAGGCAGAGCCGACCGAGGCAAGCAAGCAGCCAGCGAGTCCCGTGGGTTCACCAGCCGACTCCAATCGGCTGTTGATTCTGAATGCCACGAGCTCCGCAGCCAAGTCCCGGCCGCTGCCGCTGCTTCCTGGGCGTGTGCTCGAATCGAACGGATTTCAAGTTTTGCAACAGGGCATGCGCACAAGAGCGTCCGTCACTGCCCACTCAATCATTTCGCCAGCAACTTCAGTCAGTTCGCTATCCGCTGCATCGTCCGAAGAAGACTTGCTGCCGCCTCTGGACCATTTATCTGCCCTGGAACTGTCCATCCAAATGCTGGAAATTCTGGCCGAGCTCTTCCGCATCATCGGCCACACAGAGGCGACAGGCTTTGTGGTGTCCGATCCCAGCCGCGTTGCGCTCATTTCATACACATCTGCCTTCCAGAACTTTGCGCGTTTTGCCGAGCAGCTCAGCACCGTGCAAATCCACAAAGTATTTGCGAGCATTGAGGAAAAGTTGTGTTTCTTCCTGAACATTCGATCCGCACTTTTGGTATGCATGTTTTGGCGATGGATTCCTAGAGATTGGTTCTGGCGATGCTCAATTTTTTTTTCCAAATCTGCTGTTCCTCTTCTTTTTCCTGCTGCTTTCAACAGATGCACGCCGTGCTCGAACTGGGCGGCCCGACTTATCGCCATCAATGGCAGTTCCTGTATTCGATCGCGCGGTACCAACTCGGTGGGCGGCTGTACTCTGTTGCAGACATTGACGAGACGATTTTGCGATACTCGGATCCGCTGACCTCAGCTCCCCTCGCCAGCACCGGAAAATCCAAGACTACGACCACCACTCCGCCGCTTCGGCGTGGCCTGTCCCGAGGCGTTCGGCAAATGAGTGTGCGAACGAGGTCGCGAGCGACCGATCTGGACGAGTTTGTTTCGCCAAACGGTAGCAAGTCCAACCTTTGCGAGCCCTCCCAGGCATCACCGCATCAGGCAACGTCGCAACCGTCCAACCCTGTCCAGGGTGGTGCATCATCTGCCAAAACGCGTCAGCAACAGTTGGTAAACTCGCTCACTCCGAGCCAACTTATTTCGCAAGACCTAGCTCTCCACGAGAATTTCCGGTTCATTTCTTTTGCCTGCTTCAACGGCACCAATTCGTCGCCGTTTGTGCAAATTTACAAGCCAGACACTGTGTGGGAGCAGCTGCGGATGGGAGCCGTGCTCTTTGTCAACGAGCAGGTTTCCGTACTTTCCCCAAGCGTTGTACTTCCAGTGCATTTCCGCTGGTACTTTGATGACTTTGGCGAGCAAAAGAAGGACATTGTGAACTGGTTGCTATCGCTCCCCGAGTCACAGGCTGCTGTGGCACTTTCGACTCTGAGTGCGGCAGAGCGACGACGTCTCTCCATTGAGATTCGAAAGCCCGCGTGGCATTTCCGTCTGCACTGGCTCGAACTGGATCCGTTGTCTCCGAATGCACCTGGTAAGACCATTACGATGGGGGAAAGGAGGGGGTTGGAAGCGAAAAACAAAAGAAGAAAGAAAGAAAAAAAAAAGGAAGCTTCCAACCAACCAGCCAGACAGATGCTAGTGACGATTTTGTTTGGTTTGACTTTTGTTGTTTGCTCATTTCTTTGTTGGCCGTCTTCATTTGTCTACTGCTCTCCTCCCCGTTTCTCCGTTCTACCTCTGCTCCTCCTCCTCATCCTCTCTTCACGCTGGTCCATCTGTATAGCTCTCCAAACTCTGCGTGTCAAGGTGCACACTGGAGGCGACAGGTGCAACTTTGACCTCGAGCAATGCGCGCTTTCCATCCAACTGCAAGGCGACCGGGACCAGTTGACTCCATATGTCGCGTTGGAAGAAAATGGAGACGCCGCCTCCTTTACCATCGGGTCTTCAACCAGTTTCAAAATCTTGGTCCCTAGCCACGTGAGTGTTGGCTCGATTGTCAAGGCTCGCTTGCGCGTTTCGTCCCGGCCACGGGCTGTCCAAGCGCGACCACGCCGCGGTAACACGACTCCGGATGCCACTCAGGTACTGGGGCCTGAAGGCAGGTCTGGAGCAGGGGCTCTTGCGACGAACGACCGGGAGGAGGACGACGTTGCCGAGCTGTTTGATCTTTCTGCCACCGACTTGTGGTGGCTTCCCAGCAGCGTTTCCATCGGGTTGGATCTTGATACAACGCCACAAACCCTGTTGGTCAACGAGCAAGTGATGGACGGCGTGACCCGGGACGTGAGCTTTTCCCCACTGCGAATTTTTGAGGTACCGCTCGCTCTTCTCGCTGGCTGCATTGCCATCTGCATGGCTGCATTGCCTTTGAATTGATTTTTTTTTTTCGTTTGTGTTGTAGGTTACACTCCATACTGCTCACTCTCAGAGCGTCAACGTGTCCGCGTCCGTGCAGTTTGTTGGCGCCCACGGCTTCAGCGCGCCGTACCGCGTTACGCCAGGGTCGGCCAGCAACTACATGAAATTCACAGGAGAGTCTCCAACCATGTTCATCATCGACACTCCCGCCCCCATTGGAGACCTCACTGGCATCAAGCTTCGAATTGACGGCTTCTCCTTGTTCTCGTCCCGCAAGTGGAAACTCGACCGGATTGAAGTGTACGAGCCGCTGGCTCTGAGCACTCGTATTTTCATTACCAACCACGTTGTTCGCTTGGACGACGAGAACAACTGGGTCTTGTTTTCCTAAACCGCCCTGGAAAGTTCGTCGAATCCTGTTCCCTTTGTCATCATTACACGACTCATTGTTGTTTGAGTTTTCGTTCGCTTTTGTTGTTGTTGTTGTTGTTGTTGTTGTTGATCCCGACGGATGCTTGAGAGGCTTGAGAAGGTCGATTTAGCAATGAGCCATTTTCTTTCGCTCGTTCCGTTTTTGGAGTTTCCAATCTACTCAGTGTTCTCTTCCCACTCTTCTTGCATGCTGGGGCGCAACCCTTCTCTGGCCGCGGCCTGCATGGCTGCATGGCTGTCTTGTTGTGCGCCATCTCTAACACTGCCTCCGTCAGCGCTGGCGTCTCATGCTTGAACGAGGTCAGTTTCGAAAGCAAGCGACCCAACAAAAAGAAAAAGAAGCAAAAAACGCTCCGCTCGATTGCTTGAGACCGGCTGGTTTTGCTCTGTGCGCTTGTGTCGTCGTTGCGCACCTGGCACTCCTTTGTGCGTCTCGGTGTTCTATCTCAGATGCGCGACGTGCGCAGAGCGAGCCGTGTGCAGTGCACCGCCAGCGGTTGGAGCGAGGTGGGGCGATGGCTGGCACGTTGAGGTTTTAGCCTGATTGATTGGCCTCGTGAGTGTGTCAAGCTCTTTGCCTGCTGTCTGCCTGCTGCTGCCCAACGAGCGACGAGCCACCACGACTTGTCCATCGTGAGCCTTGCTTCTAAGTCACTGTGTCGGTGTCCAGGACGCGCTCCAGCACGGCCGCTTGCAGAACAGACCAGCAGCAATGCGTGTCACACACAAACGCCGATTTTTTTTTTATTTTTTTTTTTTTTTGGTTTTATTGCTTACTTTTTTTGGTTGATTTTTTTTTTTTTTTTTTTTTTTTGTCTTTTGGGTTACGACGCCAATGTTTTCCATTCTTGTTCCCAACGTGCGCAGTCACTTTGAAAGTGTGTTCTCATGGTTGTACATGTTGATTTGATATTTTGCGAACGATCGTGTGTGCGCGTAGAGCGGTCAACCGGTCGATTGGTTTATTATGCTCAAGCTCCCGGTCAACTCGTCCAGCTCAAACACCTTCATGAAAACAGGCAATGCATATGCTTACATGGACTCGACCATTTCGTCCTTCAAGGTAGCTCGGTGCTTTTAGGTTGCAATGTGACCGACAACCTCGTCAACCGTGAACAAACAAACAAACAAACAACTCACTTGCTGCAACCTAAATTTTTCACCATCGCAGCTCTCCAGCATTGGTCTCAACGATAACACGCATGGTGCTGCCGCGCTGACGCTCCAGCAATTCTACAATGCGGGCGCAGACGTGAGCCATGTATTTTATGACGACGAGTCTCCCGACAACAAAACCCACGATTCCAACGGTCACACCAAGGTTGGCCCTTGCAGCAGCAGCAGCAGCAGTAGCATATTGTTGATTGAACCCTTGCTTTCTTGTTTTGCTGACCGGCCTGCTTTTCCTTTGACCACGGTCATGGATGTGTGGATCGCAGGGTGTTGTTGGCCTGGACGACTCGGCAGGCCTCTGGATGGTGCACAGCGTTCCTCGCTACCCTCCATACCAAGCGTCGGGCTACAGCTATCCCGACTACGCCACGACCTTCGGCCAATCATTCTTCTGCATGAGTCTCTGTAAGTGCGCAAAGGTTTCACGTCGCACTTTCATTCTTTGATTTTGACTTTTTTTTTCTTTTTTTTTTCCCCCTTGATGGTGCTCTAGCGTTGAGCACATTGCAAACGGTTTCACAACAGATGCAGCTCAACCATCCGTACGTGTTTGAGTCCAAGCTGACCACTGCCACAAGCCAGAAGGTTCCAGCGCTCGCTGGCATTGTCAATGGCGTGCACGTCTCTGTGGTATGCAATCCCGCTCGATTGGGTTGAAGGGTTGTGCGCAAAACCAGATGGCAACTCACATGCTAATGCCCCCCCCACCCTCGTGCTTGCCACACCCCTTGTTGCAGAGCGCTTCCAACATTACCGCGTTCCAGACGCTCGGTGGTGTCCCGTTGACGGCCTTTTCCAAAACCTCGACTTGGAACCAAGATCTGTACATGGATCTCGTGCAGCCTTACTACAAGCAGAGCATGCTGATTGAAACGTGGACGAACGGCATCAATCCTGTAAGCCTTGCTGCTACCAATAGTCTTGATCAGAGTCACCCTCAACCCTGCGCCACTCACTCCCTGACACGGTTTGTTCCAAAACCCAAAACCCAGCTCCCGTCCGAATGCACCCCAAAGTTCCCCTACAATTCAATGAACGTTGCCGTTGTCGAATTTGCTGGAGGCTACGAGTACACGCGCTCCAGGGACCACAGCAAGTGGGCCATCAGTCAGAATGCCAACGAGAATGTGGTATGCATTGGCGACATTAACCGCCAGGCGTCGATGGCAACACGAGCCGGTGGCACAGTGTGCATTGTCAACAAGACCATCTGGACTGCCTTCAATAGCCTGATTGTTGCTGTCGATCCTTGCTAAATCTTAGTTTTGTTTTGTTGTGAATTAGAAAAAGTTTGCCGCCTTTTTTTTTGTTGCAGTGTGGAGCGGCAAACATGCAGCCTTGTCAACGTTTACTAGTCACGATGACAATTAAAAACCAAACAAAAAGAAGAAGAAGAAGAAATGGCAAACGAGACAACAAACGGAAAAAAAAAAAAAAATGCAAACACCCATTCACCGTGATCATCACAACACACACGATCGCCCCAAACAAATCGGGAACGAACAATGTCAAACAAACCAACAAACAAAAAAACTTGAAACAAACACACACACACACACACACGAAAAAAAAATGCATCAAGCAGACACCAGAGATCCGACAACACAACGCAAGTCCAAAACGGAAGCGCTGCCGAAAAAAAAACCCCCGCCTTGTGTTTTTAGTGCGCCTCGGATGCCATCTGTGCAAGCAACTTTGGTGGATAAAGCGATCGTGGCAGCACAGCGGGAAGAGGCTCGTCGGCCAATCGAACGTGAACAAAGTGCATGGCAAGGGCAAACTCTTCACAGTCGAGCTTGCCGTCCTTGTCGACGTCGGCGAGAACCCAAATCTTGCCAAGGACATCGCGTGGCAGCTTGGACTCGACCAAGACACTCTTGGCTTGGTTGCCGTCAATTTTGCCGTCGACGGGCTTGAGCGATTCAAAGATGCCGTAGAACTTGGCGCGCGAGTTTTCGTCAATCTGGTCGACGAGGAACTTGACGGTGGCGAACGGATTGGCGTTGGCGAGGGCGAAAGGGTTGGCCTCGCCGAGCTCGCCGAGGAGCTGCTCGGCCTTGGTGGCAGTGTCCTGCGGGAACTTGCGCATGAGTGCGGGAATATCGTTGGCCAAAACCTCGTCCATGGACTCGATGATTCGCTTGTCGAGCTTGGGGAACTTGCCAAAATCGTGCACCGACAGCAACTCCTTCATGCGGTTGAGGTCGGGGAAGTCTCCTGGCGGAATGCCGTGCTGGCGCTGGATTTTGACGCACTCTTCTTCGAGGTTGGCAATGAGCTCGGCTTGCTTGGCAGACTTGCCAAACATGGCCGGCATCTCGTTCTTGAGGTGGGAGATGATGAGGGCGTGCACCTTGGCCAAGCGAGCGCGCTTGACCAGTTCGTTGATTTTTCGTACTGCAGAGTTGCGGGGCAGTGCGCGCAGGTCGCTGAGCAGATCGCGCTGCTCGGCGTCAAACAGCCGCTTATTTTCGTCGTTGTGCAGAGGCTGGTCCCAGAACGAGCCAATGTACACGCGCATGACCTCGGGCGTCTGGATGACCTTGCCGAGCGACCACATGAGCGCGCCGTACACGCGCATGAGCTGCTGGCCGGTAATCATGTCTGCCTTATTCAACACCAGTCGGATTTTGTCGTCGTGGCCCTTGAGCGACGTAATCACACGCTTGAATTCGTCGCTAATATCCAACTTGTGGGCATCAAAGAGCAGCAGAATCAAGTCGCACTTTTCCGCAAACCACTCGGTGACCTGCACAAAGTCGTACGAGCGACCGAGACGTTGCTTCTCACCCGACAAGACACCGGGCGTGTCAATGATGGTCAGCTCCTCGAGAATCGGCGCTGGCGTTTCCGCGCCCTGGAATTTGCTGAGGAAGGCCGTGCCGAACTTGGTCAGGCCACGGAATGGTTTGTCTGCCTGCACGGCCAATGCGTTGCCGGGCGTCACGCGTTCTTCGTTGCCATACTGAATGGCGCAGAAGCGATCGGTGGTTGGTTCTGGGCCAATGTGCATGCCCGGAAAGTCGCGCTCGACGAGGTATCTTTTTTTTTTGTGCAGTGTAGATAGTGGGTGCAAAAGCAAAAGTGTTTGTGAGCCAGGTGAACAAAAGACAAGGCGGGATGCAGAGAGAGCGAGAGAGAGAGAGAGAGAGCGAGAGAGAGAGCGAGAGTGACGCGAGACAGACCACCACCGCGTGCTCAAGCAAACTGGCCCCACCCCCGGCCCCGGCTTTAGCAAGGACAGCGACAAGATCACGAACAAGTGCAGATCGCACTCGGCCACCGGGTGGGAATGGGCGACCGACATCACAGCACAAAGGATGCGCAACTGCGTCAACAACGGCTTTTTTCTTCTTCTTCTTCTTCTTCTTCCACCTTTGATTTGACGGCGGCGTTGCGCTCCAGCCCCATCAACAGAATGGCATCAGCCAACCCACCACGCAGACTTCCATCCGAAGCGAGGTCTGGCCCCAAGAACGCCGGGGAGGGGGGAGGGCGCCAACCGCAGCCCAGCCATTGTTATGACCTCTTTTTTTTTTTTTTTTTTTTTTTTTTTTTGTTTGAATTGGGCTTCAGTCAAAAGCAATGCGTTGCGCTGTCCCCCATCTCCTGCTGCCCAGCCTCGTTGAGACCGAGTAAGCAGGACGAACGACAAAGCAGTCAACGCTGGAAGACGATCAGAAATGCAACGCAACAGCCGAACAGCGAGTGCGATGCAGTGAACAAAGAAAGAAAGAAAGAAAGAAAAAAAAAAGTTTGTCGTTCCTTTCCTTTCGTTCTTTCCTCGCTTCTTGTTTGAGAACGAACGAGATCTCGCTATTGTTGCGTTTGTTGAGTTTTGTTGAAAGGGGGGGGGGGTTGTTGTGTTGTGTTGTCTGTGGACGGCCACACAAAAGCAAGCGTCCTGCCATACCGGATGAAGGTGGTTTTGCCGGTCGAGTACTGGCCGAGCATGAGGACCATCGGCCGCGCGTCAAAGTCAGAGTCGAGCATGTATGGCGAGTGGAAGTCGGCAAACTTGTACAGCTGCTCCAGCGGCAGCACCTTGGACTTGTACAGCTTCTTCAGGCCTTCCACCACCGCGCTCGTCACCTTGCGGTCGTCGCCGGGCGTCTTTTCCTTGTTCTTCTTGCCCATTGAAACAGGTTTTGGAAGTAAAGAAAAAAAAAAAGTGAGACTGAATCTTCGTTGTTGATGTCTTGATGTCTTGATTCTGGATTTGGATGAACGTTCGCGGAGGGATGCTCAAGTGGACAGACATATTACCAGGGTGGAGCAACAATGGCGGGGGAGGGAGAGCTCGTGTTGCCGCTCAAAGCCCGATCGTCCTGTAGCTCAGATGTTTCGCAATCCTAGACTTCCTCCTGCCCGTTACGATCCGTCGGTGTATCTGCTCAATCCGAATCGTTAACGTCAGAGTCGACTCTCAACTCAACCTACTCGCTGCGATGCTTGGCGCTTCAGTCGCTGTTTTTTTTTTTTTTTTTTTTCTTTCTTCTCTCTACTTCTCATGACGGACGCGCAGTGGTCGCAGGGAGCGCAGGCACCCTCGCGATATCCGCTGTTTGAGCTCGCAGCCATTGTTGGTGTTGCGTCTGCATCGTCGTCGTCGTCGTCATCGTCCTCGTCGTCCGTGGGATTGGGCAGCGGATCACCCGCGTCCTGGCATCCGCACACACAACAATCCTCGCAGCAGAAGCAGCCTGGGCTCGGCTCGCAGGCACCAGGGTCAGCCGGCGTCACAGGTGAGTGCTGCCTGTACCCCGATCTCGCATCTGCCCGGTGGTTGGTGGTGTGGGGCGTCACACACACTGGCTGCCGTATCACTTGACCCAATCCCAAAAAGCTTCAGTAGTCTGCCTCTGTGTGACTCTTGCCCGCTCTGCAGCGTTATTGCAATCGACACGCCTATTGCTATTGCAGTTTGAGTGGCGTCTTTGTTGCGATAGGGGGTTTGGTTTGGTTTGGTGGGGTTTGGGACACTGAACTCGACTTGCTTGAGATTTGTCCTTCGTTCACGCTCACTCACGCTGGCCTTCCTTGTCGTCCAGGTCCTGGTTCAAAGCAGCATCCGCCATCAGCAGCCACGACGACGGCGACAGCGACGACGGCTTCTGCATCGGGCTCGCTGGCCTCGTCGTTCGCGTCAAGCTTGTTCCGTCCTGCTGCAAAGACGGCAGTGACGACCGACACGAGCTCAGCCTCTGCTGCAGGCAGCGACCCAGCCAACGCGGGTCCTGGCGCGTCTGCGTCGTCATTAGCCGCGTCGCTCGCCTCGCACGTGGCTGTTCGTCTTGCTGCAACCGTCACAACCACCAAACACACGCTGGTTGCGTTTGTCTGTTCGACGCTCTCCAACCAAGACACCCTCGTTGGTAAGCACTGCTGAAGGAAGCTCGCCTTTTGTGTGTTTTGTTTTGATCAATCAATGTTGACGATAAACTCACCTTCACAACAAAACGACACGCACACAGTTCGCTATGTTCGCACTGGAAACCACCCGCTCGTGCGACACATCCCTTGGACAAAAGACCCCAACAAGCGGATTCTCGCCTTGGACATTAGCCCCACGGCTGAAAGCGTGGTCTGCGTCAGCTATGATGTGTCGGTGCATCTTATTCCGGTCGTTGCACTCTTGCGCGAAGAGAGCCGCCAAAAGCAATCAGAGCAACAGCAGTCGCCCGCCAATATGCCCGCTTTCGGCACTGACGCTTGGGACGACATTGATCTCGATCCCGACACCGAATGGAGCTCGCTCGCTGCCTTTGGCTCTGACGACACCTTTTCCGACACGGTCGTTGCGCCCATTTCATTGCTCAAGGCGAATGAAACCGTTCTCGCCTCGTTTGGCGTGTTTGGTCCAGCAACAACATCCTCCCCAGTCACTTCAAGCGATAAGGTTTGTTGATAAACGGCTTTTTTTTTGTTTGTTTGGCGCCGTTCAGAGCTTTTCCAATGCTTGAAATCTTTTTCTCAAAAGTTGCTCTTCTGCTTGGATTGCCTCCTTGTAGCGCACGGGCATTGTGAGTACGAGCTGCGCGACCAAAACTGCTCGTCTCGGCGTTGTCAGTTGCTGTCTCTGGTGGAAAACATTCAACGGCGACGATATCTGCGTTATCGGGACCAAGGTAGAAAAGAGCAGAATAGTCGCTTTCGCCACGACAAAACTTGCTCGAAAACTTGCAACTGACCTCTCTTCTTGTTGCGATTGACACTAGCGTGGCTCAATCTACTTTGTCAACCTAAACACACAAGTGGAGCAAGCGGCCGAGCGCATCAAGAAGCCCATCGAGCGCCTGGAGCTTGTTGACAGCGTTCTGGGACTGCCCGCTCGATATTTGCTCATTCACGCCATTCAGGCGCCCGTGCCAACCGGCAGTGCATTGACTGCTGCGACGCCGCCTGCTTCCTATTCAATAGCCTGTACGGTGTCGTCTTGCAGCTGTTGATTTTTACTGCTGCGCTCACTTTGTTGCCTTCTTTCGCGGTTCTTTTTGTTCTTTTGTGTTGCTCGCAGCTCGGGAATGTTTCAAACTCCTCTTGGAGCAACTGGTACAAACCCCCGTGGAAGCACCAGTCGGGGCCGATATGCGTCTCTCTGCTGCGCTGTCGAACGTGTTTGCTCCCTCTACTGCTGCTGGCAGTCACGGAACGGCTGCCGTGGATGGAGCCAGCCACATCTCGACCACTGCTGAAACTATTTTGACCAACTTTGGCCAGCCGGACTTTACTCACTTTTCTCTTCGCACGACTGCGCATTGGGAGGTGGTTGGCGTGCAAAACACACGCCAGGGGTCGCTCATTGGAGTCCACTCTGGAGCGACAGGCCAGTACGACGTGTTTGACAACGACATGAAAAAGTACTCCCTCTTCGTGTACCAGCTCTTCCCGGACGCGTGCCAGATTCTGCTCACAGACAAGTTTATCTTTGCGGTCGTTCGGCCTCGGCCGCCAGAGTCGCACACGCAGCGCTTGATTGTCTTTTCGCGCATTCTGGCCACGGCGACAGCGTCCAACATTGGCAACTCGTCCAATCTTGCGCGAGCTCGCGCCGCAGTCGTGCAAGAGTTTTCCATTCCCGCCGACGAGACCGTGCTTCATCTCGCCCGCGACTCGCCAATCCCGTCCCTTTCTTCTGGACAAAAGCAACGCGAAGCGCTGCTGGCCTCCGGCACGCATCCGTTGTCGACCACCGAGCACGAAGAAGCGACCGAAAGCCGCCTGCACCAGTTGAGTCTGGACCTGGGGCTGCTGCCTCAAAACGGTAACTTGACCCAGGCATCGTACAGCGGCCGTGCAACTCCTGCCGGCTTTTACGACCATGGACTCGATGTCAGCGGCATGACGATTCAAGCATCGGACTTTGGTTACTCGGGGGTTGTTGGGCTCCAACGCCAAATGGAGGAGGAGGACAACCAAAGCCACAACAACCTGCTGTTGTTGAGCATGTCGGTCAGCACCAGGCAGCTGAATGGCGGAAGCAATAGCTCCTTCTCACCAGCTGGGTTTGCTTCGTCCGAGACTGCCTCCGTGAATGCGAGCGAGCACGAGGATCCTGCCGTCGCGGCAATGCTCGCAGATGCGTTGGCAGGCGGCTCGCACGGTCTTTTGCGTCACGATAATGGCGTCAACTCGCCCGTGCCCCCTTCCGCCGTCGCTGGCCACTTGAGTCATCCCCGAAACCCGGAGTTCCTTGGCACCTTTTCTTCGCAGCCCGTCGACGACGACTTTGCAAGGCCCAGGGTGCACGAAGACCTCACAACCGGCCTCCAAATGGACGAAGTTGGGATGTCCAGCTTCCAGCGCCGCGTTCAGCAGCAGGCCCAGGAGGCCTTGGCGAATTTGCGGACGACAACGCTGGACGGCTGCTTTGTCGTCACCACAGGCCGAGTTTACCACTGTCGCCCGCGCGTTCCGCCAGAGCACATCTTTCTCGGTTTGGTGGCGCAGCAAGTGGATGCTGAGCCCTTTGGCAAAACCGTCGAGCTGGACATGCATGGGCTCTACGAGCTGGCCGCCGATCAGTACTTTGCCCAGCTCGACTACCTGCAGGCCTTCCAGCTTTATCAGCTGTCCAATGTGCCTTTCAACAAGCTTCTTTGCCGGTTTGCGTGGGTTGGGCAGATGGACTTGGTCTACGATTTCCTGCAGCGCGTCTTGAGCGATCCCAGCTCTCTCACAGCCAACAAGCGCAAGCATCTCTCCGATTTGCAGTTTGCGTGCTTTGTTCAGCAACTTTTGGCGACCAAGGCGGCCGGAGCGCTCGAGCGCCACGCAGAAGTATCAGAGCAGTTCTCCAAGTACATTACCGACAACTGGGATTACGACCCTGGCGCTGCGCTCTTGGTGTTGATTTCCCACGGAATGCTTTCTCACTTTTTGCAAGTCGCGGAAACCAAGGGCCTCATGACCCGCGCGCTCAACATTCTTGTCAACCGCTGCGCCCTGCATCTGGACGAGAAGGCCCAGGCGTTCTTGGACTCGCACGGCCACGCCGACGCCATGATTGCTTCGTCGGACGGTGTTTTGCTCCGCTGCTTGCCAATTGACGTGCAGGTGCATGTTTTGCTTTCGCGGCCGCATCTGCTCTTGCCCGTCCTTGGTGAGCAGAGCACAGGCGCGAACGCGGGTGCAACCAGCACTGGCCACGGCGGTTCGGGCGGCGGTGGTGGGCTGGATGGCGTTGGCGCCGCCTCTTCCCGCTCGTCCCAGTCGGCGTCGGTTTCGGCATTGCTCTCGCCGCCTTCTGCGCTGATTGCTGCCTCGTCGTCCCTGCCACAACTCTTTCGTGGCACATTCAGCTGCTCGTCGTCCGACCTCCTGGCTTGGCTCTTGCCTCAGGTGCTGGATCCCGACACGTTGATTGAGGCAGCGCTGTTTTTCGACCCGTCTCGAGGCAACTTCCGCTCTCTCCTGCTTCTGGCTCGACAACACGCCGCCGCAGTGTCCGCCGCCGCCGCCGCCGCTGCCGCGTCCTCCACCGCATTGGCATTCTCCACTTCGACCTTCTTGGCGACGCCTCGCCAGTCGCTGCTTTCGGGCCGACAGTCCACGGCATCTGTCGCGACTGTCATCACCAAATCCCGGAGCGAGTCCTTCCATGACCCCACCGCAGTCCCCGACACCAAACCCACCGTCATCATGGAGTATGTCGAGCTCTTTTTGCTCGCCATGCTCAGCTTGGATGCTCTGCGCAAGCGTCAAAACCAAAGTGCGGCGACACGCGACGCGAGCCGGTTTTCCGCCGACCGCTGGACGGCTTCGCAAAGCGGCGAGCAGCAGCAGCAACAGCAGCAGTCATTGGCGCAACACAAAACCTTCCGGCCTTGGCGACGGGCCGCGTCGTCTGCCACCATTACGGCGCTGTCGTCTGCTTCGCGCCGTCAGCGAAGGATTTCGTCCTCGCTCGGACCCGTCGCACAGTCTCCCCCGCCTTTCGACCGACTCAATAGCAGTGGCATTTACGACGTGGTGGATGACTTTGCTGTTCAGACCAACAGCGTCTTCCCCATGCTCGCGACCACCCTTGAAACGATGGGTGTCAGTGTGGCCGCGCATTTTGCCTTCCATATTGATTCGCTGTCGTCGCGGCTGCAATCTCGCGCTCCGGCGCTGCTGCCACCCATCACCTCGCCGTATGTCATTGCTTGCGGCTCCACCCATGCATCTTTTGTGTACGACGGCGACGTCTACACGTGGGGCAGTTCGCACAATGGCCAGCTTGGCCACGGCGACATGATTGACGGGGTTGGCAGCTTACCTCCCGCGCGCTGCGAGACGCTCCATATGAACTCAAACCGAATCGCCTCCATCTCGTGTGGCGCAGAGCACACTGTCGCCATCACCAACGAAGGCATGGTTTACGCTTGGGGCGCGAACGGCTACGGACAGCTGGGCCTGGGTGACACTGACAAGCGCACCAAGCCAACCATGCTCAGTCGACTCGAGCCTGTTGTGATGCACGAGTCGCGAATCATCCAAGTTGCGTGCGGCTACTTCCACACGCTCTTTTTGACCGACAAGGGCGAGGTGTGGGCTTGTGGCTGGGGCGCGCAAGGCCAACTTGGTGTGGGCTCCACTTCCAACGCCCTCTTGCCCGTCCACGTCAAAATCTTGGACAACAAGGGCATCGTCGGCCTTGCTGCTGGGTTTTGCCATTCCGTCGTGCTAACCGAGAGCGGGACCCTGTACGCTTTTGGAGGCAACTCGTACGGCCAGTTGGGTGCTGCTGGCACTGTTCTGACGTCGTTGACACCGTTCCCTGTTGCGGGGCTGGCTGACGTTCACGTCACGTGGATTTCCTGTGGCACCTTCCAAACGGCCTGCGTTGGCACGCCCCGTACAACCGTCGCATCGCTTGAGACGTCAGAGACAGCAGCGACCGCAGCCAAAACCAGCGCTTCCAGCACACCCGCTGCGGCTCCTCGAGCCAGCAGCAGCAGCACCGTCGTTTACACCTGGGGCAAGGATGCTCTTGCAACCTCCAACATGACCCCTCTCCAACAGTACTACAAGAGTCGCCTGAAGAACATGCAACAGTCTCCCTCCGATCAATTCCCGTGCCGCTTTGCTCCCGAGCAGATCGAGGTCCCCATCGTGAGCCAAGGTGTCAGTCATCCATCCCGTGGCACTTCGGCGGCATCTGCCCAGTCGACGGCCGCCTTTGGGAATCGCATGGCCGGCTCTGCCTTTGCCACTGTCAGCGGAGGCATTCCGGCGGCGCTTGCAGCGGCGGACGAGCACGTTGTTCAGGTCGTTTGCGGCGATTGGCACATGCTCATGCTGACCTCCCGCGGCTCGGTCTACTGTCTCGGAGCGAACGAGCACGGCCAGCTTGGAATCAATTCCCTGCGTCCTCGTCAAGAAATTCCTAAACGCATTGGCGCATTCGACCACGTGCCGCCAATCATTGCCCTGGCCGCGGGTGAGGACTTTAGCGCTTGTGTGGATGCAGCTGGCCAGACATGGATTTGGGGTCGCGCAGACAACGGCCAGCTTGGGCAAGAATCGACGCCGAACGCTTCTGCTTCTTCTGGTGCCACTACTGCCACCCCAGCAGCCAAGTCTGGCATGGAGGCTGCCGTTGCTGAGGCTGCCATTCCACGTTCCTTCACTCCCGAGCGATTGTTTGGCCTGCCCCCATCGCTCCAGAGTGGATACCACCGGTCTGGTGGGATGCTGAGCGCGTCCTCTGTCGCGTCGTTTAGCAACACGGCAAAGACCGCTCCCGGCACTCGCTCCGACTTTGGCAGTCTGACCACGCCTGCACTGCGCCTCGCGGCGATGGATTCCGACATTCTTGCCACCTCCGTCTCGTACCCAGCAGCCGGCGCGCCGGACGTGGAGGATGAAAACCTCCTCTTCACTGAGGATGAGCGGCGGCTCCTGTCGTACCGCACCAACGCAGCTTTGCCAGATTTCCTTTCCCTCACGGTGCCTTACAACCACGAGTGTTTGTTGGCCTGTTTGCGCCTGCTCCACCCTTCCTACCGCACAACTCACATGCTGCAGCTGTGCATGGACTGGGCCATGTACGAAGCGGCTGCCGTCATTTACGAGACTGTCTGCGATTGGCCGTCTGCCTTTGAGTGTCGACTGCGCCACATTGAGGAGGTCGCGTTTGAGGAGGCCTCTGCGACCATCCCGCCAGCCCAAGTTGTGGACCTCGAGGCGTGGTCTGTTGCCTGCTTTGAGCGCTACTGCTCGCTGACTGTTCTTTCCGGCAAAGATCTGTCCGAGGCGATTGCTTCGCTGAGCGAGGCTCAGCAGGGCTCTGACGATGCCCAACTCAACCAGCTGCGCCAGTTCTTTGTCCCCAAAACGCAAATCTCCAACCACACTTTATCTGCTACGGACAGCTTTGATATTACGAGCGTTTCGCTCATTATTCACATGCTCGTGTTTTGGAAGCGGCATGCGCTCCCTCTTGCCAGTCTTGAGGGTGTCTTCCGTCGGCACATTTCCCTTGTGGCCTCACCCTTGGTGATTTTGTTTATTCGACTGAGCGCATTCGACGCTTTGCGACCACCAGCAGCAAACTCAGCAGCCGCAAACGCAGCAGCAGCAGGAGGGTTGCAAGAGAACGGCGCTTCTTTGGCAGAAACTGGCAATCAAACGTCTTCCGATGTGATTGCCGCAGTGCGTCGAGCGCATCAAGGGTTTTCTGCTCACTTCCATGTCGCTCTTGCACATGCTGTCGTCGCCAAGCTCGCCGTCGCATCCGATCGGCTGGCTGAAAACGTGCGCACGGTGACACTGCGCGGCGTCGGCTCCAGCTCCGACGCATCAGGCCAACAGCAAGCCCCACACGCTGATTTGAGCACTCTCCAGCGGATGCTCCGAGCAAACCCGGCAACCGAGCATGGTCGTGACGGCAGGCCCGCTGACACTGAGCGTGGTGACAAGCAGGCCAAAGGCTCCGCTCACATTCCGCAGGAGCGTTTGTGGGCGGAAATTCGCCGCAATCTGAGCAAGGATGTCAAACATCGACTCAAGGTCGAAATCAGCTCGCAAGCCTTGTTCAACTTGGAGCAGGCCTTGGGTTCCGATGCAGCGCCCCGATCACGAACCGGCACGATCGACGAAAAGGGGTTCAGCACCGCAAGCGGCAGCGGCGTGACCACACTGTCATCAGCCGGTGCCACCAGTCTGGCAAGCAATGGCATCAATGCACCGACAGACCGCGACGTTGTCGTCTTCACCTGCGATCACTGCTTCTCGCGCCGCAACCTCAACGACACCGTGCTTCCCGAGCTTGAGAAGCGCCTGACGGCACTTGCGTCGTTCGGCAAAGGCTCGATCACCGCGCGCTTGATTCTCGCCGATTACCGACTTGGCCTGGTCAGTTTGGCGTGTCCCATGTGTCTGTTCAATGCACTTCGCATGGAAGTGGTCAACAGTTCAAGTTCGATGGCCAACATTCCGAGCGTTTGGGTGTTGTCACTTTATTGAGCCAGCCACAACAATGCTGGTTTGTTTTGTTTGTTTCGCTTTGCTTTGTCACCGTGTATTTTTCGTTTCTTCATGAAGATAATATTCCACTTGATGCACACCACAAATCGACAAGACGCGGTCGACAATTGAACAGGACACACACACACACACACACCTCTCTCTATCTACCCAAAGAAAAGCCTTGTTCAGACAGTAGAGGATTCATCAAGAAGAGGCTGAGATGCCGAATCCAAGACCCCAACAAGCTGAGCTGCACTCTTGCGAGTCTTGATGGAGATGAGCTGGTCGTCTTCAGCTTTGGTGATACCATCACGAATGTCGCTAAAGCAAAGTCGCATACCAATCAGAAATCATGAGCCCAAAAATCGCCCAATACCAAAACTTGGTGCACTACGGCTCTTACCTAAAGTCGAGAGTGTCATCATACTTGTACTTTGAGTAGATTTCTCGTTCAGGCATAACGCTGACAGCCAAAACATCCACGACGAGGGTGGCGACGGCAAGAAGACCAAAGCCAGAAACAACGTTGATCAGCAGGGTTTGGAAATCAAACTTGCCCATCTGTCCTTTCTGTTGAATGAGAATGCGAATGCCGTGCCTGTCCCATGTTTGAAGGGATTGATCGGTCGTCGAAGTTCGCGTCTCGACGCTCTTGAATTGGGTGTTTTTGACGCTGCGAACCTGGATATGCACAAACCGTCCAACACACACACATATACACATATACACACACACAAATGCAGTGAGCGGCGGAATTCTGCAGACGCGCGGACGAAAGACAACAACAATGCGGAAAGGGGGACGCGCATCATTCCTTACACTGATGGTGTAGCGAATGTCGCTCGTGTCGAAAGAGTGAACATTGTCATACTCGATCAGGACCAGCAGCACCAAGCCTGTATAACGCAGGCTCGAGTTGTTGGTTTTGGTGTTCAACGCACCAGCTGTTCGATGACAACATCATGACAACATGAGTTTGAATGCAAAAAAAAAGTGAGGTTGGTGTTTCACCGTTCCCCCACCCCCACTAGTTTGGATGGAAGCAGGTACGAAACTTAAACACAAACGTACAATCTTGATCCAACGTGGCAATGCCGGCTGCCAGCAGGAGGGTTTGGAGCTCGAAAATATCCAGTTGGCCAATTTGGCCCACAACATTCGGACCAGTCAGCTTCATGGTATTTCCGTGCAGATCCAAGAGCTTGCCCTCCAGCGACTGGGCGTTGGCTTGAATATCGAGATTGGTCGAGTAGGTAGTATGGTCAATCATCAACTGCAAGGGGCAATTCGCAGAGGCGAAACGTGTTAGTTTGATCCATCAAAAGCGCTGCTTTCCCCCCTACTAATGCAAACAACCCTTGTCAAAAAGACATTGCCAGAAATACACACCGTAAAATGTTCAATATCGCCAACATAGACAATCGTGGGCGTTTCAGGTGTAAAGTCGCAGTTGGGATCCGCGGCAAAATCGCAGTTCAACGTGTTGTTTTGAATGGTAATCCGAGAAGCGGCAAGCAAGGCGGTTTGCTCTGTGCGGGGATAGCTGTGTGGAGTGTGCAAGTGCACGATAGTCAGTCTACTAGCTTCGGATACTCGGCAAGAAAAAAAAACAAACATAAAGCGCAAGACAAGCAAAAACCACCTCTTACACAACAAGAAGATCGTCATAGTAGTTGCACATGTAGTTGGTGTAATCGTTGACGGTGGGCTGATTTTGGAGACAGTACGGCTGGTTGGAATTGACTTTCGTCGGCTGACACACAAAAACAAGAGCGAATCGAGTCGCGTTTGGTGTGGTTTGAAACAAGAAAAGCAGTCAGCATCAATGTGGATTAGCAACCATCGAAAATGCTGCTTACCTTGGCAAGAGACATGCGAACCGAGCCTGTCGGCGAGTCGTCAAGCAAGAGGTATCGCTTGTTGTAGATGATCGTGTAGCCAATAACGTAGCCGAGAATGGCGAGCATGAACGCGTAGTAGATCAATCCAAGGCGGCGATCATTGATGCGGACTGTTCCAACCCCATTGTACGTCCAACGTGATGGGGGCATGGTTTGAGGTGAGCCTTATTGAACCGTTTTGCAGAGATCAAGAACAAACAAACAGACAAACAAACAAACAAAAAAAAAAAAACTAAGAGGACTTGTTTACCGATGCGTTGGGTCTTGTAATTGAATAACAGATCTGGTTGGGAATGTAACAATGAAGAACGAGAGAAAAAAAGAAAACAAAAACAGTGAGAAAGATTGTAAATCAGGGAGATTTGCATGTGTGGGAAAGAACAAAGAGACAAGGACAAGTAGAAGAAGAAGAAGAAGAAGGCGGGAAACTCGGCAAAAACAATAAAAACTTGGTCCAGAAGGCAGGGGGGAGTGGGACCTCCGCCAAGAACGAGACAGCCACAAAAGCAAGCGTGAGCGACTTGGCCGAGTGAAGGAGGTGAAAGCGAGAGGGAAGAGGGAAGAGGGAAGCTGGAGGATGGCAGAGTGTCGAGTCGAGACCCCATGTGAGCCTCACCTGGGTCTGTCGCAATGAAGCGCTTGAAGGCAGCAACCACAGAAGCCATGGCTTGAACCAAATAAAGGCGGAAGGGAGAGCAGAGTCGAGAGTAGAGAGTGAGTGAAGACTGAGTGAAGACTGAGTGAAGATTGAGTGAAGCGCTCAGACTTGACAAAAAGGCACAATAAAAAGAAATGAGCCGCCTTTGTTGTTGTGATTCATTCACAAAATGATCATCATCTGGGTTTTATAGATTTGCACTGGTGGAAATGACAAACTCGTGCGATGAAGAGTAGCAGATCGACGCGGATTCACTCTTCGTTCGCAAGTCTTCCAATCTCACTTCCAATCTCACCCCCAATCTCACTCCCAGTCACACAACAACAACAACAACAACAATACCACCCAATGACTCGCTCGCAGCAGCAGCATCATGCATCGTCGGAGAGCAGTGCTGCCGCCAGCGACAGTGCCGCCAGTGACAGCGCCAGCAGCGACAGTACTAGTACAACTAGTAGTACTAGTACTAGTAGCAATGGCAATGTTGTTGTTCCATTGAATCATGGCAGTAGTCCAAGTGGTCCAGCCACGACCACGACCGCGACGACGAGTTCAACTACGCCCACTACTGCGACGACCGCCACTGCCACTGCCACTGCCACAGCCATCCCATCGCTCCTGCCGCACCAGCCACACAGAGTATTGCCTACGCACCGGCTGCCGACACGCTCCCCACCGTCGCCGCCGCTCGCCCAGGCGCCGCTCTCGCCCGTCGCGACGCCCCTCGCGTCTCCAGCTCGCTCGCCTCTGCCGCTCCCGCTGGGGCCCATCTCGCCCGATATGAGTAGACCACTCATGCCACTCCAGGATTCAGCCGCTGCAGACCCCCGCGCAGGCTCAGACTCGGAGCACGACGACGCTTGGCTGGCCTTCGCGTCATCAGCGTCGTCGCCGATTGCGACCAGCCCCACTGCAGCCGCCAAGCCGAATCTGGTCAGTGCCAATACTGGCACCGTTAGCATCAGTGCCAATTCAAGTCACGACGGGGCTTCTGCCACCACTGCTCATACTTCGACGACTGCGACAACGCCACTCTCGCCAGGATTTCTCTACCAATCGGGATTCCCACTCGCGGCGCTTGTACCCGCTGAACCCAAACGCACTACAGATGCGAAATCGGATGTCAGTGCGTCCGGCTCAACGCCTCAATTTGGACCAGCTGTGGGACAGCAGCCATCCTCATCATCACAGCAGGCTCAACTGCATTCTCAGTCTCACAGCAACAACAACAGCAACAACAGCAACAATGGCAACAATGGCACCCATGGCGGTAATCACAGCACAAACATTCCAAGCCAACCCTCCAGCAGTACAGGCAACGCGATGGTCAGTCACAGCGGGAACGGAAGCATGCACAACTTGCACAATGGGGCCACGGGCACAAGGCCACCCAGCTACCACCACGCCACACATAGTGCAACAGCTTACACGACAACCTTTCCTCCAATCATCCATCTCAACGTCGGCGGTCAGCGGTTTTCCACGTCGCTGGAGACCCTGACCGGTCTTGAGCCCGATTCCATGCTCGCAGCCATGTTCAGCGGCGACTTTCCAATTCGGCAGGACCCGGATGGCTGCTACTTTATCGACCGTGACGGCACGCACTTTCGGCACATTCTCAATTATCTCCGTTATGGGCGCGTCCACATTGCGTTAACGTCCCTGACACGCGACACGCTCATGCAATTGCGCGAAGAGGCAGATTTCTTCCAGCTCCGCGGCCTGCTGCAACTGCTCCCAGAAGGACGCGATCCGAGCGTTTCAGCGCTCACCCAAGCAGACCTTGCGTTTGGCCGGCACATTGTCGAGACAGTCACCAAAAAGGTGCAGGTGCCAGAGTACTTTGTAGCGCGCGAAAGTCTGCTTGAAGTGTTCCGGTCGGAAGCGAATCGCGGGAATCTCATCTGGCAACGACGCCTCTACCATCACAACTTTATCAAGCATCCGTGGCAGCCACTCCAAGAGCCCAACTTGCGTAGCATCATGCAGCACGAGTTTCTGCGCATGGGACTCGAGCTGAAGTACACTGAGCGCTTGGTGCTGGGGACGAGTGAAAAGTTTTGCGATTTCGAAGGGAGCGTTCGTTTTACATGAAGCCCAATTGTGTGTCAGCATGTGGTAATTTAAATGCAGCAACACAACAGCAAAGACTGCACGAGCAATGTATAAAAGTGACAAAATAGGACAAATAGGCCAATCACTCGATGAAATAGCAGACAAAAAAGCAACCGCCAACAACAAACGCGCCACACCGGAGACGTTAGACAATAAATCAAACACCCGAGACGTTAAACAATAAATGAGTCCATACCAAAGGGGAAAAAACAAACAAGAAGAAAATATCAGGGAAGAGCGAATTATAAACGGACGTCATCCCAGCTTCAGGCGTGATTGAGGGAAAACAGGTTGACGGACTTGCCATTGGGTTTGCGCGACTCGAGCAACAGGTTGTTTCGAGTTCGGCACAACAGCCGGAAGGTATCGTCCGAGGTCAATTTGTGGCAGAGCTCGCCAGTTTGGATGACACGAGCTTCAATGGACTTGGTTTGAATGCCCAACAATGCGCCGGGGATGGCAACTGTAGTTTCAAGTGGATGTTGCCGATTGAGACGCAAGGTGAGATGCTCACACAGACAAGCAAACCGCCCCCTCCCCCACCTCCGTAGCAATTCTAGCCCTTGGAATCAACGAAACAAAGTCTACCACATACCAACAGCCTGAGGAGCTTCATCAAAGAACACTTGCGGGACCTTGATTGCCAATGGTGCACCCGTGGCATCCGACAACTGGGCCAGAGCTGCAAGGAGAACATTTGGGGGAGGGGTTGATTTTTGGCCAAACGTCAGCGATGATTTCAATACGCAGAGCAACAAAAAACAACTTCAACAAGCTCGCAATGCTTACTCGAGTGGCACATGACGAACGCATCATTCTCAATCTGCAGGACTGTGTGTACAGGCAACTGCTCGCATTTTGGCTCCCAAGAAGACCACTTGGAGTGTTGCTTGATGGCCTTTTCGAGCTCTTCTTCATCAGCAATGTTGAAATCTGTGTTTTGATTTTTTGTTTTTTGTGGAACGTGGTCAAGCAGCAGCAAATGAAAGCATGAGTACAACGGACAACCGGCACGCGAAACAACGGCATGGAAAAAACAAAAAAACAAAAACACAAACCAATCGTGTTAAATCGCGTCGACAGCGTCTCAATGTGCTGGCGTGCACCAACACAAAGAATTGGGAATTGAAGCTCGCGACGAATAAAACACTCCCAGATGGGAGGCGTGTCAGAGTAGGGCACGTCAATTTCCTAGAACGTCACAAGGACAGTCGAGCAATAGAATTGGTTTGCAAACGCGCTCAACTTGAACCAGCACCAAGGAACTCTGAGCAGCCATCCTTACCCGAACTTTCATAAACTTGTTGTACGGATGTGGCGACCACTGCATCAAGTTGATTTTCTTGCCAACTAGCGCACATAAAAACACGGCTCCGGAAATCGGGTGGCGAACTACACGAAAGGCAACAACGAAAGGTGAGGTGCACATTTGCGATCAAACAAACAAACAAACAAAAAAATCTAAACCATCAAAAAAAAATCCATCCACCAGCACGCTGTTGCTCGAGAAACTCACCAATGCAAACCTTGGAAGTACCCTTGGTGCTGTTAATCTTGGTGCAGAGCTCGGAAGATTGAGGGCTGCGTCCATGTGAGCGGCCGCAAGAAACAACATAGTCTAGGTTATACTGGCACAGATTGTGATTCTTGCCGTAGACGGCAACAATGACACCGAGGTCGGGGATGCATTCTGCCCAAGTAATATCCCGAATAGCAATTGGGATCATGCTGTTCCCCTCGCCATGCGAAATGTCGAGATAGTAGATGCCGATTTCCGTGCCAATCACGATTGACTGGCAGGTATAGCCCGGATGGCTGGGATCCGGGTGTGTGAAGCGGGTTGCACACATGATTTTGACAGAGCAGCCCGTGAAGACCTTTTGGGTCTTGTAGAGCGGGACATCCTCGGGCACCTCTTGATTGAGGAAGGATTGCGTGAGGCAGTCGTCAATGTGGTGCGCAAGCTGGTCTTCCGACATGGATGAGCAGTTCGCCTGGCACACGGGGCAAGAAACAGCGCCAGAGCGACGGCCAGAGGCCTGCCTGTTGTTCCCACGCCGGGCAAGGAAGGGTGATTGGGCCACTTCGTCATCGAAGGGATCGTCGTAAAAGTGCTCGTTCGACTCGGGAACGACGCCGTGCTGGCCGGCGGCGGCTGCGCCTTGAGCGCCGGGGCGGGCGGGCACAGGGGGACCGGCAGAATCTGGGACACGGGTCAGACACTCGTCCACGTGAACGTTGAACTCTTCGAGCGAAAGTCCAATAAACTGCCTGTTGCAGATCGGGCAGTCGTACGTTGCCATCGAGAGAGCGGCGGTTCGGGGAGCGGTGGAAGGCCCCGCGGAGGAAGAAGGTCCAGCGGAAGAAGAAGCCGACGACCCTGTGGAGGAGGCAGAGTGGCTGCGTGGCTTGGTGGCCGATGAAGATGACGCCAACAGCGCTGCAGGTCGCGGGAAGCCGTTGCCAGGAACTGGCGGCCGAACAGTGCCATTCGCAGGTGCACTGTCGGTCACGGCCATGCTTCCATCTCGCTTGAATGTCACATTGGCATACGCACTCGCGCCAGAATCGCGCGATCCAAACGTGCTGCTCGAGCCCGAGTCTCTGCCAGAATGCAACGGCTCAATTTCCAAGTAGTGATGCGTGGACGGGCTCGACGAACGATCATTGACGAGCGTTTGGTTGCTGTCGCCCGGCCGATTGGGCTTCGGAGCTACCGGCCGAGGCGGAGGGAGCGGCGACGGCGAAGGCGCTCGGTTGACGTTGGTGGGACTGGTGATGGCCAGATCTTCTTCGTTTTGCATGTCCGTTCCCGGAGGCGCCGCGGCGGCCTTCGACGGCATTGTGCGATTGTCCTGAGCACAGACCTTTTTGCAGCGATCAACGAGGTCTTTGAGGATGATCGGCTTGATCGTATTGTGGACGAATGGGTGCTTGAGCAGCTCCTTGGCGCTCGGGCGCTTCTTGGGCTCCTTTTTGAGGCACTTGCCCACAAAGTCGCGGAATTCAGTCGACCACTTTTTCTTGTCGGACAAGACAGGTGCCTTGTTTTGTGGAATGAGGAAGAGAGCGCGCATTGGGTGCAAGTCTCCCATTGGCGGGCCCATTTCCGCCATTTCAATCGCGGTGATGCCAATCGCCCAGACGTCGCACTGCGAAAGTTTCAAACGAGGTGGGTGATTTTGTTTTCAAGATGCAGCAGAGCCCAATGACAACGCCTGTAAAACGAGAGACGCACCTTTGCGTCGTATGGCTTGCCGTTCGATCGCTCAGCCGTGATGACTTCTGGTGCCATCCTGTGTGTGGGAAGCGAGTGACACAAAAAAAAAAAAAAAAAAAACAAAAAAAAAAAAAAACAATCGGGGAAATGAGGGTTGGATGGGGCTTTTGCAGATGACCAAAATGGCGCGACACACAATTGTCGAATCAAGTGTTACCAGTAAGGCGTGCCAATAAAAGTGTTTCGCTTTTTCATTGTTTTGGTCATGGTCGCGGCAACACCAAAGTCAGCGAGTTTTACATCACCGTTGTCAGTGAGCAGCAGGTTGCCACCCTTAATATCTCGGTGAATTTTCATCTGCTCGTCGAGGTATGCCAGGCCCTACACACAACATGGAGATTGTGAGTCAACAAGAAAGTTGAGGTTGTTCCACGAAATTTGATTTCTCGAAATCCCAAAAACGCCAAGTACTCACCTTCAAGGCCTCGCGGCAGATGACTGAGATTTCGTGCTCGTTGAATGGGGTATCCAGAACTAGAGTCAGGTCACAAACAGCAAGCAAAATTACAAGTTAAGACGTGCTGGAGATACAAAACACCGCATTTAGTGGAGCGCGGCCGCGACTGTACTCTGATAAAGATCTTCCACAGAGCCTCCGCCGCAGTATTCCATGGCAATCCAGATGCGGTTGTTCTTGAGGTAGCTGCCGTGGTACTTGACAATGTTCTCGTGGTGGCAGCTTCGCAAAATTTCAATTTCGTGTTGCATGCTGGAGACATCCTCGCCTGTGTTTCAACAATCAACCAAGCATGATTGAGTATAACGGTGCAGCCCAAGTCACAACGACCCCGTGCAGTGAAACGTGAAACGGATTGATTGCGCTGAACAACTCCAAGTTGCTGTCAAACGGTAAAGTTGCGGAAGCCCGGTGTCCCCCCCCCCTCCAACACATGGATTGGCTGGATGAATTCATTCAACGAGCGATACGTGAACACTTTTTGCTCCAACTCTTCCCACGGTCCCCAGAGTGTGAGCCACACCTAGATCACAAATTTGTGCTGCTTCAGAACCTCGGTTTCAAGCCTTCCATGGAAACCGAGGACAAAAGCCGTTGTTGATTCCCACGCCCCCGCCCCCTGTTGTTCTCCAAAGCCAATGTGGTACATCCGACTCTCGTATCGATCGCAATGAGCAACAACAACAACAACAACAACGACAATGGACGCAGTTGCTGTTGTGGTGGTTGTTGTTGTTGCTTTGGCTTTTTTTTTTTTTCTTCGGGTTTTAAAACCGCGACGATGACGTTGTTTGTGGCACTGTGCAGACGTGTGGCACTGCTTGCGCAGATACCCCGCTGCAATGAACCGCGCTTTGTACTTGCTGTTGGTGCGCCCTCGCAGGGGGGAGGGTTTGTGGCCCAGAAGCGAGGCAGCGAAAAAAAAAAAATAAAAAAGAAGGGGAAAAAGACCAACATCGCGCCAGAATAAAAAAAAAAGCAAAAAAAAAAGCAAACGCAACAACACTTCCATCTTCAACAGTGTACGCTCCCAGTGCACAGAGCGATTCCATGGTGCAGTCGAAGAGGGGGGGGGGGAATGTCGATCTCAAACAGCGAGAGCGAGCGAGACAAAGGCGAGACGAGCAAACACCAGCCCTTTTGGGCTACGCACCTGCTTCGAGGCTGATGATCTTGACCGCGGCGAGCTCGTCCGTCTCAATCACGCGCGCCTGTACACAATGACAAGCGAGCAAAACAGAGCACACACACCCCCATGCATACAGCGTGAGTGAATGGAGGTTAGCCAATCGAGACCCAACCCCATAAAAGCCGACAAGCGATCGAGTCGAATGCTTGTTTGTGAAAGTCTTTGGACAAAAGGGAGGACGAGGGGGAAACGAGGGCGTCCTAGGGAACTGCGTGCGCAAGGTGGCTAGCCATAAGGCTGCCCAGCCAGGCCGAGCGAGAGGCGAACGAGAAGAGAGCAAGCGAGACAGAGAGAGAGCGAATGCGCAAGGAAAGGCGAGTTGACACCTTGCGCTGTTTGTCGCCACTTCCAGCAACCCTCGTCCACTCTCAGCATCACCCCACACACTCTATTATCGATGCTGCTTGTTTTCGCTGGGAGGTGAGGGTGGGACGCCCCGGCGTTACCTTGTAGACCGAGCCGTACGTGCCGCTGCCAACCTTCTCGAGCAACTGAAAAAGCTTGGTCGGATCCTGCGTCGAAAAGAGCGCCGCCATTGTCAGACTATTGATGTTGAAGTGGGACTGAGGTGTGAGGAAAATAAAAAATAAAATCAATCGAGGTCAGACAAGTGAAAGCATGGAGCCATTGAGTGAAAAGCACGGCAAACGGAACTTGAGGGCAGTTGGCTGTGGCAAGCGAGATCTGGATGTGGATCTGCCACCACTCTGAGTTGTGTTGGTTTTTTGGATATCAACCTACCAATGGTACTCTTCGTATGGAGCGCGGTTCACTCTCCAATCTGCCTTTAGACTCTGAGCTTCTGAACACCAATGGAGTCCGTTTGAATTTGGCGCGCTTCAGTTTGTGCGGGGAAACGTTGTCTGCAGCTCCATTGCTAACCTGCACTTGTCCTTCATCCCCTCCAACAGTCTTATGCGCAAGCGAGCGAGGCTCATGGGCCGCTTCAAGACCGTGTTTGAGGAGCTCTGAGGAGCTCTGCTCAAAGGTGAGAATGTGTGGTCTGTTTGTGTGATCCAGCTGCTCCAAGCAGATCGCCTTAGAGCAGGGGCATAGAAGATGCATGCCGTGTGTAGTTAGTTCACTGGGGCTCCGACGCGACCGCGTTGTAGCGCCCGCGAAGCCGAATGGCTTTGCACACTCATCTCGCTCGTTTGGGACATGCTCTTTGCTGCAGTACGACCACGAGTTTGAAGAGTCGGATGTTGTGGACATCGATAACATGGAGGTGATTGAGGATCATGGTAAGTGAAGCCGGGAGCGAAGGCGGGAGCCGGGAGGAAAAGATCGATGGCGCGTCTCGACGCGATTTTGCTCAGAGTTTGCACTTGTTGTGACACCGCAGGATTTCTAACGAGTACCGACACGAAAGAGTTTGGTGCTGCCATCAATAACGCACAATTGCATCCCAAGGTGTTCGATGCAACAATCACATCATGTCAGTAGCGCGTTTGGCATGATACAACATTCGTAACATCCTGTTTTGCCGTCAACGCTGGCTGGCTCATCCTGTCCCTTTGATTGCGTTTCGTTGAAATGTTGACATTACAGCACAATTGCACTTCATGTCAATCCTGTCGGAAGGCATGTTCCGGGGACTTGTTCAAGATGGCAGCGAGTTATTGTTGGATGGCGGGCCAATCCCTGTCAGCGACGGCAGTTTCATCGATGGTCACCATCAGGATGCGTCTCAACGGCACATCAAAGCAGAGGAAGAGGATGAAGGCGAAGAGCAACCACTGCGACAGCAATCGCATCCACAGCAAGACAGTTTCGAGCAGGACGACCCAACGATTACACCGTCCGAAATCCTTCCTTCCACCCCAACAACAAGAAGACCAGAGCTCAACTTGCAGTCACCTGGGACACCAACGTCCTGTCAAAACGGATTGACGCCGCCTGTCGCGACACCTCCGGACACGCCAGAGGCACGGCTTGCCGCGATGATTGAACAAGAGTTTGCAGAGTACACCGAGCGCCGAAGAAAGGTGCGCTTGCCAAATATTACCATCTCGCCGCGAAAGGCGGCCGTGCGGCTGACACCAGTGCGCTCTGTTGGAGCCATTTCCAGACCTTCTTTGCCGACCGGCAACGACGTGGACGGCAGCGACGTGGTGGACGGCAGCAAAGTCGCAACCCAACACCACTCTTCTCCACCCGACACACCATCAACCGCAGCGCAAACAAATTCCGTCTCAACCCATGCGTCAGATCCAGAATCAGATACAGAATTAGACGAACCTGCTCTGCTCGAAGTTGCACCATCCCCGCCGCCGATCGCGACCGAGGCGGTTCCGACACCTGCACAAGCATCAACGGCGATGAATGCTGAGGGCTCAACCGGCGTAAGTGCGAATCCACGTCCCAGTAAACAAACCGGCCACCCGGCCGCACGAGCATGCGGCGGCCCTGGCGTGTGTTTCAAGCCATTTTGCTTTGCATGTCAATGAACAGCTTGGACTTGCTTGCAGTCGGATTTGTTTTGAGAGTACATACAGTACGTAGGTGAATTTCCAATAAAATGGCGGAAACCTCTGTAGTTTTCTGAGTTGTTCATTCCCATTTTGTTCAGTCCTTTTTGTGTACTTGTGTCTGTTTTTCCTATTTGCCTGCTGTGAGCTCTTTCGCATTCTACTATTTAAACGTCCCAGCTCTCTTTCGTTTCCGCTCTTCATGTCCAAAGGCGCCAGGGGCGCAGGCACCGTGAGTGAGCCAACCGAAAGTTGAGTCAAGCACCAGCATTCTCAGATTGACAACTCACAAACCACCTTCTGTCGTCGTACCGTGCTGCAGATCATACAGACTGTCGGTACTGGCAATACAAATTCCAGCAGTACTTGCTGATCTCGTCACGCCAAGATGCAAGACACAGAGGGCATTTGCTACGCTGTCTCGGAGGGCAATCTGAGTTTGGTGCGCAAGCTGCTCGCCGAGGGTGCGAACGTGAACTGCATTGTGGCAGGTCAACCCTCAGCCCTCCCACCGCCGCTGTATCTCGCCAGTGCGCGAGGTCATCTCGAGCTGGTCGTCGAGCTGATTCGTGCGGGTGCCAACCTCGACGGCGAGAATACCGGCTATGCAAGTCCATTAAGGATTGCCGCCGAACGCGGTCATGCTGCCGTCATTCACGAGCTGATTCGTGCTGGAGCTCAAGTCAACCACTTGAGTGGCACACGGGAAGCCACTCCGCGAACCGCGCTCATGTCGGCCAGCGAGCAAGGACAGATCGATGCCGTCAATGCGCTGTTGCACGCCGGTGCCGACGTGAGCACGACCATGTCAAACGGCCTGAACGCGCTCGATGTCGCCGTTGAGAAGAACAAAGTCGAAATAGCTGCCATCCTATTACGCGCAGGTTCGCACATCAACTGGCGTGCAATTTACAACGTGGTGCGATCCAACGACCTAGCAATGCTGCAAGAATTGTTGCGACACGGCGCAGATATCAAGGGGAAGGACTCCCTGCTCGACGCCGTGCGTCCAGCTGCTGGCAATGGGATTGACATCAAGTATGCGCCGATGGTGCTGGCGCTCGTTCAAGCGGGTGCCCAAGACGCGGATGGCTTGTCGGGGTACGCGTGGGCCCGGCATGGCAACTTGGAGATTGTCTCCCGCTTGGTATTGGGCGGAACCAATTCCAACCGTTTCTTGATGGCCTATCTCGGGGCGGCAAGTACAGGGCAGCTTGCAGTCCTGCGGTGGCTGTTTGACGTGTCGAAAAGTCCGGCGCTTCTGAGTTCTGCTCTCTCCCACGCATGCCATGCGAATCAAGCCGAAGCCGTTCGCGCGATTCTCATGGCTGCTGCCGCTAGCCAAATGAAGCTGGAGGTAAACGAACCGCTCCTTGTTGCGTGCGACAGGAACTTTGTTCACGTTTCAGAAGCGTTGCTTGATGCGGACGCGAGCCCCAACTTTGTCGATAAGCTCGGCCGCCCCCTACTGCATATTGCTGTGACCCAGAATCACGTAGCTTTGACTCGGTTGTTGTTAGCCGCTGGTGCAAATCCCGATGCGATCATGCGCTTCCAGGCGCAGTAGTCAATGCAGTTTTGTTTTGAGAGACAAAAGACATGCTATTTGACATCATGTTTATTCGTGCTAGCATGGCAAGCAACAAAAAATACCAGTGCCGAGGGTGCAGAGTTCAGCACGTGGTTGACTGATTGGAGAGTGTCTACTTGAAGAACAGCTGATTGAGCTGCACAGCAGTATCGTCCGGGTTGAGAACAGTGTGGCCTTGCACCGAGCTGTGCGAAAAGATTTCATAGTCGTTTCCACCCTAGACGTATCAAATTCATTGAGACGTGTTGACACACAAGAAAAAAAAACCAAACAAGAAAAACCAACGCAGCTGACAGCTTACAGGACTGGTCTTGTCACCAAAGAAATGGATGGTTTTGAACTTTCCAGGCTCGAGATGGGTCAGACAGAACGTCTTGTCCCAGCCGATCGGGAAGACATCGATGCTGATCTGGCCTCCGATCGAGTACTTCATGCTCAAGTGCGCGAACTTTTCCTGCAGCGCCTTGACCATTGCTGCGCGAATCCCTTGTTTCTGTCAGATATTGTTGAGTAGTTCGAAATGAGGTGAGCCAAGGGTAACGCAGAGACAGTTTCAGGATTGCTCACGTTGTCAAGTTCGAAAAATTCAAGACGCTCAGCGTGGGTGCAGCCGCGACCAATCGGTGAAATGTTGATCATTCCTTGACGCATCTCGATGAATGTGCCACTGTAGGTTTGCAACAGAGTCAGCAAGCATACTTTGCAAAACCAACCATCGTTTTAATTTTTGCCGCCGTTTTGCGAGAACCGCACCGTTTCTTTGGGATTTTCAAGTCCGCAATGTAGCGCAACACAAAGTTCAGCAGCTCTTGCAGGTTCTCTTCGCCCAGAAACTTGACAACGGACTAAAAGTACAGGACAGGAACACGGAAAATTTGAGCCAAAAGCGCACAAAGCGCAGGCACAAAAAGGCGATTCTGTGGCTCATACCTGTGCTGGTGCGTTCTCACCATGCAACTTGGCCACGACGCCATTCTCGGAGAAGACGTAATCATAGTCCTCTCCAACTGGAATCGACGAGAATGACGGATGATCATGCCGCAAAATCCAAAATCCACCAAGCACGCATTGTCAGTGACCGAAACAGCGGGTTGGCAGCACCAAGGCCCCTCGCCTCTCACTGCTAGACACCCCCCACACAGTCTGTACACAACCGCTGGAGGGCAATCTCGGCGAGCCGTCACTCTCGGCGCATTCTTACTCGTCTTGGTATCAAGCTGTTCCTCAATCTTGGGCAAGTCCGAGCCACCCACAATGCCCACGTTGACGCGTTCCCGCAGCCGTTGCAGCAGCTGCTTCATTTGCGGCGAGATGATCTGACGTGCAAAAAGAACCAACAGCGCAAGAGCTGGACGATGAGCTTGCGTCCTCGAGCCAGACGGATTGTGCCAACTCAGCCTGCCAACGCAGACCCCAGTCACTGCAACCAGTCCTCAACAGCAAAACCCAACACAAGATAGAAACCACTTTCAGTCCGATGCGCTTACCAAACGCGATGGCGTCAGAGTTCCATCGACGTCAAACAGCACCAGCGTCGACTCGTCGCGAGCGGCCATGGTTGTAAAAAACAATTTTCAAGACTGGACCATTCCAAGTTGGACCGTCCATTGAAATGCGTGTACAATCAGCAATCAGTGGTTTGATGCATTGGCCAGCCCATTGGACATTGTTCATAAGCTGGCAGAAACGACTAAATCTTGATTACAAAACAAGAACCAAAACCAAAACCGAAAAAAAAAAAAAAAAAAAAAAAAAAACCAGTCCAGATTGTTTGTATAATTTTCCTTTTTTTTTTTCTTTTTTTTTTGGCCACTTTGCGCAGGCTTTGTGATCATTTTTTGTCGTCGTCTGGTGTTGCCTGCGATTGACTCTGAGCTTGGTTTGTAAGAGCAGCGAGCAAGGCGGCGGAGGAATGGAACTGAAGCGTGTCTGTGTTTTTGACTTGGCTCACTATCGCCTTTGCTTTGCTCACATCAGAGAAAGGCCGCTGATTTTTGACTCCACTCTTTTTTGTTAACCAATGCCTGCCGCTGGACCTGCCGCCGCCACCGCTGCTGCCTCGCGTGCCAAGCCGCCGCCGAAGGTAGTCTGATTTGCAAAACTGCCAAAACACCAAAAAAAAAAAAAAAAAAAACCCAATTCTGCTGCATTCTATCGGTTGCATTGTGGCGCTGCTGCTTGTGCGACACCTGATGCTTGGCTCGCCCACCATATGCTTAACTCCCCGAGTCATTCTGGTGGCAGGATGCCCATGTGAAACGGGCAGCCCCAGCGTTTGCTTTCTGCGGTCTGAATGGCATCTTTTTTTTTTCATCTTTTTTTTTTTTTTTTTTTTTGTTTGGTTCGTTCTGCTCGTCTCTTCCTGCTTGCTGCCTGGGAGCCCTGCGTCGCGCGCAGAGGCACATGCAGTGATTCCGTTGCACACGCGCGTGAACTGGCTCACTCGTGCTGGCAGTGCCGGTGACAGTGACTTTGTTCGGTATTGTGGATTCGCTGAATCTGGCGAATTGCACAACTTTGCTTCAGACGCTCGCTCGTTGGCAAAGTGTCGACCACAACCCATACTCGAAGCAAATCATCAAATCGCTTGCTGTGAGAGCACCCGCGGCGCACGGTGCTTCAGTGGCACCCAACCACAACCACCACCACTACATAAAAAAAAAAAAAAAAAAAACCAGCTTCTAGTTTGGTATTTTTATTATTATTTGTTCCATCACCTCCCTCTCGCACACGCCCGCCTCTGCGAAATGGTTCACTCATTCGTCATTGACTTTTGTGTGTGCTCTTCCTCCTTTCCAAATAACAGCAACAGGCTTCGGAAGTAACCAGCGAAGAAGACGCTTTGGCGGTATGTCGCTGTGTTTTTTTTGCTTTGCTTTTTGGTTGCTCTGCGGTCATCATTCTGCCTACTTCGCGCCATGCAAACTCATCTCCACCTTCTGTGGTATGCTCAACCACTGGCAGAGCCTCGATGGCGCCATCGCCAGTGGGGCCGACGCAAAGCTCGTGCGACGCACCTCAATGTATACCGCAGCCAGCGTGTCCAACAGCAAGCTTGCTGCTTCCACCATCACCAGCACCAAGGCGCAGGCTGCGCTGACGGCTGCAGCAGCCCAGGACCAAGCCAGAGAGACGGAGAACTTTGTTGCAATGCGCGCACGCATGGGCACCGCGACCAACACTGGCGGCCAGCGGCAAGTTCGCGACAAAAAGTATCACTTTGCCGCTGGCTCGAACATGGCCGTTGAAGTTGACATGAAGCAGTGGTACCGCCTCGCATCGCGCGCCGACGATGAGAAGGTGCTCGAAATGGTCAAGAAGGAGCCGCTGTTGGCTCGCATGCACGATCCCTTCTTTGGCTACACTGCGCTGCACTGGGCCGTCAAGTTTGGCAAGGCGGACTTGGCGCGTCGCTTGCTTGCCCTCGGCTCGGATTCCAACGCCCAAACCAAGGGTGGATTCACGCCGCTGCATTTCGCCTGTGCGCATGGCTACCACGAAATTATCAAGTTGCTCAAGGAACGCGGTGCGAACGACCTCATCTCTGACAACGCTGGCCGCTCGCCTTGGGAGGTGATGAGGCAGCAACGCTACGAGGTTGTCACTTCGATTGTGCATGATCCGGAAGGTGTCAAGCGCGCACACGCCGCCGCCGCTGCTGCTGCTGCTCAAGCCAAGGATGGCTCCTTTGTGCCCGACCCGACTGGCGCAAGCTTCTCAAAGAGCCTGTCCGTGGACGAATCACACTCTGGAGCGACCATTGTTCGCCGGACCAGTTTCACTCGTACCAACATGTCTGGCGTCATCAAGCCAGGCGGTCTGTCCATCCAGCGCTCGGACGACGCGACGGGCAGCCACAACAACTTGGCCGCGCCCGGCACTCTCCATTCTGGCGGCGGCAGCACCAGCAACCTGCACAAGCCGGCACGCCGCGCGCCGTCCATGGAGCAAGAAGGAGGTCACGCACTCAAGAAGGGGCAGTCCATGAAGGATTTGATGGAGACGTCGTTCGAAGACTCCAATCCCGTCGACATGGTCCAGCAGCGCAAAAACGTCCTGTCGGGCCGGGCCGAAAACGACTTTTCGCCATCCAGCGGCCTGTCGACATCCAGTCCGAATCTGGCCGTGGCATCCGATGCTCGCAGCCGAACCGGCTCGACCAGCGCGCTCTCGCAGAGCCGCGAGCGCCTTCCGTCTGCCGCTGCCCGCATCGGCGGCTCTGCGACACCTCCTATTACACCGCAGCCCGACCAAGCCGCTGAAAAGGCTGCTGCGGAGCAGAAGGCGGCCGAGGAAAAGGCGGCTGCTGAAAAGAAGGCTGCCGATGAAAAGGCTGCCGCCGAAAAGAAGGCTGCTGATGAAAAGGCTGCTGCTGAAAAGAAGGCCGCTGATGAAAAGGCTGCTGCAGAAAAGGCGGCTGCTGAAAAGAAGGCTGCCGATGAAAAGGCTGCTGCCGAGAAGAAGGCTGCTGCCGAGAAAAAGGCCGCTGCCGAGAAAAAGGCCGCTGAAGAGAAGGCCGCAGCTGAGAAAGCCGCTGCTGAAAAGAAGGCTGCCGATGAGAAGGCCGCAGCGGAAAAGGCCAAAGCTGCTGTCGCGACACCTTCAGCGACGCCCGAGCCGAGCAAGGATGCTGCAGCAAAGCCTGCGACAGGAACACTCTCGAAGACCACGTCAAAGACTGATGCGAACTGGATGACGCAGACGAGCGACTACGAGACGCAGCTCCAAAACAAGCTCGAAGAGGAACTCAAGAAGAAGGCGGAGGCCGACGCCCGGCGGAAGGCCAGCCGCGTTGTGGCCGCTCAATCTAGCGTGGAGTTGCCGGAAGACGCCATTTCGTGGCGTGGAAACAGGACGCGTCCCAAGCGGAATACGGACAAGAACGCCGACAAGTTTGGTTAATGCACTGCGCTGTAGTGTTGTGTGTGTGTTTGTTTTTTGTTTTCTTTTTGTTTGGTTGTGTCGTTTGACTTGCAATCTTTCGACACTGCCATCCCCTTGTGTAGCTTTTGAGTCGTGCTTTCGCTTGCTCTGCATTCTCCCTTCAGGTGTTTGGCTTTGCGATCAATGTGACTTTTTTTTTTTCGATTCTATTTCGTTTTGTTTCCTGAGGATGCAATGGTCGCTGACAAGTACGTACTGAAGAGGATTGTGATGGAAGGCATTATAATTTAAGAACAACCAACACATAATCAGCAAATGCGGGACAAGAAACATAGCAAAGGGGTCACAAATGCATTTGAACAGAGATCCGAAAAAGCAACAAACTTAAAAAAATCAAACAAAGCCAAACACAAAACAAACACAAAAGCAACGATGCGCTGTCTGAGCGCAGGCGTTATTGTTGGTTGGAATCCTTTGCCACCACAACAGGCAGTGTCGCTGGCTGCGGGGATTGCACGGGATTTTTCGCATAGAGATAAATGGCCAGCGAAACAAAGCCAATGGCAATCACCGTGTACCCGTCGATCGCAAAGCCAAAGAAAAGCCACGACAGCAGGGCCGTGAAGATGAGCTCCAGGGCACTCGCAAAGACCTTCACAATCGAATCGAGTGTCTTCAGGAAGAGGGAGGTGACAATGCCAATCAAGGCATTGTTGAGAACGATTGGGAAGACTCGAATCGAAAAGATGGCAGCGACATTCTCGCTGCTCACGGCGTTGCCAAGCTGGCCAGTCGCGGCAAGCACAAAGACGTTAAAGATGATGGAATTCAGGTACATGAAGCTGTTCTGCAGTTGAACGTCCATGTCCGAGCCGAGCGACTTGAGCAGGTATTCGTTGTAGACTCCCGCAAAGCACGAGCAAAACACCTATGTATGCAACGAGTTCATAAACGAAACAAAAAGGGAACAGATCGAATAAAGCGACCGTTAGCACGGAACCCTTCTTGTCACAAGCCAAAACTACCAAAACCAAACAATCGACAAAACAAACAAACAAACAAAAAAAAAAAAAAAAAAAAAAAACACCGCCGTTACCTGAACCAAGATCAATATGAAAAACACGTTCAACAGTGAACTACGATCGCCGCTCATGCTGGAGAGCAGGTCGGACATGGACCAAACCGAGCCATCCGCCGTGTCAAGCGCCGCCTCCACCTTTGCCAGCTGTTTCTGTTGTTGCTTGGTGCCCACATTGTCCGGTGTATCGAGCGCTGCCATTGCAACGATGCCATTCTGCTGATGCGGCGCTGGACCACCGTCTTCGGGTTGAGCGAGTCGCTGAATGGGCGCCGGGATGTCGCCTTCGTCGATGCGTTTGAACCTGCGCTGGCCGATTTCTGCCTCAATCTCTCGCACCCCAACCTCATGAAGTCCGCTGGCACCAGTGACCAACGGTTGCGGGAGTGGTGCTGGTTTGGACTTGTGGCCGTTGCCCCATTCCTTGACGACACAGCCGGTGGTCAGGATGAAGAGGGAGATCCACTGCATGCGAGACAGGCGCTTTCGGAAGAGGATTTGAAAGACGACGCCGGTGACGACGACTCGCAGCTGGAGCAGCAAAAAGTACGAGGTCGGATCGTAGTTGGACAGATTGACAAACGTCAGGTTGTTGTACAAGCAGTACAGGAAGGCCGGGACTGTGTAGAAGAGGAGCATGCGTCGGTGTTTCTTGGCTTCCTCAAAGTACCGCTTGAACGAGTGGCTACATGGGCGCGAGCAAAGCCAGACCAAACAACAGCAACATCAACAACAAGCATGAGTAACAACAACAATAACAAGCATAGAAGTAAAGCACGTCGATGTTGAGACCAAAGAAATTGGGGTCCGTAGCCCTGCTGTTGCTGTTGTCTGCTCCCTCCCTACGCCCCCCCCCTTTGTATTGTTTGTTTCTGCGTAAATCTACAGTACCTTCGCACAAACAATCCGATGGCAAGCAGCATCTTGAGCAGCTCGGTCAGTAACACGACGGTTGTCATGTTGTAATTGTAACCGTTCTGCGCGTTCTTGGAAGCAGTGATCAAGAGTCCTGCATTGTTCACAAGCAATTCATTTGCAGAGTTGATTGTTAGTCATTCCACTGCTGTCTGTAGGGCAGACATTCGTGCGAGACAGAGAGTGCTGTCGTGGTGTGTGTTGTTGTGAGAACTCGGCTCTCAGTAGTAAGCGCTCGCTCGCGTTGCTGCTTGTTTGCCCCCCCCCCCTCGGCGTTTTGCCCGCCTTCCATTCAAAGCGTCCAGAAACTGACAATCAATCGAGAGACACTTGCTACACATTCGACCAGACGCCGGTCTCTTGCTCCTGACGTGAGCAAACCTCACCCACGACCACGGTTTCAAACAGTTCTCTGAACTCCACGCCAGACCAGACCTCACTCCGAGCCAAGCCATGCAGAGCGTTCAGCTGCAACAAAAAAGCAACGAAAGCTCTCCACTGGGTTGTCCTCTCTTCCCCGGTGGCTGGACCCGTGCGACCGAGAAGCCTTGTTGCAAAACCAGCCACCGAGGACCAAAGCAGCGAACGTGGCGTCGAACCCCCCCTCTTCCCTGACATTGCATTCAGTGCATCCAAGCTGCAGCTCGGACAGATGGAAGCACAACAGAAAAAAGACTCGCCTTGATTGATAAATAGACCCATGTAGCTCACAAAGATGACCACACTGAAGGTCGTTGGAAACAAGGCTGTCAACCCCATCGTGCTGAGCGCTCGTTCTTATTCGCGAGATGGACTGAGCCCCCGAAAGGCTGCTTTAGCATTGAGATGGAAGAGTTGCAGAGTTTGAGGGGGGGGGGAAATTGTGCACATGGCAGAATTGCTTGATCCAACATGAAATGAGAATCGAACCGGGAGATGAGCGCAAAACATTCGATGGAAGTCCAGTGCAGACATTGTCATCACAAACTCTGTTTATTGAACAATCGATCCTTGATACTCAAAGATGGTCGACTTGTTGGACTTGGCCGCAGCAGGAGCTTTGCCTGCTCGTCGATTTGCCCGCAACTGCTCTTCCTCGTCGATCGATTTTTGTAGCAGCTCCGTCATCTCCGCGACCTTGACGTCCGGGGAAGAAAAGAAAAAGAAGAAATAAAAACATGAAGGGCACGGTCAAAGCGGCATCCAGTCCAGTGGTGGCACAACAGAACGAACAGGAATGAGTCACAACACAAAATTCGCGTCGGTACAGCAGCGTTAAAACCCTCTCACCTTGATAGCAGCAATCTTTGTACACCGCGAAATCTGAGAAGCGTCGAGCAGGACAGAGCCATGCTTGTGGACTGCGCACACTTCTCGATGAATGTTCATGGCCACAATCAGGTAGCCCTCTGCAACGCGCTCTTCCTGGAAGGTCGGATCGACGACCATGTGCTCGCCATCGTCCAAAAACGCAAATGTGACGCAGAGCGGCATGTGGTGAACGCTGAGGGGCAGCGGCTCGCGCTCGCGCACGTCGTGGATGATGAGGTTGCCCGCAACCGACTCGTCGCCAGAGCTGAGGGAAGGCATCGAGACCTCTGGCTTGCGGAAGTGGATCAGCCCTGCAAGCGCAGCCATGCACAATGCGTCGCTCAGATTTCCGTCGTGATCCAGCGCGTGCAAGTCCACACGAATGTTCCAGACCGCTTCGCCGCTAATCACGCAGAGCGAGGTCGTGTCAATGGCATTCGAGTCCTTGACTACTCGCTCGACCATTCTGGACAGTTCGATGGCTTGTTCTGAAGGCCGACCCGGTTCGAATGCCGGGCTGGCCATCGGCGAGAGTTCTGTTCCAATGGTACAGGTCAAGGGGGGTCAGCATCGAGTGTGTTGAGTGTGCATTGTCGGTCGGTTTCTCTCCCCCGCCACTCGGCTGTCGAGTGAGGGCATGCAAGTACAAGAAATGGGGCTCCAAGACTTTGTTGGTCTGTGGCTGACAGGCAAGAGCAGCGCGAATCAACACGAACAAGAGCGCCACGAGGATCCGCATCGACAAACGTACCGACGTTAAACTGCACTGCGCCTTCAGCAGGGCGATCTGGGAATGGCTTTGTAAGCTCACACGAGACTTGTACCATGACTCTTTGTTAGGGAGATAGAGAGAGACAGAGAGAAGGATGGAAGGCTGAGCGGAGGGGCCCATTCAAGAAAGCTCCAAGCGCGCTCTGTTTCTGTTGCTTTACCTCGTCCGGCCCAGCTGGACTTCGACGTGACCTCGCTCTGGCTGGTAAGCAATGCGAATGCGGCGAAAGTCGTAAACCCCGCGGCCATCGACGCGCTGTTCTCGAGAGCAGCAGCGGGGAGTGAGATTCGACGCGTTCGCTTCCCCCCTCAACAGCAGCTCTCGCCCCTTACCAGACCGCTCTTCATTGCGCCTTGCACAAACGAGCGTTCGTTGTTTGACAGGGGTGTGTCCTTCATTGTGTGCAATAAGAAGAATAAGGAATGAGAATACAAAAATAACAAAAGGGAGACTGTCAATCTCAGAATCTCAGTCAGTCTTCCATTTCATTCGTTACAATTGTTCTCAATGGCACACGACGACCCGACGACGAGTGCAGTTGTGGCTGCTTCTGAAGCATCTACCACTACTACTGACCGTGCGCTGACGGAGGTGGACAGCACTGTGATGACTCCTGTGGAAGGAGGAGAAGGAGACGGCGATGTGGCGGCGCGCGCCGATGACGACGCTCTCACTTCTACTCAGGCTGATGCTGCTGCTGATGCTGATGCTGCTGCGGCTGATGCGGCTGATGTTGCCGAACACCATGGCGTCGTGTCGAGTGATGACGGCGGCGGCGTCCCGACAGAGGCGGATCACAGCGCGTTGGTGGCGGATGACGATGTTGTCGCTTCATCGTCCTCGTACCACTCTACCGTCGAGCAGACCGAGACCGAGGTAGCCGTGCAAGACCCAATCACGATGCAGCCACAGAGCCAGGCGCTTGATGCCGACCAACAGCTGTCCAACGCCGAGTCAGCAGACACGGAAACGCCAACAGCACCAGTCGCTGCCGCCGTGCATGCCAAGCCGGCGCGACCCCCTCCGCCAGTCCGAAGCCAACTCCAAACGCCGAGTAGTGCAGACCACGCAGCTCATGACGTTCATGCTGCTCAGAGTGCTCCTCCTGCTGCAGCTGCAGCTCCGAGCAAACTCAACATGATTCACAATTGGTTTGGAAAATGCTGCTGCGCCCGCCGGGGCAGGCAGTGGCACGTCTGCCCCGAGCAACACTGCGCATGGCAAGACCCCAACTGTGAGCAGTCGACCCCAACTGTGAGCAGTCTACAGGCATCCATCGTCGTTCCGGGCAGACCGGTGCCCAATCGTCCCGTTGCCGTTGCTCCTCCCAGCGGTGCACCGCAGCACCAAGCAGCCTATGGGTTTCGTGCGCCAGTTCCATCGAGTGCGCAGCAACACCATCCTCCCCAGCACCCCACTGGCTCATCTGCGTCTGCTACTCCCGCTGCTTCTTCTACTCCTGCTGCCCCTGCTGCTCCTGCGACTGACGCTGCTGCTCACGGACTGGCTGCGACATCTTCGACAGTTTTCTACTCGCCACCCCGCACGCCCGTCAAAGAAACAACAGCCATTCAGGAGCTGACCGAGTCTCAAGTACTGTGGTTTGTGCAGTCCGAAGACCGCAAGAAGTGGCTGCCCTTCTCGCAGCACGACTCGTTCAACCTCGAACGAGCCTATCGCAAAAATGGACTGCACAAAAAGCCCAACCCTGCGCGTAGACCTTCGTCCGTTGGTGGAACGCCAACCTTGCCGTCCGCCTCACCACCCACGACTGCTCAGAAAGATCCCCACGCCGGCGATGCCACCCCCGGCAAGCCAGACTCGCCCAGTTCGACCTCACCCACCCCCGCAGCAGACGACGACAAGGACGTGCTCGTGTCCGTCCGCGGAGACTTGTTTGAAGTGAACTTGAACCAGCGCACCTGCTACTCGATCTATTGGACCAGCGATGCGTTCGACGTCTTGCGCGGTACCTGGGCGCTTGTGGCCGGCTCTGGCGTCGAATGGGTCCCATGCAGCGAGTATGACGCCGAGGAAATTGAAACGTTGTATTCCTGCAAGCCCTGGGAAGCCCATACAACACCTCCTGCTGCACCTGAGCCCGGCCATCCTGGAATCGATGCTCCGGTGCCACAAACGTCCAATGCGAACGCTCATGCGTGGGCCTCTGCAGGTGGCAATGGTAGCGACGATCTAGCCGCTCCGATGGCGGCGCCAACTCCGACATCCCACCCGGCCCCAGCAACATCAGCGTCCCAGCAGGCCCCCGCTGCCCACTCGAGCGCGGCAGCGCCTCCGCTGGTCGAGCACCCACACCCCCTGTCTGACAACCGGCGATTCATCATCTTCTATTCCGAAGGCGACGTCGTGCTCTTCCACAACGATGTCACTTCCAAGGTCACGCGCGCAATTGGTCAGAACATTGGCGGCAGCGACCGCATCGGAGGCACCCAGCTTCGCCGTGGCTTCCGCGCCATGGACGAGGCGCCGCACGACTGCAGCACATCCAGGGACCTCGAGTGCAAGCCAGTGTCGCACTTGGTCCTCGTTGTCCACGGCATCGGCCAAAAGCTCGAATACTGCGACATCATTTCGAACGTGGCTGACTTTCGCAATGCCGTTGCATCCTTTGCCACCAACCCGAGCCTGGCAACACTCGCCGACTCTGCCCTGCAAAGTGTCCTCCCGAGCATGCTGCGGCCAACGCCAGGCGGTACCCACACCTCCGATGCCATCAACGAGCTGACCAAGCACGTGCAAAACACACAGCACGAACTGCAAAAAGAGACGGATTCGCATCCCTTGTCCAAGTCACCATCGCCCAAGTCGGACGCCAAGAGTGACTCGAAGCACGGCTCCGAGCCAGCATCGGCCTCCACCGAGCCCGTGTCCCCATACTGGCTCCAGGAGCGAGTCAAGTTCCTCCCGATCGAATGGAGATCTGGCACGCGATGGGACGGCGGCCTGAGTTCGACCCAGCCGACCATGGATGTGCCTTCCGTGGATGAGCTGACGCTGGAGGGTGTTCTTCCCCTTCGAACGATTCTGAACAACTCAATGCTTGATGTTCTTTATTACATGACGCCGCGGTGAGTTTGGTTGTTTTGTTTGGTTGTTTGTTTTGTTTGTTTGTTTGGTTTGTTTGTTTGTTTGGTTTGTTTGTTTGTGCTTTGCTTTTGGACTGTCCATGTTCTTGGCCCTCACAATTTTTTTCTTGCAAACTCCAGACACCACGAGACCGTGATTGCCCATTTGACGGCGCAGCTGAATGCTGTCTATGATCTGTTCACTGCCCGTCACCCGAATTTCGTTTCCAACGGCGGCCGCGTGAGCATCATGGGACACTCTCTGGGCAGCATTCTGTCGTTTGACATTCTGTGTCGCAAAACAGACGCACTCCGGAATGCCAGCGAAGACACGACCGAAACTGCTGATGATCTGTCGTCGGCTGCGGCCTCTGGCGGCAACAACAGCAAGGCAGTCGCGCCTGAAATCGCAATGACCCCGACCGACTCCACGGGCAATCTCGCCGATCTTGCTTCCAGTCCTCGGCCCAAACAAAAGCGCCGCCAGCAGGGTGGCAAGCGCAAAGGGACCGCGTCGTCGTCGTCGGACAATGCCGCGCCCATTCTCACCGCGGCTGCCGAACGAGCTCAACGGGCCGTAGATGGCGATGACAGCGAAGATGGCAAGGACGACACAACTACCACTACGACAACTGCAGATGATGCAGACCCACAGCTCAACTTTGATGTGGACCACTGCTTTTTGATTGGCAGTCCCGTTGGCCTGTTTACCACGCTGCGCGGCCGCCGCATTGGTCACAACGAGGGCGATTGTTTCCCGGCATGCCGACGACTCTACAACATTTTCCACCCGTACGATCCCGTTGCGTACCGAATCGAGCCGTGTCTCTCGCGCGAATTTGTCGATTACAAGCCCGCGCTCGTCCCGTACCATCGTGGCGGCAAGCGCTTCCACATTGACATTCAGGAGAAGACGCAGTCGTTCAAAAACTCTGTCGCGTCCGTCATGTCCAAGTTTTCGTCGGTCAAGCGGTTTTGGACCCGCGCGCCAGCTGCCCCGGCCGATCAACCAGCATCTGGAGGCACCGGGGCGACTCCTGGCAGCGCAGACAGCACCGCCGAGGCCAGCGAGCCTGGGCCCGAGTCGTATTCGCCCGCGCAGCGCCTCATTCGCGAATTGTGCGAAGGCGGCCGCATGGACTGGCAACTGCAGGAAAGCACCATTGAAAACCAGTACCTGTCCAGCATTAGCTCGCACCTGTCCTACTGGGGATCGCTTGACACTGCCTTGTTTGTTCTCGCGCGCATCTGCTCCAAGGCCTAGAGCCGGATTGAGTTGTTTTTTGGTGTTTTTGCAGGGTTTGTGTTTTGCTTCTGCTTCTTCTTCTTTTTTTCTTTCTTGCCGTGTGATAATTTCTACCATGTTGACGTTCAGCCTTCATTTCGATTCATGCAACCCAGACTAAAAAAACCGAAACAACCCAAAAACAGCTCACTCGTCCTTTTTGTTTTCGAAACCGAAACAAAAAACTCTCTCAGTTCAGTTCAGACCTCCGATCCCCCCTCATCAAACAACAACAATGTCTGCCCCTCGCGTTGCATTCCAGTCGCACGAAAAGACCGGCAAGGACAACTACTTTGTGTTTGTCGAGAGCTCGGATGCCGTGAACAAGTGGCGCAAAGACAAGTCGGTGGCCCTCGTCGACGTTGTCATGAAGCACAGCGTTTTTGTTCATCGCGGTGACGTGAAGGGCGAGGCGAGCACTCCAACCAAAGCCGACCTCGAGTAAGTGCATTTTGATTTATTCCTGCGCTTTTTTCGCTTGTCGCTCGCTCTCTTTTCGCTCCCTCTCTTTGTTGAGAGGGACTCTTTTTGATCACGAACAAAAGTGGGAGAACGAAGAGAACGAAGAGAACGAAGAAAAAAAAAATAAATAAAAATAAAAAAATTGCGATCTGGGCTTTAAAATTCGAATTTCAATGTTGTTGGATGATGAGATTTGGATTGTTTTTGAAGGCGAGATTGGTGCTGAACGCTGCGTCGCGCGTTGCGTTCTGGTAGGGTTTGCTTGAACGCATCGCACCGAACACATTGATGACTCTTTTGAATGTGACGCATTCGTGCATCAATGGCGAAAAAGGAGGAACACCCAAAATGAGTGAAAAACAAAAAAAAAAAAAACAATCGAATGAAACGAGCTTTGAAGGTGTGTTGCCAAAAAGGCACTGTGTGAGAGCAATGTCGATGGTTGTATGGCCGAGCTAGCCAGCTGAGAGAGACAAAAGATAGAACGCGCTGCAGTGAAAGCCTCAGACAACAGGGCTGGAAAAAAAAAAGTCAAAAAAAAAAAAAAAAAAAAAACGACCGAAAAATTTGGTTACGCAGTTTTGAGTCATCATCTCAAACATTCACACTTGAAGTGCGATCACCTGTTGGTTGGGCGTGTGGGCTGGATTGTGTGCGTATGAGAACGTGTGCGAATGCTGCGGATGTGCGCTTGCGGATGGATGGAGCGCTTCATTGTAAAACGCGTCAAATCGAAGGGGGAAACAGAACAAAACGAACAAACCGAATTTTTTTACTGATCTTGATCCTGATCGATTTCACAACAGAACTGTGTTTGGCTCGTCCAATGAAACCGCTGCCATCGAGTTCATCTTGACCAACGGCAAGTTTGAAGGTGGCCATGAATCCAAGCACGCCAGTGGCTTTTACAGCCGCTAGAGCGCGACACGATTTCGCCAAAAACGACGCACAATCAGACTTTGTTATTCGACTTCCACCGCTGGCTCACTTTCACTCTGTGCTTCCTTTCGTCACGCCCGGCTACTGCATTTTGATATATTGCTACAATGTTGCATGATCGGCTTGTTGGGTTGTTGTTTGAGGCCTGCTCTGTAGATCCAGTAGATCTATGGTTTGTGTGTCTGCGTTGTGTGGATTTGATTGTGTGCTCGTTGTGTGCTCGTTGTGTGCTCGTTGTGTGCTTGTGGCGTGGATTTGATTGTGTGTATATATACTCGTGGCTTTCTCGACATTGCGAGAGACGGCCAAAACGAAAACAACACTGTTGTCCAATATTCACTGCAACCTTGATCCCTCCATCGATTCGCTTCATAAGGTTGAGCAGGCTCTCAGGTCGGGACAAGATCTGCATCGCTGCTGATTTCTAGTGCATGTAGATCTACAATATGCAATACAACAGGCAGCTCCACAAGTGGCAACAGCCAAATCAAAACCCTCGATCCAGAGTCGAAATCCACGACGACTCGCACTGTAAACTCTTCAAACAAGCCTCATCCGAATCCTCAAACCTCTACGATGAAGGGGTTTTTGCAAGTAATCCAACTTCAACCCAAGCTCGGTCGACCTCGCTCGGTCTCAGTCATTTTTACGCGCCTTTTTTCTTCTTCTCTGCAGTCGAAGCCAATCTTTCACAAATGACAAGTGCGAGCATGATTGTTGATCGCAAGACACAACGCTACGACCGTCAGCTTCGGTACGCGGTCTCTTCGATGAGTGATTGAGCTTGAAGCTGTGGTTCTTGGTCGCTCAGCTTTACGCCTTACGTGCTTGTGTGAGCGTGCTGACTGATTGCCATGCCGCACCCCACCCTCCAATTGCATCTGCCACATTCTATCTATGCTTTGTCGTCCAATGCTCTCGGGGTGCTCCCTCGCTGCTGCTGCTGCAGCCTGTGGGGCGACCACGGCCAAGCTGCCCTTGAATCCGCCCGCGTCTGTCTCATCAACGGCTCGGCCACTGGCACTGAAATTCTCAAAAACCTCGTCTTGCCTGGTGAGTGTGTCCGCATGCGTTGCACGTCCACGCTACGGCTGGACGTTGCGTTGAACTTTGGCTTGCTGTCTCGTCACACAACGTTCACTTTGATACTCGCCGTCATTCTCGTTTCTCACCTCCGCCGCAATTCGTTTTGTCATTGCAATGCCGTATCAGGAATCGGATCATTCACCGTCATTGACAGCGAGAAGGTTGGTGCAGCTGCGACGCGGCTACGCTGCAATGAGGTCTGTGCTGACGTGAACGTACTCTCACTCTCTCTCCCCTTCTCGCTCTCTGTCGATAGGTCTCCGGAGCCGACGTCGGCAACAATTTCTTCTTGGATGCCGACAGTATTGGCCAGTCGCGCGCCCGAGTCGTCACCGAGTTGCTGCAGGAGCTCAACACGGATGTGTCTGGCAACTTTGTCGAAGAGGTTTGTGCTGCCTTCACATGCTCAAACGTTTCCCTGATCAACATTCTTCCTTGCCCATGCATGGCTCACCCTGTTGCAAAACAACAACACAATCGTTGATTGCCATCTGAATCGACATTCGCCACCCTACAGCCTCTTCAATCGTTGCTCGACAACGATGTCGAGTTCTTCCGCCCCTTCACCCTCATGATTGCGACCCAGCTCTCCTCAAAAATGCTGGCGCGGGTCTCGGAGGTGTGTGTCAAACTTGGCATCCCGTTCCTTGCTGTGCGCTCGTATGGCCTGATTGGCTACCTTCGACTTCAAGTGAGTTTTTTTGAAACTCTCCCTTGGATGCCATTCGAAGTGCACGCTCATGTTTGCCACACTCTCCATTCCAGATCGGAGAACACTGCGTCATCGAGTCGCACCCCGACAGCCCGATGGATGATCTGCGCCTGGATCGCCCGTTCCCAGAGTTGCTGTTCGTCCCCGACCTCTATTTCTGTAGCATCCCCTCTATGCCGCATTCAAAATGCTCACTTGCCCCGATCATTCCCTGTTGTTCAGGTCGTATTTACAGCAGATTGACTTTAACACGCAGGATGGCTTCCAGCATGCGCACATCCCGTTCCTGGCAATCCTCTTGAAGCATCTCCTCGAATGGAAGGCATCGCATGGCGGGTTGCCGCCAAAGACGAGCAAAGACAAGGACGAGTTTCGTGCTGAAATTCAACGCGCGCGACGCATCAAGGAAGACGGCAGCCGAGCCGAAGAGGAAAACCACGATGAAGCCATTACTCACGCCACCAAGGTACACACTCCTGTCAATGCCCGGTGTGACTCGTCCTCTTCTGCTATCTTTGATCTCTGGAGAATGCTTTTTGTTTCATTTGTTGCAAATGTTCTAACTGCTCTCGCATCCGTTGGCTAGGCTTGGCATGTGTCATCCATTCCGTCGGAAATCTCAGCCCTGTTCGCCGATTCCAACGTCGACAACTTGACCGCCACATCTTCACCATTCTGGATCATGGTGCGCTCGTTGCGCGACTTTGTGATGGCTGAAGGCGAGGGGTTGCTTCCCCTCCGTGGATCAATCCCCGACATGGCTGCCGATTCCGATCGATACATTCGACTGCAGCACGTCTACCAAGAGCGCGCCAAACACGACGTGGCTGCATTCACGGCACATGTGCACCGTCACTTGGCTGAGCTGGGCCTGGTGAGTTTTTTTTTGTTTGTTGCCTTCTGTTCTGCTTCACTACTTTTTCGTGCCAAACCCTTCTCGGGGACCTCTCTCATTTTTTTTTTCGTTTTGGTTTGGCGAATGTTCGTCTTGTGTTTTTCGATCGTTTTTGCTTGTACTTTCTCAGCCCCTTGGCACCATTTCGGACGACGATGCCAAAACTTTCTGCCGAAATGCGCCCTTCCTTCGCGTAATTCGCGCCAGACCGATTTCGGACGAGCTAGCATCCGCAACCAGCAAGCTCACCGACACCCTGAGTACGTTCTAGACGCGCGTGATGCTCCAGGAAGTGTCGCCCTTGTGGAACTACACGTTTTGATGTCGACTCATTCTTTTTTGTATTCGTTTTTTATAATTATTTTTTGCGGCCTGCAACCTCGACAGACTTCCACCTCGAAGACCCAGACAGCTCCGTTGCATTCTATGTCCTGCTGCGCGCTGTTGATCTCTTCTTCGAAGAGCATGGCCGCTTCCCTGGCGCAGGGGACGACCAGGTGGAAGAGGATATCGCCCCGCTCAAGCAATATGTTGTGGGCCTCCTCACCGACCTTGGCGTGTCACAGCATGCCATCAAGGAAGAGTTGATTCACGAAATGTGAGGAATGGAGCTGCATTTGTGCGAGTGAGCGAGAGGTTGCGTTTCATTGTTTGTGCGACTGACCCGAGAACGGCTTGTTTTGTGGTTGTTTTTGATTTCCTGTTGCTCCCTCCTCTCAGGTGCCGGTTTGGAGCCGCTGAGCTGCACAATATCGCGTCCATTCTGGGAGGCTTGGCATCTCAAGAAGCCGTCAAGGTGATTACTCGCCAGTACATTCCCTTCAACAACACCTTCCTCTTCAACGGCATCACCTCGACCTCTTCGACGGTTGAACTTTGAAGTGCGTGCTCCTGTTTCTTGCTGGGTGCATGTGTGTGTTTTCGTGGCAATGTTGAAACAAGTTACATCCAAATTTCACCAGTCACGACTTTCAGACCAGCGAAATTCCAGCATTCGCTTGCTTGAGACATGCCACAGTCATTTCAACCTGCTTCATCCAACGTGCATTGCCTTTGTGTTGTGTGCCAGTCTGAGTCAGTCAACCTTCGTCTCCAAGTGACACATACGTCGTTGTCGTCGGTTTTTGTTGTTTTTCGCTTAGCTGGTCAAACCTCCGTCTCGCATTATTGCCAATGCCTGCCGAGTCGGACAGCAACGCGCCCAGCGCCAGTCACCCGCAGGCGACGCGCGTGACGTCCATGCCACTCATGCAGCGGCGGCAGTCGTACCAGCCGGCGTCATTGTCCTCAGCGTCGTCGTCGGCGTCGTCGCTGCCTAATCCGGCGTCGCTTCTTCCGACCGCCAGTCCGCCGTCTGCCGTCACGTCCAATCCACTACCATCTGCAAGTGCGACCTCGATGCCAATCCTGTCGCCAGCCGCAGCGCTCGCTCTTGCTACCCAGCAGCAGCAGCAGCAGCAGCAGCAGCAGCATCCTGTGGCTGGTTCGCCGTCTCCACTCGGCAGCGGCGGCGCCAAGAAGACCCTCCGCCAGCGAGGCGTGAGTCACAGCCTGCGACCATCGGTGGGGCTGTTTGGCACAACGCCACCACAGGCAGGGTCGCCGCTCGCCGGGTCGCCGCTGGCCCTGTATGGTTCGACGGGAAACCTGTCACAGCAGCAGCAGGATTCTCAGCGGCTCGGCTCGCCCGGGTCGTCCAGCACGACGAGCCTCCAGTCGCTGTCCAGCTCGTCGAGCAGCCTTGCAGGAATATCCTCCTCGGGCATGCCTCCGTCCTCGCCGACGGCCGTGGCGCAGGCTGCTGCTGCTGCTGCGGGTGGGCGAGGCGCCAATGCGAACGTGCTTCGGCGATCGTTCGCTGGGCCGTCACTGTCGCTCAGCCACCAGCTGCAGGCGCTGTCATTGAGCTCGCTCAGTCAAGTGGGCTTGCCGCGCACGCCAGCATCTCCGACAATACCTCTAGCGTCGGCGTCGGCATCCGCGTTGCCTGCATTCGCACCCAGCGCCGGCTCGCCTGCTGCTGCAACAGTTGGACGCTCGCGACGTGTGTCCATCTCTCTGGCTGGCGTGCGCTCTGGCTCGGTGCTGAGTCGTAGCATCAACATTACGAGCGAAATGGAGGCTGCGGGCATTCTGGACGATGTTGTTGAGCCAGAAATGCTCGCGTTGGACCATCCCGTGCTCACACCTTTCGATGCGGCAGGGGTGGATTCGGGGACAATCTCGCCTCAAGTCGCCCTACGCAAGCTTCGCGGCAACACAGTCCCGTATTCAACAGCGATGCGGCTTTGGGGTGAAGAGCAGACGACACGGCAGGAAGTCTGGGATTCGACCGAGATTCTCGACGCCACAACAACGACTACAACTACAACCACAACAACAACCACGACGGCAACAGCCACAGCAACCGCAACAACAACGAATGCCACCGCGTCCAATCCACGACGCCCATCTGCCTCTCGCCTGAGCCAAATCTCTGCCAGCCACACAAGTAACAACAGCGGAACTTCCAGTCCTTCAAGCGCAGGCCGCCAGCCTGCTCACCTACTGGACGCTGCTGCGCGTCGGTCCTTGTACCAAAACAGCCGGACACGATCCCCACCGAGCAATACTGCAGTCGCAGGTTTGTCAGCACGCCCTCGGAAAACCACGAGCGAAGATTCGCAGTCGAGCGTTAACAGCGATTTTATGCCCGAATCGCACGACATCCGACGCGCTTCGTCTCTCCTAAAACTGGCTGCCGCGGGCGCTGCTAGTATTAATAACAGCACCTCCTCTGTCACATCGGAAAGCTTCTCGAGCTCTTTTACCTCCCGCAAGACAGTCCATCGCGTTATTGCAGACTTCCGTGTCCTCGGCGTGTTGGGCCATGGCGGTTTCAGCTCAGTCTATTTGGGAATACACGAGGCGGATGCGAATCGCAAAGCGGCCATCAAGCTCCTGGCCGAGTCGCGCAGAACAACGCAAGGACGTGACGCGTTTTGGAAGGAGCTCTATGTCAATCTACAGTGCGAAACACACCCCAACGTTGTGGCCATGATGGAGCCAACGTGTCGGCTACGAGACGGCGCAGTTGCGCTCTTTTTCGAAGTCTGCGACAGTGGCGATGTGTTTGAGCGGTTGGCAAACGGCATTGTCGACGTCGATCACGTTCAGCGCTACTTTACCCAACTCCTCTCCGCCGTTCAGCACTTGCATGCCCGTGGAGTGGCACACATGGACATCAAGCCTGAAAACATGTTCCTCACAGCCAACGACTCGATCAAACTGGGCGACTTTGGGCTGTCCGTGTGCATCGAAGACGGCCCGGCATTTGGCGTGCGCGGAAGCTCGTGTTACATTGCGCCAGAGGTGGTTGCTAGCTGCAGCCTCGAGCTGTACAGACTCTTTTATGGGCGAGACGCCACGCCCCCGCTCGTGTCCCTTCTCCAACTCACACAGACGCCGTCCCCGGCTCCTCCGGCGCTTGTGGAGCTGACGGTTGACCAACGCATAGTGTACGACGCCAAACACGCCGACATGTGGTCTTGCGGCATTGTGCTGTTCCTCCTCATTGTCCAGAACATGCCGTGGCAAAGGGCGCACCCGTGCTGTCCTCGGTTTGCCAACTTTATCGACGGCACCTATCTGACCGACAATCCCTGGGATTGTTTCCCAGATTCAATCTTGCGTCTCTTTGCCTTGATGCTTCAAATTGACCCATCGCAGCGCGTTTCTGCCGACCACGTCCTGGTCTACTTGAGCGACCATCCTGATATCTTTGACGCGTTGGACGAGGATATCGATGGCGAGTCTGACGACGGCTTGAGCAGCGGATATGGCCCAGCTGAAACCGACACAGACCCAGACCCGCGTACGCCCTTGGGGACTTGCGCAGATTCGTCGCACAATTTGGAGTGGTTTATCAACGACCACTTTGCACGCCTTGACGAGAACGATGCGTTTCCTACAGCGGAAAATGGTCTTTTCCGTCAAGAGTCGCAGTTGAGTAATGCGTACGAGTAGTGCCAGCGTCCAAGTCGAACACACTGACGTCGTCTAGCTTTACGAAGAGCACGGTTGAACAAGTGCTGAATTGATCACTGGAGCCAAATACAAACCTGCTCGGACTGTCTTTTGCGCAAACTGAAAACACTCACATGGGGAGAGGGGGGAGGTCCATTCAGGGAATTTTCGCGTTTCAAAAGCTTGACTTGGTTTATTTTCGAATCAACGGATGAGCGAGATGAACGACACAAACAAACAAGGACAACAGGCAAAAAAACCAACAACAACAGCAACAACAACGATAACAATCACGAAAAGAAAAAAAAGCATGACAACGACAACTGTTAAAAAAAAAAAAGCATGACAACGACAACTGTTGGTCGTTGAAAACCCGGTCTTTCGAACCGGTTGTTATTTTTGATTTTTCTGCTTTAATGTGTGATGAGGCGGACGTTGCCGAGCTGACCCATATCCTGGGCAAACTCGAGACGCTGACTGATGAGATCGATCGCCTCACCATCAAACGTGTCGTGTTGGACTGCAATAAAGTCAATGCGCATCTTGGGGTAGATGCGATCGAGCGTCCGCACATTCTCTTCCAGTCCGGCAGGCACTGGTACGCCGCGAGCGTGCACGTGCACAATTTGAAGCCACATGGTGTGTTCGTTGTCGCGCACGTACATGGCAGCCTTGTTCATGACGGTAATGTCCTCCGTCTTGGCGAAGAAGACCATCTTTTGCGACTTGATGGAACGCATGGCCGAGATGCATGCATCAAGCGCCCATTGGGTAGGCCGCCAGAAAAAGATGAGAGGATGGTGCTTGATGTTACGAAGGAAGCGCAATAGGAGCTTGAGCACAAAGGTGCGTCGGAGCATGATGATGACCGACATGACGGCAACCGAGTAGTACAAAAAGAACCACTTGACATTCTCGACGTTGAGGAGAATGTTGCCAACGAGCGCAGCACCAACAGCCGACAGGGCAAGAAGCACGCCGAGTTTGTTTGCGTGGACTTTGCGTTGCAACTTGGAGCGCGAATACTTGAGCAACAGATTGCCGACAGCAAACAAGCCCATGACGACCAAAAAGCTGAGCGTGTAGATGCCCGACAAGTCAAGCAGGTTGCCGTCGAGAATGAGATACAAGGACGTGCACAGCAGGAAGAAGCCAATGATAATGTAGTGATTCGAGTGCGTGAAGCGGTTTGTCTTGGCCAGCACACTGGGGAGGCAGCGATCGAGCGAAAGCCGGCGAACGAGACCGGTGATGCCGACATAGCTGGTAAACACACCGCCCATCAGGACAAGCGCGGCGTCAGCCGAGACGAGCTTCTGCAGCCACGTGTACGAGGAGGGAACCATTGCCAAGAGCAAAGCATTGTTGCCGCCGCTCGTGCTCGTGCCGTTCGTGGATCCCAGAACGGCGTCCTTCAGATCAAGAGTGCAGAGCGACAGGAAGCTGCAAAGCGGCGAAAGAAGACAAAGAAACGCGTGTGAGCACTCGTAGTTGGCTTGAAACAAAAATTGAGAAATCGTTGAAGCTGAATCCGTTCTGTACCTCAAGGTCGGGTTCAAAAGACCCACAGCAATCCACATGTTGCGCAGAGTCTTGACAAACACGCCCGGCGCTTGCTCTTCCACGTAGTTGGCCGAGGTCTCGAAACCAGTGATACCGAGCATGGCTATGAAGCAGGAAAGCACTGTGAGTGTATCTGCGGCAGCAGCAACAAACAAGCAAGCAACAACAACAAAACAACCAGCTCTTCAAACCTGCGCAAAAACCGTAGAAAATGGCATTGCCAACATCCGGGTAGGGAAAGTCGGGATCCGCTCGGATTTCCCAGTTGTGAGAAAGTCTCTTGAAGCCATCTGATCAACATCCCATATCAGGTCGAAACGAATGAGTCACCAAACGCTTTTTTGTATGTTGTTTTGCAAAAAACCAAGCCAGCGACTGAAGGACGAGGCGCTGTTACCTTGGCAGGCATCAACAAAACAGGCGACAATCAGAATCGTCAGGGTGAGGAGATGGAGAATAAAGATGGTCACGGCGACAGGAGCAGACTCTTTAATGCCCATCAAGGTGAGGAGGCAGAAGATGCCCAACACGCAAATGGTGCCGACCTTGACGTTGGTGTCGCTGTACAGACCGATGAAGTACTCCATGGAGGAAGCCGCGCTCACTACAGCCGTGCTAATGTACGACAAGATGGTCAAGCACGCTGCCAGCGCGGCAAGCAGCTTGGTCGATGTGTTGAGCAGAACAGAGTACGTGCCACCGTTGACGGGCAGTGCCGTGACGACCTCTCCATAGATGGAGCGGAAAAAGTACAGCATGATGACGACCAGAAAGAGGGAAAGCGGTGCCCTGGAAAGAAAAACAAACAAGCGAGCAAACAAGCAAACCAAAGCAAGGATTGTGAGCATGGAAACAAAGGAGGCACAATCAAACAACAACAAAAACAACAACAACAACAACAACAAAAAAAAAAAAGCATGAACCGGGTTGCGCATGTCATGGCAACTCACCAAATACCCGCATAGTAGGTGCAGATACCAAGCGTGTAGAGACAGCTACCAGTGATGTCGTTGCCAGCAATGGCAGTGGCTGCGAGCTGGCCGAGCTTCTTGTGGGCGGATTGCACCGCGCCACCCAGCAAAGGGATGGTGACATCGTTCGCCTTTTCGTCGCCAGCGCCGCCATCGCCCGAAGGTGCCGGCTTGCCACGACCCATCAAGCCAGCATCCTCGTCGTCGCTGTTGATGTTGGTGCTGTTGTCCGCGCCGTGGTGGCTGACCGATGTTCGGGTTGGCACAGGCGATTGGGCGAACGTGTATGTCAGATCGTTGATGCGCTCGGCGACGCCGCTGCCGGGCCACTCCCTGTGACACAAATTTGCAAGTGAGTGAGCGAGCGAGTATGCATGTGTGTGTATGTGTGTGTGGACGAGTGAGTGGATGATTGCATGAGTGATCTATTCAAAAAAACAAATCCGCGACCGACCACGCGACATTGTTGTTGGGGTTGCTCATCCCTCCAACGTCAAAACAGACGGTCGGTTCGAACTCGCCGTTGATGCAAGAATAAGAGATTGAGTGAAATGGTGAGAATAAGCGGGTGAGTGAGCGGGAGAGGGAGAGTGAGTGAGTGGATTAACCGAAAAAAAAAAAAAAAAAAAAAAAAAAAACGAAAGACCGCAAAACGCACCGAAGCTCGGTCGGAGAGGGAGAGGGAGAGGTGTTGGTTGGGCTCGTGCTCGTATTGTTCAATAGATGGTAGAACAGAGTGGCTCGCTCTCGTTGCGGTTGGCAGAGCGAACAGGCACAGACAGCGAGAGAGAGAGAGAGAGAGAGAGAGAGAGAACGAGAGCGGCAAGCTTGACGAGTGGGACGGTTTTAGCGCGACACATGCACGCCCCACTCACTCGCTCACTCGGTCGTCGACCGTCCTCGGGCACATGAACCCGTGCTCAAAGCGTAGTTGGGGAGAAGAGAGGAGAAGGACAACAGAGCGGCGTGGATCACACGAAACAGGGGACACAAAAAAATAAAAAAAATAAAAATAAAAACTTCCACGCAACTGTAAACTGTCGCGCCACACGAGAGCGAGGGCTGGTGGCTCATGGCGCCGGCAAACGGCGGAAAACACAACCACGATATGGAGGGAAGAAGCAATGTGAGATGGAATCAAAAAAACAAAGCGTACCAGTCCTGGACGTCCTCGGGCATGTGGGCAGTGTCGACAGCCGTGTGGCCGAGGAGCAGCAGCGAGGCCGACGACCCGACGCGCTGCGGGCGACCACCAGGAGAAAGCGCCCCAGTCGGGCCGACGTTGACAGAGCCGGTAAACGAGTCCGTGGGCGACACGGCACGATCGTGCAGTGCGTCAAACTCGGACATTGGTCAGGGTGGAACGAAAACGAAAACGAGAAGAGAAGCGAAAAAAGAAAAAAAAAAAAAAAAAGTTGGACTGCCAACAAAAAACCAAACACCAACCGTTCTGTGCTACACCCAGTCTAGATTCGATGGTGACGGAACTGCTTGGCTGGCGATCAGCATACATGCATTCTCTTTGCATCGTATGACAATACGAAAACGACCTGCTGGAACAATCCTCGCAATGTGTACAGGTCTACCGTACATTGCAACATTGGGACGCTCTCACACGATCTCCGCCAAGCTCGGACGCATCAATTTGGGTTTCGAATGGCGAACCAAAAACAACAACAAGCTCAGAACCAATTGAACGCTCGTTTGCGTCGAATGGTGGACTTGGTATTGAAACAAGCGAATTTCATTCAGATGCTTTTATTGTATTTTTCAACCTCCCTTTTATGGATTACCGCTCACTGGGGTCGCGCTGCTGGATGGTGCATTGCTATCTGTTGGCAGACTTCCCGACGACGACGGAGCAGCCGCTTTGGAAGACTCGAGCTGTTGCTGCCACAGGTGTTTGTACTTGCCGCCCAGCGACAACAGCTCTGCGTGACTGCCACGCTCAATCACTTCGCCGTCTTGGAGCACGAGAATTTGGTCTGCGCCTATGATGGTGGAAAGGCGGTGTGCCACAACGAGGGTCGTGCGGTTGTCACACACGCGAGCAAGCGACGCCTGAATTTGACGCTCAACAATGGTGTCCAGAGCGCTCGTGGCTTCGTCCAACATGACAATCTGCGGAGCCTTCAGGATGGTGCGTGCGATGGCCACCCGTTGCTTCTCGCCACCAGAGAGCCGCAAGCCGCGCTCGCCCACGACGGTGTTGTACTTGTCCGGGAAGGACATGATCTTGTCGTGCATTTCTGCGGCGCGCGTGGCATTCTCGAGTTCCGCCTCCGTGGCGTCTTGCCGACCATACCGGATGTTGTATCGAATGGTGTCATGGAACAAGACGGTGTCCTGAGGCACAACGCCAATCGCACGGCGTAACGAGGCCTGTTGAACTTGGGAAATGTCCTGTCCATCGATGGTGATTGTGCCAGAAACGAGGTCGTAAAAGCGGAACAAGAGTCGAACGATCGTGCTTGAAAAGAAAACCGCCAACAAACACACAAACAAACCAAAGGAAACCAACCAACAAACAAAGCAAAGCACAGTCAGCACTTTGCCAAGCACCCCATTATTATTCCCCGATAGCACATGATGACCGTACCTTTTGCCGCTTCCCGAAGCCCCGACCAAGGCAAACGTTTGGCCAGCCGGGATTGTGAACGAGATTCCTTTCAGGACAGGCTTTGCGGGGTCGTAGGCAAAGTGGACGTTGTCAAACTTGACTTCGCCCGATGTGACGCTTAACGCCTGTGCGGTGGGGATGTCCTTGACTACACCAACGGTTGACAAAGTCAGGAGAAAACGGCGTCAATAATCACGACAGGTCACACACTATCCTTCATTTAAACAGCCAAAGTGATCCTTCCTCACAACGTACCTTCAGGCTCAACTGCCAGCAAATCAAACATGTTCTCCATGTCGATAAAGTACTGCGTCAGCAGACGATACCACGAGCCAAACATGTTGAGCGGCGCATACAGTTGGACCACGTAGGACAGGAACAGCACAAAGTCGCCCACGGTCAGTTCGCCAGCAGCCACCTTGTAACCGCAATACATGCATCCCGCCGCAAGGCCTGCGGTGATGATGAGCGTTTGGCCGCAGTTGAGCAGGTTGAGTGTAAAGTTGGAACGCCACTCTTCGGCTTGGTAATCGAGGATGGAGCGCTCGTAGCGTTCGGCTTCAACCCGCTCCGCTTCGTAGTACTTGACCGTCTCAAAGTTGAGGAGCGAGTCCACGGCCTTTGCGCGAGATTCGTTGTCCATCTTGTTCATCTTGCGACGGAACTTGGTTCGCCATTCGGTAATGGAAACAGTAAAGCCAACGTACAGCGACATGGCCACAAAGACAATGACGCCAAACCAGACGTTGAACGTGTAGATAAAGTAGCCAATTGCAATGGCAATGTCTACAAACGTTGGCAAAATGTTAAAGAGGATGGCGCTGAGCAACGTGTCAATGCTGTCCGTGCCGCGATCCATGACACGCAGCACCTCGCCCGTCTTTTTGGACATGTGCCAGCGAAGGCTCAAGCTGTGAATGTGGTTGAACATTTTCAGCCGAATGGTTCGGTCGGTGTACTGGCTGATCTTGACCCACAGGCACGAGCGGAGTGAGTTGAGCAAACCAGTCGAGCCCACGCTGCCGCCCTGGATGAAGATGAGCAGAATGTAAATGCCAATGTCCTTGTACGGCATTTCGAGAGCTTTGGTGACGGGATCTGGTGTCAGGTCGTTCACCATCTGCTTGTTGTAGACTGTGGTGGTGGAGGCGGTTGAGGTGGTTGGTGGAGCGAGATTGTCAATCGGGTGAGTCATCAAATTCCGTGGGAATATCAGCGCCCGGTCAACAACAACAAAAAAACCAACCACGTTCCTAACAATACTCACTTGGAACGAGGACATTGATACCACGCCCGGCTGCCAGCAGCGTCAGACACACAATGACATAGAATTGGAGCAAGCGATCGTTCCGCGGCCAAAGATACGGCCACAGTAGCTTGATGCGACGACGAAAGTCGTGAAACGTGTTCCCTTGAAAGATATCGTCGTCACTCGACGAGGCACCAGGGGGCTTGGAGGACGGCGCTTGCTTGCCACCGTCGTCTGCAAGCTGCTCGTCGCCGTTGATTGCCACATAGCCAGCGGCGAGAGCAAGCTTGAGCTGGCGGTTGTCCAGGAGCGCAAACACCGGCATCAGCGTGGTGAGTGCGTAACGAATGATGAACGTGGCAAAGGAAGCGACGTGCAGCCCGTCTTTCAGGCGAAAGTAGACATTCTCGCCGTTGACAGATGCGAGCTCCATATTGACCTCCAGCACGGCCATCATGTAAAAGACAAACACAACCTTGTGGTGAGCGACCGACTTGATGCGTGAGATTCGCACGACGACCAAGAGGTAGCTCCACGCAAAGACGTGCAAGCACGCCGACATGACGGCAGACCCGTAGATGCGCGACGAATCCAGCGCCGCATGGGCAATCATCACGGCAGGGTAGCACAGCAAGATAATCAGCGCAGCAACCAAGTGCAGCACATGGAATGAAATGGCGGGCGATACAGCTCGAGCAATCTTGGGTGAGGTGAACAATCTCCACTGCAAAAAACGAAGCGGGACGGAGGTGAGCACACAGATAACTTTCGTTGCAGTCTCAACAGGCTTGAATATTTGAATTCATAGTGAATGTTGTGACTCTGGCTCGAAGATGTGTGAACGGTTCCAATTTTGTACGAACGCAATTCGAGAATAATGAGAAACGGCGAATTTTCGCACCGAAGGGCGATGGTAATAACAAGTTTTGCTTATGTTCACCGCACTCGAAATGCGCTTGCGTGCACAATGCTGCCTGGCAATTAATTGACTTTTGGCAAGATAATTCAAGACCTGCTTTGCCTCGAGACTGGAACTGGACGCGGGCGAAGGTCGGGTTTCGCACAGCGATGCGTTTCGCCAGCAGGCTCATTCACTCCGAGCGTCCAACGCCCCAAACGCCGACGCACCCCCTGCCAATCACACATCACGTTTGCTGATTCACGTACCAGTTTGACAGAGCCATAGACGGCCATAAACCCTGCGAGTGACGTCGACCCGAGCGTGTCTAGAAAGCAGATGGAGAAGGCATCGGCGCTCCACTCAATCGTGAGCGTGTCGTTGTGACAAAACTCGAGCATGACGGATGACGACTGGACATGCACTTGAACATGAAGCGGCAATCCAGATTCATGCATCTCCCAGTCTTAGATGTGATGCTCAGAGCGGTATGAGTCAGTCGTTCTTCCTGTTGCTTTGAAAACTCAGATTGGGAATGGCCGACGCACGGATCGCTTCGCCGCCCTCCGAGCGCAACAAGGGACCCATTCTCAGTGTCCTGCGCCGCACCCTTGGGTTGGAAGCCGCGACCACAGACCAAGAGCACTCACCGCTCACCGTGCTCGAGATTGCCTGCGGAACGGGCGTCCATGCGGCGCACTTTTGCAGCGAGTTGGGCGATCGCGTGCGCTGGACTCCGACAGACTACGAGTCGACCATGTTCGCCAGGTGCGCGCGAGTCAAACGGCTGTGCTGCTCGCCGTCTCTCTCTCTCGCCTGCGGGGAAGGGGAAGGGGGCGTTTGTTCTGCTGTCTGAGCCTGACATTCCTTCTTTGCCTTGTAGTGTCGAGGCGTACCTGGCCGAGGCGAAAGTGAGCAACTGCAAATCGCCGCGATTGCTCGACGCCAGCAAGCCTGACGAGTGGCAGGTGGATGCGCAGTCCGTCGATCTCCTGCTGAATATCAACATGATTCACATTTCACCCATTGCAGCGACTGGTGAGCCGAGTTGTTGCACGCATGATTGAGCCAAACTACGTGCAGATTTCGTGTTCTGATGCGGTGACTCTGTCCCTCCTGCATGCGGATGTGCGATTGCGTACAGAGGGGCTGATTGTCGGGGCTTCGCGTGTGCTCAAGTCTGGAGGTGTTCTGGTCACGTATGGGCCGTACATGGTCGACGGAGTCATTTCGCCCGACTCGAATGTCGCGTTCGACCAGAGCCTCAAGTCACGGTAAAACCCCATGCAGCATCCAGCTACTGCCGCACAATAACATGCATCCGGAATCAGTTGTGATTTCCTGCCCTCTCTCACCGTTGCACAAATGGCATTCATTGCAGAAACCCCGCCTGGGGCTTGCGCGACATTGCTTGGCTCGCGTCGTTGGCCGCCGAGCAGCAGCTCACTCTGGAGCAGGTCATTGACATGCCTGCCAACAACAAGTGCCTCGTCTTCCGCAAGTAATGCTCAGGAAGATGGCTGAAACGAGTGTTTTGAAGGTTCCTGGTCCAAGTTGTGATTGTTGGAACGATGATAGTTGACGCAAATCGAGTATACAGTACAATGTGGCAAAGTATGCCCCTAAGAGTTTAGGAATTGGAAAGCACAACCCGGATTTGGGGCGGTGCTTGGGGTTCCGAGCTCGGCACGGCAGGCTTGACCACTCGCACTGGAATTTCGACGTGAACGAGCTGGAATGCACTGACGCCATCGCTCGCTCCTGTGACTGTGGCTGGGCCTAAAAACACGTGCAAGTTGAGGTTTATCTGCAGCACGATATGAAGGGAGAAAGCAAGCGACTGTGAGCAAGACGAGCAACTTGTAAAAACAAAAACAGGGAAAATCAAAAAAGAAGCCGAAAAAAACAAACCCGAACGGATCAGGACAGCACAACTTTTGGACATTACCCTTCCAGTGCCCGGAAACGCTGAAACATATAAATAAGGCTGGTTGACAGGCATGGTGGCAGGCAGCACTGGAGGAGGAATGTCTGACGAGTCGAAAAACTCCATCTCGTCACGCTCGAAGGCAGTGATTGTGTCTGGGGGCAAATGCATGGCTCGAAGGAGGTGCAAGTCGGTCATGGAGCCAGCGATACTATATGAAAGAGATGGAGGTCGTGGAAGGGCGAGTGTGGTGTCTGTCAGCGAGACTTGCACGGGGATGATGTGCTCGCCAGGCTCGAGCTGCAGGACGCTGTGCCACACCACAGGCACGGGCAGATCGGAGCGAGCGGCGTACGGCATCAGCGGCTTCAAAACTGGCACACTCGGATTGGTGAAGGGCGGCTGACCCGAAGGGAATGACACTGAGAGCGACTCCAAGCCCTGGTGAATCCGACCTGTTTCAAGCGCAGCGTACAAGTTGTGCAGGTCGGACGATTCGTCACTGGAGTCGAGCGCAGGCGGTGCAACCCAGTCCACTTGCAGAGTCTTGCAATGGTTGGCTGCAATTTGGTCGCGTGCGTCGGCAACGAGTTCCTCAGCGGGGACGGGCAGCACCTGGTCGACAGTCGTAGTCGCAGTGGTCGTGTTGGCAGCAAGACCAGTCGCACACAAAGCCAGATGCTCTACTGCCGCAGTCTTGTGAATCGACTGCGGTCTGTGGATCAGCGGCCCGAACAAGTTGGAGTGGTAGTGCTTGATGTGTTTCAGAGTCGGAACATCCAACGTGGAATCCGCCGGTTCGAAAAGGCTGCCGCGCATGGTCGGCGCCAATGCAAACAAGCGCCGAATCAGCTTTGACGCGATAACGGCCGTAGTTGCTGTGCGATCGACCGTATTTACTCGCAAGACACGCCCAGCGCCCGAGTCGGCGACGAGCAGGGTCTGCGGTGCAGGCGACCAGATTTTGCTGGGCGACATGATGCCGGTACTATCAAAGGACGTGATTGGCTGTGTGTACTCGAGCGGCGTAAAGCACCAGGATTGTTCTGGCCTTTCGTGGAAGGGAAGCACGACTCTCTGGGCGTACCGATGAATGGGATCCCAGTCGAACGTGACGCGATTGGTGCCGAGGGCCGCTTCGAGGTGGAGCCGACCACCCTCCATCAGCCTCAAGAACAGAATCCGGCCATTTTCAACGTCTGCCACAGCCCACAGCGGCGGCTGGGCGGCGGCGATCGCGGCGTCTGCGTGGTGTTGGTCATTCAGTTCTTTGGCCAAAACCGCCGCCTCCTGCTCCTCCTCCTCCTCCTCCTCGTCATCGAGAATGTTGGTAGACTTTCTTGCGGACTTGGCAGCCAATCCACGACTGGGTTGTTCTGGCTTGCGGTTCAGCGGCAGTCGATTGGCAGTGGCGCTGGTTGGTTTCGCTTCTTGCACTCGACACACGAGGTGAGACGGCGGTCGTCGCGGCAGCATGGCGCGCGGATGCAATGGTACAAATGCACCCATCTGCTCACGCTGGTCTTGGCCAGCGGTGATCTGGCTGGCTTGCTGCGGCACCGGCTGCTGTGTGAGGACGCTGCTGCTGCTTCTGAGAATCGCAGTAGTGTGCGATCGACATTGCCGCCGGCCTCCAGGTTGCGAGCTCGCTGTCTGCAGCCTGAGCACGCTGACAGTGGCACGGTGGAGGGACGCACATCCTGGAAGTGATCGCGCCGCCGCATGTGCGAGCAACAACCCTTGACTGAGCATGATTTTCACTGCTTTTACGTCGTTCACAGAAGAGGGCGTGCCTCTTTGTTTCTATGTGTTTGAGTTTGTGTTGTACTTTTTTACAAAAACAAAAATGGGAGTGGTTGTTGTTGTTCCCGGGGACAATGGTACAGCACTGCACTTTGATATTTGACAGACAACAACAGGAGAAAAGCTCGCCTCGGCCAAGGTTGTTACGCGGTCAGCGTACACGCGACAAAAGTCCAGCCAGCGAGCCCAGCGTAATGCACAAAGCGAAGATACGTGTCCTTGAATACGCCCCGCCGCTTGGCGAAATGGTAGTGGACAATGCTCAGCACGCTCTCCAGCACGCCCGCATACGCAATCCGCCGCTGAAGGACCAGGTCTTGCGTGCCCGCGATCGCAAACAGGGCAATTGAGCTAAACACCAGCGTGATTCTAAGCAATTGGAGGAAATAAAACAAAAAGAGGAAGCGGGAATCAGCATGTTTCAACATTGTCCTCCTCCCTCAATGTACGCAAGCCTCGTCCCACTACAAGCGAATGCAACACAAGGCAGACGAAACCAAAGGATCCTCCAACGAACCACCGGCGACGCAATCAATCATGTCGTCGATTTCCTATGCAGCGTTATTGTTTTACCCGAGGCTTCGAGTCAGGTCGTCCTCGGCTGCGCTGATCAGCGGCGTGGATTCCCGGTCAATGACGAGCGCCTGGAACTGTTGCGGATGGATCTGACATCAACCCACAACCAGCAAAATATCAGCAACGAGAAGCGAAACAAAGTCGTTGCGTTGCGTCGAAGGAGACGGGTCAAGAGGATGAACGCGGTGACCAATTCCAATCCCTTTCCAACCCCCAGCCGATTCCAGAACGCGCAGCATAGATGCCCTCAAACGCAGCATTTGTCGCAGTGTACCATTGAGGCGGAGGCGACGAGATGCGCAAACCCGGACAGCGAAGCGACCGCTTTGAAAGTCAGTAACGCGGCCATTTTCAATTCTTCGACTTTTGTCTTCTTCTTCCTTGGCTGTTGAATGTCGACGACCAACAAAAAAATAGAGAGTGCGGCTGACATTGAAGACAGGTTCCATCGACATCCTTCTGAGCCAGTCAGTCTTCTGATCTTGGTTTCAAACTCTGAGAATGGACATTGTTGTGCAGCAGGTGAGCGCTCAGGAACATCCTCAAAACTCACATCAAAACTCTTGGCCTCGCTGGTGGGCTTTTGTTGGAATGACGTTTGAGCTTGCATTGCATGGGGATGACTTTGAGTGGAGACGGTGATGGACAACGCGACTGACTTGGGAGCGAGATCTCGCAATTCTGCAACCATGGTCGACCTCGCCCGACCCTCCGTCCATCAACCCGCTGCTGACTGACGTTTGTGCTTCTTGCTGTTTGGTGCATGGTCTGGTCGTCTCCGGGGCGTGGGGACATTGCTATGATCCAGGACCTCGACTTGAAGTACAGCACGCGGCGGCACAAGTGCATCCTGCTCCCGCGGTTCTCGGCTGCAGGCGAGCTCAGCCTCACGCCAGTGGCAGTGACTCCCAAGCACAACGCCCAGGCGCGGCAGCAGCAGCAGCAGCAGCAGCAGCAGCAGCTGGACGCGGGCTCGGCAGCCCCCAGCCAGCACGACTTCCCGCACGCGATCGTCTCGCTTGCCCTCCACCCTTCGCCCGGCGACGACTACATTCGCCAGCTAGTGTCAGAGTTTCATACCATCTTTTGCGATGTGCAGAAGGCTGTCAAGGCCGCTGCTGCCAAGACTGCTCTGGCGCCCGTAACCACCGCCTCGCGAAGGCTTTCACAGGTAAAACGCGCCGGCAACACCTGTACTGATCGTTCGCGATGCTTGCTCGGATTTCTAGCATGTTGATATGGATGACTTTGTGTTCCGCATTGCTTGCAGTTTTCAAACACACAATCCGCGCTGTCGTCGGAAACATCTGCAATTCTCAGCAAGCGGTATCGGCAGGCGCTCAAAGCGACCGAGCTCAATCTGCTCCACGACCTGCAGCGAACAGCGATTGTTGCAGGTCATGCTGATGCTCAAGCTGCACTCGAAAATCATCATCCTGTTTGTCAAGTACGGATTGGCACACTGTGGCCTTTGTTTTCTTTTGATTGCGTTTGTTCTTGCTTCCTCATTTTTTTTTTTTGCATTTCTTGCCAACAGGAAATGTTCCAGACACGTCAAGTTATCGTTTCCTCCATGACCCTGTGGCACTTGTGCGAAATCATGTTTATCGACACTCGAGCGAATGGCCTGGTAATGCCGAGCGATTGTTTTTTTTTTTTTTTTTGGTTGCCGCTTGTTGCGTTTTGCCGCTTGTTGCGTTTTGCAGCACGCCCACTCACTCTGCTGGCGCCTCTTGTCTCACTCTTTAGGTCACCGACTCGCTCTGCGCGTGGCTCCAACACTCGTTTGACGCCTCTGTGGAGCGCTTGCCCGACGAGTTCATTCCTGCGAGTGCAGCCAATCGGTCGGTCGAAGAGTTGCAATTGTGGGCATATATTGCTCGACTCGTCATGCGTGGCGACACGGACTCGGCCCAGCAGCTATTGCCTCAGCCAAACGAGTCCCCCTCGGCCGCAGTTTGCTTCGGCCCAATGAATGCGCTCCTGGCAAATGTCCCGCGTGGTTCAGCTGCCACCTCTGTGTCCGAGTTTATGCTGGCATGGTCGCGATGGCGCGAGGAGTGCCGAATTCAGCAGCGCGACGTTTTTGCGGGGCACTTTGGCTGGGAGTTACTTGGCCGAGTGTTGCTCGGCGACCAAGCAGTTCTCCGCAAGCTTGCACAGCAATGGTACGAGCTTGTGGTGGCCCGTCTCTTTCTCGTCACACCCAACACGAAGGTCTTTGATCTCGGCCTGCTGGCCCAAGAGGCGATGGCTGAGCTTCCACCGCCACTTCCGATCAGCCCCGACCAAGCCGAAGCCGACACCGGGGCTGGTGAATTTGATCGCATCATGGCTGCGGCGTTCGAGTTTGACATTCAAAAAGTCGTTCAGGACTGCACCACCCTGTTTGATGGCTGGTTTGTGGCTCATTTCACCGACCTGCTGCAACGGTGCGGAAAGCTCGAGTCGATTCCGTTGGCCTACGGGTCGGATATTCGCGAGTTTTTCGTGCTGGAATATGCCAACCAGCTCGCGTCGCACAACGCATTGTGGCGCTTGGCTTGCGACTACTTTGCCTCGTGCAGCGTCTTTGGTCCCCACTTTTTGAAGGCGTTTGTCGAGCGCGTTGCCCCGTTCTCGTCCGAAAAGAAGGCGGCCAAGTTGATGTTGACCTGTGACAGGTTTGGCTTGACTGAGGAGCGAAGCACCATCCACAAGGTAACGGTAGTGAAGAGAAAAGTGTGACCTTGTCGGCGATGGTTTTCTGACCATCCATTTCGAATACCATCCTAATACAGGTTCTCGGCAAGTGGCGACTTCAGCAAGGGCGGCTCGGCGCGGCTCTTGGCCATTTCATTCAAACGCGCGACGTGACCCATGTTACTGCCATTTCGCTCCAACTGCTAGACTCCTATCGCCAAACCGGCGTGCTACCCGATCTGGTGCGTCCTTTCTTTTGTGTGTGGATGGGGGGGGGAGTTCGATTCGTTTTGTCGTGCTTGGTCCACTCACTTGAACCTCCTCGTCCTTGTAGGCTGTGCTTGATGCATTTGGCACCGAAGTGGGAATGAGCAAGGCTTTGACCATCCTGCACAAATACAAGCAATTCCACTCGTACGCTTACATTGGTTTGTAAACGGGATGGCTTTGGGAAAATTTTCTAACGGCTCGGTTTTCTTGTTTTGCGCAGACTCTACCGATCCGGCGATCTGCGCGAGGCCGCTAGACTTCTTGTCGACTTGTTAGCCCACGAAAGCGCGCCCAAGCGGTATGTGTTGGGCAGGTCATCTTGGTCCGAGAAGTTATTGTGTTGCTCACGAACTGCTTTGGATGATTCAACCCCACCCTCCCAAAAAAAAAAAAAATGTTTTCTTTGGCAGAATGTGGTTTACATTGCTGCTTGACGCGCTACCATTGCTCGAGAGCGAGCAGCTGCTATTTGGTGTGAGCCAGACGTACATTCTCATGCGCAGCGTAGAGGAGCTTTGCGAAGCACACAACTTGACGAGTCTGTTGGCGCTGGATCTGAAAGCTGATGGCAAATCCTCCTCCTCCTCCTCCTCGTCATCATCAGCGGCGTCTGCTGCTGGCGGTGCGCGCCGACAGATTAATGAGCAAATGGAGGTGGTCCGACTCGCTTTGGCCCGCAACCTGTCCCGAGCGCTGGTCTTGAAGCAACAATGAGTTTGAGAGTAAACCTGCATTTTCCCCAGCTGTATTTGCTGATGCACCAAAGAGCGCTTCCACAATACCTCGAACGGTCTGAACGAAACGTAATATTGTTTCAACATGCAAATAATCATGGAGACACACACATGCACACGCTTACATGTGATACATGTGGATGAATAATCGAGAGGAGCAAAACAAAACAAAAAAAAAAAAAAAAAAAAAAAAAAAAAAAACCGAACGCATGCAAAAGAAAAAAAAAGGATCAACCCTTTGTTTTTTATAGCTGAAGATTCATGCTTCGACCCCCGTTGTCGGCCACATAACTGTCGCGGGCACCGCTCGTAGTAGAGTTGACTGCCAAAAGCAAAGTCAAGACATGTCAGCGGAAGAAGCAAATTAAAAAAAACCTCAATCAAAACGAGGGGCATGTTGCGCTTACGATGTTCAAGCAAGCCCTTATCAAAGTGGGCCATGACCAAACAGCTGATCACCAAAGTAGCGAGCATGAGCAAAAAGTTGATAGCAGCTGTGAATGTGCAGGTGCAAAAAAAAACCGGAAGACAACACAAAAAACAACAAAAAAAAAAGTTAGCCTGTGGCAAACAACATGCCCCCCCCACACACACACACACACACACAAACAGGCCTCTTACAGAAAATTTCCAAAAAGACGAACGACTGGACGGCGCCGCTAGCAATTTCGACTTCGCAAATCGGGCACGACTTGGTGTTGAATCGGTAGAACTTGAACGCAAAGTAGGCCAACGCAGCCAACAAAATGATGATGAAAAACACAATCACTGCTCGCTTTTCCTTGCGGGCCTGTGTGTGTGGAGCGGGGGGGGGGTAAGAGTAGCCGTAGTGACACATAGAACGGACAAAAGTGGAGCAATGTGAGTCGTTGGTCAATCTGTAGCGAGCATTCGCGACTTCAAGCAACAACAGAGAGTCAACATATACAAAAGCTGCTCAACTTACACCCCAGTAGGCGAAAATAATGATGGCGATAATGACTGGAATAGCAATGATGGACATGATGAATTCGTAGTCATCAGTCTGGAGCAGGACGGCGCAGTGTTGGATGAGGAAGATGACCACGGTGGCGAGATCGACCTTGAGAATCATGAGGTAAATCTGGTAGGTGCGGTACATTGAGCGAATTCGGGGATCGGCACCAATCTTCTTGTAAATGCGCCAGCCAAACTCCTTGAAGAGCTGTCGGCTGATGACGGCAAAGATGATGGTAAGGACGCCAAGCACGCAGGTGCAGGCGACGGCAAGCGAGTCGACCGTTCCCCATGGCCGATCGCCAGTATCGACACCACTGACGATGAGATTGACATCGCGGAACTGGAAGATTTGGACAATGCCGTACATGGTGTAGAGCGCGTTCAAGAAGAGAAAGGCAAACACTTGGATGATGTTTTCGCGCGACAGCGCGTCGTACGCAAAGTAGATCGAGTAGACAACCGCACACAGGTACAGGACGGCATACACTTGGCGATCCTTGCCCAAGCCGCCTTCCGAGGACGACGAAAAGTCGCCGACGCCGAGAATTGTTGCTTGCAGCGCAATCACAATGACGGCCTGCACCACTGAGAGCATCAGAAATGTGCGAGATGTCGTGTTGAGCCCCATTGCTTTATAGGTGAGCGCGTTCACGGTTTGGCGGTTTGAATGGACTTGGGTTGGTGGCGGTGTTTGTCAAAGGCAACAAGCTGGAAAATCCCAAGCGAAACGAACGAGTTGAAGTAAGTTCTCCTTGTGATTGTTGGTACCAAATTTCACTGAACGAGCGACGTTCACAACAACCTGCGCAGTTTTTGGTCAGAGAGGGAAAAAAAAAAAAAAAAAAAAAAAAAAAAAAAAAAAGAAAGCCGTTAGCACATTTTTTTTTTTCAATGGAGCATCAAAGACTCAGAAGAGCAGCGCCAAAGTTCTAGCCAGACATGTCAGCGACGGGTGGAAGCGAAAGGGGGGAGGTGCCATTCTCACTCTGTGACTCACAGCCAGTGATCACCGGCAGCGAGAATAGCGGGAAACCGAAAACTGGGATGTTGTTGTGGTTCTCTATTTTTTTTTTTTTTTTTTTTTTTTTTTGGTTTTGTGGCTTGTTTTTTTGTGGGGCTGTGCTCATTGCTGCTTGTTGCGTGGTTTAGGTCGAGCATGGCGAAAGCAGCAACGATTCATTTGATTGGCTTTGTGGAGCCGTGCACTTCCAGGACGCCACTGGAGACCGAGAGAGTGTTGAATCAAAAATAATAATAAAAATAAAAAATGCAAATAAAAAGAAGAATAATAACAATAAGAATAACAAGAATAAAACCGCCGACAACTTGGATCGATGATTCATCCACTGAGCCAAAGACGGGACCGCTTCCCCATGATAAGACCGTCCCATTGCACGTCAAGTCAAGCAGGCAGGGTGCGGGTGGTGTGGAGCAGGGTCGAGGCAGGCGAAAGGAGGGCGAAAGATGGCACTTCAACTGCTAATGTTAAAAAATGCAACATCGGACGAGTCGCACACAGAAGAGCGATCGAAATATGAAGCAAGCAGGCCATTAGGCAGACTGTGCAAGTTCACAGAGCCAGCTACATTGAAAAGCGGGGAGAGAAAGCGAGAGAGAGAGAGCGAGAGAGAGGGAGGGGCTAGAGTTTGGTGCAAACCAAACCCGCGAACAAAAACCAACACCTCGCCACCATGCATTAGCAACAGCCCGATCCAGGGATGAGGCTCAATGAAATGGAGACGAGGTGCCGACTTGGAGAGACATGGTGGCACAGAGGGCGCGTGGTATGCATGGATTACCGAATCAATCGCGTTGCAAAAAGCACCAAAAAAAAAAACAAAAAAAAAAAATAGACTAACCACATGGACGTTGAAGAAAACAGAACTTCACCCCTTTTGCTGTTCTCAGAAAAAAACAACAGGATCTACTGCAAAGACGAGAAGAAGAAGATGGTGATGAAGAAAAAAGCGCCAAGAAACGTGTAATCGAGAACAGAGCGAGTCACGACAACAGCACACAAAGCAATCGCTGTCAACTTGGCAATTGAGCGGCGAGGCACTCTGGGTCTTGGAGAGACACAACACAATTCGGGAACAAGCTAAAGGACCAAAGGGTGCATTTACTTTTGGAAGCCCTCGAAAACCCTGATGGTGAGGAGAGCAAAGAGACGGAAACGAGGGAGATAGAGAAAAGAAAAAAGGTGAGCTCTTTTTTTCCGGCAATCATTGCAGCTTCGCGCATCCCTGTCCGTGCAATAGATACATACTTGTGGAGAGCGCCGTCCTTCTGGGCAAGACGGTTGATGGAGTCGTCAGCCTCACCCTGAGCGCGGACAAAGCCGGAGAGGGCGTAGTGCTTGGACGAGCCAGTGAAGCGGCCAGTCTGGGGGTCGACGTCGCCGACAGAGATCTGGACGGAGGCGTGGTCCTTAGCCTGGATGATGCGGCCGGTGGCGGAGCTGAGACGAGAGGAGGAAGCGAGAACGAGGGGGAAAAGAAAATCAGCACATGCAGGAAGCACAATGGAAGCGGAAACCAAAAAAAAAAAAAAAAAAAAAAAAAAAAAGCAAAGACGTGTTGCAGGAAAATGTCGCAAAGCAACCCTGGACTCTCCAACAAGTTCCGACGAGACAGACTGGACGCAAGTCGGTGCCCGGAGCCAGCTGCGGGACGTTTGGCCTCATCGTGGCCAGAGCTTTGGGCGGGAAAAAAAAAAGGGAAAAAAAAAAAAAGAGATCGAAAAAAAAAAGGAGTTTGGCTGCAAGAACTTACCACATGCGGGGAGTGTAGAGGTTACCGTCCATTGTAAAGTCTAGTTGTGAAAAATGAAAGCAGCAGGCAAGAGTTGGTGGTGAGACAATCATCCCAAGGGCACGCAAGAAGGCTGACAGGACAACGACATGACGGAAAAAAAAAATGAAAAAAAAAAACCTTTCTGCAACATCGCTTGCTCTCCGGGCTGTGCAATCCACCTGGCTTGCTGTGGCTGATAGGCTGCGTGATTTGGTGCGACCACATGTGCTGTAAAAAGGCCGAAGCCCCGACGACCGGCGTCTCAGGGCAGGATTGCGATGGTAGGCTTTGTCTTTTTTTTCTTCCTTTTTTTTTTTTTTTAAACCACGCGGCCGTCGTTGTAATGCTGCTCCATACAACTTTCTTGCTTGACTTTTTTTTTTTTTTTTTTTCGGTCGTTGTGTTGCTCTTGGTTGTCGATTTCGTCCGCTGTCGCTCTGGCCATAGCGCCTGTGGTCTGGGTTGCTGAAATCCAACACGCGGCTGCAGAGCGTGACAGCGGCGGGTCGCTGCGAGGGGTGGACGAAAAGGCCAAGTCGAAGCAGGATTTTTTTTTTTTGGTTTTTTTTTTTTTTTTTTTTTTTTTGGCTTCATTTTTCAAGCTTACCACAAAGAAGAGAGAACGATTGACTAATCTGACAAGATGAGATTCAGTGCTCGCCTCGAGCACGAATCGGTTTATCAGAAAGCAAGAAGGGCCATGAGTGAGGTCTGCGCCTCCAATAACGAAGGATGGTAAGGTGAATTTGAATACGCGCGCTGAGGAAACCACGCTCCGTCCAAAAAGCGAGTTTCCGCGTCTGAGCAGTTGAGTAAGCCTGCCTCGCACGTTGGATTGCACTGCGTGCTTTGAAATCATCCATTCATACAAGTTGAGACGATGACCGATGCGTTTTCAACCGGCCTGCATCTACCACCAAAAATGCGCGCTCGCCTGAGCCTTCACGATCGACAAGAAACAATGTACTGCAAAACGAATCAAGTAAACGTCGGCGTTACAACCCAAACACAGAATAATGCACAACAAGCAGCAGCAGCAGCAGCAGCAGCAGCAGCACAAGCAGGCACGACGACCACATTTTGTTTTGTTGTTTTGGGGGTTTTGGCTTCAATGCGATCGCTCGGGCCCACCGAGGTCTTCGTCCAGCATGCCAAAGGAAAAGTGAGACTGCTCGTTTGCAACATTGAATGTGGCAGCGACTCCGCGAAGGAAATCCTCATCTGCGCTGAGACGAACACGCTTGACGCCATCTTGGAGCGAAGTAATCGGCGACGATTCGTCTTGCTGCTGCTCGGATGTCGCCGTTGTGGTAGAGTCGAGCAAAAGCGGAGTGGACAAGAGCTCGTACCGGTCCTGGAGAGCTGCGTCAGACACTGAACGCCTGCGCGCGGCCAAGGTGTCAACGAAACGAGGAGAGTGTTCTGGAAGAAGGGGCGGATTCGTGGCTGTACCCTCAAACGTGTGCGTGTGGGTATTGCTACCAATGCCACTGTTGCCAAGAGTGGTGGCCAGATTCGAGTTGGCATTCGGCGCGACAACAACAGAATGGGCTGCGATGGGAGAGCTGGCAGAGTTTGCAGCATGGAGCCGGGCGAGCGACGCCGAAGAAGAGAACGAATGGTCGTGTGCGGCAACCGAGGAGCTCGATGATATCGGAGTCGCCTCGGGCGCTAATTCTTTGAACGAGTCAAGGGACATGCGATTTGCGGAGGCTAGAGATGCCAGGTTCAGATCGTCTTCTTCCGCCAACGTGTGCAGCAGGCCGGATTGGCTAGCCAGCGATGACGAAGTTGTGGCGGTCGAGGCAGACATGGAAATGGTGGCAGTGTTGCCACCGTGGGGTGCAGCACTCGTCATGGAACCAGCGTCGGCTTGCTCGCCGAGACGCTCATTTTCGAGGCCAAAGTCCGACCACAGCGCGGCCAGCGCCAATTGGTCAACGTCATCGTGAGTGTTCGTGTGCTGCGACAGACTGGCAGCTTGTTGCTGCAGCTGGTGCAGTAGTTGGAGAGGGTGGCTATGATGATGATGCGCGCCGTCAGCCAGCTCGGACACGATGGACGACCGGCGCGATGACCCTGGCGTCGACACCTCATCTGTCGAGCGATAGGTGGAGAATGCATTGCCAAGAGGCGCAGAAGACTGGCTCACAGGCATCTGGTGTTGCAAGAGTCCGGAGGAATGGTGTCGCAGGCCCGAGGCGTGGTGATGAAGTTGCTGCTCGGTCGCGGCTTGCTGCATTCCCATCCCGCCTCCAGGAGAAGAAAGGGTCGGCCCATGTGGATGCACCGCCGAGGCGACACGAAGGTTGCTGGCGAGTCCACTCGCGCCAGACGGATCTACCACAAACGGCGAAAGCGAAGGCCCCAAAATCATGTTGACCATGTTGGGAGAGAGAAGCAGCGGATGGGCAGTCGCCGAATCGACAGACAGTGCGCTGTGCCCAAGGCTTGTGGATAGGGTGGGTGTTGTCAGCAACGTAGCAGAGGTGCTGGGTCCCAAGCGAGAGCCAAGATGCGGGTGGATAGCGGGATTTGACCCCAGACGGGCAGATCCTGCCTGATGTGGCTGCTCGTGCAAGTGGTGATGCTGCTGTATCGTCAGCCCAGCGGGGCGATGCTCGAGTTGCTGATCATGTGTTCGCTGTTGTTGAGACTGGGTCTCGTGCTGGCGAAGCGAGCGATCCAGCTCGGGCGCAGGTTGGCTTCCAAGTCCCAAAATGTCGGATACATCAAAGGCTGGAGTCCCAAAATGTCGGATACATCAAAGGCTGGAGTCGAGTCCAACATTTGTAGCGAGGACGAGCCCAGTGCCATACTGGCGTTCGAGCTTGAGCAGCTCGAGATGCTGTCGCTGAGCTTCAGCTGAGTGTTGGTGCTGGTGCTGCTGCTGCTGCTGCTGCTGCTGCTGCTGGGTCGAGTGTGCATCCGAGATGGCTTGGCCGGGCTGCTGCTGTGAGCGGTGCTGCTTCATATTGAGCAGCGGAAGATTGGATTGTCCCAGCCCCGCAGACCGGAGCAGCACGTTCGCAGCGGTTGGTGAAAACGTGACCGGACCAAGCCCACTGCTGCCGTCCAGTTTGATCGCAGGAAGCGTGCCGGGCCCGAGGGTGCTGCCCGAGCCGTCAATTTTGATGGCAGGGACCGACTGCCGACGTGGTAGCGCAAGCGGTGGCAAGCTTGACGACATGGAGGACGGAAACGGTTGGCTGGTATTGTGGCGCATCATGCCACCAAGCTCCAAAGCAGAGTGAAGAGTCGACTGAGAAGAAAGAGGCGGCAGTTGAGAGGCACTGCTCGAATTGGCAGCGGAGGTTGACGTTGCGGCCATCGCATCGGAGGTCGATCGACTTGCATGGTCAGCGAGAAGGCTGCGGAACGGCAGCATGGAGAACGGACGATTGACACCAACGGGCTCAGCCCGGGCAAACGTGCGTCGACCGAGCTTGGCACCAATGCCGCGAACACGGCCTCGACGAAGCGGCTGTCCGGGGCGCGGCTTTCCGTCCTCATCCAACCCATCATCTGGACGCTGCTGGTGGCGCTTGAGGTGGTCTTTAAGGTTTGAGTGGGTGACAAAGCGCTTGCCGCAGATGCTGCAGCCGTGAGCGCGTTCGCCGGTATGCACGCTCTTGACATGAATGCGCATGGTCTTGACATACTTGAACCGCTTGGGGCAGCCGGCGTACGGGCATCCGTGCGGCTTTTCGTCCGAGTGGACCATGCGATGGCGGCGAATGCCGTCTTTTGTGCCGAAAGCGCGGTGACAGCCTTGGACGGGACACTCGAAGGGCTTCAACCCGTTGTGGCAGCTTTGGTGGCGTTGGAGTGCCCAGCGGCTGCTAAACACTTTGCCACAGTCGGGAAAGCTGCAGGTATTCTTGAGCCGACGGAGCTCAAGTTTGGCAGCAGCGTTTTGGGACAGTTTGGCGACGGCCCCGCCTGTGAGGAATGTGCCCGTCTGTCCAGCAGCATTTCTGGCTGCAGCTGCTAAACTGCCAGAGGTCACGTCCAGCGCACGCACGGGTGAGCCGCGACCATACTTGTGACGCAGTTGGTGCGGGGCCAGCACCATGCCGCCACGCTTGACATCCGTCTCTCCGTTCGAGGCGAAAGGCAGTTTGGAGGCGCCCAACGATGCACCTCCAGCATCGTCATTGGTGCCCAAAAACGTCTGTCCTTCGAATGCAAGTCGCAAAAGACGAGCACCGTCTTCCTCGCAATCCCGATTGGACGGAACGCGCACAAACGTGTCGTCCGAATCTGCCGGCGCTGGCATCACAAGTCGCTGCTTGGCAGTTTTAAGAGTCCCGTCACGGTGAGTGAGAGTATGGTGCACTTTTCCGAGGGGCCCGATTTCAAACTTGACCAGTACGATCAACCAGGGGGCCAACAAGGAATGTGTGGAAGGATTTTCACAAGCTCGGAGCGTATTGGGATGGCAGAACCTCGAGAGTGCCGGCCGAGGGATTCAGGATAAGAGTCAAAGTAGCACAGCTACAGAGGATTCAGGATGGGATGATCTCAAAGTGCAAGAGCAAGGACGCTGCGGATGGGAGAGGCCGGACTGATAAAAAGCGCGTCAACGAGGAGGAGGAAATCGGTGGGATTTCTTAAAGCTTGCGCTCGATCGTACTAAAGATTCCCAAAACAAAAAAAAAATATATACAATGAGAGGAACTTCCAGAATAGGAATTGATCAACAAGACGCGAAGGAGGAATAAAAGGAGGAATAGGATACCCATGCGAAACAAAAACGCAACCCATGACGTCCGTTCGACAAAACAGGAAACAACAACAACAACAACAACCACACATCTCCTTTAGCTTTTTGTCCACAAAGCGCCTGGTATATGGATCAAACCGGAACGGAACAATAACGGGAGTTTACAAAAGCAAAACAAAAAACACAGACAATGAACGCCAAACCCAAATGAACCAGTGTTCAAAGAAATCGTGGTCAGAGAAATTGTGGTTTTGTTTTTGGTTGCTTGTTTCAAATCAGACTCAACTAAATCTGAAAGTGAGAAAAATTCACAGCAGAGCGGACTACGTTGAGAAACAGTCGGCCGTGCACTCAGCGTTCGGCCCCTCCCCCCCCCGCCTCTTCCATTTAAAATGAAGCTAGATCGTCCAGAAACGTAATACCCACTGGCTGAGGAAAGGTCCCGAACAAAAAAGGATTTTAGTGCTTTTTCCGACGATCGGCAAACACAAAACGAACGAGAAGAACGCTGAAATGTTTTTTTTTGTTTTTTGTTTTTTTTTTGGTTGCATGGAAAGTCCTCTGCTCGGTAAATCAACCAATATTCACAAGCAGGCTGTACATTGTGCAGAATTTCAAGGACCAAGTCCAACGACACCGATCAGAGCTAGTATTCTTTGTTCGAAGGTTTGGGTTTGGTAAATGCGTGCGAAAATAAAAACCAAAACAAACAGAAAAAAAATTAAAATCCAAAAATAATAATAATAATAATAATAATAAAAATCATAATAAAACAAATAGGAGACCAACTGGCAGTACGAAATCCAACTTCAAGTACGTCTCTGAGCACTGACAAGTCAAGGTGACAGGACTCATCCAATGGCATGGTGTTGAGCCCTCTTGCTCTATTTCACCCCAACAAGCCTGGTTCGATCGTCGACACGGGGAAAGCGAAAATGAACGAAAATGAAACAAAATTTCAAAAAAGAAAGACGACAAAAAGAACGCTAGGTTCCATCTGTCGCTACCAGTTATTCAGCAAGCACCCGCTCAGCCGCCCTGCATGCATAGACACATGCAAAGCGCGGAATGCAATGCAGTGTCAATGTACGGCGGAGGCTGGCGCAAAAGGTTGTCGCCAGATGCACACTGAACAGCCACACGAGCAAGTCGGATAGGAACACACGAGAAGGACTTCCAAGTTCAACTAACGACCGACTTCGCCGAAACAAACAAAGGGGTCTTTCGTCTGTCAGCACCCCATGAGAGAGGGAGGTGGGGGGAGGGGCCCAAAACGCAATCGCGATCGCATTGGACTGTGCCAGCTCACACAAACTCACCCTCGAAGGACGACACAAAGCCAAACGAAAAAAAAAAAAAACGAAGGAACACAAAATAAAAGCAATGATAACAGTACCAAAACAGAAATCTTTTCAAATAAAAAGAAAAAAAACCAAAAGCCCGAAAACAAACCCAAAAGCGCAAGCCGAAAAAACCAAAAAAAAAAAAAAAAAAAAAAAAAGTTGCAGTGCAACTCATGGCGTTCTTTTTGTTGTGTGTCAAAAACACCAAAGAATTAATTGATTTTGGTTCAGAGATAACAGCAAGAAACAAACGGCAATCATGAGAGTGCTTTCAAGGCTGTGGCAGCCTCGCGGATGGCCTCCGGATGGTCTGGCGAGTACAAGGCGGTGACGAGCGAGTCGACTGCCGGACTGACTTGCGTGACCCACTCGCTCGTGGCATTGATTGCCGCAACCTTGAACATGGGGTCATCCTCGCTGGCCTTGAGGAAGGCGACATTTCGTTCAACTACGCGCTTCTTCGTGGCCTGAAACGAGAGCAGGACAAGCACGCAAACATCAAGTCAGTCCGGACGATGGGAGGCCAGCAACGACGATACAGCGCAACATGAATATTCAAGTGCGAGAACACAATAACTCGGTTGTTTTGGTTGTTGTGCTTTTTTTGTTTGTTTAGAAGCAAAATATCTCCGCATTCCAATCTCATGGGCGATGAGCGCGCATGTGCGCAAAAACAGCACACTCGACAAAAGGTGCCAACACCTTTGAATGTGCGACGACTCACCTGAATCAATTCGAGCATGCTTTGAGCGAGAGTGATTTGCTCGGCCGTCCAGGGATCCTCGTCTCCCAGCCCGAAGGGATCGTCGAGGTCGTCATCATCAGCATCACCAACGTTGCTACGGTCAGTCGCGGTTTGTTCCGCGATAGCCTGCAATAGCAAAAACAACCAAGGCAACGGGACCAAAAGATCAACGCCAAAATCCGATGATAGCAACAAAAAATAACAAATAAAAAAACACGAGCCGCTGTTGCGACGTGCATTTGCGCCAAGACACGGACACGCTCATCAATCTTCTTGCCCAAGAATCTGACCTCTTTGAGTTCTACACTTGCATCCTGGACCAAATCAAAGGTGGACTTGAGCTCGCGTTTGATGGCATCGGCGTTTGAGCGTGGCAAACTTGCAAACTTGCCGCATGCTTCAAACACCACAGCAGCAGAGCTGCATCGTCATAGAGGGAAGAATTGGAAGGCCAAACAAGCGATTGGTGAGCTGCTCTGATACGTGAGAAAAACCTAGAGGGAATGTTTCGCCTTACATCCGACTTGAAGATGGCTCGCGAGGCAAACTGGAAGCAAACTCTACCAGAGCATCAAAGCAAGCAAATACTTGCACTTTGGCGTAATTCCAAACCGGACGGCTGCACTCGGGATGGATTTGAAGAGCGGCAGCGAGCGATGCCAAGCTGGATGCTGCAGCCAGAAGCTGGCCTCCCAGATGACCATGAAAACACACATCGCCAAGGTTTGCACAAGTTTTCAAGAAACCGTTAGTTGGAGGGATTTGTTGTCTCACACACAGCTGTGTGGTTGTGCCATCATGTCACCATGAGCAAGTCGCTTCTTCAACCAACATTGCACAATCCGACACGACGATTGGGCAACTGTGTGCACGGAAAGTGTTCAAGAATGCCCATCCCCAACGCGTCGCTCAGCGAATGGGATGACCATCAACACACGACGCCAGTCTCCATCAGAAGGAACCGACCTTGGCAAAGAGCGGATTGGACTCGACAATGGTCGGCTTGGACGAGAAGCTCAGAGCCACATGGGTGGCGGCGGTGTCGACAACGCGCGCGGCCATGTCCAGCTGGTCGACGACATAGGCAAGCGAGTGTGTTCCGGCCACAGAGAGGGCGGCGATGGCAGTCGCGAGCGAATCTGCGGCTGCAGGCTCGGCCGAGGCGGAGGCAGCCGCAGATGGAGCGGCGGTCGCAGCGGATGGAGTCGCAGCGCTCCCGTCAGTCGACGTCGCGCGTTCGCTCAATGCAGCGGTGAGCAGAGACATGTCGCGTTGTTGGGCGGTGAGGCGCGTCACAAGCAGCGACACGGCCTCGGCCACAGTAGCGGCGTTGAATGCGGTCATGGAGTTGATTGTTGCTCGTTTCGCGCTCAGAAATACAAAAAGAATGACCAGGCTTTCCTTTATATATAACATAGACAAGCAAGGAATGGGAGGCAATAAGCTCACAGATTAAAAGTACACTTGCGTTTTTGCTTGAATGCACTGGGCCCAAGCTTCTTCAGCCTGCTTCGCACAACCGAAGCTGCCGCAGGGCGCGAGTCGCGTCGTCGTAGCCATTTTGAAAGTACATTGGGATGAGTTTTGGATCGCGTGGCAACAGAGCGTCGTAGATGGCTCTCATATTCGCGGGAGCCACTTGGACCTTGTCGCTGTTTGTCCACGGAAGCACGGGAGCCAACATGTACGGAACGGAATCATCAGGCGGGGGACATATGTCAAACGTTCCAAGAAACGGCGACACTTTAATCGTTCGAGCCGGGAGAGTAGGTCCAGGCAGCTCGGGCACGGGCGCGATCAGCTCATCGGGACGAAACTGAGGCCAATTGTCAGTCAAACCTGAGTGTCGGCGCGATTCATGACGCATCACAAATGTACAACAACACAACAATCACAAAACAGACATGGTGAGTGACGAACGACAAAAGGCACCGTGGGTTTGGTCACGCCGTACCGCCATCAATGTATTTGTTGGCTCCTCGAAACAATGGCGGAACACGTCCACAATAACCGGGAATGAACGAGGAGCAGAGCAATGCTGCAATCAAGTCGTCGTAGGACGTGAATTGGCTAAAGCGACGAGCCAGCGGCACGGGCACAGCTCGCGTCACAACCACAGTGACTCGAGAAGGCGAGGCTCGACTTGGGGTTGCTGTTGATGCTGCTGTGGCCGCCAGCGTCGATCGCGGGGTTTGGAACGCCATACGCTCCAGCGCGTCGAGTGGAAGTACTGCTCGCAGGCTTCGCTCGACCTCTTGGATGAATGGCGCGTCGGTATCGGGATCTTGGATGGGAGTTGTTGCTGCCACTTGAGCAGGGGACGGCATGGCAACACCCGCAGTTGCAGTTAGCATATCTGCTGGCGCATTCAGCACAATCGACACGACGTTTGTCAGCACTTGTCCCGTCAGAAGCCTTGTTACGGGATGGTTTGCCCTGCCAAACAACCCGGTTTGACGGTCAAATCATACGAGCAAAGAGGTCGTTCGTTCGTTCGTTCGCTCGTTCGTTCGTTCGTTCTTTCATCCTTACCAGTATTTTGCCAAGCGGGTGGTCTGCACCATACACTGGTCAATGTCCGCTTCGGTTGCGAGCACGGCGGCGGTGAGCGCTCCGGCTGACGTCCCAATGAACTGCGAGCGTCGCAACGTCTGTGCCCACATACAAAAAGGCCATCACAAAATGACATTGTGTGTGCATAGATGATGGAAGCTGAAAGCGTGAGTTTGCCGCGGGGGGTGTTCCAACACAGTGCTGCTCAGGTCGTACTGTACTGTACCTCGCGACCAAGCTTGTTCACCAGGCATTGCGCGACGCCGAGATGGTACGCGCCCAGAAATCCAGCGCCACTGAACGAAAAGTTCATCCCTCGAACGAGCAGCAGTAGCAGCAGCAGCAGCAGCAGCAGCACAGGAATGAGGACTCGGTTTGAAACTGGGACTGAGCTGCTCAGAATTCATCCTACCCCTCCCAAACTCAAAATTCGACAACCATCCTAGCACTCCTCTTCCCATTCGTATTCTCAGTATCGTAGCTTGCGCACTCATTCTTTCAACGTGTCAGATTGAACGCGTTCGTTTGTGTGCTCGCCTCTCCTGCTGCTTCCCCAACCACCACCACCACCACCACCACCACCACTCCCTCGACATCGCAAAATCTTAAAACCGCTCTTGTCGAACTTGCACACTCTCGGAGACCAATCGCAACCACCGCGCCGCCCGAGCCAGCTTGAACGACCAGATTTCAACCAAGTGCGCCACCACTTCCCCGAACGAACTCCCCGACGCTGTCCTTGTCTGCTTCTCCAACCCACTTGGTCTGACGATGCACGCATCTTACCGGCCATCTGCGGCCAGCGCGTCCGCAGTCAGCAATCAAGAGGGCGACGCGCTCCTCGCCAAGTTTGACCCGCTGCAGTCCATCGCGCTGGCTCGGCTCAAGCAGGCGTCCAACACGTCGGCACTCCTTGCGGGTTTCACAATGACCTCGCTGGCTCAGATTGCAATTTCAGACGACATCCCAGACTACCTGGTCACCTGCTTTGGCATTTCCATGGTCCTCCTGATTGTCGTCCACCTGTTTGCGTTGATGATTTCCACGTTTGTGCTGCCAGAGATTTCCGCCTTCATTGGCCAGTCTGGATCGCGCTCAGACACGGACATTCTCAAGCGATTCCACAGACACATTACGGTTGCGTGGCTCTTGTCCACCGCACTCGGCATTTTTCTCTTTCTGACCTCGCTTATCACCATTGTCTGGATTCAATTCTGGAACGTCCCGCAAGCGGCGATCGCATCCACAGCCGTCGTGCTCCCGGCACTGGCAATGTTTCTCGTACTAGCGTGCAAGCTCTACCGCGACATTACCTCAATTCAGCTGGCACACCATCGTCAAACGCTACGGGATGCTACCGAGACTGTTTTCGGTGTGTGAGGGTTGTTTGTTTCGTTTTGTTTTGTTTGTTATCTGTTGGTGTGAGCGAGCGCATTGTATATGAATAGATCACTTTGTATCAGTATTTGGGAGTTGGCGCCTGGGATGGAGGACGAAATCTATTGAAAAAGAGTCCGCTGGCAGACATTTCCACCATTGCTCTGCAACGCAACAAAAGATGCCCGGGACATTGTGCACCATCCTACAGCACCCCATCTCTGAATTATCAAGCCTCGCCCGTGAGCCTGTCCTAGCTAATTCACGCGGCAAAATCAGTTCAAGGCCAGGGGGTCAGTCAGAAATCATTCACGCCAAACCCGTTTGTCGAACATGAACGACGAAAACAAGCCTGTACGTTGCTCAGCGCATTCACTCAAAACAAACAAAACAAACACAAAGCGTTCGCACGCCAGCGACGACGTTTGCACCCGCCAGCAAACACATGCATGATGAATAGGCACACGGAGAGAGAGCGAGAGAGAGAGAGAGAGAGAGAGTGATGGATTGCGTACGGACAGAGCGAGAAGCGAGCCGCGTTTTGAAACGGCCAAACTGTTTCAACGCGCTTTTCGTTTGCCATTGGTGATTTTCTCGACATGCTCTCCACGCAGTATCAGCGAACACTTACACGACCCTCACACAACACTCACACAATTATCATACTCATTGAAACAATAAAGTACTGCTGCTGTTGAACTGCGGATGAGTGGATGAAATGGAAACGAACAAGACCCCAATTGTGAAACGGTTTTTCAGCGCTTTTTGATATCGGTTTTGTTTGGTTTTCTTCCCCACCTCGTTGTGTCGAAGAGTGGATGAGTGCAAAGGGCTCCATAGCATCCTCGCGAGTTTGAAGCGTACTGTCACTGTTTCATCTTGGGTGCAGCGGAAGGAGAGGTGACCGACTGCGATGCTTGCTGCTGCCGCCGCCGTTTGCTTTTCATGTTTGAATTTTGAATCACTTTTGTTTTGTTTTACAACGCGCTCACTTTGCCTTGGTTTGTGATTGTCACACTCGCGTAGAGCGCAAGGGCTTATATTGGAACCACATCAGCCGCTCTCAACGCTCTGAACACACAATACGAGCCTCGCGCACCGCTGGGCACCATTCATGCTCCTCAAGCTGGAGCCAACACGGGCCGACCTGTCAAACTGGAAACAACCTCGACTGCTGCTGCGCCCACTAGTACCACGACTACTACTACTACTACTACATTTGCCCAAACCTCATCGGCAAGCTCCACACCAACGGCTGCCGGGGAAGCGCCGACTGCAGGTCCAGACGGCAAGCGTCGGTGGCAAATCACCGACTTTGAAATTGGCCGACCACTTGGTCGAGGCAAGTTTGGTAACGTGTACTTGGCACGTGAAAAGTCGTCCAAGTACATTGTTGCACTCAAGGTGCTGTACAAGAATCAGTTGCAGAGGATTGGTGTCGAGCACCAGTTGCGGCGTGAAGTCGAAATTCAGTCCCACCTGCGGTAATGCTTTTGTCTGGGATGAATCCGCCTGTGCAGTGTGTAGATTCTCTGGTTACTCACACTCTCCTCAATGTGCATTGAATTGCAATGGGATATAGGCACCCAAATATCTTGCGCATGTATGGCTATTTTCATGACGAGAAGCGTGTCTACCTCATCCTAGAGTATGCTCCTCGTGGCGAGCTGTTCAAGGAACTGCGCAAGGAGCAGCGATTCTCCGAACCACGAACTGCAAGCGTAAGTCAGGAATCCGACAGCGCGGCGCTGCAGCGTGTGTTTAATGTTTCTGACTAGGATTTGCTGATTTCCAACAACAACAACAACAACAACAACAACAACAACAACAACAACAACAACAAAAAAAAAAAAATCGACAGTACATTTTGCAACTCGCCCGTGCTCTCAAGTACTGCCACGGCAAAAATGTCATTCATCGCGATATCAAGCCGGAAAACGTGCTGCTTGGACTGCGTGGAGATTTGAAGATTGCCGATTTCGGCTGGTCGGTGCATACTTCCAACCGGTGAGTGGCTTTGTAGCCGTGGAGCCATTCTTTGGTTGGTAATCGAACTTGCGAGCAAACAAATACCAAACACGCAAACTTACGCTGCCGCTTGCAACCCGTTTTGGGATTTTTTTTTTCTTTACGCACAGACGAGATACACTTTGCGGGACATTGGACTATCTGCCTCCGGAAATGGTTGATCGCGGCGACTACGACTACCGCGTCGACTTGTGGTCGCTCGGGGTCTTGTGTTACGAGTTTCTCGTCGGATCACCCCCGTTCTACGCCGAAGATGAGCCTTCAACCTACCTGCGCATCCGCCGCGGAGATCTCGTCTTCCCGTCAACCGTCAGCGCTGGCGCACGAGATTTCATGTCCAAGCTGATGCGACTCAATCCTAGCGAGCGCATGCCGCTCGAGCAGGCAATGGTTCATCCTTGGATTCTGGAAATGACCGATCCCAACAACCAGCCCCGGTCAGCCTTAGCCGCTGCCTCCAAGCCTGTGTCTGCTATGGCCAGCCAGCAATAATGCTGTCGTCGCTCAAACACCAGAGTATCGATCCCCCACTCTCCCCACTCATTCTCCTCTCCTCCACCCACCCCCGTTGAGCAACTCTTATATTTCGTATCCAGAAGTTTGTTGATTTTTTTTTTGTTTTGCTTGTTGTGTCGTGTGTAGAAACTTGTTCGAAAAGCAAGAAAAAAAGAGAAAAAAAAAGAAATTTGCGAAAATAAGAGACAAATGTGCTAGTTCAAACCCATCTACCATCACGCAACGCCTTCAAACCACAATCAACGCTTGGAGGACTGTAAGAATCTCGTCGAAAGAGGGGCGATAGTTTGGTGCAATGTCCCTACCCAAAGAACCGCAAAGAAGTGAGACGTTGTAGAGGAAGATACAATCAGAACAAGATCGTTTGTTTGGGGGGGGGGTTTGCGCGACAAGCAAAGGCCAATGATCGTCGTCTGCACGTACCAGCAAGAATTCATGAGAATATTCAGCTCTGATGGGCACTCTGGGGGCGTTTCGAGGCGAAGACCCGATTGCAGCTCTTGCAAAAGGTCGGTGTTTGGCGTGCGGTGGTACGGCGTGCGGCCAAACGAGTAAATCTCCCAGAGACAAACTCCGTACGACCACACGTCAGACTTGACGGAAAAGACGTTGTAAGCCAGAGCCTACACAAAACACAAACAACCGTCCCGCCCGCAACGGCAACCATTTGTTTAGTTGGCCTGATGTGGACCGACTCGCTCGACAAAGTCATCGCAGACGTACCTCTGGAGCCGTCCACTTGGTCGGGAACTTGCTGCCGTCAGGCGCAACGTACTCTTCACTTGTCAGCTGAACGGCAAGACCAAAGTCGCTGATCTTGACCTTGTTCTTCTCACCGAGCAGAATGTTGCGAGCAGCAAGATCGCGGTGGACGACACCCATGCTCGAAAGGTAAGTCATTCCTGCACGCGTGACACGACAGCAAAGTGCAAAGCCAATCAAGAAAAATGAACGACGCGACAGCACAAGGCCAAACAACCAGCGCAACACATAGTGAAGCGAACAGTCCGCTCACCATCTGCAATCTGAACGCTAATGTTCAACAGGTCAGTGTGGTGCAAGGAAGCTCGTCCGCGGGAGCGAATATAGTCTTGCACACTGCCAATCGGCATGTACTCGACAATGATGGCAAACGGCGATTCTGTCGTGCAAACACCGATGAGTGCGAGCTGCCAAAAGGCAATGTTGCAAACGAGACACCATGTTAGCCAAGAGCAAGGGCCAAACAGCTTCAAGCATGCACCACTGCACCAAAAATGCACCCACCCACCCCCCCCCAAAAAAAAAAAAAAAGACAAACCAAATTAGGATGCTCCAGCTTGGACATGAGATACGCTTCGCCAAAGAACTCGGACAAGGAGCGCATGCTGTGACCCTTGTGCGTTTTGACTGCAACAATCTGATCGGTGAAAGTTCCAAGGCAAACCTCGCCAAACTACCAAAGAACGGAACAAAGAAATCGCCCACAGTCAGCCAAGTTTTGCTGCTGCATTTATTTTGCTCCCGACCTAGTACATCCATACCTGTCCAGCTCCGAGCGCTTTGCCAAATGTAATGGTCGATGAAGGGACTTCCCAGTCCTGGGAGACAAATGCCGAGTGGTAGCGCGAAAGCTTGCTCTCGTACTTTGAGTAGATGTGCTTCAAGGGCACGGCCAGCGCGCCACGCTGCTCGTGGTGATACGCAACAAAGTCAATGACCGAGTCAAAGTAGTAGCGCTCGGCGTTGTTCTCTGAAGCATCCGCCACCGGCAGGGCAATGTTAGGGCCTTGCAAGAAGTACTGCCCATTGCTGTTTCGTTCAATGACCAGCTCATGAATAGAGCCAAACGAATCAACGAGTACCAAATGGCAACTAAAGTGGTCGCGAGGAGAGCGGTACACGAAAAAGCTCCCGGCTTCTCGCGATCTCAGTGGCTGGACTGCGGTGGCAGCAGACGACAGCTGCCGCCAAAACAAACAAACACACACACACACACACACACACACACACACACACACACACACACACACACACACACACACACACACACACACACACACACACACACACACACACACACAAAAAAAAAAAAAAAGCCAAATGGCGTCGAGACCAAACACACAAAAACAATGAGACACAGTTGCTGACGAGCGCAAGGGCGTTTTCGAAAACAACTCATGCTTACCTGATCGTGAAACCATTCACACTCGCAGCCTTCGAGCAAGCCCTTTTCGAGAGCCGCGTTGCCGTCCACTCGCCTGACATGAGTGCTCGGCACCCATCCGGCCTGACCAGCGGCGTTCCGGACCTTTCGCCAGTTGGGATCGATCGTGCCAGGCTCGTCGGCGACCCAGCTCTGACGGCTGGAGGAGCTCGCGACCACGACCGCCGAGTCTAAAAAGTACAGGGACTCGTGCGCCACAATCGACAACTCGTCGGGCGATGCGGCCTTGTGCGCATACAGGCCAGTGGCGTTGAGATACAATGTCTTTGGGGCAACGGCGCGCATCCACCGCTCCGCGTCCGACTCGAGGCCCTTGAAGACGCCATTCTCGAGCACCACGCCAGGAGCAGCAGCAGCAGAAGCAGCATCAGCGTCGGCCGCAGCATTCGCGGGATTGGTCGCGGCGTCAATGAGGTGCTGCGGCCGTCGGTACGTATTGGCAGCGCTGTACCCAGCACTGACTCGCTTGGGGGCCGGCCGTGGCGCTGGGCCGCTGGGCGAGCGCACTGCGTAGCGATGGCCTGGCAACTCGTCTTCTTCCTCCTCTTGCTCGATCGTCTCGGGCTCGATCGTCTCGGGCTCGATTGGAGCGTCGTATGCCAGCTGCGCGGAAGGACGAGCCGATCCAGCCGGAACCGGCGGCGGAGGCCCTGCTGCTCTCAGCGACATTGAAGGTGGATGGAGTGTAGTGATTTTCCGAGACTAAGAGGTTGTTGGCGAGTCTGAATGGGAAGGGGGGGGGGAAAAAAAGGAGGACAGGCGGTATTGGGCAATGATTCCGGCTGTCAATTTGAAAAAAAAAAAATTGAAAAGTTGAAAAAAGGTGAAATGATAGAGCTGTTGAATAAAAACGTTCGACCGTTGGGTGGAGTGGAGCAGTGGATCGGTCGCACACCTGTTGCATCAGATGAGCAACGACAGCGAGCGGAAATGCTAGAGCAAAAACCAAAAAACAAAAAAAAACACAAAGACACGGCGGAGGGAACGGCGGGTGAGACAGGAAAGCACGATGGTTCAGTTGGAGTTGCAAGTTTTGAGCCTTCCCCGCGCACATCCCAACTCTGGAGACCTGCAACGATAGCAAGCGGACACGCTCGAGCGAATATCAAAGACACGAGGTGGAAACGGGGGGGGGCTTGGGAGTGAGGCAGGAAAGCAAGCTGGTTTGGGCTGGCGTTGTTGAAGGTCGGCGCCATGTTTTCAACGCTTGCTCCTTCCAGCTCCCATCCCGACTCTGGCGACCTGTGACAGCTGTTGCCGGTTTCGCGTTGGTTGGTAGCACCTGGCTCTGGCAGCCAAACATACCTCGAGAGCTGTGTTTCCTCCGAGTGGAGCATTCTGTTTTGCGCCATGTCTCGTTCGGTTTCGGTCAACTCGGTTGACCTTTTGTCGCGTGCTACCGACGCCCCGACCGCCAGTCGTCGCTGTTCTTGGCACGCCGGTTGCTTTCATCATATCGCGCGACCAAGCCGCTCCATCGGGAGCACGTTTGAAGCACTGACCTGTGTGTTTTTTGACTGTTTTTGTCCAGTGTTTCCAACCTCGTCCTCCAAATGATTCCGAGTGATTGTTCAGTATTTCTTGTCCAAGAATAGCAACAACGAGACGGTTATTGCGATAAACAACAAAAACCTAGAAGTAGATAGAAACAGTACCAATTGAAATTGTGCATGGGAAAATCATTGCCCCGCCAGGTGATTTTTTCGCGTATAAGCCTCGCTCCCGCCCTCATTTCAGCGAGTAGATGCAAGAAGCCGTATGTGGCGTGATTGGAGTACTCACGAGTCCGTTGTCTCGGTTTCGAATTCGTTCACAGCGGAGGGAACGTCATCATCGCGCCAACCCACGCGAGATTTTCCCAATCGCCATTCCACCACCACCAATTCGTATCGTATTGGCCTTGTGATCACCTTGTTCGCCGACCACCGTTTTCTTTGACTGTTTGTGCTACATGTTCTCCTGGTCACCACGAGCAAAATCCTCAGCTTGTTGGGCCCTCGCTTCGCGTTGCACACAACCGCGACAAGTTCGCATCGCCATGTGTTTGTTGATCCATTTTGTTGTTCCTGGTTTGCCTCCTTGTTTGCCTCTCTCGTCTCCCTCTCTCTCTCTCTCCCCCCCCCCGCCCGAAACCCAGCACACTCCCACTCTCCTACCATCCAGTGTGTTGTGTTTTTCCCATGGTGAAGCAATGATGAGCAAAGCGTTGCTGCGAGAAAGGCACAAGGCCCCACCAAATTAGCCCGCCCCGAGCAGTCATGTGAAGCCGGGGAAGATTTTCAACCCAAAAACGCGGATTTCATTTTTTATTTTTTTTTTTTTTTTGAGTGTATTTTGCTTTGTATTTTCTACCTCAGTCTTTCTTTGTTTTTTTTTTTTACTTTTGCTCATTTTCTTTTTTCTTTTTTCTTCTTCTTCTTCTTCTTCTTCTTCTTCTTGTTCTTTGCTCTTTTGATCCTGCTGTTTGCTTTGCTGCACAATGACTACGTCTGTGGCCAAGCAGCTCAAGCTCGTTCTCTGGAAGAACTATGTGCTGCAGGTCCGCAATTCTGCCCTTTTGGCTTGAGTGTCGTTGCTGTGTCCTCGCGCTCCGCTCACCAAACGCTCATGTTGAACAATGGAATAGAAACGACGCAAGGTCGGCACCATCGTCGAATTGCTACTTCCCGTGGTCTTCTTTGCCATCCTCGTCGTCATCCGCCAAGTCATCTCCCAAAGCGAAGAGCCCGCTGGTGCGTTGGTTTGCTTGATTGGCTCCTGTCTCGCTCACTTGCCCTCCCCCCCCCCTACATTCCAAGCACAACTAACGAGAGCAATGTCCACAATGTGGAAGTGAACGAGATGACGAGAGGGAGAGAGAGGGAGAGAGTTGACGGGGGAAGGCTCAGCTTGCCCATTCATCACACAGAACCGAGCAGCGTCACGCACTGTGCCACCATAAAACCGCTGCACTCGCTGCTTGTGCGAACTGGTTGGTCGGGTGGTGGTGGTGGTGGTGGTGGTGGTGGTGGTGGTGGTGGGGATGACTCGATGCAACCTGTTGGTGAATGCGCTCGACTGTGGAACTCGAGGGAAATCTTCTCACTTTGTGTTGTTGTTTTGTTTTGTCCTGTCCCGCAGAAATCTTTGGCAGCATCCCGACTCACCTCACCCCTATCCAAATCATCGACGATCTCCCGAACAACAGCGGGGCGCGCGCTCAGCTGCTCAAGACATGCGGCTCCAACTTTAACTACTACCTGTCCAACTTTTACGAGGCCAACGCATTTGTTGGCTACACGCCCATCGGAGGCGATGTGGACCGCGTCATGCAAGTCCTCGGAAATGCAACGGGCTTTACCTTCCACGGCTATGCTAACGTGAACGACATGATTTCCGACACTGTGAATGGACCCAACGCCGACAATTTTGTTGTTGGTCTTGTCTTTCACGGACTGGGCGCTGGCCACACATTGCTCAACGATGTGTCGTACGACATTCGTTTCCCTCCTGCGGCTGCCGACAACGACAAGAATACGTGGTACACCAAGAACCAAAAGCCCCAGTTTGCGGACGTGGGTCCCCGCACCGACAACGCCTACTTGTGCTCTGGCTTTTACTTTCTCCAAAGCTTTGTCGACCGCGCCGTCATGCACATTTTGACCAACGTGTCGGCTGACATTGTCTTCCCTGCTGCCAACTTTACGTCGTCGGGCCCGTCGGTCGTCCCACCAGTGCTGTCGTACATTCAGCAATTCCCGTACCCCCAGTACAATGACGATCCCTTCCAGTTTGCCGTTGCCGGCACGCTGCCGCTCTTCATGATTCTGTCGTGGATGTTCCCCTGCCAGTCGATCGTCCGTCAGATTGTGTTCGAAAAGGAGCGCCGCCTTCGTGAGGCCATGAAGATGATGGGCCTCCGCAACTGGGTCAATTGGCTCGGCTGGTTTATCAAGAGCTTGATCTATCTGACCATCTCGGTGGTCATTGTAACCATCGTTGTCAAGACTGGCGATATTTTGCCCAACTCTGACGCCTTCCTCCTTTTCGTCTTCTTCTGGCTCTTTTGCATCGCAACCATCTCCTTCTCGTTCTTGATTAGCGTCTTCTTCCAGCGCGCCAAGATTGCTGCGGCCTTCGGCACCATCATTTACTTTTTCGCCTACGTTCCGTACTTTTTCATCGATCCCCGATACGACGACTTGAGTGCGGGTGTGAAGACGGGCGCTTGCGTGCTTTCATCCACTTGCGTGGGTATCGGCGCCACCATCATGGCCAGTTTGGAGTCTCAGGGCGTTGGTGCGACCTGGAGCAACCTCCACACGCCCGCCACGGTGGATGACAACATTACGCTCGGCACTGTGATGGGCATGTTTTTCTTTGACGCCATCCTGTACCTCGTGCTGGCATGGTACATTGAGGGTATCTACCCTGGCGAGTACGGCATCCCCCAGCGCTGGTACTTTCCGTTCCAACGCTCGTACTGGTTTGGCTCGGCTCGTTCCTCGAACAATGTCCCGATGAGCACGAGCGCTCGCACTCCTCTTCGTGGCTCGTCCGACCAGCTTGATCAGTCGGATTCCATTCCTGCCGACGCCGACCCAAAGAACTTTGAAGCCGAGCCATCCGGCCTGAAGGCGGGCATTCGCATTGACAACCTGACCAAGACGTACGCTGACAAGAAGACGGCCGTGCGCAATCTGAGCCTCAACATGTACGAGGGCCAGATTACGGCCTTGCTTGGCCACAATGGTGCTGGCAAGACGACGACCATGTCCATCATCACCGGCATGATTCCCGCCACCTCCGGCACCGCGTACGTTGACGGCTATGACATCACGACCAGCAGCAACCGCGCGCGAGACTCGCTTGGCCTCTGCCCGCAGCACGATATTCTCTTTGACTCAATGACCGTTCACGAGCATCTCGACTTTTACGCGTCGCTCAAGGGTGTCGACAAGTCGCAGCTCGAGCGCGAAATCACCGAGATGATTAGCGACCTTGGCTTTACGGACAAGACCAACTATCAGTCGCAGGCTCTTTCTGGCGGAATGAAGCGCAAGCTCTCGGTTGCCATTGCTCTCATTGGTGGCTCGCGCGTTGTCATTCTCGACGAACCCACTGCCGGCATGGACCCTTACGCTCGCCGTGCCACTTGGGACTTGCTTTTGCGTCACAAGGCCCGTCGTACCATCCTGCTGACCACGCACTACATGGACGAGGCCGACATTATGGGCGATCGCATCGCCATCATGGCTGAAGGCCAGCTCCGCTGCCTTGGCTCCTCCCTCTTCCTCAAGTCGCGCTACGGCATTGGCTACCACATGACGCTCGTCAAGGAGCCCCGCTGCAACGTCAATTCGATTACTGCCCTCGTCAAGTCGCACGTCGCCTCGGCCGTTCTTGCCACGGATGTTGGTGCCGAGCTGGCCTACGTGTTGCCGACACGCGAGACGCCCAACTTTGCCAACTTGTTTGCCGAGCTGGAAAATCGCAAGGTCGAACTTGGCATTGGCTCGTTTGGCGTGTCCATTACCACGCTCGAGGAGGTCTTCCTCAAGGTCGGCGAGGGCTTTGACACGACGATTGATGAGGTCAAGGAGCAAGAGAAGGCCAAGGCGTCGAAGGACAAGACCCTGGCTGCAGGCGGTGGCTATGGCTCTGGCAACAGCGAATGGCGAGGCAGCGGCTCGAACTCTGACCGGGACCTCTTAATCCCCGTGAACGACAACGGACCGAGCCGCAACGAGTATGCCACGGGCTTTGCTCTCAAGCGCCAGCAGTTCAAGGCTCTGCTGCGCAAGCGCATGCTGATTTCGTACCGCGAAAAGAAGCAAGTCATCATGCAGCTCATCCTCCCCATGTACTTTGTCCTGATTGCCCTCGTGTCGGTGCGCTCCTTCCCTCCCAACACAAGCGACCCGTCACTCACGCTCCTGGCCAGCGATCTCGGCTCGGGTACTGTCTCGCGCTATGCTTCCGACCAGTCTCTGACAGGTCGCCCCACCGGACACTACTTTGGCTCGTATCTGCACACTGTTGCCGGCACACAAGTTGTGAACGCGTCCAACAGCTTGCCATCCGGTACCAGTGATATTGCTTCGTACTTTTTCCACCAGACACCCACTGCAAAGGACGTGTCGTACTTTTACGCCCACAACTATGGCATGTTGCTCGACTATGAGGAGGACGCATCGAACATTGCGGACATTGGCTTCCCGCTGGCCGGTACCGCTCAGTACTCGACTGTGCTCTACAACAACAACGCCTACCACACGGGCGCCATGTTCCTAAACATTATGTCGAACGCTCTGCTGAACACGATTGCCCAAACGCTCGCTGATGCAGCCGGCACGGTTGCCCCGGCAATGTCCATCCGAACCACAAACTACCCCATGCCGATGAACGCCCAGGAAGCCGCCTTGCAGGCACAAGACAGTGCCGCGTCCCTCTCCCTCGGCTTCAACGTGCTGTTTGGTCTGTCCTTCCTTGCCTCGTCGTTCATTCTCTTCCTGGTTCAAGAGCGCGCGTCCAAGGCCAAGCACTTGCAGTTTATCAGTGGTGTCGATGCTGTCTCGTACTGGCTGTCCACCTACCTCTGGGACTTGACCAACTACCTCGTGCCCGTCAGTGCCATCATGATTGTCATTGTCGGCTTCAAGGTGGACGGCTACTCTGGTGAAAATCTCGCCCTTGCGCTCCTGCTCTTGCTCTTGTACGGCTGGGCCATTCTGCCATTCACGTACCTGTTCTCGTTCCTGTTCAAGCTCCCCATGAACGCCTATTCGTTTACCGTATTTGCCTACTCCATCACGGGCATTGGCTCGCTGATCGCGACCTTCATCTTGGACCAACAGTCGCTCGGCCTTGTCGATGTGAACGAGAAGCTCAAGTGGGTCTTTTTGCTCCTGCCCAACTACTGTCTTGGCCGCGGCTTTTTGGACATTTATCAAAACTACATGCTGCTCACCAGCTGTGGCATCAGCCCCATCGTGGCCGAAAAGTGCCACGAAGCCGGTTTCAACTGGGTGGACTCGATGTCTGACTGGGCCGATCCTGGCCTCGCGCGCAAGTTTATCTTCATGTTCGTCGAGGGTCTGGTCCTTTTCGTCCTGGTCATTCTGATTGAGCTGCGCGTCTTTGTTCCTTCGCGTCTTGTTGCCGGTGCTGGTGTGTCCACCGAGAACGAGGACGCGGACGTTGCTGCCGAGCGCCGTCGCGTCGTTTCTGGAGAGGCCGAACGCAAGGGTGACACTGTTGTCATCAAGAATCTGACCAAGCTGTTCAAGACGCAGGGTGCCGCAGCAAAGAAGAACCCGACGCTCGTGGCCGTGAATGAGCTTTGCGTTGGTATCCCTGCGGGCGAGTGCTTCGGTCTGCTTGGTGTCAACGGCGCCGGTAAAACAACCACCTTCTGCATGCTCACCGGCGATACCAGTGTCTCTTCCGGCAATGCCATGATGGACGGCTTTAGCATTCTCAACCAGCAGGAAGAGGTCCGTCGCCGCATCGGCTACTGCCCCCAGTTTGACGCCCTGATTGATCTGATGACTGGTCGCGAGCTCTTGGCGCTGTACGCGCGCCTCCGTGGTGTCCCAGAGAGCGCCGTCCTCCCTCTTGTCGACTCTTTGATTGATCGCATGAACCTGACCAAGCACGCCAAGAAGAACTGCGGCACGTACAGTGGTGGCAACAAGCGCAAGCTGTCCACCGCCCTCGCGCTGATTGGCGACCCGCCGATTGTCTTTTTGGACGAAATGAGCGCCGGCATTGATGTGGCTGGTCGCCGCTTCCTCTGGGACTTTATCTCGAGCATTATGCGCAACGGTCGCTCCATCATCCTGACCTCGCACAGCATGGAAGAGTGCGAGGCACTCTGCACACGTCTGGCCATCATGGTCAACGGCGAGTTCAAGTGCATCGGCTCGCCGCAGCACCTCAAGAACCGCTTTGGCTCTGGCTACACGATGACTGTCAAGCTGCAGCGCGATCTCTCTGCTGGCGCACGTGAGCCGGACACCTTCCCCGTCAAGCAGTTTGTGCACGAAACCTTCCCCGGCGCTGTTCTCAAGGAGGAGCACCAGGGTGCCCTGCACTACGAGATTGCGACTCCCGAGCAGTCGGGCAGCTCTGCAGTCAAGTCTCTCTCCTGGGCGTTCATCTTTTCCAAGATGGAGGAAGCCAAGCGCATGTACCCCATCGAAGACTATGGCGTGTCCCAAACCTCTCTCGAGCAAGTCTTTATTGAATTTGCCAAGCGTCAACGTACAGAGGATGACGAGTAAAAAAAAGCAAATGCTATTCTTTGATCTCGTGTTGATTTGGTTTTGTTTGTTTGTTTGTTTGTTTTTGGGTGTGCTTTGAACAACAAAATGCGTTCATCTGTTTTCGATCTGATCTTGCTTGTAGATTCACAGGAATCTGTTGCTCATGATTGCTTGACTTCTCACTGGCAAGCTCAACTCTTTGTTTCAGAAGGAGTGTACCTGACTCAGGGCAAGCAACTGTCGGTCGCATCCAGCATTGGGCCAACGTACTACAGTAGATAGTACAGGTGCTGGCTCGTTGCTGATGGGATTCTCACGCCTCAGCTGGCGAACGCCATTTTCATGGCATTTGTTCGAGCATTTGCAGTGCGTTCAGAAAGCTCGAGATGAATTATGATGCAGAGTGAAATTCCTTTGAAAAGGCTCAAGTCTCGCGCAAGAAATTTTATAGAGTCAGGTGCTTGACAGTCAGGAGGACAGCAACACAGAACGACAAACCAACAAACAAACAAACAAACAAAAGAAAATCGCAACCAACAACAAAGAAAGCAAGGGTCAAGCACAAAAACAAACAAACAAAAAGCCAACAAAGACACCAGAAAGAAAGCAGGGTCAAGCACACTAGAGCTAGCTCGACCATGACCTCCTATTCGAAACAATCATCCGGCAAACAGCAATGGAAGAAACCACTCGCCAGCATCATTCATCATAAAACGCCACACGGCGCCGCTCGGCATATTCGACACGTTGGGCCGCACGGATACGCGCCTGAACGACGTCAATGTACAAGGGCAAGGTGAGGTGCATGCGATCGCTGGTCGCAACTCCGACAAGGACATGCACGCATCCCGATTGAACGTCTGCCTCGTGCCGAACAGAGTCCAACACCAGCGCGTTTCCAGTCCCATTCATAACCTGGCACTGCGCCGAAACAATCGTCAAAAGACGCGCCGGCGAAGAACTGTCCGTCACGACAAAGTCAGAGACCGAGGGGAAGTCACGCTCGGCATTCACAACACCCGTCGAAAACGTCAGTGGCACGGTCGTCTCGGCACCGTTGCTTGAAGTGGAATGGAACACAATGCTCGAGTTGTTGCTCAGCTGGAAGCGAACTGGAAGCACAAGCTCGGACAGGGCTTGGTTGTCAGCGGGAGCCACAGACACACCCTGGCTGGTGGACTTGACCAGCTCTGGAGAACTGAGAGAAACGCTCAGCACGTCGCCATCATGGGCTGGCTCGGCGAGCTTGATAACAAACTGGTAGGCAGTACTGGAACGACCGCGGGTTGAAATACGCACCGAGGAAATCTTCACCTCTCGCGCAATGCCTGCATTTCCGGACGTCAGGATTGCGTCCGAGCTGGAAGCCAGATGTAAGGCAAGCCCGGCAGTGGTCGGACGCAGCAGCTGCACGACAAAATCGAGCCGGGTCAGGAAGGCGTCATCGGTGATCGTGGAGAGGCGGTCGCGGCCTGGGTACTGGGCGATTGGCGAGTCGCGAGTGACGGGATCGTTAAACGTCAAGCGAGCTTGCAACGTGTTCAAGTCGTCAACGCCGGCACTCTCGAGCAGGTCAACTGTCGCAGAAAACAGCAACGTGCGGCTCAGCACATCGTCTCCTTGCCGGCTGTACGACAACAGCGGAGTGACGGACGAGAGGCTCGTGCTGGTCGGATTGCGAGACAGGTGAACAGTCCATTCCAGATCGCCAATCTCTGTCAGCATACGAGAGCGCACAGTCATATTCTGGCTGATGGGAACCAACCCATTGCCGCTGTTGATGGTGAGATAGTGCGGCTCCATCCGCTGGAAACGCGTTCGTTGCAGCAAGGCTGCTTGGTCGGACGGACTCAGTTGGCCAGTGACAATGACCTCTTCAATTGCAACATTGTCTCCATAGTGGACAACAGTGCCAGTTGCCGCAGTGCGACTGACAAAGCGGAAACGAAGCGGCAGTGTGCTCAACTGCTCGTTCGTTGCTTTAATGTCAAACCAGTCGCGCTGCAACGACCGCACCACCAGTCCCGACGACGTGGCGAGCATGAAGAGACGGCCATACGTAACTGGCGAAGAGATGCCTGTCGTAACGCTCGACGGAGAAATGATGCGCAATCGCTCGAGGCCCACGTCGACGACCGGCTGCTTTCGGAAGGAGCTGGCGCCGTAGGCCCTCCAGCCAGTGAAAAAGTCTGGATGCTGTGCGCTGAAGCAACCCCAGCGCTGGAAGATGTACCAGTTGTCGTCATGCTCACCACCGCGCCGAACAAACGCGTTCTCAGGGTGATCGCCGAACAGGTTACATTCGACCACTTGGTCCACATGGGCTGCATTGGTCAAGTAGACGCCGGCCTTGCATGAGGGACGCTCCATGCACGCTTGCTTACACTGGTCGAAAGAGACGCCCTTGACCTGATAGATGCCAGCCGGTCCCTTGTCGCTCTCACGGTTTGCAGATCGGATGACCTCGGACCACGACTCGTGCTGGACTGGTGCACAAGTCGTGTGTGGATTCTTGCACATTGTACAAGCTTCTCCATTAAAGTAGCGGCTTGAATCACCACACGACGAGCAGACAACGCCATCAGGAAGGTTGACAATGTCCATGTGCGTGTCTGCCACGTCCTCGTTCGACGCTGGCACCTGACGAGCAATCAGCCTGCCTTGCTTGGGGTCTTCTGCCATGACCATGTGATTGCTTGCCGAGATGACTTGAGAGAGGGTGACATAGTCGCCAAAGTGCACTCCCACCTCGTCTGCCTTGGCCGGGACTTCGCAGTCAGCACCAGGTGTGCTTGCGCACACTTGCAGGTAGAAACGGGTTAAAAGGTCGAGCTTCAAGCCGACAAGCTCCTGGTTGGTGCCATTGGACAAACGCGCGACAGCCAGCACCTGCAGCACGGGCACCAACTTGTACTTGATCGGAACTGGATTCTTCGACACTGTCGTGCTCCACTCTTTGTCACCGTCCATGTTTGTGGGGTCTTCTGGATCACTTGTGCCTGCGGTTGCGTCACCACCCATGAACGTCTCGCGGCGGGACTCGGTGCGATCCTTGACGGCTTGCTTAAGGGAGCTTTGCTTGTTGATGCTCAAGGACGTGTCGATGGAGCTCGACTCGATTCCAGAAGACGAAAGCGACAGTGATGACTTGAAGGCATCCGACTGTTCCACGCTCGACTCAAACTCGGTTTGTGCCATGGTGTACACTCGAATGGACTTCCCGCCCATGTGGACGCCGATGAGGGTGTGGGTCCCCACCTTGTCCAAAAACCGAAGGTAAAGGTCGCCACAGTTTGCATGGATTGCGGTGCACGCCGAACGATCCTTGCTCACTCCAGCGTGCGAGGGAAGCACAAGACCATCACAGCACGCGGGCGGCGGGAGCGCGTTGAACATCTCAATGACATGGTCGGCGAGCGGAGGCGTGTCATCCAGGAACTCTGCCACATATGTCAAGACGGTGCCAATGGTGGTGATTGAAACAGATTCGGACGACTGATGCATCTCTGAGGCCTGCTTGTAGTCGTTCGACGCCGAAAACTTGGCACCTCCACCTTCAACGAGAGCACTGAACGAGAAGGAGGTTTCGATGGACACGTCCACTTCCCAGCTTTCTGCGTACTCCGACGAGGTCGTTACGAGGTGGGAACGACTGTCAAACTGCGCGGAGCGTACGGAATGACGGCGACGCGGTCAGGAAGCATCGTGCTGCCATCAGCGGTCATGCGACGCATCGAGTAATCCACCTTGAGGACAGGCAAGGTGAACCCGGGATCGACACCGGACGACGGAAGAGGGTTGCCCTTGAAGATGTGGTATCCGAATCCGAGCATGCCAATGTTCTTGTACGACGTCACGCCACTCCCAGGCATGTTGATTGTCGCTCGTGCAGATGCCATACGAGCGTCCAGCTCCAGCTGCTCGAGAGCAACCGTTTTGGTCGGCAGATCGGACTCTTGGCGAGTGTGGGACGCAGACAGCTCGTTTTGCAGATCGACCACCTCGAGTTCGACGGACAGCTTGGCCAAGTCCATGCTTGTGCGTGAGTCGACAACTTGGCTCTCGAAACGCGCTGACAGCGTGTCGCGAGCAATCTGCGCAACAAGCAACTCGGCGGAGAGGTGCGGCTCGCCTAGTTGGATCAAGGATTCAACACGCGAGATTGTGCTGTTGAGTTCGAGGATGCGGGTCTCGGCGAGAATTGGCCAAACGGCAGCAGATGGATCGAGGCCTGTGTTGACATCGCCGTTCGAGCAGCCATCACGCGAGTAGCACGACTCGAGGGCACTCGGAGGATCAGAAAGACGTGCACATTCGGATGGAGTTGCAGTGGGCCAGAAATGCAGCGGATGGGATGGATCGCGGCGAGTACAGGTGATATTACGAGTGCGAGTGCCAGCGCCGCACGCAGGTTCACAGGATGACCACGTCGACACTTCCCACTTGAGCTCACATCCAGAAGTGCAGTTGCAGCTCGGGCAGGTTGTGGAGTTTGGCTTCTGGAGACCGTGCATCTCACAGAGAGACGCCGAAACTGGAACTTCCGAGCCGCCACTGCCAGCGTTGTGCAAGCATTGAAGCGTCGATTGCCGCGCCTCGGAAAACTGGCACGAGGTTTCAGTGCAAAGACAATCGCCACAGAGCTGTCGATACTCGTAGTCACAATCGAAAGCATCGCATGCAACTGTTGCGGGCGGGCGAATGCTGGACCGACAGAACGAATCGTCCACGACAATGTATTGAGGCTGTCCGTTGTCGCTGTGGGTGCGCTCATAGCATTGAATAATTGCATGTTGAACACCTGCGCCGCATCGCGCAGAACAGTCGCTCAACGAAGTGTTACGCCAAAGGAAGCGTCGCAGGTTGAACGACAGAGTAAACTCGTCACGGTCGAAACTCGCTTTACCGACTTGGTCCAGGTCGAGGCGGAGAGCGAGTCCGTTGTTGGCAAGATCACCATTCAGCCACGAAGCCACCAAATCATCGAGTGCGGACTCAAAGGATGCATCCGTGACAACCTGCTGCTGGTTGTCGCTGTTGGTGATGTAGAGCTGTGCGATGGCGGCTGAATTGAGCTGCGGCAGTGAGCTCGTACTAGCTGGGTGCCAGTCAGAAAGCACCGAGTACACCAGGTAATTCTGTGGACTGGAGGCCAAAACGGAAGCGCCCAGTGATGCATTCGAGACGTGGACCACCTCGCCAGCCAAGCGAATGTCGTTGGCAAGATATGCCAGATCAAACGACACAAGAGGGAGACAATCGCGCTCAAAGCCGCCAATGACACGGACGCGATCAAGTGCGAGCTGCACAGCACGATCAGAGACGCCCTGAATCTCCAGGTAAGCGGCCTGGGTGGCATCCACATTCGCCCAGATGTGTGTGCGTTGGCCAAAGACGCGAGTCGAACGAAGCGGCAGGTCGGCAGAATTGTACAGGACAATATCAAACACCTCAGCGTAGTGCGCTGGATGCTCATCCATGTACACAGTCGGAATGGAGAGCTCGACTCGATGTACGACAGCCGGTGCATCAAAGGTAACACGCCAGACGGGCTTCAACCCAGAAGCACTGATGGCAGGCATGCCAATGTTGCTTGTGGCATACTGTGCATCCGTAGCCGGAACCGTATAGAGCTCATTGTGCGTGTCATTGCCAACCTGCGAGGTCGAAGGAGTTGTGCGCCAGATGGCCTCGCGGCCGACTGCCAGAAACTCCAGCTGGTCCTCGGCAATTGACAGGTCGACGAGGTACTGCGACTCGGGTGAATTAACCTCACGACGGCTACGGCGGCTGCGACGCTCATCATCCGCACTGGACAAAGGATAGAGAGCAAGCGGGTCTGAAGCGCGAGGAGTCGCAAGATCAAAACCGTATGTGATGAGGCTGGCAGCACGGAAACGACCCGCCGCCAAATCGGCCGCCGCGTCGATGAAGTGGAATGGACTGTTAACGCAGATGCTCGTTGTCTTGGAGGATGACGCGTGATATCCTGAAATAAACGACTGCGACTGCCCATTGGTTGCCGCTGAGGGGAAGGTAAACGTGACTGTTGGCACCTTTGCGTTGCGTACGGAATTGATAGTCACAGCCAAAATCTGGAATGGGGAGTCGACCAATTCAAGCAATTCAAGCGAGTCCAAGTCGGGAATGAATGTGGTGGTAAAAAAGCCGCATAATATAGTCTCTGAGCGCGGATAGCACCGCCAAGACCCAATGTCAGTCATAACCGTCAAGTTGTGTCGCGTCACACCATCACCACCAAGGCCAATGAGACGCAAGGTCACAAAGTAGGTCTCAAAGATCTCGATCGGGCTATTCGACTCGAAGCGCGCGGCGTAAAAATCCTCTTTCGGCTCGCGAGTTACTGCAAAAGCCTCCAATTCAAGCTGTTGGTGGGCCGAGGCCAGAGTTGCATACTCGGGTTCAGCAGCAGCCCAGCAACCCAAAGCAATGCGTGCACGCTCTGGATGGTAGAACACCATGGGAGCGTTTCCAACCTCGGGTGTGAGCTTTGGATCATAGATTGTCGAAAACACTTCCAACGTGACAGCGGGACGGGTGAGGCCGCTGGGCAAGCCATGATAGTACAAAATCGCTTCAATGTAGTACTGGTTGCCGGCAGTCATGGAGAAGGGCAGCTCAGACAGGCCATCATTCGGCATCTTGAAAGCAAGCGCCATGTAGTGCACCGAGTAAAAGTCGGCATCCTTGCGGAGCAGCGCAATGTCCATCGCCGTCACGTTCGG